AGGAGTCGGTTCTGATGGTTGAGGAGTGGGTTTCGGAGGTTGAGGTGTTGTAGGCTTTGGAGTTGGTTCTGGTGGTTGAGGAGTGGGTTTCGGAGGTTGAGGTGTTGTAGGCTTTGGAGGTTGAGGAGTGGGTTTTGGTGGTTGAGGAGAGGGTTTCGAAGGTTGAGGTGTTGAAGGTTTTGGAGGTTCAGGAGTGGGTTTTGGTGGTTGAGGAGAGGGTTTCGAAGGTTGAGGTGTTGCAGGTTTTGGAGGTTCAGGTGAGGGTCTTGGAGTTTCTGGAATAGGTTTTGGAAGTTGTGGTGTAGGTTTTTGAGTTTCTGGAATAGGTTTTGAGTGTTCTAATGAGGGCTTTGGAGGCTGTGGTGTAGGTTTTGGAGGTTGAGGGGTCGGGATTATTTTGGTAAGTTTAGGGGATGAAGTACGAGGCGGAGACTTTAGTTCCCTCTCTGCAGATGATGAAGGGGAAGGTGTTCTATCTCTTTCAACAGAAAGTCTTTTATTAGAGGGTTCTTCTTCGGCTGATGATGAAGGAGATGGTGTTCTAAGTTCTCCTTCAGGGGATACACTACGTTTTGGTCTGCGAACACTTGGAGGTTTTACTAGAGTCTCGTGTTTTTCCAAAGGTGATCCTTCCATAGCTCCTATTTGATGTTGTAAGGTAGATAACAAGAATTGGTGTAAATCCTCCACAGTGGTATGTGAACCTTTGGGAACTGGTACACGAATAACACTTGCCCTTCCATCATTTTTAGTAAAATGAATGTCAATCCATTGTTCGTCAAGCGTACCTATTGTCGAAGGCCATGAATATGGGTAACTTATACTATGCAAACCACATACCCAGTCTCCAGAAAAATATAGTGGTCTTGGTAAATGTACTCGGAATTTATTTGGTTTATTATCTGGGTAATCGGAAACATTACTAGGAAGAAAAACAAAAAATGTATTTGACATCTTTATCAAAATGAAAAATAAATAAATAAATTGGCTTTTATACAAGTTGGGTCTCATGGATCCATTCTCTTTCAGGGTAACCTATAAACTTTACTAATAAATCGAATGTGCCATCTGGTCTTTTCCTTTTTCTTATAACTTTCTCTATCCTATACTCTGTATCAGCATCCTTCTTAACACGAGCCAATTCTTCCTTATAAAATGATCCTTTGAATCTTTCGCCCTTATCGTCTTGTACTTTGTAACGGATTGGTTGAACGTGGTTTTTAACATTTTCTATTTGTAAAATTTCATCACCCCAATTTGGGATATAACCCTTCTCGAATAATCCTTTTCCTACACTCATACGGACATAATCTCCTTTCTTTAGTTTGGATTTTATTTTCTTTTTGGAATAATCGTTACCATAAATCCGCTCCCACACCTCTTGTGCATTGTCAAAAGTCACATCTATAGGTCTCATTCCGTGAATCCTACTCTTAGACTTATTTATTCCTTCTATAATTTTAGGTAAAACCTGAATCCAGTTGAGTATTTTGTTTTGGGCAAAATAGCGATATATACGCTGTTTAATATTACGTATAGCCCTTTCTGCTAATGATGCTTTCACAATAGAATGTACTGGTTCAGTTTTGTGTATTTCTTCTTTTTCAAAATATTCTGCCATTTGTTTGTTTTTAAATTCTGTGCCTTTATCTGAAAAAATTCTATGAGGTTTCATAGGCATTTGTTCAAATAATTGTTTAAATGCTTGTATCATTTCTTCAGTTCTCTTGGATTTGACTGGAGTACCGAATACTCTTTTCGATAAGACATCAATTCCCAAAAGTAAATATCTATTTCCCTGATTGTGTCTTGAGATTGCTTGAAAATCTGCAAGATCAACCTGCACATCTGTCATAAAACCAGCTGGTATTGTCTTTGCTCTTTTAAAATGAATCCGTTTGGGGCGCATCAATGTATAGGTCCTATGTCCTTCTAAATAATCTTGTACTACGTTTTTAGGTATGTGTTTGATTACTTTTCTAGCCTCCTTCCAAAGTCTATCAACACCTGAAAAAGCCGCTGGGGACTCTGGATTATTGTATAAATCATGTAAAAGTTTTGTATAATCTGCCATTATTTATTTCCACAAAGTTGGTTTGAATCTATTTATAGGTTTAGATTTTCTTTTATTAATATCTCTAGCTAATGGTTTTCTTGGTGCCCATCTAGAAGAAGGAGATTTTGTTGGTACAAAGTGCTTCTTTTCTTCTGGGCTTATTTCTTGTTTGGGGGTTGATGTAGATGGTTTAATCTCCTGAGTAAATGCAGGGGCGTTAATTATCGATGAAAGGTTATCATCTATAAACATATCAGAATCATCATTTTCACTAGCTAGACTGGTAGTGGGTCTAGCTGTAATACCTTTTGAACTTGTTACCATCTCTACCTTAACTGGTCTATTTTGTTGCTCATGTCGCATTTTTAAATACCTTCTCAATTCTTGATTATAATTAACATTTTTTGCATTGGGAGTCTGTTTTTTTCGTTTTACCTTCTCAAGATCCCTACGCACAAAATCTAAATTAGGTTCACCACTGTCATGTGTTGTAAGCCCTTTGTATAAATCCTCAGGGACTAAAATAAATTTATTTGCCATTTTTTAAATAGTTTGATTCGTGGAATTATCGTTTTTATATATACTCTTTGCAATTTCCAGTAGTACAGGAGTTAAAAGCGCTGCGAAAACACCTACACCTCCACCCTTCTGATTAAGAACATGACGCGCACCTCTTTCGCTCCTTACTCGACTCAAATGACGTACAAACTCTGTATAAGGTATCAGCCGTTTCTTTTGTCGATTTGTAAGTTTAAATCTTTCTTTTACTATATTTAAACAAATCTCAGTTAATGCTAAAAGCTGGGATGTTGTTGCTAATCTTAACAATCTTCTTTGTTTTCTACCTGACTTTGTTCGGGCTAATATTTTCAAAAAGTCCACATTATCTTGTAAAAGTTGATTAACCATTATTTCCGTTTTTTGGTATAAAAAATATTTTTTCGTCGTCTTTAAATATGTTTGTCCTAAGTCTTAATAATGGATCTGACGAAGCGTGCATATCAATGAGTAAGTAACCATAGGGTTGCTTAGTTGCTTGTTGATATGAATCAAGAAAATAGTCTAACTGTCGCGGGAATAATTGTACACCTATATTTCTTACAGAGAGCATCGAGTTAGGGGAACGCATTATTGTAAGATATTGAGAATTTTGCCTAGCCACTTTGATCTTTCGTTCAAATAAATTTTGTGTAATAAAAATTATTGAGAAATTTTGATGATGGGCTTTTTTAGTGAATAATTCTGACAGATATTTTTCATTTATACTAAGTAATAAATCATCAAGAATAAGTAAAAGTGGTTTCGGAAAATTTTTTATCTGTTCTTCATTTGGTATTCCTGATATAACATTAACTCCTGCTTTCTGTAAAAGGGGAATAATACTATTCATTTCCCCAAAACAATAAACTATTGATTTTGGACTAGGGTGAATTAATTCTTTGGATTCGGTTATAAATTTCAATAAAAAGGTTGTTTTACCGCTGGAACTAGGACCAGATATTATCATACCAAAAGGTAATTTAAATTTTATATCTTTATCTGTAAATGATAATGAGTCCATAATACTGTTATAAAATAATTTTATCGAATGTGTGAATATATCGATTATATATCATTTAGGTTGGGATCCCTGTAACTGATGCTTCTAAACTTTGGAAAAACTCTTCAATGTTTTCTTGTGAGGGATGGGAATCAAGAGGTTGTGATGAAGGTTCAATTATCTCCTGTTTGGGAATTTTAAGAGTAATTGATTGTGGAGTAGCTTCTGTAGATGTAGTACTAGTTGTAGAATCTGAATTTAAAATATTATTTTTTATTATTGATGTTTGGCTACTTATTTCTAGGGGTTGACCTTTAAGCTGTGTTTCAGAGGTTAGCTGAGGTGGGCATTTTAATTCCTTTTTTACAGAAGGTTTAGACGTTGAATTATATGGGATATTGAATACTCTACCTTTATTTTTAATTTTGAAAAAACAGTGTCCTGGTAAATCGAAAAATGAATCAAAGGGGACGAAACGGCTTCCATTGAAACGGGTACAATATACTATTACACCCTCTTTTGTTATCACGAAATCTAATTCTACTTCAGTACTCTTACACTCATGACATTTGCCTGTTATATCAAAGGGTATGAATCGAGGCGTCGAAAGCCTAGGACTAGAAACAATGATTCCGGTTAGGTTAATGTTAATTTCAACTTCGGGAAAAATTTTGGGATATTTCATTTTTGAATTATGAAATGTGAAATTTCATTCTTTATATACCCTTACTCCCTCTCATTAAGATTATACAAAAATATACTGTACAATTTTTAAAGGTATATGGTCCTATACCTTTAGAATCAAAAAGAGAATGGACCAAAAGCTAAGTGACTAAAAATAATGTGAATTTTGAGTCTGGGGTTTTGGCATTATGTTGCCGACTTGGGCGTTTGTTGCCGACTGGGGGGGTTCCATTACTACTCCTCTCTAAATTTCAAATAGATCTCTGAACCTCCAAAATAGCAATTTAGTTAACTTGTAATTATACTACATATGATTGTAATGAGAGATTAAAACTTTGGGGACTGGGAATTTTAGTTTTTTATGAATTTACAGGGTTGCCCGATTCATATATCTGGAAATTTTCGGGTTGGGTCGGGAATGTTAGGAAAGTTGAATTTAAGAACCCCGAGGTTACTCTAGAATCGACTCGATCCCAGGAGCCTTCTCTGAATCACAGCACCACGTATTATAGGATGGCTCGTGATAACGCAACCCGACTTTTTTCTCAACCACGTAGCATCCCTTGTTCCGATACACGTTCTGAATCTAAATATCCAGGGAGTTCATAGATCCACCAAACCTAGGAATGGTGAATGCGTAATTCACTCCTTTTCTTGATTTTTCTAATCATGCAATAATTCCTTTACCCTTTCTAATTAATTTAAATTTTCTTTTTAAAGAAAACCAATAGATTTATTTGGAAAAACAACACTATTAACTACCCACCAATTCGAAAAACCAAAAAGTTTATTTGAAGAAAAAATGCAAAAACAGGCATTTCAATTACAAGAAAAAGCTGTTAATAGACAAAATGAATTTAATAATGAAATTAATAATTTAAATAAAACTAATTTGAGAAGAAAATCTGCAACAAATGAAAGTAGGGAATTAATTTAGAATAGATTCTTTGAGTTTAGAAAATTAAGACATTTTTGGGGTTAAAAAATTACGTTATAATGGGGGACGGGGAAGAAAATAAAATTTAAGAATATCCTTTAAAATGCCTCTTGCTTCTTCACAAATCCAATAGTGTCCAATCAAAGTAAAAATGTAGATACTTATTTTAAATTGAGAGTTTCAAATTTTGGGAGTATTTAGGAATGGGGTTTTGGATTGAATAATTTTTGGCTGGAATTTTAAATTAAAATTTTAATTTAACTAAAATAGATGCAGATTTAGCCCAAACATTTGTAAACCAAACACAAAAACCTTACCAACAAGAACAACGTTATGCTGCACATATTTCTTTAAGTGGGAGACAATCAACAGCTAGTTGTGAATCTGGAAATAGGTAAGGAAGTGGAAATTAATTTAAATAAAAAAGGAGAGATTTTATGAGCTTAAGTGTCACAAAAATTTTAAATTCTATGAAAAATCTCTGATTTTTCTAATTTTGTTGGTTTCCGGATTTTATTTTTAGTTTTTCATTCCATCTTTAATTTTCAAATATTCTTCTTTAAGGTTCTTCGGTTCTGAATAGAACCGACCAAAGAACCGAGGATTTTTCTGTTCAGTTCTTCGGTTCGGTTTCGGATATCTGAAGAATTTTCAGGAACCGACAACCCTATCTTTATTGTTTTGCCTACAAAATCTTTCAATATTTAATAAGACCGTCTTTTATCTCCTTTTATCTTATATCCTCCTCCTCCTCCCTCCCTCTATTCTTCATTATTCTCTTTAAAAATCAAAAAAATCCCAATTGATTGTAGAATATTGACTGATTCTCTTTACTAGTTATTTTGTTGTAGATAAATAGTAAGTACTTACTAGCTAGTTTATTTATTTTATTATTTAATATTCTCGGGAATAACCGGCTGTTTTTAGAGAAAGAAAGAAAGAAAGAAAGAAATGATTTTTGAGAAGAAAAAAAATATTTTTTTAACAGAGAAAATTGACAGATGAATTTTCTTCCTATCCGCCAGTTGCACTATACAACTAAAATTTTATATTTTAGAAAAAAAATTTTCCTTTTTGTTTCAAATTTTTTAATGAAACAATTTAATTATTTTTAAACAATTAATTCTAATAATAAGGCACTCTTTAATAGGAAGACAATAATAATAAAATAAGCCTTTCTAAAAAAAGTTAAATTAAGTGTTAGAGCTGTGAAATTTTACAAGGATATCCTCATTACTGTTATCTAACAATTCTGAAAATTTCAGAATTTTTGATTTAATATTTCAGAAGTTATAAGCAGAAATATCAGAATTTTCTCAAATTTTTGACATTTCTGTCCACTTTTCTGACCAGAATTTCTGAAATATTAAACCAAAAATTCTGAAATTTTTAGAGGTGTTAGATAACAGTATTAGGTATATCTGTACAAAATTTTATAATTTTAGGTTACCATTTGAATTTTTTATAAGCGCTTGATTACCCCTTACCAAGCAAGTTTTATTATTAAATATTTTCTATTACAAATTTTCTAAAAAATTTTTTTTTAATTTTTTTTATTTTTTATAAAAATAAATTCCATTACTAATCAGACTAGCATTTATGAAAGTATATTTATTTTATAAAAATATGTTGACTACAAGGCTGTCCTTTCATTTTCCTTCTCTTTGTGTTATGTCCATTTCCCCCCATTCTAAACTGTTTTTGTTGTTTTGCTTAATTTATCCACCAGCCGATAAATTTCTTTTTTGTCCTTTTCCCATTACTCTTTAGCCTTGTCTAAATATTTTTTGTTCATTTTTCTCTTCTAAAATATTTTCTTTAATTTTTTAATAATTTTTAATCTTTTAATTTTTGCAAATGGGAAGATTTTTAACTCGATCATTCCTATGTTAGCTTCTATAAAATTGTCAAACGAGTGACTAAATCCATATAATTTTGTACAGATATACCTAATACTGTTATCTAATAATTCTGAAAATTTCAGAATTTTTGGTTTAATATTTCAGAAATTCTGGTCAAAAATTAAACAAGAATGTCAGAATTTTCACAAAATTCTGATATTTTTGGCCATAACTTCTGAAATATTAAATCAAAAATGCTGAAATTTTCAGAATTGCTAGATAACAGTATTGAGGATGTCTCTGCAAAATTTTATGTTTATTCGTTCTCTTTTGATTTTTTACAATTATTTTTTCAGACCTTACCATCTCTCAAAACTTTACACTACATCCAAAGTCCTCTTTTATTTTTTCTTTAAAAAACAATTTTTATTTTCTTTTTATTTTTCTAAAATTTATTTTTCCAATTTATTTGTGACACTTAATTGAGACAAAAATCCTAAAATAGAAATTTGATATTTTCGTTAAAAAAAAGCCAGCTGACCTTCACACACACACAACCAACAACTCTTCTTTTTTTTAATGTGTCCTTTTTTGCTTTAATCAACAAAACTTTTATTTCTCTCATATTTTTTGTTATTTATTAGCAAATTATTTAAACAAAAATATTTTTTTTTCTAAATTTTGCAAAAATTAATTTTAAAAATATTTTAAATGAGTCTGCTGCTGATTAAAGCTTAGAACCCCAAACAAACAAAAAATAATTTTCCAGTTAAATTAGTCAGCCATTAGTTTGCTAATTGGGTCGGGAGTATTTTTTTACCTTATTGATGTGAATTTCTTGTTTTTATGTAAATTTTAAATAGGCGGCAATTCTGAAATTAATAAGTCGACGGATGATCCCAAATGAAGTGTTCCTGGGTTTTAGTGATGTTCGGGTATTCGGATACCGACTCCCGACTCGGGAAAATTTTCCGACTCCTGAGGTCATTTCCCGACCCGACTCCCGTTTCCCGATTCCCTAGTTTTTTTCCTCTCCCGAACATCACTACTGTGTTTAGGATACAAAATATATTACAGAAACTAACCCCAAGATTGAAAAATTAAATTTAAAAAATTTCAAGAAACAAATATTTCCATAATTTTCTTATTTCGATCCTCTTACATTTTTAATAATTAAAAAAATTTATCCTTTATTTTTAGCGGCTCTTTGGACACAGAAAATCGCCAAATGATAGACCAAGCCCGCTATAAACACAGCCAACAAAGAAATAAATTTAAAGAAGCTATAGACTATTTAGACCATATTTTTGAAGATTTTCAAAGGGAATCTGATTTAAATCAACAACAAAAAGAAGAAATTAAATTAGAGAAACAACAGATAAATATGCCCCAACAAAAACGTCTAGAAGTTGTGTCCTCTGTTAGACCCGGAAATGTTAAATCTGCAAAGGAAGCGTTTGAAAAGGTGGCTGCTGCTTTGGCTAATGAAAGGAGTAATTCTAAATTAAAGTGAGAGAGAAATTTAGATTTTAATTTGGAAAATTTTTAAAAATAAAATCCTTCGAAAGATTAAATCCTTTTTTAATGGAAAGATAAAATCCTTCCAATTAAAGACAAATCTCAGAAATTAAAGCTGAAAGCACAGTACATAACAGGGGTAGGCTTAGACTCGTATCTCGTGAATCTCTTATCACGTATTTTTTGGGACTCGGCCCACTCCTGGTACATAAAATAAAATTTTAGGGGGAATCCGTTGATAGAAATTTAAGTAATTTTATGAATTTGATGATATGTACAAATATGAAAATAACTATTTTTAAGATGATTTTTGTGCCACATAGATCCTTAATTAATTTTTAAAATTAATTAAAATTTAAAATTATTTTTAATAAAAATAATAATTCGAAAGGCTCTAAAGAAAATGTTTTAGGATTTTATTCAGTTTTTTTTTAATTTTTCGGAATTAATTCAATTATTTTTTTAAATATTTTCCTATATTTTTTTTTAATTTTTCTAATTAAAAAATATTTTTCCCCTTATTTTAGACACATAAATATTTAATTTTTCTCGAGATTTACACGATTGTTTCATATGAGAGAAAATTTAATCTTTTGACAAAAAAAGAGTGACTAAATTATATCTATATTTAGACAAAAAATAAAGGAAGGGAAGGAACAGAAAAAAAAGTTTTTTTAAAGAAAGTACACAATTGTTTGGAGGGGAAAGGGGTAATTTAGAGAAGAAAATGGCCTTTCTCTTTTTTTGGCTAATTTTTAGATAAACAAAAAAAATATTTTAAAAGGGTAAAAGATCATTTAGAAATAAATTTTTTTGTCAAAAATTTATTAAAAAAAAAGAAAAGAGACGTTTGGAGGTCTTTTAATAGCATTGAGATACTTTTGGATTGCATAGCGCTTAATTTTTTATTTATAAAACCCTAAAATGTTCATTAACTTATTTCAAAATTTCAGAATTTTTGGTTCAGAATTTCCAAAGTTTTGGTCAAAAAACACGAAAAATCTATCGGTTTTAAAGCTTTTTTTAACCATTATTCTCTTTATAATGGGCCAAAAATTTTAAAATTTTTAGAGAAATTAATTAATACTTTTGAGGATATCTATGCAAAATTTCAATATTTTTGGAATTATTTTAGCGGTTTTATTAAAGAAAATATGAGAGATAAAGCGAATGAAGTCTCTTCTCTTTATTTTTTTAACTTGAAATTTTTTATCCTTAATTGGATTTCCTTTTTTTCTAAATTTAATTTAGATTTTATTTTTAAATTTAAAATAAATTTAATACAAGAACTTCTCAATTTCTTGAAACTTTTTTCCATTTTTTAAATTCATTTGCTTCCCTTCCCCCTAAAACTATATAATTTTAAAACAAACATTTAATATAAACATTTTTATAGAAAACACCAAACATCTCAACAACAACAAAAACAACAACAAACTCAACAACAACCTACTGTTGTTTTAAAAAGACAACAATCATACCCTTTAATGGTTGTTCAACGTTCAACGCAGCAACAACAATTTCCTTCTGAAATGAATGCAAAGTGAGGAGAAGTTTAGGAATAAATTTAGTTTTTTAATTCTGATTAAAATCAGAATGTAATTCGAACATTCATTAATTAATTTTATTGAAATCAGAATTTCATCCAAACATATAAGCATTAATTTTATTTATTAAATTCAGAATTTTATTTAAACATAAAAACATTAATATTAAAATATCTCATTTTTCAGAATCCCTTCTGTCATTCCCCCACAATCAATTGTTGCTGAAAATGGAAGTAACAAAAATAATTTGGAGGAAGAAGAAATTTCAGTTGCCGAAACAATTGTATTGCCAAGTAAAAATACTTCGGATCGATTAGATTTTACAAGAAATTGGTTAACTAGTGGAGGTTCTGATATGAGCGGATGGGCAGAAAGTGGTGGTGGAGGCGAAAATTCTGTTCCAAAGGTTGGAAAAAAATAATTCTCGCTTAAAACTTCCTTTTTTCTCATTTTTGTTAGCCATACAGCGCAAAAGGAGGTACCATCCAAGACGTAAAAGATTCGGACGAACACTCGCTGGGAAGTTGTTCAGCAGAGGTTGCCGCAATTAACGCCCCCAATGAAAGGAGATTAAAACAAAAAGAAAAACAACAACAATTAATTTTAATTAAAAATCAACAACAACAAAAACAGCAACTAAACAAACAACAACAAATACTTCCGATTAGACAAAAACAGCCCCCAACACAACAACAACAATGTTCGTCAGCAACCTCAACAGCAACAACAAATAATGTCCCGCCCCCTCAAATATCTGTTGCTGTGCAACCTGCTGCTGTGCGTCCACAACCTTTTAGACCGCAACTTGGAATATTGCCTGCTTCTTTGGGTGTTAGGTAAAAGAAATTAATTTTAATTGATATGTAAGAAATATTTATTTTCAGCGGTCAAATGCACAAAGCGCCTTCTATCGAACAAATTCGATTTCTTCGAGCTGCTTCACAAGTAAATCAGAATTAAATTAAAACATTATTTTTAATAAAATCAGAATTAAATTAAAACTTTATTTAATAAAGTCGAAATTAAATTAAAACTATGTTTATCAAAATCAGAATTTAATCCCAACAATATTTTTAATAAAATCAGAATTTAATTAAAACTATGTTTATCAAAATCAGAATTCAATCCCAACATTATTTTTAATAAAATCAGAATTTACTTAAAACATTGTTTATTTTAAAAGGACTGTCCCCCAACTAGTATGGCTAGCTCAATTCATTCATACGAAGGCTTCTTTAATTTCCAACCTGGTGCTGCCAGTTGTCTTTCCACACATTCATTACAAAGAATAGGTTTTGGAGGTGGTGCCTTTCATTCATATACCCCAAACATTGCCCAAATGCAACAAAAACAAATTAGTAAACAACAACAGAAGCAACAACAATTAAATTATATAAATTCACAACAATATTTAAAAGGTTCTATTCAATCATTGCCAGATTCTGCTCTTTGTACTGCACCAAATAATAATAATTTAATTTATTTGCCTGGGGAGGTATCTAATAATAATGTTTATTTAAATAACAACAACAATTATCAACAAACATATTCTCAACATTTAAACAAAACACCAAATAATTCTGATTATAATCAGCAAAAACAACCAAAGAGATTTATCTCGACCAAAGAAAACAAACAAATTCCAACTGATCATTCTTTGGCAATTGATGCACTTGTTGCTGAATTGGAATTGGATACTAATTTAAATGTAATGAACATTGTTTTTAATTAAATCAGAATTAGATCTGAACATCCTTTTTGATAAAACCAGAATTTAATCTGAACATTTTTAATAAAACCAGAATTTAATCTGAACATAGTTTTTAATTAAATCAGAATTTAATCAAAACATTGTTTCTAACGAAACTAGAATTAATCAAAACATCTTTTTTTAACAAAACCAGAATTTAATCTGAACATAGTTTTTAATTAAATCAGAATTTAATCAAAACATTGTTTCTAACGAAACTAGAATTTAATCTGAACATTTTTCTAATAAAAACACATGTTTAGATTTGCTTTTAATTCTGTTTCTTAATTTTTTAGACTTCAAATGATAAACGTCGTTCTTTCCCAACAATTCAAACAGAAGTTAATAATCAAAATGCTTCTTCTAATAATCGTAATTTAACAAATCGTCCAGCATTTGAAACAATTAATCAGGAAAGAATAAACCCATCAAAAGTGGATGCTATGGCTAAAATGTTTGATAAACAGACAAATAAAACTAAAACATGTAAGTTTAATTAAATTAAAAATCAGAATCAGAATTTAGTTTAAACTTCTTTTACAAACTCAGAATTAAATCCAAACATCGGCTTAGCAAATCAGAATTAAACCAAACCTCGGCTTAGAAAATCAGAATTTAATCTAAACATCGTTTTATTAAATCAGAATTTAAACAAAAACTTTTTCTCTCAATTTCAGCCAATCCTCTAAGTTTTACAACAAATGGAGATTCTTCAACAAATTGGTCTCGACGTAATACTAGCCAAACAATTCAACAACAACAGCAACAAAAACATGTAGAAAGAGGTCCATCACTCAAAACAACATCAACGAAGTTTCAAATAAAAGAAACACCCCCAACACCTCCCCCACATTCTTCTAAACATTTAAAACAACAACAAACAACAACAATCTATAAACAAAGGCAATCACCCCAATTTGTAAAAGGAACAAAAGCTGGAGTTGGTGTTTGTGGTGATAGAAGGTATGTTGTTGGGAATAGACAACAACAACAAAACATTAACAATAATGATGAATCAGAACAACAACAACAATTTAATACTAGCAATGGATTTTATGATAATGTGCATCAACACCATCAAGTAATTAAAATCAGAATAAGAAATGAACATTTTATTATTAAAATCAGAATTTAATCACAACTTTTATTTTTTAAAAACAGAATTTTAATTTAAGAATCAGAATTTAATTAAATTTATTCTTTTATTTTAGGGCTCACCACCACCTCCTCATCCTTCTAATTATCATCATTTTCGGAATGAAGATATAATTGATTGTTCTTCAATGTCTAGTCGTGAAATTGAATTACCCCCACAACCTCCAAATAATAATGGAATTAGTAATGTACCCAAAACTGCTGGAAAAAGGATTGGCCAACTTATTAAGAAATTGGGGAATAGTGTTGGAGGTGATAATAAACAACAAAATGGTATTTCTGCTGTCTCTACTCTTTCATTAAATCGAGTAAATTTTTTAATTTTTTAATGTTAATTGGTGAAAATATCCAGAATTTTTGCTTGTTTTTGCACAAAATTTTAGAAGAATCCGGAAAATATACTCAGTCATTATTTGGAGAAAATTTTAATAGAAAAGGAGGGGCACTGGTTTTTTGTAGTTAGGAATTAAGTTGAAATTAAGTAAGTTCAAAGTTGCTCTGGTAGTTTTAATTTATTTTTTAAGTCTGCCCATGAACAACTTCCTACTGTTCGTAATGGTCTTGGAGTAAAAGAAGAAATATTAACAAAAAGCAACAGTTTAAGTAGTGAAAGGTGGCGATCCCAGGCAATGAATCAACAACAAAATGTTGCAGACAGCAGTTATGATTTAGATGAAGGTGGGAACACTTGATTTAATTTTTAAAGATTTTTCAAAATTTCTTTAGATAAATCCCATGCAAGTGGTGGTTTGGGCAATCGGTTAAAGCAAACAATCCTTGGCGGCATGGTAAGACGACGGGTGCCTACTTGACCAACAGAAAAAAACCTATAATTTTCTACCCTTCTTGTTTGTTGTTTTTTTACCCAATTTTCTTTTTCCTTTCTTAATCATGCTCGAAGAATGCTTAAAGTATTTTTCAATGCCAGTCTTTAAAATTTTTCATGCCTCATTTTATTGAAGCAATCTTTTTTCTCAAATTTCTCTTTCTCCTATATTTCTATTTTTGTTTTCTTTCGAAAAATGTATTGAAAACGCATTGTATGTTAAGGCACAATAAAAGGATAAATTTAAATTTTGTGACTTTTATAACAAAGGGTTGACAAACAATTCAAAAATAAAAGTTGAATAAATATTTTAAAGAATTTATAAACTTGATGTTTCCAATTCCATGCTCTCCGACTTTTTTAAATTTGAGGAAATACAAAAATTAAGGAGCAAAGAAAGAGGAACACCAAAAAATTCCCCTTAAGATCAGAAAATCATAATTTAATTTTTTTAGAGAATAAAGGTGTTGGATTGGCAAAGAAAACATTAAAATAAAATTGTAAGGCAGAAAATCGGTTTAACTTTTTGAAAGTCAGTAATTCTTCCCTTTCAATTTTTCAGAATTCTTTCGCATCTTATTGATATTCTTTTCTTCTCCCTTTAATTCAGAATCTTCATTTTCGAACAGTTTGTTGGTCCCGTTTTGACTGCTGTTGGAAGAACTATTCTCTTCTTTAAAGAATTCTTCCAAATCTTCTGTCTTACAATTGATTGTTCCTTCTTGCTCCTCCTCCATTGAGGAATCAGTAATACAAATACTGAAATTGAAAAAAAATACTCCCGAATGAATAGTAGGCGGATTAACCCTCTAGACCCTTAGAAACATAAAACCCAAAAAGCGAAAAATGATTTCTAATTTTGAGAAGAAAAAATTTTACTTTAATTTCTAACACATTTCCAAATAAAAATAAAAAATATTAACTCTGATTTCTTTTGTCGAGTATGACGTCTGACATTTTGAAAATTATTATTGAGTGCCGGCAAGTAACGATACCTATAAAAAATATTTTTCAAATATAAAAATTAAAATTTTACGTAGTAAAATTGTGAGTTTCTGTAGGCGGCACCTTCTCAATTGTAACCACTTGAAAAAGTAAAATTTCCAAATTTTTAGTAATCTTTACCATGGTCCAGCACGGGCGAATGTAGAAGATCCTCAAAAGAAGCAAATCCTTGTTGAGATGCAACGACAATACCACATATTTTTGAAGATGCACTAAAAAATATTTAATTTATTTTAATTTTATCAAAAAAATCCAAACTATAATTCGTGGAGCACATCCGAACTTGCATAGTAGCCTCCACCTTTTCGCCACAACGCCTGATAAAGGCGCTCGCAGAATTGATCCCATGTACATGAAGAAGAGTGGCGGTCAAGGTGAGGGATGTAATTATTCCGAAAATCGTTTTGTAAGGCCATAACTAAATTTAAGAAAATTAATGTTGAAAGACAATTTAAATGTATTTATATGGCAGGTAAGATATATACCCTATAACCTTATGGGCAATATCTGCTGTTCAAAAATGGCAGATGCCCATAACCCGAAGACAAGAATTATTCTAATTTTCTACGAGCGAAATAATATAACATTAAAAAAAATAAAATAAACAAAACCTGACCTTCTACAAAGTAGCAAATTTAATTCTCTATCGAATTGTATCAATATTGTAAAAAATTGTGAGATCAGAACGCTGAGTCAGTCCAAAATTTGAAAATTCCTAGTATGGAGATAATTCTTTAACTAAAAACATTAAAAAAAATTTAAAAATAAATTTACTTCATTAAATAAAAAGTAGATAAAAACTTTAACTTAAATCAAATTAAAATAAATAATTTATTTAAACAACAAAAAACAATTTTTACAAATTAATTGAAAAATCGAAAAAAACTTTTTCTATTTAAATAGGTAAAACAGTATGTGCCATTTTTTGCGTTATAGAAGTTAAAAGGTGATGAAGCAATTGATCTGAACAATTAGCTATTTGTAATGTTTTTGGGTCTATTTGTGCTGATTTCCCGTCTACTTGTAATTCTATTATTGAATTTAAATTATTTTGTTGTGTTTCATTTGAAGTTCCTTCAGCCGTTTCTTTTTGTTGTGATAATATTGTTGTTAATTCCACCTTACTTTTAGGCCCACAAAGTTCGTGTAATGCACCCAAAAGAACTTTTTCAACATTTTTTTGTTGTGCTTGTTGATCTTGTTCTTCACATTTTGGTAAATCTGAAATTTTTTTTTGAAAATTAAAAAAAATTTGAAAATTTATTTTTACGTTTTTCAAGTATAGGATTAGTCTGTGCATGTAAAACAGCAGAAAGAACAGCATCTGCAAACATATCATTTACTGGATTTGACATCCATTCAATTATAACCAAATGTTGAGGTGAATAAAAGGAAATTAAAATTTCTCCCTAAAAATCAGAAAAATTTTATAAATAAAAACCAAAAAACCTTAAACATTTTCACTAAATGTGAAGGTTGTTGTTGTTGTGAATTGCTTCCTCCTTTCTTTTCTTGTTTTAAACTTTTCTTTTCACAACCTTCATCATCATTTTCTTTTTTAATTATTTCTTCAACAATAGTATCAGAAGATAGTTGTCGAAGATTATAAATTAAAACAGAAAAACTTCCATCATAAAAAACACTTTCACGTTGACTAAGTCGAGAATTGGATAATTCGGTATATGCTAAAGAATAAAATTTTATTAGAAAAGGAAAACTACTAAAAATCAGTTAAAGTATGGCCTCAAAAAATAATTTTAAATAAAAGAAAGTCAACTAAATATTTTAGCTCTTCAAACAAAAATAAATAAAATAATATTTCTAACTAACCATTTAAATCGTTTGGATGTAAAAGATGATAATTAAAATTACGACGAACAAGAATTCCACTCATTATACTTCCATCATTTGGTATATTCATTGCTAAAGATCCAACAACTTTTGCTGTTTTTTGGCCTCGGAAGAAAAGATTTACTGATTCTGTATTTCGTGGATTGTAAACCTTAATATAAAAATAAATTCTCGAATAATTTATTTTATGGATAGATTGGATGGGAGTGACGAGTAAAATTTTTAATTAAAAAACTTCCAACCTCAATTTGAAAATCAGTATCATCTTCATATTGTCTTTGTATTGCTGCCTTTAATCTATTCATTTCATTCATTTCTCCATGCACCAAAATCAGATTAGGTGGACGCAAAGCTCTTATAAATTCTGATGTTTGAATATAATCTGTATGAGCAGAAAAGCTGATATAAGCAACTTGTAATCTCATAGGTAATCTTTGACCATTTAAAGCGACAATTTCTTCTGGTTCTGAGAGAATATGCTTAAAAAATAATTTAGAAAAATAAAAATATTTTTATAAAATACCTTAGCAAGTGTTCCCTCCACACAATAACCAGCAATTATACAACCATTCTAAAAATAAAAATTAAAAATAAACATCCAAAATTTTCTTTTACTTTAGAATCTGTACACCAACTTTCAAAGAGTTCTCTACTCAACCCATTTTGTAAAAATCCTGGGCTAGCCAAAACAACACACGGACCAACATCATCGAAATGATCAATACCCTTCATTTAATTTTAAAAATAAAAACTAAAAATTTAAACCTTCAAATTAGAAACATGTTTAAACACAAAAGGGTTATTGATAGAAATTTGTCGCTGTATCCGTTGATTCATTCCACTAACAAACGTTTGATAAACTGCCATACACTTTTTTGCTAGGGAACTGGCATCTAAAAAAATATTTTTTGATTTTTCAAAAACTTAAAATATATTTACAATAAACAGGAATATCATGCAGTTCTGGATGTTGTTCCCAATATTCATCCAAAATTAAAAGCAATTCCTGTGCTCGTCCTAAAGCAAAAGCTGGAATTAAACAACGTCCACCTCTTGCAACAATTTCATGGACAGTTGAAGTAAATCGCCTTTCTCGTTCATCGCGACTTTCATGAATTTGTGTCCCATAAGTGGATTCCTTTAAATTTTTATGAATAATTATTTTAATAGGGCAGAGACTAAAGGGAGTGAAAAGCTGGAAAATTCAATAAAAAAAATTTTCCTTCCATTTTCGCCCATTATTAGAATTTTTGTTTGTAAAATTTAGAAGACTTTTATTTCTCAAAATATTTTAAATTATAAAAACATTACAGAAATTAACACATCAGGCGATACATTCGGCACCTCTGCTGAACACAAATGTCTATCCTCTAATCTCGAAAAATCACCAGTATAGAGGACACGTACACCAGCAATTTCTAACATAAACATACAGGCACCTAGAACATGTCCAGCAACATAACACCAAAATTTAATTCCATTGACTTCCTTTTGTTCGTGAAAATCAATCATCTTAAGTAAGTTTTTTTTAGTTATTCGACAAAAATCTAAAACCTCAATTTTGTCCATACTTCTCTCCAAATCCTCTTCTGTGTAAAGCATCCTTGTTTCTCCAGTTCCTCCACCTCCATATTTTGTAACCTTAAAAAGATTTTATTTAAATAAAATTTAAAATGAAAAAAATATAAACCTTAACAAAATCACCAATCATCATTCTATAAATTGCTTTTGTAGCATGAGTCATAAAACAACGACCACGAAAAGCAGTCTTTTCTAAAAGCCAAGGCAAAGCTCCACAATGATCCAAATGGAAATGGGTAATTAAAAGTAAATCGAGTTCTTCTACGTCAATAAAATCAACAAAAGGAAGAGCATCGACACCATGCATTCCCTAATATTTTTGTAAACAATTTTTGAAGTCAATGAAAATTACCGGATGGATGCCACAGTCGAACTAAAAATTTGAAAATATAAAGCAAAATATTAAATTGAGGTGGTTCCCAGGATAAGGTATGGCGGACGGAAACACTTGACAACACACAGACTACTAGTGGACCAGTTACATATAGAAAAACCTCAAATTAAAAATACTAACCATAATCCTTTTGCCTTTGAATTGCATGTAATGGCAAGAACGCCCAACCTCTTGGCCAGAACCTCTAAAAATAAAGTAAATTAGATAAATTATTAACTAACACATACGCACAATGGCATAAAAGTTAAAATATCCGAACTCTCATCAGATGAAGTCATTCTACTAAATTGCAATTGATCAACAACTAGAAAGAAATTGTCCAAAGAAAAAAATAATAAAAATTTTTTGAAAAAACGAAAGAACATTAAAATATCAAGACCAAATTGAAAGAATAATCGGAAAGAATTTCAGACGTTTGAAACGAAAAAACCCCAAACTTATAGGCAAACTTTATCAAATAAAAAATATATTTGCCAAACAAATTTACGAATAAAATTTCATTAATCATTAAAACTACATTTAAAATATACTTTTTTAGAGAATGTCTTCTAAAAATTTCTTTTCATCTTTATGCATCCATCTAACCAGACTTGGAAGCAATATGGCTAATCAAGTCAACAATACGGCAGGAATACCCAAACTCGTTATCATACCAGCTAACCAATTTAACGAAGTGCGGGTTGAGAACCATAAGACTGAAAATTTAAAAAGGTCAAATATAAGCTTTGAAATTGACAAAACTTACGCCTCGGCGTCGAAAATAGACGAATGAGTGTCTCCAAGAAAGTCGGTAGAAACAACCTAAAATTAACAAAATTCAAATACAATTGTATTGAAAAATGAAAAACCTGGTCCTCAGTATATCCAAGAATCCCTTTAAGTTTTCCTTCCGAAGCAGTCTTAATTGCATTCTTAATAGCCTCCTTAGTTGCTGGCTTCTCCAAACGAGCAGTCAAATCAACAACAGAAACGTTTGGCGTCGGCACACGGAAAGCCATTCCGGTAAGTTTCCCATCCAATTCAGGAATTACCTTAAAGCAAAGGAACATTATTCATTCAAAATTAATAAAATACCTTTCCAACAGCCTTCGCAGCACCAGTACTTGCCGGAATAATATTCTGGCCTGCGCCACGACCATCACGCCACTGCTTGCCGCTAGGGCCTGAAAAATAACTTTGATGAGAGACCCAACTAAAAAAATATAAACCATCAACAGTCTTCTGTGTAGCAGTAACAGCGTGGACAGTAGTCATTAAACCTTCAATAATGCCAAACTCGTCATTGATGACCTTTGCAAGAGGAGCAAGACAATTAGTAGTGCAGGAAGCATTACTTTAAAAGAAAGTTAAAAAGATCAAAGAAACAAGAAAACCTAATGATATGATGCTTGGAAGGATCATATTTGTCCTCATTAACACCAACCACAAACATTGGAGCATCAGCAGATGGAGCGGAGATAACCACCTTCTTGGCTCCGCCCTTCAAGTGAGCAGAAGCTTTCTCGGTAGTCGTAAAAACTCCAGTCGACTCAATGACAAACTCAGCTCCAGAACCTGCCCAGTCAATCTTTTCAGGTTCTTTGCTAAAATTGAGAGATTGAATTTAAACAAGTCAAATTAAAACTCACAAGTTGAAAACTTTGATAGTGTGAGTAGACTTTCCCTCCTTCTCAACTACCAAATTTCCGTTGCTTGCTTGAATCTTTCCCTTAAAACGTCCGTGGGTGGAATCATAGTTGAACATATAGACCTAAAAGTTACTCAAATTATTAATACAAAGTCTCCCCTAAACCATATAGTCAAGATCAATGAACGGGTCATTGACAGCAACAACTTGGACAGTATCCTTCTCAACCGCTGCACGCAGGGCAAGACGTCCAATACGTCCAAATCCATTAATTCCAACCTTTGGCTTCATTTTAGAAATTATATTAAACAATTTTAATATTTTTTATCTGAAAAATAAACGATTTAAATCATAAAATGTGAGTTGAAACGAAAGAAATATTGAGTAAACCTCTAATATTTTGGCCTTAACCAAGTCTTCACTTGTTAGTTTAATGTTTACCTATTTCCTATAGGACACATTCGCCCCAATAAACAAAGTCTCTGTCATATTTTCGCCTTCTCTCAAGGCAAGTCACAATATGTTACGTGTATAAACATCGATTTCAAAAGTGAGGGACTACTTACCACAACGTTCTTTGGTCTCAAAAAATATTTAGTAGTCCCAAAAAATGTTTTTTAAACAAGGAACTTTTAAGTCAGTGGAATATGGAAGGGAAAAGATTAAAAGAATAAATGGAAGTATGTGGAGTACACAAAATAAAAATAAAAAAAATATAAAGAAGTTGACGGCAAAACCAAAAAATTTTCTTTCAAACACCCTAGGAGATTTTCGATAATCTCAGAAATTCTCCTTATATACTGTGGAAATTAAATAACAAAACGCCAAAAAAGGAAACGCCAAAGCATCGCGTAAATTTTGTATTTGAATTTCTTCTGCAAAACTATTTTATCAATTTACATTTTTCTTCATTAAATTTTTATAAATAAATTTGCCTTCTTTAGTAAAACATTTATTTATGTTAGAACAGTTTTTTGCACATTTTTTTCATTTTCTTAAGATAACCTTTGCTATCAAAAAATGTTCCCAAACTTTTAATCGATCATTTCTTTTTATGCTAGTGTTATCTCTTAAAATATATTTATTTAAATGGTCCGACTTTTTTTAAGATTGAAGAAGAATTTTGTAAATCGCGCGTTTCTTATCAATTTTTATTAAACGATAATTTTATGTTAACTTTTTAATTTTTTTTTAATTTTTAGGTGAAATTTAATTAAAATTGTTCAAATTTACGTTAATCTAACCATTAAACTAACAACCTTTTTAACTTGGAAACTTGCTTTTGATGGTCCTCACAGACTATTTCCATGAAAATCCGGCCAGTTCTGTTCCTTTTCGACTTTGTATTGATGGAAAATGGATTCTTGTTGATGAACAACTTTTAAGGGCACATCCTGGGGGAGGGGCAATGCTTGCCTATCGAAATTTGGATGCAACTGCTGTGTACAGAGAATTTTTTTCAATAAATTTTTTCAAAAATTTTTAGTTTTCATGCTTTTCACGCCGATTCAAAGCTTGCATATAGCTGGTTGAGAGAATTACGGGCTAAACAAACGACTGTGGATTCTCTGGAAGGGAATGGCATTGTACACGATTTGACAAACGGAGAACAAAAGGATGAAAATGAGGAAAAGGTGGATTCTTGTTGATGAAATTTGGATATTTAATAGTTTGGAAGTCGCCCCCCCCCCTCCTCCCTTTTTTCGCCGTTTCCCTGACCATTATAAGTCTTTTTCTTCGAGCTTGGTCGAATGATACCAAGATTGGCTAGATCTGATGATTCTTACCAAAATTATGAAGCCAAATCCTCGCTGGGAAAATTTTTTGTGCCACTGCAAGGGGATAAAATAAACGGTCAACACTTTGTTCACTTAAGTTAGTTTTTGTTGATTTAAATTCATTGAAAAAAAGGGCGACTTCCAAACTATTATCGAAATTTACTTGAAAAATAAATTTTTCTCAACAAGAAATTTTCTTCTTATTGTTAGACTGATCTCCACGAAAAAGAAATTAAAAAGCGTCTTTTAAATGTTAATATGGGAAAATTTGAATTAAATTCAGAGGAGAGCGAAAAGGTTTCTTTCAATTAAAATTTTAAATTTAAGTAATTTTTAAAAAAAGATTTGCCAGTCATTTTCAAGATTAAAAATTCAAGTTAGAGAAAAGGGGTTATTTAAAGCAGATAATAGCTATTTTGCCAGAAAATTTATTGAAGCAATTGGTCTCATTTCTTTTTCACTTTTTCTACAATCTAAAGAATATTTTGTATTATCTGCACTTTTTATGGGTTTGGCATGGCAGCAATTGGGGTGGATGATACATGAGGTTTTTTTGGATTTTTATTTTGGGATCTTAGATAATAAAAGGACATGAATAGGCTAATTTTTGGGTAATTTTGCTGGCTTAAACGTCTCTCCAAAATAATCGTTTCATGGCAATGTCTGGATAGTTTGAAAATATCTTTCTTTGATTTTTACTTATTATTTGATTCTTTAGAGTATAGCCTGAAGTCATATAAGGTTAAGTCAAAAGTCATATTAACTCACATTAAGTCATATCCTTAAGTCATATCATCACCCTTAATATTATCCTCAAGGGAAATTTTTTCTGATTAATTTTTTTAATTTTTAGTATGGTCATCAACAACATTTTAAGGTTTATTTCTGCCTTCATTTTATTTTTAAATTTAATTTTTTAAAGAATCATTGGTGGAATGATTGTTGTGGTTATGTTTGTGGAAATTTCCTTCAAGGCTTTTCTCTAGCAGGGTGGAAGAATCAACATAATGTACACCATGCTGCCACAAATATAGATGGTAGAGATGGAGATTTGGATTTACTTCCTTTATGGGCTACTGTTGGAACACATTTGATGGTTTTTTAATATTTTTTAAAATTTATCAGAAACGAGGTACCTAACAGCATTAAACTGTTCTATAAGGAGAAAAAAAAGTTACTCATGTCAGTCTGTAGAGCACCCGCATAGGTATAAGTAGGGTTGGTCCTCGCTCCTGAAAGTCGGGGAATTTAAGAAATTTTTTGAAAGTTCCCCGTCCCACTACCGTGGCGCTACGTCCCCGAAAAACTTTCCTCGTGCCCCCCCCCCCGTCAGGGACCAACCCTAGGTACTTATAAGCATGGTCAAGTTAGCAATGTTAGCGCTGTGCATGCCCATTGGCTAAACTTTTTCAAACCCTTACTTGACAACTAGGCAATCTACAGCAGTATGAGCAGAAATTTTTTTAGAAAATTAATTGAAACCTTTACCTCGTTTTTACAAAAAAAAATTAAATTTAATTTTTACTCATTTTCTCTCACTTTAAGAGATTAGAAGGCAATTCCTTATGTGCTCGATTAATTCCTTTTCAACATTTATATTGGGCTTTTGCACTTCCTTTGCTTCGTCTTTCTTGGCTTTTACAAACTTTACAATTTGTTTTTAGTATGCAATCAAGTTTTTATAATGTTTGGAATTTTTTTTTGAATTAAGGAAATTTTTTTAAAGATTTACAGAGAAAGAGCTTTAATAGAACAATTAACAGTTATTGCTCATTGGACTTTAGTATTGACTCAATATTATTTTTTACCTAATTATCAGGTAATTTTTGAACAAAAAATAAGTAATTTAATACATAGAAGGTCAAGATTAAATTGTGAATTTAATAATAGTAAAATTTGCACAAAAAATTGACAGAAAATATTCTAGGAACTTTTTTTTAATTTGATGAAGATCTCTTGACTAAATGTAAAAAATAAAAAATCCGTTATACTTTAATTTCTGTATAATGCTCTAATATCTAAAACGTCTAATTATTTTTCTGCGGCTTTTATCAGCTTGACTAGGCTGTCGGTTCCGAACAGAAGAACTGAGGATTTCATTCCGAAGAATTTTCAGGAACCGACAATAGGTTTCAGAGGTGGGTCGGAATTCCGATTTCCGACACCTCTGACTGTTCCGACTCGCCTCTGCTAGGTTTGATGCTTTTTGAGCTTTTCGATGTCAACCGTTTTTCAGTTTTTTAAGGAAAGATAAAATTAAAAATTCAGAGATCCTAAAAAATTCTTTTAACCCCTAAAAATTCCAATAATCATCTAAGTTCTCAATTTAAAGGTCCGTCTTGAATATTTTTTAATTTCACAACTTTTTGCTGGATTTTTACTATCACATGTAGTCACTTACAACCATTATTCTACTGACAAATTTCCACGTAAAAAATCTCTAAAAATCTTTTATAATTAAAAAAAACTTTAAAGATAACGACCCAATTCTAAGTAATTATGCTTGTCTTCAACTTTACACAACTCGAAATATGAGGCCGGGTTTGATAATTGATTGGCTTTGGGGTGGATTGAATTATCAAATCGAGCATCATTTATTTCCTACAATGCCTAGACATAATCTTAAAAAGGTAGAAGGAAATTTTAAATTTTTAATGTTGAGAATTTGCTGGTATTTGTAGACTACCAGCCATTTTTGTGGACATTTCTTTGTTTCTTTTTTGTGATTTTTTTGACACAGGCGGAGAGCAAAAAATTCGTTGAGATTGGATCAAGACGAGATCTCGAACAGAAATCTCAGTTATCGATAATCGATATTTTTCGAGATATCAATTCTCGTACGACCCTTCCAGTCCGGTCTTTTCCTGTCTTTTCTAGTTTTCGGTCTTCCGGTCTTCTCTTCTTCTTCTCCTCCCAATCCTGTCTTTAGTCAAAACCTTCAGCCTCGGGGAGTCTTGGACAAGCCCTGGATAAAATTTAAATATCCAAATGTTCAACGTTAATTTTTTTTAATTTTTTAGGTAATGCCATTAGTCAAAGAATTTTGTGCTAAAAACAATTTGCCTTATATGGTAATTCTTCAAAATTAATTTTTTTATTTAATAATTTTTATTTAAGGTAGACGATTATTTTACCGGTTTCAAATTAACTATAAAACATTTACATAATGTTGCTGATATTGCTAGTGAATTTTTCCAACGGAAATTGAGTGGAGGATAATTAACTAGCTTTTTATTTTTTTAAATTAAATAAACGGGAATTAAAAAGTAATGGAATAATCTTTAATAGAAAATAATTTATTTAATTCTTTAATACATATTTTGTACATGAACGCTTGCTTTTCATTTTAATCTTCTAAATTAGGGTAGCACCCCGTCCCCCGAAGCTCCAATCCGAACCCCTAAGGCTTTACCCCGGCAAACACTGATCCACGACGATCCCGCCGCCGAAGGCTCGGGGTACTACCCTATCTTAAATTATAACCAGTACAAATACTGATATAATCCCTTCTGGGTCTTCAATTAAAAATAATCGGGTCCTTAAATTTAGTCTCCTAGCCAGACCGGACTGAGGCAAGGAACAAAAAATTTAGTTCTCGTAAATCGTTATTTTTTGAGATGTCGATTCTCATTTCTCTGAAGAACCTACTTGTCCGGTCTCGTCTATACTGTTCCGGAAACAATTCCAAACTTAAAAATGATGGGGAAGGCTCCAAAAATTGATAAAAAAATTTTATTGCATTTATTTTTAAAGTTAATTGTTTTTGTTTTTAATTTTATTTTTATGCAAATTTTTTGTTTTCGATAATAAAAAAAAATAATAAACAATCCAAAATGCGAGATTAACCTTTGTTATTTGAAAACCATCAAAAAATAATTTGGCAAGAATTTAAAAATAAAAAATTAAAAATATAAAAATTGATCTTTTAAAAGTTGGTCTTTTGGGTATTTAATTTTTGGCCAAATTCTTTTTTCCATTTTTTAGACCTTTTTGGTTTGTTTATTGAAAGAATTTTTGGTTTAAAAAAATAAATATTGATGATTGAGAAAGAAGGGAAGGGAGGGGAATTTTTTATTTATTTATTTTCCACGACAGAATTTTGTTTTGTTGTCTTTCTCGATTTTTATTGGCATTGGAAAAAGATAGAAAAGAAAAAAGACCCCCAAGAAAAAATTTTTGGAGCGAGCGTTTTTGTTTGTTTATTTGTTTGTCCCTTCTCTCTCTCCACACAAACAAACATCATTTTTCAAATAAACATAAACACTTCTCTCCCTTTCAGTTTTGTTTGTGATGAATAAGTTGAGAAAAAAAAGAAAAAAAATTTTTTTTCAAAACGGCTATGGCGTGTGTATTTTTATTCGATAGAAGGATGCCCTCTTTTTAATGTCGCTTACGAGACCTCTATTCTTTATGGTTGTTGTTGTTTGTCCAGTGTTTTGTTTGGAGGGGGTAAAATAAAAGTAAATAAAAGAGAAGAGAGAGAATGGGGGGGGGGGGGGGGCACGCCCAAGTAGGCGCGCGGCCAGGTAGGCGCAAAGCCATAATCACCTGAAAAATTTATTGACCTTAACAGTTTTGGTACCAATCTCTTTAGCTTGATGAGAGGAATCGTTTAATACCAAATTTGGTAATATTCGAAAATCTTGAAGCAATTTATGGCTTTGCGCCTACTTGGCCGCGCGCCTACTTGGGCTGTACCCGAGAATAGGTAATTGGGTAAACACACACACTATTTCTCTCTTTTCTCTTTTTCTCACTTCCACAAAATGAGAGACGGAAATGTGTGTGTATTTGTGTTGTTTGTTTATATATGAGCGAGTTAATCGAGAAAAAGAATTGTAAGGGGCCGGGGGAATGTTTACATTTTTATTTTATTTATTTTCTCCCCACACACTTTTCGTCATTAATTGACAGCCTTTCCTCTCTTTTCTTTTTTTCTCTTCTCAAAATTCTTTCGCCCTTTGCCCTGCTTCAGCTTTAAATATTTTGTTGTTGTTTAACCATTTTTCTCTTCAAATAAACACAAATATTTTTATTTATTGTCACATTTTTTGTTTTACGCTGTTCGAATTCTATACTTTTCTTCAGTCAAATTAATTCTCTCTTTCACTTTTTTCTAGCTAGTAAACAACTACGGCGTTCACAAGTTCTTTTATAGTAGTCCTTTCTGTCGGAAGGAATAAAGGGGAAAAAATACTTTTTGTGGTCGGTTGAGGGAGGGGGAGGGTGAGGGGGACCCTTCTTTCTCCTTTTGATTTTTTTGTTGTTTGACATTTTACCTAAACAAAACAGTCAAAAGACAAGGTAGAGACAAAATATAAAAATGTTTTTTGTTTGTCATTTGTCCAACGTCCCACATCTCCCCCCACATCTCCCTTCTAGGTTTTTTAGTCATAGGGTGGTCTACAAATAAGAAAGCAAAAAAAGAAAAAAAGAGAGAAGCCTTTCCCTACTCAACAAAAATAAACAAAACAAATAAAAATATACACAATCATTCCCCCCTCAATTTTTCTCTCAAAAAGCGCTCGCTCAACAACAAAATAAATACATCATATATATTTATTTATTTATTTTATATCTCGCTCTCAATACATGCGTTCTTTTTCTAAAAATTTTTATTTTTATTTATTTGTCATCTAAAGTACATATAACTAGTAAACGCACAAAAATATTTTTAATAATAATAACAAAAATTTTTTATTTAAAAATATAATTCAATAGCTCTAGTATTGAATGTTTTGTACCCAAAAAAATTTCTTTTTAGATTGCCCACTTTTTCGATTTTTTGCTCTTTTTTTTAAAAAAAGTTTTTTAAATCCCTCTTTTCTCGTTTTTTTAACGTAGAAACTTGCAGTCCTCTCAACAACGGTTTCAGGCCATTCAAACAACCATGATAAGAACTAAAGTTTTATTAAATATTGGTAAAGCAGAGCTTCGGCTAGTGCAAAGGGTTTATTCGGCGACTGGGAACGAATCAGCATCTTCAGTAGTTATCCAGTAGAGCTGTCCAAGACTCTCTGTCTTGGCTCAAGACTTCTTGGTTTTTTCGGTCTTTGGGGCGTATCTTGGTCTCGAGTATTGAGTCCTGGAAAATATTCGGTTATGGACAGCTCTTTTATCCATTACACCACGCCGCTTACTGCACAGCCCTAGGAATTAAATAGCTATATGCTTTACAATATGTTGTTTAATTGGCTTTAATGTCCTTTATAATCTTTTTCAATTATATAAGTTTACCCCACTTCCTGTTGCAATTTAATGTCTTTTGGAACGAAATTTTACAATTAAATTTTAATTTGTTTTTTTTATTTTTAATAATCTTTTCTCCTCCTACATATTTTTTATGAAAATTAAAAATAATCTTTTAAAATTTAATATTAAAAAGCATATTAACCGTTCAGGATTCCCTTTCTAATTTTTAAATTAAAAAGCTTTTCATTTTTTTAAACAAAAATTAATTTTTACCCCTCTCCTTTTTAATTTAAAAAATGTTTGGAATTTAGTAGATTCTTAAAAATTAAATTTAAAAATAAAAACAACGAAAAGACGATCTCAACAAACATTAATAGTCAAATTAGGCTACAATTATTTGTCCTTTTTAGGCATGTTTTGAAGTTTTTTTTAATATGGGGGGTCAATTCACCCTACAGTAAATTCACCGAAAAATATTTTGAATTAGAGGAATTATTTAATGGGGAGTTCTGTAGAGATAATGGTAGGGCGGGATTGGATTTACGGGATTTCGTCCCAAAATTTTGGATTTTTTACAATTTTTTGGTATTCACAGAATTGCCGGGTTTTCAGGAATAATCTATCCCACGAAGCCCGTTAGGCGACTAGAGACATTGACTTCAAATGTCGCGACATTTGTCAATCGCCTGACATTCCGATCGCGATTGTGTTCCACAAAGCGACTTAAAATTATTTTGTGACATCGACATTTAATGTCAATGTCGTTTGGTGGAATAGGCCCCAGGAATAATCTAACGGGATCCCACGTCCGCTTCGAATTTCTGAACAAAATCCCGTTAGGCGACTAAAGTTTTTGTCTCGCTGTTCAAGTTTTCGTACCTTCTTCAGTTCAAGACACTATTCGAAACTTTCCCGTAATTCCCCCTTTCCTACAAATTTTCTGGTTAATTTCAAAACTTTCAGTGAATTGTCCTTTCCGTGAAGTTTCTCAAAACCTTAATTAATTTCTAGCAGGCTTTTTCCACTTTGTCAATGCTCAAATCAAAAAGGAATGTTCCTATTATTGCTTTTCCTTTAAAAATGGCTCAACAACAACAGGGAAATAATGAACAACAAACAAATTCTTTAACAACATCAGAACAACAACAAATTAATTCCTCTTCTTCTACAGCAACAACAATTAATACAACAACAACAATTGACGCCTTAGCAGCAATGTTGGGTGGTGGAGGTGTTGAACCCGCCTTGGCTGCCCAATTGCTTGGGCTTGGTCCTCAGGTGTTTTTTTAATTTTTGTTTTTTATTCTAATAGTAAGGCACACTATCTAATTAAGCATTCTCTTTAATAGGCCTCTAATAAACAACCCCCCTCTAATAAAAGTTTAATAAGCAGCCCCTCTTTTTTAAATAAAAGGCTTGTAGAAGCTCCATTATATGATTTTGTTTACAAATTTAATTTTGTTAAGTGTTAAATAATTTTGTTTGTTTTTTAAAGATTTATGGTCAGTTTTGGCTATCTTAAGTCGTTTATTTATTAAATCCAAAGTTGTTAAGAATATCGATTTTTCCCAAAATCTTCCAAATAAACAACCAAAAATTCTGTCTTAATAGACACTATTCGCGATTTAACGTTACAAATTTACATCCTCAAATATTTTTTTTATCTTTAAAAATCACTAAAATGACATTCCTAACCTCCAAAGATATCTAAAGTTTGTGAGGTATTTTGGAGTACTTAAAAACGGGATAACTGGACAAATTAAAGTTTAGGATGTCTAAAAGAGTAGGGAGATTTTGTTTTTGAGTTTTTCCTATTTTTTGACCCCCCCCCCTTTGAAAAATTATTTTAAAATTCAAAGACCCCCCCCCCCTCCCTCCTAAAAATTCAAAAGCTCCTTCCCCTCCCCCCTCTTCCTTCCTTGTTTTTCTAAAAACCAAAAATTGCAAAATATTAAAAATTTGTTTTTCTTAAATTTTGTTTTTTTAAACTTGAGGGCTTTTATTTTTCCACCAAGTATAAAGTCCATATGCACTTGAAGCGGCTGCTGTTTTTTTTTTAATTTTTTATTTTCAAATATTTTCTCCTCTCTGAGTCACAAACATTTTTTTTATTTTTTAATATTCCCAAGAAATGTATAAAGGATTTGCTTTCAAAGTGCGCAATAATAAATATAAATCCTTATATTTATACACAAATCTTTCTAAATGGCATGTAAACAAATATAAAATATTTGTGTGTCTGTTTTGTTCGTCATAAAATTGGGAGAGATGTTACGGCGCGGGGACGATACGGCGCAAACTTTTGTAAAAATTTTTGAAGGGGAGCTAGGGGGTTTGAAATTTTGTAAAGCTGTTTTTTAAAGTGGTGACTAGTCAGTTTAAAATTTTTGGATTTTTTTGTCTGCTATTATGCAAGTTATGGTCGGCGATTTATTCAATTTGTTAAGATTTTGTCGATTTTTGTTGTACTTTTGGCCATAACTTTTGTTTTTATAAACCAGAAATTCAGAAATTTATAGAGGGGTTAGATAACACTATAAGGGTTATCTGATAAAAATTTCAAAAATTTAGGGTTTTGGCAGTGTTAATTTTTCAAGCGCGCGCCATAAAAACTCCGCGCCGAAATACCCACTTAATAACACATTTATTTTATAAAAGTTTATGTAAAATTCTAAAAACGTAATCTTTGCTCATTGACAACGCGCGTAAGTACATCAACAGATGTTTGTATTTTTTTAAATAATTAATAGTAGCGTGCTTACGAATTATTATATTTTTATTTATTTATTTTGTTGTTTATTGTTTAATAGAAAGGGGAGGAAATAAAAAAATGTTTTTTTAAAAGTAAAAAAAAAATTAATTTTTAAAAGAAAGGAACGCCTTTTCTTAGTTAATGAAAAATAAATAAATATTTAAATGTTCTCTTTATTTTTCAATTTTATTTCTTTTTATTTTTCATATTTTTTGGGGGAAATCTAAAAGTTTATATTTTGACTACACATTAGAGATCGGTATTTTTGAAAAGTCTGGGCCTGTTCTAGACTCCGGGGTTGATTTATTGACCTGGGCCGGATCCTGGCCTGTAGTCCAGGAAAAACCTAGGAAGGTAAAAAAATACCTGGTCAAAAAAACTCTGGGTACAGGAAAAACTACGCATCCATTAAGTTAGGATAGGAAAGTCAGGAAAGGTTCGATCATGAACAAAATTAATAGATTGTTCTGTATTTGAATTTTTAGACTTTTAGATTAATTTTAAAGGCTGGGAATTATTTTTGTTCGGTTGTATTGTTCGATTTTTCTACTATATTTCTTTGTTTCTAAAAGGAATTTTGGGCACTGGTTCTCATCCCATATTTTCCCCTCCTCGTCACCTGCCCTAGAGTCGAGATATTTGTGAGATTGGAATAGTTGTAAGATCTTTGGGGATATTTTAAAGATTTTATGAGGTTATGAGGCCGAATTCCATTCATAAATTTTTCTAATTTTTTCTCGTGTATTCTATTTTATTGATAATCACATTGTTTAATATGTCCAGAAAAAATGTTTATTTAAACTTTAATTTTTAATGTCTAAAAAATTTTATTTTCTCTCTCTCCTTTTATTTTTCTCTCTCTTCTTTACTCTCTCTCTCTCCAAGTTTATTTAAAATTATTAAAAACTTTGTTTATTTATTTTGTTTATTTTTACTTTAAGGCAAAAACTTTCTTTTTTTTCTCCAATTTTTTTGTGTCAACAATTTAACAAACAAGGAGACAAAAATAAGGGGGGAATGTGTTGAAATCAATTGATTTTTTAAATTCTTTATGGGACCAATCCCGTCATGACCGCCCTTGTTTACTGTATTGTTTACATTCTTTTTGCTTCTGTCCGAAGGAAAGGAAAGGGGGGGAGGCTTGGGGGAAGGCTGGCAATTGGCGAGTAAAATAAAAATAATATATAAATAGTCTCGGTTTTGTGTTCCCTTTTTTAACCCCTTTTCTTCACCTTTCTCTCATATTTTTTTTTATTTTTCACTTTAAAAATGTTATTTTTTTGTTTTTCTTGATTTTTCTCCCCCAATTATTTTTGTTTTTCTTTTTTTTTAAATAAATAACAAAAACATATCAATCAATTTAAGTTTAATTACTGTATTTATTTGTGTCTGGTGTGTTGTTGATTTAAAAGTATTTTTAAATACCTCTAGGTTGATTGAGAACATTTTTGAGGGGTGGAAAGAGGAAATAAATTCCAAAAATTTTTTCTTCCGGGTGATTTCTTTTGTCCGGTTCTAGGCACGGTTTGGAGGCTGGTACCGAAGTTCCCCTACCCTTACCTTTATGCGAGTACGAGGGAAAAGCCTACGCGAGTACAAGCATATTTTAAATTTTCAAACAATTGTCTGTGATTGAGGGTGGGTCGTTCGGTTAGGGTGTCCGTTAAAATTTTTTTGATTTAGTTCTTCAGCTTTGGATATCAGAAGATTTCTGTCTATTTATCCAGTCCTAGGCATTGTTTGAAGTCTCGTGCCATAATTTGTATTTCGGAACCAAACTGAAGTACTGGAAATTTTTTAGAATAGTTTTTAGGCTTTGGTCCTACTTAGGTTTGCTAAAGTTTCTCAATGTGATTCTTGTCTATTTATCCTGTCCTTAGGCTTTGTTTGAAGTCTTGTGCCATAATTCTTTTCTTGAAAAAACCCGTTTGAAACCGAACCCAAATACTGAAATTCTTCAACTAGTTATTTGGCTTTGGACCTACTTAGGTTTTCCAAAAGTCTCTTTTTTCGTTTTGCCCTAAGCCTGAAATTTTTATTTTTCTCGCCTTCCCCTTACAATAATTAATTAATTTTTTTGCAAATAATCTTTTTTTATCTCTTAAAACGTTCAAAATTTAAACCTCCAAATCTAATGTATTTTTTTCTTCTCCTTTTGCCGTCCAACTCCTTTAAAAATCTTTTTTTTTTTAATTTTTTAATTCATTTATTACTGTAAATGTCTGAAGATTATCAACCACTTTTTTTTATTTGTTATTATTTTTATTTTTAAACGTGCATCACCGCTTTTAACACAAATTATGCCATACTGTGGATTAAATTTAAAAGACTGTCCCTTTTAAAAGTCTGGCATGTTTCACAAAAATGTGTAAATAAAAAAAATATTTTTTTTAAATAATTAGAAAATAAATAAATGAGAGGGAAAATAAGGGGGGAATTGTTTTTAAAAAAAAATAAAAATATTATTTTTGAGGGTATTTTGAGGGGGTTATTTTGATTAAAAGCATGTGACAAGTATTTTTCCTTAAATGACGCTAAAAATATTTTTTTCTTTTGATCCAAAAAAGTAAATCCTTTATTTTTCTTTTTATATTTCCAAATCATTTTCTATTAATTTCAAAACAAATTTTTTGAATTTGTTTTTCTATTTTTGATGTTTTTGACTCGTTTTGGAAGGGGTTTAATGACGACAGATGCGCGTGCATTTATAATTTATCCAAAGCTGTAAAATTCTGTAAAGAATCCTCTCTCTCTCTTAGGTTATCTCTAAATGCTTGACAAATTTAAAAATTTTTGTTTTGAAATTCCATAAGTTATTTAAAAATGTTTCAAAATAATGGCATTTTTAGCCTTTCAAAGGTAGGCTCTTTGACCAGAATTTTCGGAATCCTTGAATAAAAATTTTGAAACTTTACAAAGCTTTAGATAATCCAAAAAAGGATTTAGGTATCTGTTGAGGATTTTCATGCTTCTACAGCGAAGTTAAACCGGCCAATTTTAGCCAAATGTAAATTTTTAATGTGCGCCAAAATAATTTTTCCTCACACTAAAACGCCAAAACCTTACAATTTGCGTTTTTGCACACATTAAAATTTTTTGGCGCTCACAACAATTTTTATATTTATTTAATTTTTTCAGTGCTATACAAAATAATTTTTTGTATGCATTTTGTTTGTTAGTTTTTGGCTAGTATTTTATTATAAAATTAGTAAATGGTCTTGTATCTGCAGAAAAATTTAGAAATTAGAAAAATGTCTTCTCAACAACAGTGCCAAAATAATAATAATCAACAACAACAACAACAATCCCCACCTTTTTCAACAGCAACAACAAATTCTAGTGTAAGAGGGGGAAAGGGTTTTAGAAGGTTTTGAATGGGCGTAAATTTAGAAGGCTCTCTAGGTCTCTCTAAACGGTCTCTATTGGTGTATTATTCTCTCATTTATCCCAAGTCATGATAAGTTTCCTCCTTTGTGAATAATTCAAAATTAAAAACTTCCACTCTTTAGTTTGATTTTGATAATTTCGCAGGATCCTTACAAGTTATTTTCCGAGTTCTTTTACTTTTTGAGAGTTATCTCGGCTATTGTAATCTCAACTACTTTATTTGCTTAAAAATTTTGGGGTTTGTTTCGAATTATTAGGGTTTAAAAACGTTTCTAAGGTTCTACCCTACATATTAAACTCTTATTTTTTCACTTTGTTTATTCTTTTACTTATTAACATTGTTTATTTATTTCATTTTTCTCTTATACTTTATATTTTTTGAATTTTGTTTAGTTTTTAACTTGAAAATATTTATTGTTATTCTGATCAATTTTTTAGATTAATTCGATTTCTTTTTTTTTAATTTAATTTTTTTTATTTTCTAGCTGGAGCAGCAATTACTTCTACTTGCAGTACAGGAGCGTCTTGCCCAGTCATTTTCATCTTCAACAATATTCCAACAACCAACAACAACAACAACTACACCAAACCAACATCAACACCCCCAACAATTACCTCCTCCCTCTTTAAGCCCTTCTTCTTCCCTTTCTATTTGGCAACAATTAACAACAGCTTTATGTCAATTACCCAACGATGCCCATTCAATTTTAAATGCTGTAGCAAATATTAGTCCAAATTCTTTGGATACTTTAACTGCTGCTTTAATTGCACAACAACAACAAACAACTACAGCTGCAATTTCTTCACTTCCTTTAGAAAGTATTTTGTTACAAGCTGCTGCAAGTGCTGCTTCTCTTCCTTTATCTCCTAGCCATCCATTATATCAACAAGGAATTTGTTTGTGGTCTCAATGCAATCAGGTGCTTTGATTTTTTGGAATTTTTTTTGGTATTTTATGTCCTCAAATCCTTGGTTACATAGAACTTAGAAACTAATTTTAATTTTTTATCTTTTCGATTTGGTTATTTAGGAAACCAAACATATGTCGACGGGTACACCCCCCAATGTACCGCGAGTCCAAGCAAAGCTATAACTTTGTCCAAGATTATTAAGTCCGGTACGCCCTGGCATGTTTCGATTCAGCTCGTCAAAGCGCATTGAACCTTATCAAGGCGTTCCGTGCGGTACGTTGGCCTGCTCCTCATGTCGAAACTTGGCAATTCTCACCTCCATTTTTTCCAATCTCAGTATTTTTTTACTAGTGGCAAGATCGTTGATATTTCCACTTTATCCTGATCACAATAAACCCGAGTTTTATTATTCAAAACTCAACGATCATTTAGTTGACCAAAATCAGTAGATTAACATTTCAAACTTCATTGTCATCCTCTTATATTTTTAAACAAATTTATTAAAAATTTTCTTTTCAGAAATTCGATTCACTCGAAGCTTTCCTCATCCACTTAACTCAATCTCACGTTCAAGACGAAAATTCTGTTCGTCAATGTCGTGCCCAAATCGAGCTTGTAGACAATTTAGAAAGGAAGTTAACGAGTGAACGTTCTCGACTTCAAGCAATGATTACACATTTTCAACAAGTACAGGAAACACAACAACAGCAACAAACTTGTTCTTCCCTTTCTTCTTCTACTGCAACAACAACAACAAGTATTTCAACACAACAAATAAATAAAAGAGAAAATAATTTAGAACAAGAATATCAACAACAACAACAACAAAACATTTTAAATTCAATTACTCAACAAAAAATTTATGAAGAACATCTTAATCAACAACAACAATTACTTCAGCATTTGCCATCAACAGAAGGATTGCAGTTAAAGGAGGTGAGAAAAATTGTTGTATTTTTTAAATGGAAAATTTTTGGGTATTTTTGATGGTGTGAAGGGACATTTAATTAATTTTTGAATAACGGGGTTAGCGTTCTCATTCCAAAAAGTCAAACATTTCCACTTTTTATATTCTACAACCGTTTGGAATTTTATTACTATCTGAATACCAGGGATGGATAATTTTCAATTTTAAAAAGCGGAAGGTGTAAGCGTAAGAATGAGGAATAAAATTAAAAAGCCTATACTTGGATTAAGCCGAGATCTATCAATCATTGTTACAGAAAGTTGAATCTTTTTCTAAAAGATTCTAAGTTGATTATTGCACAAGAATTTATTTTTTTGGTATATCCCTTTGTCTTTAAATTTTTAAGGTATGATCCTTCCTATTATTGATACTAATCGCATATTCTCGAATAATTATTAAGGGTAATTATTTTTTACATACCTCTCTAGAAGATATGTTTAATTCTAGGGAACTTCTTTAGTTCAGTTCTAGGGAAGTTCTTTAGTTATCCTAAATCATCAACCCTACTCATCACAATTTATTTTTTTCTCCCATTCAGAATCTACTTAATTCGTTAGAAGATTCTCAAAAACTTTCTTCATCACCTCAACACTTTTCTTCTCATAAATTACCCTCCTCCTCCTCCTCCTCATCATCTACATCAATTCCTCAACAATCGGCAGCTACAGCCTTAGCAGTACTTTTAGCATCCTCAATTAAAGAAGAACAACAACAACAACCTCCTTTACCTTCACAAACACCCCAATCTAACAACAATTTTTTTACATCAGCAAATCCTTCAACAACACCTTTTTCAGCACTTTTAAATGCTGCAGCAGCAAATAATAATTCTGTTAATTCACAAGTTCAACAAACTGTGGGTCGGTTTAAAAAATTCTTTGTTGGTTAAAAAAAATTTTTTTTGAATGGGGAAGGGAACTTTGAATAAAGGGGGTACACCCCAACTTACCGCAGAGCTATAACTTCGTTCAAAATGGTCGAATCTGAGATCTGAACGAAGTTATAGCTCTGCGGTAAGTTGGGCTCGCTGTAAGTTGGCCTGCTCCCGAATAAAGGCTTTTTTTGGTTAATTTTATCTTCCACTTATAAATTCAAAAAAAAATTTTTTCTGTGTAGATCCTGTAGTATGATTTAATTTTCTGCTTTAAAATACTAATTAACTGACAGGGCATTCTTTTCAAAAATTTATTTAATAAATGCCTTATCTTTAAATTCTAACCTGGCCTTTAAATTTAATTGGACATTCAAGTTAGCATTTATACTCCTGTGAATTCAATTTTAATATTGTTTTATTTGTAAGATCATGATGGGTTTTGATATGGGGGAAATTCTTAAATACACTTTCAATATAAAATAAATTAGTAATTAATCTACAATTTTTTAGACTTTAAATTCTCCAATTCTGGTTCTCTCCCATCATTAACATCTTGTACCAAACCTTCAGAAGCAGCACCTCTAATTGCATCAGTTGCCAATATACCTTTTTTGGAACAAGCATTTTCGCCTCCAATTTCTCAACAAAAATCTGAAGGAAATTCTGCCACTTATTCTGTAAGTTGAAAAACTTTTACGGAAAAGAGAGGAACATCGTTCAATTTTATGCTTACATGATATCGTTTTATATCTTGCTCTAGAAACATTTGAAAGCTATTCTCCTTTTCCAGTTATCCTTTCTATTGCAAGATGTGTGCGATTTTATGTAACCATGGTTAAAATTGGCAGTCGAATATTCGAATTCGAAAAGACTCCTAGACATCCTAGGTTCCCAGAATCCTTCAGCCCTAAGCCTAGCGACATTTCCGAAACAACATTAATTTTCTCTCGTTTAGTTACCACCATCAACGCCAACTATCTCCACATCACAAATTAACTTACAACAACAAAACCAAACAACAACTTGTTTACCATCAACCTCAGAATCTCTTAATAAAAATGAAAATGTTATTGCTTCAATGGCTGCTCGTTGTTCATCAATACTTTCCTCTACAGATTATTCTTCTCCAACTCCAAGTGCTTCTTTTGATAAAAATACATCGTCCACAACAACCACAACAACAACAAATATTATTCCTTCAATAAATAGTTCGAATAGTGGTGCTAGTAGAAGGAGAATAACAACAGAACGTTCTTTGCCTTTAGCTAGCGATATGGCCAAAAATAGGGAATTTTATAGAACTCATGATGTTAGGCCGCCTTATACTTATGCATCGTTGATTAGGTGGGTTTCTGTTTTGAGCTGAACCCTTGGGAAGTACATATAAGTAGTTGTGTGAAAAAGGTTGTAGAAAAGGTCTTTTGTGGTGAAATTTCCTGGGGGTAAGAAATGAGTTGTAAAATGGTCAGAAATGGAAATATTATAAAAGGGTCAGAAGGGAAAAGGGGTGTTAAGTTGCCGAGTTTGAGTCAATCCGTTGTGGCCGAATATCTGTGAAGAATTAATATTTTTTACTCCGAAAAATTTCTATAAAATTATTATTAAGGCAAGCAATAATGGAATCAAAAGATTGTCAGCTGACTCTTAATGAAATTTACCAATGGTTTCAAGAAGCTTTTGTTTATTTCCGAAGGAATGCTGCTACGTGGAAAAATGCTGTTAGGCATAATTTGTCTCTTCATAAATGTGAGAAAAAGAATTTTTTGGTTAATAAAAATTGTTTTTAAAGGTTTTACTCGTGTTGAACAGAATGTTAAGGGGGCTGTTTGGACTGTTGATGACAGCGAGTTCTACAAACGACGGCCTCAACGTAGCTCTTCCTCGCGTAGTGCCCCGAAGCATTCCTCCTCCAATGTGCGTGCTACACCTGGCGGTCTTCGAAGTGTTGCGAGTACAAGTCATTTCAACACATCTTTGGGTGGTCATCATTCCGGAAATTATTTGTTTTGTCAAGGAAAGGAAGGAGGTGATGATGATCAAATTGACAACACAACAATGTTGGCACAACAAATAAAGCATGAAATGATGGAAAGTTGTGCAAGTACCCCTGCTAGATTAATCCACAGCACGTCAGCTACTTTAAAAGAGGAGAGTGAGGGTGAAGGAGGGGGAGGACATAGAAATTTGATTCTTTCATTTGGTGGTGCTCCTTTCTCTTCTACAGGTATGGTCTTCGGAAATTCTGAAACTTGAGGAAAATTTCTGTTATGATTCTGAAAAAGTCGAATCTCATAGCTAAAAAATTGTATCTTATAATGAGGAGTTTCTTAAATAGGGGCCTGCTTAACAGCTCCCTCAGTAGTCAATAAACTTTAAAAAATCGAGACTATCTAATTTTGTGTGTATCTTACAGTGATATCCGGCTGTACTTCCAGGAGAAATTTTTTTAGGAACAATAACTTCCCGAAACTACTTTAATCACGCTTTATTTTAGGCACTACAAGTCCACTTTCTGCTATAGACTTTCCAATGCATGAGGAGGAAGAGGAGGGGGAAGAAGAAGATTATGAAGAAAATGGGGAATTAATTATAGATGAAGATGAACGGCCTCCTCGTCCACTTTCTGCTCCTGAAAGTGAAGTTGATGTTATGGGGGAAGAAGAGCAGCATTATTTATTAGAAGAAAAAGAGGAGAAAAATATTAAAATAGAGGAAGAATTGAGAGAAGAATTAAAACAACCAAAAAAAGAAGTCCATTTAATTAATGATAATCATTCAAATGGTTATGACCCTTTAAGGTTGTTAAGTTCGGCAGCGGCAGCTGAACATGAACAAATACGAAAAATGAGCCAATAATTTTTTGAATATTTCTTTAAATGCCAAACAATTTTTTGTTCTCAAATCTGATTCTATTTGCCAAAAAATTATTTTTTTGTAAGGATTTTTGAGCCAAAAAAAACTTTTGGTTAATTATACAGTCAGACTTGTGTTTTGTCCGTGCTATTCTATCTGGCTTGGTAGGGGGGATTAATTCTAAGTTAAATTTAAATTTGTTTTGGACCCGGGCTCGGTACGGAAACCGGGTATTTTGATAAAATCCGGGGTTTTAGCCCGGATAACCCGGCCCGGGTCTGATTGGAAGAAAAACCCCCGGATACCGGGCCCGGCAAAGTGAAAATGTCGAACTCTAGTCTCCAATTTATTTTCGGATATAAATCCTTCCCTTGAGGACTGTGTACCACAGAATTTTGACTGTATTTTACCATGTTCACTTTCTATAATAAACCTAAAATTGTCTAGGAGTTTATGGTTTCGTTAAAGAAAGTTGTCAACGTTTTGTATTTTTCCAAAAAAATTTTCTCGGTTTATCTTTTCGCTTTTTTCACTCGATTGTCTCATTTTTTCGCGTTTATCATCTCATTATTTATATATCGCCTCATCACTTTAAAATTAAATTTTGAAGATAGAAAACTCTTAAATTCGGCCAATAAAGCTAAGAAAACATATGAAGTATTTTTAAAAAATTTCTTGCTCTTTAATTATTAAACAACAATTTTTTGAAGACCTCAACCAATATTTTCCCTTCCTCTCTACATTTTTTAAATGACCAAAACTTTTTATCATGTTTAATTTTGGTCTTTTTTTTGTATTTTCTATATATTTCTTTTTGAAGTGAATAAATATTTTGTTTTTTAAATTTTATTTTAAAGGTAAAAAACAATTCTAAATATAACAAAAAATAACTAAAAATATTTCCTGTTTTTATTCCTAAACTGGGTAGGGATTTAAGGTGGTGGAGAGTCCCATATAGAGGCCGGAATGGGAGGGTCGAGATCAGATATTGAAAAATCTCAAAATGCCAAAAAATTTGGTACGAGAATCGTAGAAAAAATCGATCTTGATATAGCCGAGATTTTCTATCGAGATCTCGTCTAGGTCCTATCTCTAGTCCCAAGTATGGAAGGAAAACGTGTGGGGATCCAAGCTATATTCCTCATTCAAAATTGTTCTTGTATTCAAACTAAAGTTTAATGAATCAGTTTTTAGTTGGCACTAATTAATTTACCAACTAATAATAGTCCGTTCCCCACTAATTACCTCGAAATAAACAACAAAAATCCCTCAACAAAAAATTTTGATTTTTTCTTCTATTCCTCATCTTTTCCTCCAAATTTCAACAATTCTTCTTCATCATTCAAAGTTATTTTTCTTTTAAATTCATTCATATCTTTATCTAAATTCATTTTGTAGCGGTCCCAGGGTTTAAAGAACGGTTTTCTTCCTTTCGATTCAGTATATCGAAGTAATTCATTATCATCATCAATTTCTTTTTTTGCTTCTATTAAATATTTTTGTCTCAGATTTTTATATACTTCATCTATAGAACATTTATAATAAAAACTAGCTCCAATTGTTGCTGTTGTTAACAAAAAACTGTTTAGAAAAATAAAAATATTTTTAAGAAAAATTAATTTTTAGTGGACATGTAGAGGCTAATATAATTCTTTTTTCAAACAAAGGAAACTCTCGAGTTTATCGAATTATTTTTGGTTCCTATAAAAAAAGGAATGGATAAGTCTTACCGAAAGGAACTACAAAAGCCTTGTACAAAAAAGAATTAATCTGTATGTTCTTCACAACCTTATTCTAACAATAAGAGGAAGTCTCTTTCTTATCTAGAAAAATTTTATCATCCTAGTTATTAAAACCGGGAATCAAAATTTTTAAAAAAATTTATCCTTGTATTTTTGAAAAGATTTAAGCTTGTGAAGAACAGACAGATGATTAATTCTTATTTTTTTGTAGAGGGTTTTGTCGTTCATTTCGATAGATTTCTCCATTCCTCCTTTTAAAAATTTTAAAATTAACACATAACACAACTAAATTTCTTTGCTTTTTAACCAAATTTAAACCTTTTCCTTTCTAATTTAACTCAAAATTAATTAAGAGGATTCCTCTATCCATATTAAGGAATTAAAAATTATTTTAGAAGAAAAAATTCATACGAGGGCATAAGAGAAAGAAAAAATGCCACAGCAAGTCCGCTAATTCCAACACCTCGGATAAAGGCAAAAAATGAAAAAACGGAAGCTAAAAAATTAAAAAATTTTTAAATAAAATTATTTAGAAAAACTTGTAGTTATTGGAACATATAAAATTGAATAACGGTCACGATAACAAGTAATTCCAACAGTTAATAAACTATAATTAAATTTAAAAAATTGAAAAAAAGGTAAAATTAAAAGAAAAACAAACACAATAGAACACATATAAGCAGCCAATTTAAACCCTTTTATCGCTCCTTTCATATAAAATTGAGTCATTACAAAATCCATTTTGCGTTGCTGAAATATAAATTATTTAAAAGATTTAAGGGAAAATCGTTGGGAGGAGAGGGGAGGTGTGGAGGAAATGACTAAAATATTTTTTTGAAGAGAACGGACTAAAAATCTAAATCAGCTAGTACGTTCGTGGCATTAAATCAAGTTTCGATCAAGTAATTTAATGGTAATACTGAACCTGAAAGACCCCTTTTTTCCTTCCCAAATTCTTTCCTATATTTATGTAGAGAATGGTCAGACTTTTTCCTTTCTTTTATCACAATTGCCTTTCTATATTTTGCTTACAGACAATCAAAAGGAATTAACTTTTATTTCCCCTTGATGGAAGAAAGGAAAATTCGGATGGAAGAAGGAAGAAGTCTGATCATTCTGCAAATATATAGGAAGAAACTTGGAGAGGAAAAAATGGGGTCTGTCAGGTTCAATATTACCAATTTAATTTATCGCCAAGAAGTTGGGACTTGCTTAACTAGAAATTTTCGACATTTTTGAACCTATTTTAAAATAGCCTTATTTGGAAGTAATGTTTGCCAGGATCAAAATTGCCAAGTTCCCCCTCACAATCTGCTCCCAAAAACTAAAAAAGTTCTATTTTTTGCCTCTCAATCCCACTTCCTTTTCCCAAAAAGAAATATTTAAAATAAACCATTAAATGTCCAACAGTGCCAAACTCTTTTCCAGCCCTGTAAAGTTCAAAACGGTCTATAGATTTCTTAACTGTGTCAGTACCACCAATAATTACACCCGTTACAAAGCAGGTATAAAAAGTTTTTGAAAGCACCTCCCACTCAAAAGAATGGGGATTTTCTTGATAATAAATATTCTAAAAAATTTTCAAAAAATTATTTAAAAATTAAAAAGAAAACAAAAAAACCTTTACTCGTTTCCACCCTTCTCTTACATTTTCTAATCGTCTGTTAATCGGCTCCCACCGTAAAATATAATCACTAACTGCATTAAGTGGTTGCAAAGTTTTTTGAAAACGTTGGGAGATTAACTGAAAATATTCTTTTAATTATAGAGAATTTTATTAGATAGAATTTATTAGATAGAATTTAGATAGAATAAATAGGGTTTTATTAGATAAAAATAGGGTTTTATTAGATAAAAGCAAGGTCAAACCAGGCCCGTAGCCAGGATTTTTTTCGAGGGGTCAAGGGGGGAAATTCGATTCCCTCTGGCTACGGGCATGAGCAGCAGAGATGTTTCGAAATTTCGATTTTCGATTTTCGTTTTTCGATTTTCGAGGTTTTTTTCCTTTCGATTTTCGATTTCCGATTTTCGAAATTTTGTGATATTTTCGATTTTCGATTTCCGAATTTTTGAAAAATTTTAATTTTTGGCGCCAAAGTGGAGGATTTTTGGCTTATTGGCCATCATAAACTTAAAAAAATTTTCGTCTGCGGCGCAGAAAAGGAAGACTTTTGGCTTCATGGCCTTCCAAAATTCTCAAAATTTTTGCCTGCGGCGCAGAAAAGGGAAGATTTTTGGCTTCTTGACCTTCCAAAATTCTCAAAATTTTTGCCTGCGGCGCTGAAAAAGAAAGATTTTTGCCTTAAGGATCATCAAAATTTTCGCCTCCGGCGCAATTAAGAAAGATTTTTGGTTCTTAGCCTTTCAAAATTCCCAAAATTTTCGCCTGCGGCGCTAATTGGAGGAAACCCTGATCTATTAACAATATAATGCTTCGGCTCCGGTATATTGGAGTATTTCTTGAATTAAGGTGGGATTGGAGGGAGCAGGCCATTTGGAGGGAGCAGGCCAGATGGATGGAGCAGGCCAGTTGGAGAGAGCAGGCCCCTTGCCGGAACCCTATGCCAGGTACCACCTTATGAGTTTACTCAAATCCTCCGTTATCCCTCTTAACCCACACAGATCTCAGGATTAAATATTAATCTTTACACTCGGAGTCTGGAGATAACAAGAAGCGGCTCAGAAAATCACCGGCTCTGGAGCCAGGATCTCAATCTGATATGCAAAATTTTGGGTTTGGATATCCGTGATTTCCTTGGAATCCCAAATTCCTTAGAGTTCAAGCAAAAGTTCCAACTTGTAACATAAAAATTTATTTTTTAATTTTTTCTATTAAAAATTTTTTTTTCGATTTTCGTTTTTCGATTTTCGATTTTCGAGGTTATTTTTCTTTCGATTTTCGATTTCGAAGATTTTGAAAAATATTTTCGATTTTCGATTTCGATATTTTTGGATTTTTTTCGATTTTCGATTTCCGATTTTCGAAGATTTTTTTGTTTCGAAACATCTCTGATGAGCAGACAAGTTAACAATCAATTAAATGATAGAAATTTTGTTGGAATTTTTTTCATATACTGGAGTTGATAGTTAAAAGAATATTTAAAGGAACGAATTCCAAAAATTGAATTTGAAAACTAATTACTATCCCACTTAATCCGGAAGTCACAAATATTGTATTTTTATAGTTATTTGACGGATCACCACACTGCGCTCAACACATTAAGTGCTCTAAGATTACAAATCTTATACACTACACACCTAACAATCTTTTTAAATACCGAAAGATTTCTCTTCAAATAAACATGATTAAAAACCACAAAAATAATTTTAAAAAATTTAAAAAACCTCAAATCTATTTTTCATATTATCTAAATATTTGTTAGAAATCACCCATTCTTTGACCATCCCTCGTCCATCCGTAGCCAAAGATGTGGACGGACGTTGATCATCACCCAACATTGATATAAACTTTAATTTTCAAAAAAAATAATTTTTAAAAAATAATTGTTTAAATATTTAGGTAAAGAAATCTTTTGAAATAAAAAAAAATTTCTAATGATTAAAAAAATTCCATTTAAAATTTTACAAAAAACAAAATTCAAAACAAAATCTAGATAACCAAAACTTTCACATCTAAATAAGAATATCAAAATCTCGAAGTTCTTCCTCAGAAGGCAGGCTTGCTTCTACACGAGAACGTTCTATCAAGTCAGGACTAACTAAAGGAAGGCCAGCACGTTCACGACGAGTAAGTTCTAAATGAGCTTCGCGTCTAGCCCAGTCTCTACCCACCGGCCTAAATTTAAAGAAATTCTGAAAAATTAAAAAAAATTCTTTTACCAATCAGGCTTCATCCATAAACCAATAACAACACCAAGCCAAACAGTAATAGCCGTACCAAGGATGAACATATATTTATGAAATCTTATCCAATCCTTGTATTCATCCGAAGCATCATGTCCACGCCAGATCCAGGAACGACGCTTAAATTTTTTTAATGAAAATTTAAATTTTAAAGAAAGAAAAACCATATAACCGCCTTGATCTGCTGGTAAAGGCCTTCGCCATCCATCATTGAAAAGCCTAGAAATGTTGAGGTAAATAGAAAGAGAATTAGAAAGTTTAGGCAATAGAGATCGGCCTGGGTTTTTTCTGTACCGAGTCCAGGCCCAGGCATTTTTTGACCTTCCTGGGTTTTTACTGGACTACAAGCCCAGGATCCGGCCCAGGTCAATAAATCAAACCCTGAACCAAGGAACAGACCCAGGCTTTTCAAAGATTCCGATCTCTATTAGGCAACATTTAAATGCTTCTAAAACATTTTTAATCAAAAATTAAGGGGAATTAAAGCAATAAATTTTAAAATAAATTTTCTATAAAGAATTTTGCATAAAGTTCCAGATCAAATTAATTTACCAGTCAAGCCTGCCTTTGTTTAATTTTGGCCATGGATTTTCATAAGTATAAGTATCAGTTCCAGGTCTTAAAATAATAAATTTAAATATAAAATAATTTTAAAAAACCGATAATGATCAGGTTGTTTCTCCATTTTTACATCATCATCATCCCCATGTCCGTGTCCTCCTCCACTTGCAAAACGGCGACAATAAATAGGTTTTAAACGAAGAACATCAATGTCACAAATTTGTTTAAATTTGAGTAGCATTTAATTAATTAAAGCGTTGAAGTAAAAGGATCTGAATTATAAAATTAGATTTAAAAATTTATGGGTTCAGATAAATTTTTTAAAAATTCTTTGAAAATTCTTTCACGAAAAGAACGTTAAAATAATGAGAGCATGGAAAAGAAAAATAGAATAATTAGAGAGAACGTTATTAAAGGTTGGCAGACCGTTAGATTTTATTGCGCGCCAAATTTTGATTTTTAAATTTTTCAAATTTGTTATTTTGTTTTTTTTTGTTTAGTTTCACTTTTTCAGCTTAATTCAATTCAACTAATTTCTAAGCAATGAATTTTAACAAAAGCACTTTAATCGATTGACCTCTTTTACCCCTTTATCGATTGACCCCTTTTAAATAATTTTTGTTTTGTTTAATTCCTATTTTTGTTGCTTCTTTTATTTATTCGTTGAACTAATTTTTTACATTAAAGATAGTTATTTCAAGTATTTATTAAAAAATGCCAGCAACAATAAAAGTTAAGAAGGTAAAACCAACAAGCAGCAGACAATATAGAACTAGATCTGCATGCAAAAAGCCTTCAAAAACAAATGAAAAAATTGAGGATGATGTGGACGCCAAAAAGATTGAGGACTTGAAACTTGCTGCCAGTCTGGTCAACTGGTCGAGTTATGACAAATTGATGGGGAAGATCTTTTATGATAAAGTTGGCAAGATTCTTGAGAAAAAAGTGGATGATTTTCAGAAGGTTAAGACTGAGCTGAAAACTTTTGTGCGGGAAAACTATGACAATCAAAAGGTTTTTCCTTATATTTTCTATATAATTTGTTTGTATTCCCAAGGCTTTGCAAACGCCACGAAGGGCCAAGCCCGCGACTGCTCTGCTTGAACAAATTAGCAAATTCAAGCAATTGAATTTTGATTCGGATGATGAAGATATGGACGATACGACACTTTTGGATCAGCCTGAGAATTTAAAAGAGAATGAAGAAGAGCAGGTCGAGCAAGAGCCTCATTTAAAAGAGAATGAAGAACAACAAGCAGAGAAAGAGCCTCCAACTGATCTAACTGTCGAAGGACATATTCTTGAAGAACAATATCCTGCTAATGAAGAAGAAATGGAACAAGAGCCTTCACAAGAACAGATGGAAGAAGCGCCTCCTATGAATACTTCTGCTGGAGTTTTGGAGGAAGCGCCTCCTATCAATACTTCATCTGCTGGAGTTTTGGAGGAGGCGCCTCCAAATGATCCGGAATCTTTTGTGGAGCAAGAAAAGGAAATTTTATATGTGCCAGAAACTCCTTTTGCGTCTCGCGTTCCTATCAATACTTCATCTACTGGGGTTTTGACAACTCCAATTACTCCATACAGTCCAAAGGTAGAAACTTTCAATCCATATTTTTATAAAATTGTAGCCAAAAAAGTTGAAGATGCTGGGTACTCCACATGGAATCGTTAGCAACTCTAAACCTGCTGTTAGTTCAATGAGTAAGTTGGCCATTACAAAGGAGATAGTCAAACCTACACAACCAATTCAAATGCCACCTATCATTCGTCTCACTCAAGTAAAGAATATTAAAATTTATTAAATTAATAAAATTTTTTAGAATACTTTTGCTACTCCCAAGAAGACTCAGCCGTTCATTCCAACAAAGACGCCAGCGAAGACGCCGGCAGCTCTAAATACAACATTTCAAAAGGTTCAAAAATTGAAACAAATCGACGAAAAAGCTGATCAGGCAAAGAGAACGCGTGAGGATTTGTTGAGAGAAAGGGCCGATCGTGCAAAGAGGTTTTTTTGGGATTTTCCTCTTTTATTTTTGATTTTTTCTATTTTGTAGAGAGCGGGAGGAGCGTGAGAAGCGAGTCGAACAAAATAATCGGAAGAAGGAAGAAGCTAGACTTGAACGTGAGAACACTTTGCGAAGACATTTGGAGGCTGTTAAGGAATTTCAGAATAAAGAAAAACAGGCTGCGTTTCAAAATTATGCCAGTCCAATTGTTCAAGGTCGCATGTTTCAACCTTTGAGTGCGCAAAGTAAGAAGGCATATAAAACACCTAATGTGAAGAGTATTCCTGCAACTGAAGTTAAATCAAAAGAAGCTCATCGAGAACATAATACTGCTATCAAGTAAGTAGAATTTTTACTAGCTATTTTGGTTAGTTTTTTGAAAAAGTGTTTGAATGAATGAGGCAATAACCCGGGTTGTTCCAGATTGAGTCGGTTTTCTTATTAGTTGAGAACATTCCTTATTGTTAGCCTAATGCATTCCTCTAAACTAGACATTATAGACCACATAATCTCTTTAAAATATTTTTAAAATTAATCCATTTTTACTTTAGAAAGTTCATTAAAACGCCAATTCCTCAGTTTACATTAGAAGAAGAATGTTTAGTCCAAGCTAAAAATACGCCAACATCATCTTCTGTTGTTGCCGTAAAGACTGTTGCTGTTAAGGAATTTTATCTGGACGAAAAAGAAAATACTAAAATTATTGAGAATGAGTTTATGTCAGAAGAACATTTGGAGGACGAACGTGATGATATGACTGGCATTGATTTGGAGCAAATTAGGTTGAATTTCAATATCATTTTTTTGATTATTTTCTCCATTTATTTAGTATGTATGATATGACAAAAGAAAAAGAATTTTTGCCGAGTACTGAAAACGACTATAATGTGGATGATTTGTCATCTGGTGATGAAACTGATAATGATGAACAGCCACGAAAGATTGTTCCAAGATGGGCATTGAGTATTTAAAATTTATGTTTATTTTAACTAAAAAAATTTTTTTAGAAGAAAATATTTTGGCACGTACACAACAAATTCATCGTCTGCTAACTAAAGATCAAATTGAGCGTCATTTTGGAAGGATTCAACAGCCTACAGCTCAGGAATTATTTAAGGGATACAAAAAGAATTATCCTCCACGACGTGCTTCCTCATCCCAATGGAGTTCGCCAATGTCTGATCGTAAGTATTTATTTAAAATTCGAGGGTCTTTATGTGGACAATTTTTCGGAGAGAAAGGGGTGTTTTTATAGGACGGTACAATAATCTGGAAATTATTGAAAACTTTTGAAAAGAGTTACGTGAACCATAAGGACTATCGAAACATTTTCCATTAAATAATTCACTCTAATAAATATTGAAATAAATTTTTTCTTTTAAAGCACCTCCTGGTGTTGGTCTCTATCAATGTCAATTCGCTACCCCATCAACTTCTAAAGTCAATTGCAAGAAGCGTTAGATAAGAATTTAAATAAAAATTAGAATCAAATGGTCTCCAACAAAAATATATTGCATTAAATTATTTGTTTATATTATTGACGGAAAATGTATTAGGAAATTTTTTTTGACTGGATTTTTTTCCGATTTTTTTGCGACTGGAAATTTGTTTTGATAAAAATTTTTTGACTAATAATTTTATTTTTACGCTGTTTATTGGCTTTTAATTATTTTTGAAAAATTTTTTTTCGACATTCTGGATTAATGACTTATTTTCGGGACACGCCCACATTGTCGCGGGCCACATTGTCGCGACCACTTTGTCGCGACCACTTTGTCGCAGGCCACTTTGTCGCAGGCCCACTTTGTCGCAGGCCACTTTGTCGCAGGCTTTCCTTTGATTTTTATTTTAAAATTGGACTAAATTCTGCTCGCCGCGTGCCGTACTTCATCCCACGACTACAACGATGGGAAATTTGAAGAGGTTCAGAATTTTTATTATGTTTTTTAAGTCTTTATTTCTTTTTTTAAATTTTTTGATAAAGTTTTTAGTTGTTTTTTCCTTTTATTATTTTCTTTTATCCGGGTAGGTTCTGCCGGAATTTTTAACGGAGTAAAACCAAACCAGATTACTCCAGAAAACCCCGATCGTGTCCAGAAGGCCTTTTTCCTACCCTCCATAGCAGCATAGAAATTTTTCCAACGAAAAAGGCCTTTGCGACAAAGTGGCCTGCGACAAAGTGGGCCTGCGACAAAGTGGTCGCGACAAAGTGGCCTGCGACAAAGTGGGCCGTACCCCTTATTTTCGCGTCAAATAAGGCTTGGCATTCTCCTTATAAAATTAATTTTTATTAATTTTTTAGAACAATTTTTAAACAAAAAATTTAGCTCCATGTCTTCAGAAGATCAAGATATTTCAAGGATTTTTTCACAAAAAGTTGAACGCCGATTTCAGCGAGATTTTGGACGATTTATTGGTGGGAGTCATCATTCTAGTAGATATACATCAACTCCAAACGAACTTAAAAGAATTACACAAAGTTTGTTTTTAAATTAAATAAAATTATTTTAATTAATTTTTAGGCACAGACAATTCTTTGAATGTTAAGTTAATTGAAGCTAAAGAAGAAATTGATTCTCTTCAACGAAAGTTGAGTTCTAAAAATGAAGAAATTGAACGGTTAAAAGCTGTTGAAAATACTTCTAAAGCAAAAATTGAAGAATTAAATATTCAATTGAATGAATTAAAGATGGAAATTGATAAAGGAAAACGAAAAAGTTTTGATTTTAGCGAAGACAAGGTTAGTGGAATTTGATTAAAGTTATTAAATTATAAGGGAATAGGAGAACTTCAATTTGATTTTAAAGGATAAGGGATTTATGGAAGGGAAATCCAGCTGTCTATTAAAACAATTTGTTAGTCAATGGTTAAGATTTGGGGAAAATGCCATTAAAATTAATATCACAAGGTCAATAAGGCGTTAGAAATTACTGCAGGGGAGGCCAAGGTTCGATTCTTATCCTTTGCCTAAATATATGCTACATACAACTCTTACTCCATAATCTATTATAAAAAAATAATCTTTTTGGCGTAAACAAGAGCTAACAAATTAAACAAAAAAATTTTCAGTCAAAAGAGAAGTTGCTTCTAAGCGATTATCGAAATGCTTTGTCAAAATACAGAACTTGGACGGAATTTGCTGACAAACAATTAAATGAAATGAAAGTTATTTTGAAAGAAATTGGTGGATGGACAGAAGCAAATCGTTATAGAGTTTATTTTTTGTTTTTATTTTTTGAATTAATATTTTTTTCTTTGAAGATTTATTTTGCTTATAGAGGAATTGCTCCAGAAATGGTTACTGATGGTTTGAAATTTTTTTTAATTTTAAATTATTTTTTGAAATTGTTTTTAAATTTAGAGTCTGTCGCTTCACTCTCAACTGGATCAATTATCAACTATCCAGGAAATATTGAAAATATTGAGGGAATAACGGCTTCAGAATACCGACCAAGATTTCACTGTAAAAACATTTTTAAAAATATTTTTGGATTTTTATGCTATTATTTTTCTAGGCGTATCTACACAAACTGAGGGAATTTCTCCTTCGGAGGAAAACAAATTTGCAAAACCTTTGCCTCCACAAAGTTCTTCTAGTGAAGGTATGTCTGCAAATGAATTACGACTTCTCGACTGTGAACGTCAAATTGAACAACTTGAAATTCAGAATGCACAAATGCGTGAACAATTGATTATTTTTGGGTAATTTTAACTTTAGAAAAATTTTTCCCCAAATATTTTGTGGACTGTCTGTTTCTATTTTCGTTAAAATTATTTTTTCAGGGATCGTGCTAAAAATGTAGAATTGTTGGAAGAACAAAAAGATGACTTAAAATTGCAACTTTCAATACTTGTTCGACAGAATCAAAAATTACTTGATGAACAAGAGCAATTTAAATCAGCATTTTCTGGTGGAGAAGAACAACTTAGATTAAAGTATTTTTAGAGTTTTTTGAAAATAATTTCCTTTAAAAAATCTCAGAAATGAGCATCTAACAAAAAGATTGAAGATTTTAGAAGATCAACGAGAAGGTTTAAGTTTGGCAGAATCTCGACGTATTGCAAAAATTTTTAAACAGAAATATGAAAAGGAAATGGCACAACTTCGAAATAAACTTGAAGAATATGTTTGTTTTTATTTTTTTTAGAATTTTTGATTTTTTTTTTAATTTTTAGGAGAAAGGTTCTGATACAACAAGAATTTGTCGTTTTGTTCAACGCAATCCTTTGGATGAAGCACATGACGACCATTTAGTTAAACAAGTAGCTGCTGAGGCTACTGCTGCTGCGAAGTTTGGTGTAAATTCTTTGAAGAGACGCAAAATGGTTATTTTTTTAATTTTGAGATTTGACTAATTAGGGCTGAATTTTTTGATGAATTTTTGGTGACAAAACTCAAAAACCATTAATTTTTTTCTTTTTGGACATAAATAGTAGTTACGAGTAGAGACTGGAGTTCGGACTTATGAGATCCGAACAAAAACAGGGGAGACGATTTTTGTTGTTCAAGTCGATTTCTTTCTCATTTAGATTCAAAACCTTATCATTTTTATTAAAATTCAATTTTTAAAGGAAGACGATATTGATTCTTCTCAACCTGCAAATAATTCTGATTTAACATTTTTGGTTGAAGAGGAAGAAAACGAAGAAGATCCTTCTACAATTCGTGAACTTCGTCTTCAATTAGCAAATGTCAAAACTTTGGTTGAACAAAATGAACAAAGCAATTCTGAATATTTGGCTCAATACAAAGAATTTGTTAAACTTTTGTGTGGTTATGATATCCGTTTTGGAGAAGATGGTTTTTGTGAAGCTGAAAATATTCTTTCAAAAGATTGTACTTTTCTTTTTCAAAAACAACAAATTCCATTAGATGTTGAATGTACTAGTAGTACACAAACAACTGGGGCAGGTATTGATCTTTTGGATAGTGAAAGTGCTCGACAATGGAAGGATGTTTTGGAGAATTATTTGGTTTGGAATTTTTTTATATTCAAAAAATGGGATAAACTGTCCACAAATTTTTAGGATTTATAGTGAACCGGTGTGCTCCTTACACCGCTATAAAATACTTTGTAAGTAGGATTGTTGTTTTCAAACCGAAACGAAAACCCAAAATTGTCGGCCCGGTTTCGGTTAACCGAAAAATCTGGTGAAACCGACAACCCTAAATTGTAAGGAGGAAGGCAGGTCTGGCTGGATAAAAATGCTTATTTAGGCTGGGTTTTTATTAAAAGAGAAGGTGAAAGCAGCGCACTGGCCAAGGTGTCACAGGCCTGCCCGGTGCTAAACTTTACCTCCCCCTTACTATTTTAGAGATTTTTGTCCATTGTCTTATCTTTTTAATATTTTTTAAACTTCTAGATTCGTTATCAATCAATTCCGGCATTTCTCTCGGCTGTTACAATTGCTTTGGTTGAATCACCAGAGACTCCAGTTTCTTCTTCAAGACAATCATCAATCGAAGAAATTACTTCTTCGCATAATTCAAATATTGATGATGAATAAATAAATGAAGCATTTAAATGAAAAGTAAAAGAAAAGCTCTTAAATTATTTCTTTTTAATCTTTTGGTTATTTTTAAATATAAATTTAGAACACACCCAACCAAACTTTCTACGTCCAAACATCGCCAATCCATATATTAAAATTTTTATAAATCAGAATTCCTAAAATAATTTCATTTTTTTCAGATTAATTTTCGCAGTGGTCAGGCAGTGTTGAAGTAAAATTTAAAAAAAAATTTTAAATCAAAAGTCAAACGAAAATTTTTACATATAAATAAACAAACATCTACATATACATGCAGAAGAAAGAAAAATATCGCTAAAATAATCAGGAGGTTAATGTTATGATTGGTTCGATTGAGAAGAAAAGATAGATAAACATTAACTTCCTGATTATTTTAGCGATATTTTTCTTTCTTCTGCATGTATATGTAGATGTTTGTTTATTTATATGTAAAAATTTTCGTTTGACTTTTAATTTAAAATTTTTTTAAAAATTTTACTTCAACACTGCCTGACCACTGCGAAAATGAATCTGAAAAAATGAAATATATTTTGGGAATTCTGATTTAAAAAAATATTTTTAAGAAAAAAATTTACTGAAAAGGATTTCATAATATGGATTATTTGGACGTAGAAAGTTAGGGTCGGTGTGTGCTTACAAAAAATTAAAGTATCAATTTAACCATAAAATTATGTAAATAAATCGAAAGCATATGATCGACGTTAAATTTTTTTAATCTAATTAGACAACGAGGGTTGTTCCAAAACTGAGAAAGTTGTCTCCTATTTCATATTTTTTTAGAAATCTTTTTAGATTTAGGTATTTTAAATGTTTCAAAGACTAATAACTTTTCATCGTCAAGTAAGAATTAGTTCTTTAGCAGTTGCCTCATTTAATGTTTTTGTATTTGGATTTAGTGGAATTTATTTAATTGAGAAAATCAATCAATGGAGAATGAAAAAAATTGAGCATTATAAAGAAGCTGTGGCAATTTTATTGGAACATGAAGAAGTTGGAAATTTATTGGGAAAACCTCTTACGATTGGAAATGCTGATGTTTATGATCGTGAAAATAATTATGTTGGAAAAATTGAATCAAAGGTTCTAATTTTTTTTGAGTTTTTGGGGAAATAATGGGTACAATTCTTCAATAATTTATTCTTGAAAATTTTTTTTGGTATTTTGTTGGGACGAGAATTTGTTTTCGAAAAATGTGTTCGTGATATTTTAAATTTTAACGTGTTATTACAGCCCACTAAGACATTCAGAAAACTTTCTTTTTATTTTTCCAATTAATTTCAGTCCCCGTTATACGAAGCAAAACAGCTTTTCAATTCTCACCGAATTCAGATTTTTGACGGTTCTATTTCCATTTTCGAATATTTAAATTTTATTTGAGTCTATTTGTAGAAGGAGAATAGCTGTTAAAATTTCCAAAAAAAAATTTTTTTAAGTTTTTAATTCCATTATTTGGTGCAAATTGTGATGGTTATTTAAATGTTTTTGCTAAACGTGAAAATAATTTGTCAGAATTTTTATTAGAAAAATTAGAATTGGAAACATCTGGAGGAGACAGATATTTAATTTTTACAAGATCAAAAGAAATTGAAGAATCCCCAAAATTGTCAAAACAAAAAAGGCCAAGACTTTGTAGAGAATAATAGAAGAATTGTAGAATATTTTAGAGAAAATGAAGGTTTTTAATTTCTTTTTTCTAAATTTTACCTCTTTCCCTAGAATTCACCTCTATTTTGTAGACAGCCATTTTTTGTTCTTTTGTTAGCCCTTGACCTATTTAAAATTAATTTTCTGATTTTTCGGACTGCTATTTGCGGACAAGACTGAATTATTTAAATTGGAATAAATGGAAGAGCTTTTTAGTTTTTTTCTAATTTTTCCTATTTTTTGATGTCATATTCTCTTAAAAACGTCAGAAAATCTACGTTTGGTATAATTTAAAAATCAGTGACTGTCCGCCAGGGGTGCAGCTCGTCTCGCTTCTCGCCTCTCGCTTCTCGCTTTTTCTCGCCTTTTTGGGCAGTCTCGCCTCTCGCTTCTCGCTCTCGCTTTTTCTCAAAAAAACGAGAATTAAGCGAGAATTTTTTATCCCTTTATTTTTCTAATTTTTATTTTCAAGGAATAAATAAATGAGATGTCAAAGATTTGGAATTATTTCACACTCTCTGGACGAATTGCATTCTGTAAAGAATGTGATTATAAAAAAGATTTTCCGCCAAGAGCACCAACAACGACATTGGCAACACATTTAAAAAGTAAGCACCCGGAACAACACAAACAATTTTTGGATCAATCAACAGAAGTAAAGGAAAAATCGAACAAGGAAAAGGAAAAGCAAATGACACTCAAAAGAAGTTTTGAAATTCAGTCATCTTCAAAAGAAGATAATAATGAAGTCTACGTACTTTGATGTAGATGATGAAGTCTACGTAGAATAATGAAGTCTACGTACTTTGATGTAGAACGACAGGAAGAGTATAAGAATTGGTTAATTACAGAAGCAGAAAAAGTTATACAAATACAGGTTATTTTAAATATTTAATTTCTAATACCTAATTTTAGGCAAGAGTTTCCGATCAAAGCAATTCGAGTTCAACTAAAACTTGTGCAGTTGCTGATTTATTTAATGAGTACGAAAGAGATAATGAAATGGAGAATATGCTAAATACTCAATTGCCGTCTCCTGCTGAGCTTAATGCACATCAAAAAGCAGAGGTTGAAGTAAACGAGTATTTACATTCAAAAAGGCTGCAAATAACTGATGATCCATTTAAATACTGGTCTGGCGAAAATTCAATAAAATGGCCGTTACTGACAAAATTGTCTCATCGTTATTTCTCAGCACCAGCTACATCATCGGAGAGTGAAAGGTTTATTGAGAACAAATTTTATTTTAATCCTTTAAATTTTTAATTAGGCTTTTCTCAACTGCAGGATTGGTTGTAAGTAATTTACGCACAAGATTGTTGCCTGATAATGTCGAAAAATTGCTTTTTCTTCATAATAATTTAAAAATATACGATTATAAGTATGATTTATAAAAATATACTATTTAATTTAGGCAAATAAAATTTTTACAATTTTTTTAAAATTCTCGCTTCTCGCCTCTCGCTTCTCGCTTTTTCTCGCCTTTTTTGGTAGTCTCGCTTCTCGCTCTCGCTTTTTAATTTTCATTCTCGCTTCTCGTTTTCTCGTTCTCGCCTTTCAAAATTCAATTCGCTGCACCCCTGCTGTCCGCAAATGTCAGTCTACCAAAATTATTTTAATTTAATAAATGTTGTATTTAAGATATTAAAACCTCTATAGAAAAACTGCCAGCAGAAAAAAGGAAAGGATATTAACCTTAAAGAATCCTCCCCTTGAGATCCCCTCACTTTTAATAATTAATTTTTTGTTTTAAATAAGGCAATGATTTAACTGTAATAAATAAATACAAATTTATTCTTCATTCCTCATTTGTACCGTCACAGGAGAAAATTAACCGGACGCTAAAAACCCCTAGATTATATTTTAGAATGGACTTCAATATGTATTAGGGTAAATGTAAAGATTACTGGTCCCGAAAAAAAATGTGTAAGAAGTGCTTTTTTGATCTTTTTAAGGTTTGCCGGTAGGTAATCGAGTGTGCTGAGTCCGAATCTGAGCTTAGAATTTGTTTATTTCGAACCCCGAACCCGAATTCGACCAAGTCGTATTCGGTGTAAGAATTCGAAATTACGATATTATAGTTATTCTGACTCGTCTCTTTATTCTGAATCGAATGGTATCAAAATTATTAAGTTTCGGCCATTTTAAACGAAGTTATGATCAATTAAATAAACGCTTGGTTAGACTTCCGTATATAAATCAGACACCATAACTTAGTCTAAAGATGTCGAAACGTAATAATTTTGATGTCAATCGACTCAGCTCGAACAGTCTAGTTGGGGCCGACGTTTGGGGCCGACGTTTGGGGCCTAAATAAACGTCGGCCCAGATGGGGCCGACGTTTATTTAGGCCTCTTTATGAAAAAACACGTCTTCCACTTTGCCCAATTTATGGAGGTTTTCCAGTCAAAATGGTTACACATTTGGGGAAACCTTTAAAATTTTCTTTGAATAGTACACCTGAAGAAGTGAAAAATCAAGTTGAAACAGCGGTAAATATATTTTAGAAAATAAATTTTTATTTAATAAGAAGGGAACTTTTTTAATGAATGTTTTTTAATTATTCTTTTAAGGGAGATTAACGTGACTTGTTTTTGTTAGCTTGAGTCTTAGGGTTGTCGTTTCTGAACCGAGGAACTGACATGAGTACTTTACCTCTTCAATTTTTGATATCCGAATATTTTCCTAGAACGGACAACTCTACTCTAGGAGATATAGATATAGCTAACTTCTTTAGCGTCCTTTCAACTTTAATTCCCTCTCCCACCATCCTTTTACTATTATTAGGAGGATGGAAGGATCTTTTTGTCTTTTCCAGTCCGAATTCTTTTAAAAAAGTTTCCATAATTTCTGTTTAAAAAAATTTTTTTCAGGTAAATAATTTAATTTGTGAACATCAAATACTTCCTGGCAGCATTTTCCGTTCTTTACTTCAAAGAATACGCAGAAAACGAACGCCAACAAAAGAGCAGCAACAAGAATCTACAACAATAATTCCATCGATTTCATCAACTAGAGAAGATATATTAGCAGAAAATGGAGAATCTCCACACAAAAAACTAAAAGAAAAAAGAATTAAAGAGGAAATATTAATGAGTGAATTAAGGCCTTCAAATTTAGAAATGGCTACGTGTCCGTTACTTTTTGGAGAAGAAAAATATTGTTGTAAAAATAATGAAGATGAGGATGAAAATGAAGGTAAATTTTAATTAAATTTTTTTGGGTTGGAATTTAATTGAAAAGGGAACATACCTCATTTATTTTGAAATTTTAATTTTCGAGGGTATTTTAAATTTCGAGGCACCTTTGAAAAAGATTTTTACTTTAATTTTGCCAATTTTTTTCAGAAAATTTTTTCAGAAATTTTCTTTGGTTATTTGTTTTTCTAGTGGTGTTTAATTAATGTTTGTTGTATTTTAATGCTTTTATAAATTTAGAAAAGACCAAATTGTTTATTATATTAAAATTTATGGCTTCAAGTGAGGATGAGCAACGGCAAAAGTGCCGCGATATGAAAAACAATGTTGCTGTCGCAGTGAGGTATTGAAATTAAATTTTTATTTTATAAATTGTAATTTAGAATTCGACCACAAAATGCAAGGGAAATGGCTGCAAAAGAGAAGATTTGTGTATTTATTTCTCAAGACGAACCACAAATCACAATTGGACGGGATAAATCCTTCACTTATGGTATTATAATTTTTAATCTTTCTATTTGTTAAATAATTTTTAAGATTTTGTTTTCTCTGACCAGTCAACCCAAGAAGGCGTTTACAATAAATGTATTCATAATTTACTAGCTGGCGCTTTTGATGGTTATAATGCGACTGTTTTGGCTTATGGACAGGTTATTTTTATATTTTATAGTGTAATCAATACTTTTGAGTTTTCGGCTTTTTGTTTTTTTCATTTATGGCAAATAAATAGCAGAACTTGCTGATAAAATTTACAGACTTTTGGAGTTTGAAAGGAAAATAACTTTTTATTTTTAGACTGGAAGTGGCAAAACCTACACAATGGGGACTTCTTTTGATGTGAATCAATTCAATTTGGATACAAACATTACTGCTGGAATCATCCCGCGGGCTGCTAGGCATCTTTTTGAGGGAATGGAGGAGAGAAAACTTGCTGCCAAGACAAATGGTGCTGTTGAGCCAACTTTCGAATTAAATGTCCAATTTATTGAGGTTTTTAATCTTTTAAAATGTTTAATAAAAAATTTAAATTTAAGCTTTATAATGAAGAAATAATTGATTTGTTGTCCGATGGTCGTTCTCGCAACACAATCAGAATTCAAGAGGATCATATTCGAAATGAAATTGGTCTTAAAGGTGCTACTTGGAAGTCGGTAAAGACCGCATTGGATGTAATGACTGCATTAAAAGCTGGGTCTTTGAATAGAACTACTGCTGCGACAAATATGAATCAACAGTCAAGCCGTTCACATGCAATCTTCACTATTAGAATTAAGCAGAGCCGAGTTGTGCCAATAGAAGGAAATGAGGCAAGGATTTTTAAGTTTAACTTGGAATTTTATTTTCAAGTTTCATGATAAATAAAAGTTTATTTTGTATTAAGGATGATTCTCCTAAACAACAAACGGAACTGGAAGTTTTACATGCGAAATTCCATTTTGTCGACTTGGCTGGCTCTGAGCGATTAAAGAGAACTGGTGCAACTGGTGACCGTGCTAAGGAAGGAATCAGCATCAATTCTGGACTGGTTTTTTTTTTCTCGAAATCTAAGTTAAAAATTAATCTTTTATAGCTTGCTCTCGGGAACGTAATCTCTGCTTTGGGTAGTGGAAAGGTCACCCATGTTCCTTATCGTGATTCAAAACTCACTCGTTTGTTGCAAGACTCGCTTGGTGGGAACAGTCGAACGTTAATGATTGCATGTGCCAGTCCCTGTGACGTTGATTTTATTGAAACGCTTAATACATTGAATTATGCGAATCGGGCCAAAAACATCAAAAACAAGGTTTGCTGTTTTTTGCTTAATGTTTTCGAAAATATGTTTTTTTAGATTGTGGTTAATCAGGACAAGTCTTCCAAATTAATAACTGAGCTCCGTACTCGTATTGCTATTCTTGAATCTCAACTATTGGAATATCAATCAAACAAGTCTTTTAAAGTAATAACCGAGCTCCGTGATCGTGTCGCCTTTCTTGAATCTCAACTATTGGAATATCAACAGGGCAAGCGCTTATTAAATGGAGACGAGGAGGCGTTGCTTAATGACCAATATACGGATAAACTCTTGTATGGATCTCCTTATGTTCATCAACCACAATCATCTAATCCTACCGAAAGTTTAATAAATCAGGCGAAGGAAGAAATTGAAATGGAAAAAAAGGCGTTGAATGAGGCTGAAGCTAAATGTAAGCGAAAAAAAGTTAATTTTTGATGAAGGGAGTAGTCTTTTTTCGTCTTTGATATTTTCTAATTATTTCTAGGTTTTAACCAATTCGATGAAGAACAAAACGTTTTGGATGTAGTTTGCGAAGAAGAGAATAGTGACGATGATGATGAAGAGGATGAGGAGGTTGATCCGGCAGAAAAACAAAGTTTAGGTATATTTTTCCGAACTTGAAATGTTCTAACCTTTCCTTAAAAGAGCGTCTTGATCAAATTCACTCTGATTTGGCTAAACTTCACGAAGACATTGGCATCAAAGAACGCCTTGTAGCCGAGCTAGAATTGAATCAACGTCGTTTGGAGGAACAGCGGAGGGATTATGAACAAAAGATGGAAGAACTTTGCAAGAAAATTCAGTCTACAGAGGCGGAACGTGACAATGTTCTTGAACAGATGACAGCGAAGAAACAGACCAAACAATAGAAAGAGGAGATTGATAAAGTTAAAAGCGAGTATGAGAGGCGTCTTTCTGATATGCGACTCGAACATAAAAGAATTGAATTGGCTGAGCGTGAAAATAAAAAGATGCAAGCAAATGAAAATAAACGTCAAATGGAACTTGTTCGAATGAAAAACGACTTGGAAAATATAAAGAGACAAAAAGTTGAATTGATGAAAAAGTTGAAAGAAGAAAATAAAAGAATTCGTGAAATACAAGCTGCTAATGCACAAAAAGTGGCCACATATGAAAAAACTCAAAGACAACAACAAAATAAAATACAAAAGCTGGAAAGGGAATCTGCACTTAAATCGGAAAATCTGAGGCGAAAGGCAGAGGAAGTTCAGCGTCTAAAGGATTCTAAAAAGGTTACAACATTTTGATTAAATTTTAGCTTATTTTTTAGGCACTTCAAGCTCGTCGTCAGACCATTTATGAAGTTAGACGTGGAGTTAAGTTGGAACCTGTACCTGAAATTGATTTGGACACAACATATATTATTCAGGTAAATTTATATCAAAATTCTTTTTCCAAAAATTTATAGCAGGAGCAGGATGACAAAATTGAGAACGTTTGTTGTACGCCTACTAATGTTGTCAAAACTCCAAAATATCAACATACACCTATACGTACTAAACGCCAGTGGAGTGCTATTGAACGAGCGGTTTATAAATTTTTCAAAATTAAAAATTATTTTTTAAGATTGAGGGCTTTACTGTCAAAAAAAATGCAATTGTACGTGAAGAAAAGGCTATGGATCGAATGTGTATTGAGCGTCGAAAACTTCAAGATGAGCTATTACGTCTTCAAAGCAATTATTCTTCAAAAGCGGATCCTTCTATTCGTTCTTTAGAATTAGAACAACAATTAAGTATCCAGCAAAAACTTGATTATGTGCAAGAAGAAATTTTAAAATCACAAAAGGCAATTGTTGAACTGGATGATGAACAGGTTTTAAATAATTTCGAGCTTCTCCCCAGACTTGAACAAGTTCAACCTTTATGTTTTTTTATCTTTCTAGATATGTCTTGAGCCGTCATCACGTAGAGTTTCTACTCTAGCCTTTCCTGCTGCCAATGAAGGTGTAAAGGATCTAGATTCTTTGATGTTCCAATTCTCCCGACAATTTGCTATCCCTCAAGAGATGCTCTATATTCTTCGCAATTTAATTGAGTTAACAATTCAGAAAGGAGCGGATAACACAAGACTTGAATCGGAAAATAAAGTTAGCGAATATTTAAATCAGTTGAATTAATATTTTTTAGGAATTAACGGCACTTCTTGGTATTGAATCAAATGAAGATATGATGGAGGTTGTTGAGGCGGCTAAATTAAATTTTCAATTGGGTGTGGATCAGGACCATGACACAACTTTTATGGTTGGTTTTTAATATAAGTCAGATCTCACTATAAGACATGTTAGGGATGTGTATTCTAGGCAGAGCTGGCTACTTTACTAAATTTAATAAATATCCTAAAATGAGCTTTACCTAATTTTGACGTAGCGAGTTCTGATTGTTTCAAAGTAATCGATATAAAACACACATTTTATTTTTCAGAACGGACCAGAAAACGACTATAGACCGACTACTCTATCAAATAATAACACGAATCAATTATCTCTATTTGGTGATATTTTACCGGGACCTATCTGTAAAGGTCAAGAAAAACGTTCCTCAATCTCAAAATTTTACATTTTAGTTGCAGCATCTGAAGCAACCTGTTCTACGTCAATCCCATAGACACAATTTTATTAATTTATGTATAGCATTTTAATTAGGACAATATCAGAGCTGGTTCGAAATTTCGATTTTCGGTGTTTCCCTCCTTTTGAAGAATTTGGAAAAGATTTTCGAATTCTTAATATTTTGGAATTACTTCACAATGTTAAGTCGAACGTCCTCTATCCAATGGTACCAAAAAATATAACAAGCTCCCACTCACAATATACTACCCTTGTAAGATTTTTTAATTTTGAAACGGCTCTGGTCAATACATATTATAAAAAAGCATTAAATAAATTGAATAAAGCAAAATTAGTTTTTTTAAATAAGTTACAAATAGGCAAAGTTCTATCTCGTTGGACTCGAATTTGTGACTGACATGAACAACTTTTCTATCTGATTCATTTTGAAATTAAATCGGTCCCTCTATCATTACGCGAACATACCCAGTAAAAGATATGTTGCTTAGCCTCCAACCACAATTTTTTTGTAAACTTGTTTAAGCATAACATTTTATTTCGGGTAAACATACATTATTAAAAATGAAATAAATTAATTAAAAATAAAATTAGATTTTTAAGTTATTAATAATCAAAAATAATCATAATTTAAACATCTCCTATTCTAACAAATCTGTTCTCAGCAAAGATTCCGGTTTATCAGGTGCATCCTTCATCTCTACTAATTGTAAAGTTGTTGCTAAAAAATTAAAAATATTTTTTACTTAAAAAATTTCCAAACCTTTATCAATTAAAAACAAATTTTGGGAAACTTTTCCCCATTTTCTTTCTTTAACTCTTTCATCTTTAATTATTTCATTTCCATCAGAAGTACATCGAATAAATACTATTCCTAGAATTTTTAATTTAAAAACAATTTAAAATTAAAAAACTAAACTGTCAACATTCAAATTTGGAAGAATTATTCCACCTCTATATTGAATTATTCGACCCAATTTTTGGTTACAGGAACATCGATGCTGAAAAATAGGGATTAATTTTAATATGTTAAAAAAAAGAATTAAGCTTTGTTGGCAACTATGGTGTAATCGGAAAAATTTTTGTTTTTAATTTAAAGAGAGAGGTTCGAACCCGATCGGTGGAAATCTTTTTTTTTAAACATGCGAGGCTCTTAATACTTTCTATAAATTATTTTAAAAATTAAAAAAAACCTCTCCAATGTGTGGCATACTTCCTTTACATTCCCTTCCCTGTGCCTTTTCTGGAGGTAATTCAGAAGCACAACCTTTTGTTCGTCTCCAAAATTCTTTATCAACAATTACATACATTGAACCAACCAAAACTATTTTTGTTGACAATCCAAGAAATTTACTACAAGAACTGAAAATAAAACTTTTTAGAAAATTTTTAATTTAAATTATTTATTTACCTACAAACAATTTTAAATAAATTGTCCTGTTTACGCCTTTCAATTCTTTTTTCCATTTCAAGTGCCTCACTTTCCTTTCTTTTTTTATTTAATTCTTGAACTAAATCTTCAACCTTTAAATTTTTTAAAATTATTTTTAAATTTAAATATTTCCTGAAAAATAAATTGGATAAAAGAGGTGTCTAGGATCTCTAAAAGAAGGCTGTATAGATAACTTACAAAAATTATTTTCAGGAAATGAACTCTCAGGGCCGAAAAGTTCAAGGTCGTAGCTGGGTTGTCGTGTTAGACAAATCGTTCGAGGTTGAGGTCGCGGTTAAAAATGAATGATTGCATGCCAATGGTACGCATTCTCTTTAGGGTTGTATAGAATTGTGGGTATTTATTCGCTTAAACACCCTCTCCCAACTCAATGCCCAACCAAATTAAAAAAATGGGACTTAAATTGAGGTATGCCCAATAATGGATGTTTTCACTAAAAAAACAAACCCTCAATTTAAAAGTTGTTGGCGACCATCTTGACAATTCTTCCAATGCAGAATGCATTAAACGTTCACGTAGAGCATTTTGTTCTTCTTTTTCTTTTATATTAATTTCACAAGTTAATAATAATGCTCGAGCACCTTTAGCTCTACAACGACCCTTTAAAAAATAATAATTTTAATTTAAAAAATTAAAAAAGAAAAAACCCTTCTTTGAACTCTAGCAATTTCATTAGTTACATAATTATATTGAACAATTAAATTACAAGCAGAAATGTCAATTCCTTCTTCAGCAACCGTTGTTGCACAAAGAATTTTTATTTCACCTTTAGAAAAGTCATCCAATTTAGCCTTTTGCATTCGGGCATTTTGACCTCCTTCTTCACGACTTGCTTGACCTTTTATAAAAATTTAAAGAGTAAGATTTCCTTACAAACACTCCCCTTATTTATCAAAATTAATTTTAAATTTCTTGTTAATCAAAGGAGAGGATTGGCATTTAAAAGAATTAATTTTAAGATTAAATAAGGAGAGGTTTCTCCCCTTTAAAAGTCCCGAGTTCGCTTAACAAATAGAATTATCTTTTTATTCAAATAAAAAACCTGTAAAAAAGTCAGTTCTATACTTTGTTTGTTCATTTAAAAGTGTTGAAAGTTTTTCGCAATGATCTCTTTGTTGGCAAAAAATAAGTACACGACTGTTACTATCAGTTTGGAATTGTTCATTTAAAATTCTAAAAAAATATTAAAATTTAATGTTAAAATTAATAAGATTTTTTTTTCTAAATTATTTAAATCCAGAAATGAATCTTTATTTTATGTAGAATTTTATATCAAACAAAATTCGGAATAATTTAAGGCATATAAGACCTGGGTGGATAAGGCATATAAGTCTCAAGCTTTCCCTTGTTTGTCCCTCTTTGAAGCTCCCGGGTTCGAACCCCTTAAGTGATATTTCATTTTATTTCAAATTTAAAACTAATTCGATTTGAAAAAATTAAAAAATATTTTTCCGATTTAAAATAATTTAATTTTGAAAATTCTTACAAAATTAATTTATCCAATAAAGCACTATTTTGTTTATCCATTCCTTTTTTATTAACAATTTCTTGTAAAGAATTAATCCAATTATTTAATTCAACATTTATTTTAGATTCTATTGCAAATTTACAAATTAATTTATCCACTTCATTTTTTTGTATATAATTAAAAGAAACTTTAACTCCAAACAACTTTAACCAAATTATTGCATTATAAAAAATTAACAATTGTTCAACACAAAACATTAAACGAGCACGTGATTGGTCAGAAAGTGTTGAAGTTGTTTTTATAAAACTTTAAAAAAATTTAAAAATAAAATTATTATTTGGGAAAAAAATACTTTTGTTTTAATGTCCCCAACCAAGCTTCAAATCCTTGCACTAAAGGATCACGTGAATTTGAGTCATTTAGAGGAAGTGAAACTTCTTTTTGATTTGCTAGAAAAAATAAATTTAAATTTAGGTTTTTAGATTTCTTTTATTTTTTCTCAGATTTCAATTTTTAACCTCAAAATAGGAAATTACAAGAACAAAGTTAAATTTATTTTTTATAGAATTAAAAGTAGAATTAAACTTAAAAATAGGGTTGCTAGCGACCAGTTAATTTTCGCCCGTGGCAACTGCAATGCTCTTAATATTCTTCATTTGAGCCGCCACAGGCGAAAATTGACCGGTCGGAAGAACACTAGTTGAAAGTCGCAAAAAAATAAAATTCTGATTTAAATAATTTCCCCAAATTTGTACTATTAATATTTTTATCCCTTAGAGATTAAAGAGAAATTTCTCCTTATAATTATTAAATGTTTAAAAACAAAAAAAACCTTCAGGAATGTCATTCATAAAATTCTTAATTTTTTCAATTTGTGTAGTCAATGCCCACAAAAATCCACAATCACTTGCTTGCTGGACAAATTTAACTTCTTCAGACACAATAGGCATAAATGAACGTAAACTATCCTGATATTTACGAATACAAGAAATCCATTGAGCATCCATATTTGCACAAATTTCTAAAGTATAACGAACAGCTTCATCCAAATTTTTTGAAACAGAGCCTCCAATACCTAGAGAAGCTGTCATTCCAATTATCTTTAAAATAAAATTAAGAAAATAAATTTTTTTTAAAAAAGGCCCCCTCCTCCCTCATTTCTTTGAAATAGTGAAAAATGTTAACACAAAAAATAAAAATTTTTTGCACTTTTCTATAAAAAATATTTTTCGTTTGCAGCTCTAAAAGTCCTCCGTACATTCCACAAAAATTTTGATTTTTATGTTAGCACCGCAGAAAACCCTCCCGAATTTCTTTTCCTTTTCCCATTTCGTGGGAGGGCCACTGGTTACAGGCCTGGTGCCTTCGACGGGATAAAATTAAAATTTGGCTTCCTCATACTTTTGGGTATGTCTGTCCTTAAAATTAAAAAAACCTGTGGTAATCTATCCTTATATGATCCAGTTAATTTCATTTCATGATAAGTTTTCATTAAAACATTATATGGATGATCATCTTTCGAATGATGAGTTTCATCAAAAATTATAAGAGAAAAAACATCCAAAGTAAAAGGAACAAATGAAGGTTCGTCGATTTCTGTACTTACACGTTCTAATTCGTTACTAAAAATTATCGAATGTAAAAAAGATTTTTTCGTTCGTAAAATTGTTCGAGAATTCCTTGAAATTTTCAAAAATGTTCTTCAATTGATTGGGATGGAGACCAAAAAAATATTTGTCATATTTAAAAAATAATTCATTTTAGAAAAATTTTTTTTTAATTAAAAAAATAAAAAAACATTAAAAGTTGCGGTGTGATAACAATAACATCAGCATATTCAATAACCATTTTAATTGGATTATTTAATGACATTGCTTTCCCCAACCCAGAAAGACCTCGAACCTATAAAAATAAACTCTTTATTAAAATTTTCTTAAAAAAACCTTTGCAAAGTGTCCAATATATTTAGAAAAAAGACGTTTTTGTTGAGTAACTAAAGAAGCTGTTGGAACAACAAAACAAGCCTTTAAAATACATTTTCAAAAAAATTTTTTCTTAAAAAAACCTTTGCTCTTTGTTGTTTTTGTAAAGCTTTAAATAAATGTTCTCGAATTATATAAGCTCCAACAATTGTTTTTCCAGAACCTGTTGGTGCACAAATTATTACATTTTTGCCAGCTACGGCTTCAGTCACTAATTCCTTTTGATAAGGACGAAGATTAAGTGGAAATTCTGAAAAATTTAATTAATTAGTTAATAATTAAAAAGATATTATACATTTCCGTTATGACGCAAAAAGCCCGCAAGATCCGCAAATCATAACTATATTTATAAAAAAATGTTAAGCCACTACCACACCAATTTTTAGGCCCCAATAGCAAGGATTTGGATTAAAACACAGATTTCACTCTTTTAAAGATAAGTTCTGATTTTTTTCTTTAAAAACTCAAAAACTAATAATATGCTAATTAAGACATTTTTACAATAAAAACAAGAAAAAAAAGGAAAATCGTTAACACATGTCGCTTACGCCATAAAAAACTCATACAAAATTTTTTAAAAATAATAAAAAAATTTACTCGGTGAAATTCCGAAATGATTGACACAATTACACAAAATTCAAACACATTGTCTTGAAAATAGAATGTACTGCGATTATCGTTTGCGGATAAAACCACAGATTTTTTGCGTCATAACGGAAAATTACCCTAAACATAAATTACACATTATCACCTCTATTTTATATTTTTTCTCTCAACATAAAACAACTCCGAGATTTTCACAATTTTCAAAACATTCTCAAAAAATCCTATTATCTTCATCAACACATTTTTAATTTAAAAATTTTACAAACCTTGACAAGTATCTATAGTACAAGCCCTAACATGTATTTGAGGAATATTTCCAAGTCGAGCATTAAAAATATTTGCATTAGGAGGAGGAACATCATTTTTCATAGCCATTTCAATAATTGCAGAAATATCATCATTTTGTCTAACAACATAAAAATAATTGTGACGATTAGAAGCTGACGATTTTATATATTCTACAAAAACAGAAAAATTTTAAAAAATTAATTTAAAGAAAAACCATATTCTCTAAAGAAATTTGGATAAATTCTTTGAACAAAATTTACGGCATTTTGAAAGTCACATTTCGTTACAGAAAAGAGAATATGTTCATAACCATTCATATTTAAAACTGGGATTGAACGTAAAAGAATTTTTGTTGCTCTAAAAAAATAAATTTAAAAAATTTTTTAAAAGTTGAAAATAAAAAGAAAATCATTAAATAAAATTGAAAAACATTTAAAAAAGAGATCTGAAACTAAAGGATTCGAACTCGCATTGATAATGAACTTTTAAGTAAATCAGTTTCCCCCTAACAATAAACCACGAAAAGTTACTTCTAACAAGGAACCATTCTTTCTGTGACCACAAATTCAGTATTTTTTCGGTACCATTCGATAGAAGAAAGAGGATCACCCAATAATAAAAAGGATTACCCGAAAAATAACCTATAATTAATTCCCAAAAACTCTAATAACAAACCTTTTTGTATCAACAGTATCAGATTGAATACGCTTCAATAAAGGATCTACCAAAACATCAAAATCAACATTTGATTTTAAACTTTCAGCGAATTGATTCCAACGATTTTTTCTTTCATTTTCATCCAGATTTAGTTTTTCTAAAAAAATTTTTAAAAATTTTTCTAAAAAATAAAAAACCTCCACAAATAAATTCAACAAATTCAGTTGAATGATTAAGCAATTTAGAAAATCCAGCAATAAATTCTGTTGTATAACCTTCCACACAAATTGATTTGTGTAATTCATCATCAACTAATTTTTAATAAAAAATATTTATTTTTTAAAAATTATTTTTCAAAAAAATACTTTGTCTAATAAATTCCAAAACTCCTTTATAAAGTCGTGAACGTAAAGCTGAAGTTGTTATTTCCTGCCATATTTTTGTAGCGATTACTAAACGTTTTGCATTTAATATTTTCTTTCTTTCTTCTTCCTCCTGAAAATTTAAATGGAAAAACATTAAAAAATTTTTTTTGGATCCAGAATCAACATCAAGGTATTTTTCAGTATTCAATAATTTTTCCTTAACTCAAGGTCAAGAATCTGGTTAGGGTTCTCAATCAAACGCAAGTAATTTCCAATCTCTGATAATCACTAGTAATTTGACAAACAACACCGTTATCTTCTTTCATTTTTTATAGCCTTACATTTAATAAAAATAAACTTCTCCATCTTAATAAAAATAACACATAAAAATCAATTTTTAACCTGGTCTTCGCTATCTTCAGAATTTTGTACACTGCCCTCTTCACTACCATTCCCTCCTTTATCCAACTCATTTTGGTCTAAAAAATATATTCTTTAATAAAAAGCTAAAAGAACCTAGAATTCCCTCATCAGAAGAAAGTATTGCCAAAAGATTTTCTTCGTGTAAAAATTCTTTAAGAGGTCCAAGTCCTTCTAAACTTAAATTTTGTGAAATTCTTGAACATATTTCTTCAGCATATAAATCCAATAAATTATTTTGTTGTTCTACTTTTAATATTGGCATCTAAATTTTATTGAAAACCTAAAAGATTTAAAGTTTAAACAATTCTGTAAAAATATTCTTTTATTTAAAAAAAATAAATATCAATCAAAAATTAAATACTTTAATTTTTAATTTATAATAAAACGAGAAAACAAAAAAATAGGAAAAGCAATCGCTTATATAAATTTAAGAACGTATCAGTCAGAGAGCTTCTAGAAAAAGAAAAAAATTACTAAAAATTTCAAAGAATAAAAATCATCTAAACGGGCGAATTTCAGGTTAAGAGGGCAATAAAGAAAAAATTATTTTAAACTTTTAATTTCTTGCTGGATACGTCCTTAATTTTTAAAAGAACAGAAAAAACCTTCTACCAAAAAAAACCTTCAAATACTTTTCTCTGCAATTATTTTAGTCAAAATTTCCAATTGTTCACAAACTTTATTCATTGCTTGTGCCCTTCCAGTACTTAATAATTCTTTATTATGTCCAATTTTAACAAGTGTCTGATTGACTTGATCAATTTTTAAATCCCTCCTTCTGTCATGTATTATTTCAACTAAAAGCCTAACAACTTCTTTTTCATGAATACGCAATTCTTCAGCTAAATATGAAAGGCGAATACAAACATAAGGTTTTATAAGACGTAGAAGAACCTGAAAAAAGGGAACAATTTAGAAATTAATATATAATTTTTTCCGATTTATTTAAAATTTTGGATAACTTTTCTTACCCAAAGTTAACCAAAGAAAAATCATACTAGTGTTTTTGACCTAGAAACTGGATCCGAAACCGGAATTTAAAAACCGAATCAGAAATTTAAAACAGAGGGTTTGAGCTCCTTATAATCCTATTTTCCACACACGGAAAATATTTTAACTCCTGTGATTGAACACAGATTCTCTCAACGATAGCGTTGAATTTAAAGCGGTGTAAAACAAAATAAAAATAACTAGGGGGGTCTTAAGTATCAAAAAATCAAATAAACTAATAGCATACCTCAGTTCTAATATTAGCCAAAAGTTCTTCAATATGTTCTCTAATAAAAGGATCATCCATTACAGAAGCTCTATTAGCCTCCAAAATTTGTTCAAAACGTTGAATATCATTTTGTTGATAAGCAGCAACCATTTGTGTCATTGCCAAAATTTCTGGTTCATCTTTAAAAGCTTTAGTTTCTTGACTGTCAAAAGGGTTAATATCTGACTTCATAAGCTAAAAATGAATAAAAAAAGTCAAAAATATTTTTCAAATTATAAAAAATTTTTTTACCATATTAGCCAAAACCAAATATTTCAAACAAAGTATTCGACGAGAAGATCCACTTTCATCATAATTTTTAAACGCCCCAAAAAAATCTGTATGAGCCTTATCAAATTCAGCTATAAATTTATATTTAAAATTTGTTTTTAAAAAATTTCCAAACCATTTCTTAAATGCATTTTTCCACCACATTCTAAAAATTATTTTATTTTTAGCAAAATAATTTCGAAAAAAACCTCTAATTGTTCCCATAATTAAAGGATGAGGAATTGCACTTTTTACATGAATTGATTGGTCATAAAGTTGTTGTAAAGCTTTGTTATTCTTTTGTTCTGTATACATTTGAATTTCTAAAGCATAAATTTCCAAAAGTTGTGTTCCTTTCTTTTGATCATCCTCTCCAGATTCTGTCTAAATTTTAATTAATTTTAAAAATTTTTGTAAAAATGAAGGAAAATTTCGGGGAAATTTTTAACAAAATTTTAAAACTTTCCTAAATATATTTTCGAACTCCTAAAATTCTTAGAGTCGCTCAGAAGATTCCCGCCCGATTGCAATTTTTAAATAAAATTAAAAAAAAAACAATTTCTCTACCTGACAAGAATTTCTCAATTGTTTAAGTACTTGTTTAAGCTTGTCAAATTCTTTCATATCAAAATAAAGTTTCCCGAGTTTCGTATTTGTTTTGAACCAAAGTCTTTCGTTTCGAGCTTCCTAAAGTTTAAAAACTTTAAAAAATATAGATAAATAAAAAAACCTTTAAAGCATCAAGCGTTATTTGATAAAATTTTTGCAATAATTCTTTATTTTTAGAACCAGAAATGTGATCAAGAATTGAATTAATAGATTTTTCCGCATAATTTTTAGTTACTGCAGAACGAATATAAGTAAGCAATTGTTTGTAATGTGTCAAAACTTGTTCGAATCTTCCCTGAAAAAATTGATAAATTTGAGGAAATGAAATAGAAAATAGAGAAACGAGAATGAAGTAGTGAAAATTATCTTTCTACCCAAATTTCTCTAAATTAAAAAATATACCATAGAAAATGTCAATTTCATCATCTGCTTCAAAGCTTTAAAGCCCCAATCTCCTTTTTCAGTTTCCAATTCAAGAACACGTTGAAACGAAGTTAAAGCTGCAGACTGATTCCCTTCAGATTTCAAAGCCTTCGCTGCATAATATTGATTTTCCAAAGCAACATCAGGTTCGCTTCCAGAATCGTCAGAATATTGCTAAAAATATGGGAAAATTTGAGAAAATATTTCCACCAAATTTATTCATTTACCAAACCATAATCCTCATCATCCATATCAAAATCACTCATTTTTGTTTAAAATAAATAAAGAATTAATCAATTACCTATAAAAACAAAAAAAATTAAAGTATTGAAGAAAAAAAATTTTCAAAAAAAATTTTTGAAGACAAAGAAAATTTTAAACTTTCCAAATATTCGCCCTTGTATAGTAATTTGGCAAAATGATTTTTAATTTGCAAATAAATTTCAATTTGGTAACTTCTTCAAAATTTCATTTGACCTACTCTTAATTAGGTCAAAAGTAAGAAAATTTTTAATAAGTACAACATTTTTACAAAATCTGATCCTTAAAATTTTTTTCAAGTGCTTAAAAATAAGCAAACTTCAACTTTAAAAAATAAAATTCTTTTTAAAATTAACAAACATTTTATTTTCTTTTTTAAACAAAATTATTAACAGTCATTTCTCTTATATAAAAAATTATATTTATTTTTAATTTATAAATAACCTTCAATAAACAAAAAAATGTGTAACGAACATTTATTTATTTATTTATAACTTTTACATATATATTCTACAAAAAAAACATTAAAAGAGTCTTTTTTCCATTTTCTCTAACCGGTTCTCTCTTTTTTTCCTATTGACAAGTTATCAGAGCCATTTATTCAATTTACTCATTGCTTTTTCGATCGAATAGAAAATTGTGACTATTTTTTATATTTTTAATTTTTTTATTTCAGATTTTGCATAATTTAATTACAAAAAAAATATTTTTTTCATCAAATGCTTCTTAACTTTCCAGCAATTTTATTGACTTTTATTTTTATTTTCCAATTTTCAAGTTCTCCAATTTTGGCTGAACAACGTGACATTTGGGATGAAATTAAAGATATGGATCTTTTTTATATCAAGTTTGTTTTTTTTGAAATTTTTTAAATTTGAATAAACATTTTTTAAAGTCGTGGTTCTTATGCTTGTCCATTACCTGTTGTAGGTGAACGTTGTCCAGAGTCTAATTGGCTGTTCTATTTTCGTTGTTGTGGGGAGCTTAACACAAATTGTTGTTTCCGACTGCAGGTTATTTTTTTGATAAAAAACTAATTTTTGGTATTAGTAGGGTTTGGGGGTTTTAACTACTCCGTCATTTTGTTTAAACCAAGAAAATATAAAGGAAGCCTGATCCAAATTTTTTTTCTGTTTTTTTAGCCTCTATATTCTTTATTTGACATATTTTATATTCAAAAAATTTTTGGGAATTAAATTAAATTTTTTGGACTTATTTTGATCCAAAAGATATTTTAAAATTCAATCATTTTTTAACTTCCCTCTCTTCTAAGAATTTATTTTATTTTTCAGGATTGGGCCGTTTTCTTAATTGCACTTTTTGTAGTTCTGATTATAATTAGTGCTTTTGTTAACCTTCTTCGCTGTATTTTTTGTCACTAAAATGATTTCTGACTGATTGACACAATCAACAATTCAATCCTCTTTTCAAGCTCAGAAAACAATTTTTGGCGCTAAAAAATGAAAAAAAACCTTAAAAAATAATTGATATTTTTTTTATTCTTTCAGTATTTTATCGGCGTTTTCTCTTGTTTAATTTTTTAATTTTAACGCCACATATCTACTTAAAAATGCATTTTTTTAATTCTTAAAAATCACCTTAAATTTAAAAAATTTTTGAAGTAAGTTTTTAAATTTTGGTGATTTTTGTAGTTTTTTGCTTAAAAATCAAGCTTTTTATTTAACAAATCTCTCTCATTTTTAAATATATCATGAAATTTTTACCAAATTTGCAAAATTGAGAATTTTAAATTTTTTAAAAAATTTTCTCTTTAATGATTTTCTTGAATTTTTAGAAATAAAAAAATTTTTTTTGGTAAGTATTTCATGGTGGTTATTATTCTAGTACTCTTTGACTATATTGGCAATATATTTATAAATTGATTTTTATTGGAAAAAATTTTTAAGAACAGGAAATTGGACAGTAAAAATTTTTTCGAATTTTTCCAATAATTATAAAACGTCCTCTGATTTGTCTTTTTGCATTTTTTTATTTTAAAATAAATTGAAAAAAGAATTTTCAAAAGATTTTTGTAGTATAATTTAATTTTAAAAAAAACTTAGGGGGGTATTTTATTTAAATTTTAAAAAATATTCTTTCCCCTTTTTACTCCAATTTCGTTAATTTTTCCTTTTTTAACTTTTAACAATTTTTCCCCTTTTACAAAATTAATTTTTTTGTCCAAAGATTAGAAAATATTTAATTGGCATTTCCCGCGCATTGTAAAAAAAGAAAAGAAAACCTTTCTGGTCATTTTCCAATTTAATTATTAATGACTGACCGGGAAAGGGAAAGGCATAAAAATATTGTCAAGACTTAATAAAGAAGTGCAAAATAAAAACAAATATATTTTTATTTAAAGCCAATTTTTTTATTCTCCCAACCAAACCACCTGCCTAGCACGGCGCCAATTATTTTTAAAGCAAAAATTCTTTTTTTTCTCTCAACAAAATTGTTGGCACACACAAATTTTGGGGTTTCTTAGAACCAGCCGATGGTCAAGTTGAAAGAAAAGAATTTAAAGAAGTTACCTGGACAACAAGAAGAAAAATAAAAAAAAAGAAAATTATTTTTAATGTCCATTGTTGTTATTTTGAAAAATATTTTTAAAGTTTTGTTGAGAAAATACAAACAATAAAAATAAAATATATTTTTAAAAATTATTTATTTTCTCTAAAAAAAGATAAAAATAAGATGAAAGGAGATTTTAAATTTTAAAATTAAAAAAATTATTTTAGAAATGTCTCCCCAACAAAATAATTTATTTTCTTTTTTAATTAAACTTGCAAAAATTGTACTTTTCATCATTTGTACAATATGTTGGGTTTTTCAGAGTTTACCTTTACTTAAAGTTTATTTAGATGGGAAACATTTTGAACTGAAAAAGATGTAAATGTTTTTATTAGTTTTAAAACTTGAAAGGGTTGTTGTTCAAAACAAGGTTTATGAACAAGTTTTATTTAAAGTTTATTTAAAAAACTTTAAATAAAACTTGTTCACAAACTTTGTTCTGAACAACATTAAAATTAAGAAAACTTTATTAGAAACAATTACCAACTTTAAAATAAACTTTCTGAAACTTGTTTTTGAACATTAAAACAAACAAATCATTCTCTTTTTTAACATTATTTAAAGTTTATTTTCTGATAGTTAATTTTCAATTAAATACCTCCTAGTTAAAGGAATAAAAAGAAGAATACCTAGATAATTTCTAAATATTTGTAATAAAAATAATTTCAGCCATATTGCCAGTGAATTAACACTCCCTCATCTACTTTTTTGCAATCGTTTCCCATTTACTCAAGCCGGACTTTCGTCTCTTGGCCAACAATTCAACCGTGACTCTGTTCTTTCATATCTTCGTCAATGGCTCGATCCCTCACTGGGAGCAAACCCTCCTGAAGATTCTTTGGCTGTTCCCTTATCTGAACTTGATAGACAACAAGCAGAACAAACAATTGCTCAATTATTACCAAATGGAAGATTAAAACAAAGACTGGAACAATTAATGCCTCAATGTGGAGAAATGGCTAGTCTTTTAATTTGAATATTAATTTCGTGAGAGTTTTAACTCTGAAACTTTTCTGATTTATTATATTCTCTTAGGAATATTATAATTCTGATTTATTATTTTCTTTCCGGAAAATTTTAATTTATTATATTCCTTCCGGAAACAATTCTGAGTTATTTTCTCTCCGGAAACCTAATTCTGTTTTATTATATTCTTCCCGGAAAATATGGTATTCTGATCTAAAATCAGAATCTATCTAAATTAAAATCAGAATTTAAACACTCTTAAATAATTTATAGGTCTCCAGTTGTGTAATTGGTTCTAGACAAATGGGTGGATTTGATTGTTGTAAAATGGTACAACCATGGTTGGCAACACCCAGAGGAGGTATTTGTTGGCCTTTTGTAGGAAATCTCTCTTCAGTGCAAAATCCAATGGAATCACCTAGAGGGATGCAAATAACATTTCAAGTACTTTAATTAAAAAATAAAAATACTTCTTTTAAAAAGATTTCTCGTAATTCCTTCCTTTCTTCTTCTCTATCTGTCCATCCTGGAATTGATATATTCCTTGTACCAGCAGAACTACAGAATCGGTTATTGGTAGCAATAATGCATGGAGAGGCACATCCATTAAATGATAAAAAATCGCTGAGGATGGATATTAGAAGAGAGGTAGAATAATTATTTTATATTCTGATTTTGTGTTCCGGAAAAATATATTTCTATTTCATAGTTATTTGCTTTCCGGAAAATTTAATAATAATAATTACTTTTTCCGGAAAGTCGTATTTCAGAGTTATTTTTTCTGATTATTGTCTTTCTGGAATATTATAATTCTGATTTTATGTTCCGGAAAATATAGACGTTTTTCATAGTTATTTTCTTTCCGGAAAATTTAATAATAATTACTTTTTCCGGAAAGTTGTATTTCAGAGTTATTTTTCTCATACTTATTTTCTTTCCGGAATATTATAATTCTGATTTTTTATTTTCTTTCCAGAAATTCTGTTTTTATTAATATTTTAATATAATTCTGAAAACAGAATCGTGTTTTCGATCATTACTCAACAATATCTTCATGCCGTTCTACAGATAATTATGCAATTAATTCAGAGAAACTTGTTCCGGAAGCTAGTGCTGGTTTTCTCTGTATGTTAGAGACTGCTGTGGGTAGGAGCCTAATTTTATTTTTCAAGTTTACCAATTTTTAAAGAAACGTGTTCATGTGTTCCAATGTTATTAGTTCTTTGGACACTTCAAAATGACTTGAATAGGTAATTTTTATATATTTTTTAAATTTACAATTAATTAAAATAATTTTTAAATTTTCTTTTCAGTTATTTCCTTCGTCGTTTTAATGCATCCACGATTTGTACAGTAGGCGAATTTGAACGTTGTGTTCGTCCATTTATTGAATTTGATTATTATGGAAGTGAATATAATCAACTACCAACTAATAATGCATTCTCAACAATTAATAAAGCTATTAATAAATGCAAAAAGTAAAACATACTTTTAATTCTAAAAATATTAAGAAAAGCTTGACTTAAAAGCTCTTATAAATTTTTTCCGGAAAGTTGTATTTCAGAGTTATTTTCCGGTAGATAATTCTGAAAATGAGAGTTATTTTCTGTCCGGCAAATAAATTATAGGTATTGGTTATTTTCTTCAAGAAAAGTTAATTTCGGGTTATACTGTTTTCCGGAAAGATAAAATTCTGATTTATTATTTTATTAAAAATTCTGAAAATATTCATTTTAATTTAATAGAGAATCTTCTGTACCTTGTCATACAACATATTTTCCCACAAAAATCCAAGAAAGGGATTTGCCTGCAGAATACAGAAATACTCAAGTTAATTCTTTAAAAAATATTTTTTTACTTAAAATTTAAGGACTATGTTTCACGGGCATCTATTTCTTTCGAAACCTTTACTGTTACAGAATTATTTTCAGTCCCACAAATGGATATTTATCAATTATTTAGAGAAATATGTTTAAATTTATGGTGTTTTGCTATTGCATATTTACTTTGGTTTGAAATATTTCTTCTTATTTTAATATGGAAATACTTCCGGAAAATTATATTCATCTATCATCTTTCCGGAAATTTATTCTGATTTTGTATTCCTCTGATATTAAAATTTTTATATATTTCCGGAAATATATTTCCGGAAAGTTCCGGAAAAGTAATAATTCTGATTTATCTATAAATTTCAGAATTTTATATTATTTTATAATTCTCCCTTCTTATTTTTAGGAGGATAATAATTTGGAATTTTTGTTACTTATTTAATAACAAATTGGAAGGAAACAACAGAATTGAACCAAAAAGTCCAATGATACCTCCAGTAGAAACACAACAACAACAACAAAATAATAACAATAATAATCATCACCAATCTAATGGCCAACAACAACAAATCGTTTCCTTATCTTCCCCCAAAGGTGTCCGACAACCTTTGGTTGCTGGAAGTGCTCGTCAATTACCTCCATTGGCTATTATTGGAGAAGGGGAGTTGAAACAAAGAAGTGTTTTAGATTGTGATGAACGATAAAAAAACTTTAAAGAGAATTTCTTGAAAAAATTATTTTCAATTTTTTATTTTAAACTACCATAGAATCTCTATTATAATGTCCCCTACATTTGAATGAACCTTCCGGGGGTGATTGAAAAATAGAATTCCCGGGCGCTCTATTAGAGATTTTATGGTAAATTTATAATTATTTCTCCTTCATATTTTCATTTTAGTATTTTTATTTAAGTTAATATTGAATATATTTATTTTTCCCTTAATTAAAAATATATTTAAAAGTTTCAACTTTTTTATACAAATTTTGGAAAAGATTAAAAATAAAAAAAAACAAAACATTTGATTAAAAAAAGAGAAAAATATATAAAAAAATCAAAATCCAAAAACAAAATTTCTAAAAAAAAATATATATTTTGACGTTTAAAAAAGTGAGTGAAATATAAAAAGTAGACAATATTTATAATTTACATTTTTGAGGAATAAAAAATATTTTTTATTGGAAGGAGTTGAAGAGAGAGAAAGTTTATAAAACTTGGTTTTTAAAATTTGTCCAGAAACAAGTTTTATTTCAAGTTTTGCTTCAAGTTTTAACAAGTTTTATTTCAAGTTTTTTAAAAAACTTGAAATATAAAAATAAGTTTTAAAAACAAGTTTTGCTTTGTAACTCCTATAAATTAAAATAATATATAAAAAATTATAATAGAGTTTAGAATAAATTAGCTGTTTTAGTTTTTAATTGTATCAAATAGGTAACGTGCAAAACTCAAAATTTTGAGGAAATGAAACAGATTAAAGAGAACACTGCTATGCATAAGCCCGCGATATTTTAAAGGACAAAAGTGTGTTTATTTTTTGTTTGAAATTAAAAATCAAAAGTTAAACATTAAATGACAATCAAAAACACACACACATATTTTTTAGAGGAAAAGGGTTTACGAAGCGTTTGAGCAAACAATTTTTTTGTAGAAAATTTTTTTATGAGGAAATAGGAGTTAATAAATATTTGAAACAAAAAAATAATAAATTACTACATAAAAGGAAAAGAAGAAACACGCAAGAGGAGGAATGAAAAACATTAAAAATTATGAGGAAAACAAGTTTAATTTTAATGTAATTTTAATTTCAAACTTGTTTTTCGGAAAGTTTATTTTAAGGAAAACAAACTTGTTTTAAATAAACTTGTTCTAAAATAAACTTGTTTTCTTCAAACATTTAACCAATTTATTTAAAAACTTTAATTTACTGACGTATTGTTGTCTGTCGATGAATTGTCCATTGCTGGATTTTCCGAAACTTTTTTATTTGTTTGTCTTTTCTGAGACCAACTTTTTTTAGGGGAAGAAGTTTCAGAAGTGTTTGTTGTTGTTGCTGTTGGTCTTTTTCTACCCCTCTTTTTAGGTATTGGAGTTTCATTATTTGTTGTTGTTGTTGTTGAATTATTAATAATATTATTTTCATTTTTATACATCCATGGATCACACCCATTTTGTTGTGTTGAAGGAATAATTTTTATTCCTTTATTTTCTGTTGGGGTTTCTGAAGTATTTTTATTGGAATAACAATTTTCAGTTCCTCCATTATATAATGCTCTAAGAGCTGTTGTAGAAGTTGAATGATGATGATGTGGAATAGAAGAGTAAGATGTTGAATAAATAGATGATGGAGCTGCTAAAGTTAAAGCTGACGTTAATTCGTCTGAAGAATTGAGAGAACTGAAAGAAAAGAAATTTTTTTAAATAAAAATCATTATTATATTATAGTTAGCTTTTAAATAGTTTCTAAATTCTCTTTACTAGAGGAATGATGTTTTAAGTGTTATCAATTAAATTTTAAAAATTCGGAGGTAATCAGCATGGTAGATATATAGGATGGGACGGGTTAGGGGATTAAATTAATGCCAAAGATTAACGCCCAAAGACCGACACTCAAATCTTTGAAATTCGTCAGATTTTTTCGAACCAACCAAACTCTGATAGACATATTCAAATTAAGAGTTAATGTTAAAATTTATTTTAGAAGATTTAGAAAATTTACAAATGTCTAGTAGATGATTGAAATTCCATTTTTTGTTTACTAAAATCCATTTGATGTCCATATCCCCCAACACCACAATTATTATTATTATTGTTGCTAGAATTATTAGAATTTCCTCCTCCTTCATTTATAGATTCATCCCCATTCAATAATTTTGGAGACGATTTTTGTTGCTCCTGTTGTTCATCTCCAATATTTTTTTCTGTTCTTTTATTTGTGGTTAAAGTTACAAGTTCTTCATTATTTGGATCCCCTCCTGTTCCTCCTCCATTTTCTCCTTTTTGCATTTCATAAAGAATGTCAGAAACCATAGCAGCAACTCGGGAATCCATCTTTTTTTTAAAAAAATTTTTAATTTAGAATATGTATTATTTTCACGTATTTTTAGATAACCAAGGATACACAAGAAACCGTGGAAGGAAGAATTCAGTTCATTTTTTATTTTTCACAAAAAAACATAAATTTATTCTCCTTTGAAAATTCTCTGGATACGTCCTCGATCAATGACATCGAGTCTAGTGATCCCAGGTTGATAAACCCTAAGAAATTTTGTATTCCCAACCCCTAACAAAATAAAAAAACGAACAAAATGTGAAACAGTAAATTGCAGCAAACGATGCTGAAGTCGTTGAAAATGTTTTCGACATTGTTCATGCCTTACAATATGTGTCATAATCAAAGTTGATCGACGGAGCATTCCCACAGAAGTTCCAATAATTTCAGGGTTTTCTCTTAAAGCATGGATGCCTTGATGTTGAGCAATCTCAAAAAAAATAATTTAAATACAAAAATTCTAATTTTTTTTTAAATTTACTTGTGTCATGTTAGCATCTGCCGCTTCCAAAAACGAAACAAGATGATCCAATAATGAAGTTTCATCAGTTACAACATGACAAACAGGTTCACTAGCGGCACATAAAGCATTCAAAATAACTATAGCAAATTCTCGTACTGGAGGTTCTTCACAAATTAATGAACAGAGTTGTCTCACAAATTCTTCAATACGGCTCCACGGCCCCGTAGCCAAAAGAAGATCGATATTTCTTTCAAGAACGCTCATTTTGCAGAAAATTTCCAATACATAATGTTTGGGTGAAATAGCTCCAAAAGGAGGTAATGGATCCCTTGCTGCCAAATCTGTACAGACAGACCAATGGAGGAGAGCATCAAAAATTGGGAAAGAAATTTCGCTGTCAACCTCATACAAGTCCAACTAAAAAGACAAAAAAATATTTTTATTTTCACTCCAATTCTTGACCTGTGGAGAAATATGAGCAAGAATAGTAAAAGCATCATCACGTAATTGGTTTGCCACTTCCAACAACCATTTTTCTTGTGTATCTTTTTCTGCTGGGACGGCAGAGACAGTAGAAGCGTTACTTGTGCTGCTAACGACAGATTTGCTGATATCACCAGGTTCAGTTTTAATTGATTCTTCAGGTGGAGGGCGAGGGAAAGAAAATTGACGAGGAGCCTAAAATAATAAAGAAACAATGTTAACTTATTAAATAAGGATGCAGCGTTCTCTAATTCTTAAAATATTTTTAACCCTCCAAATAAAATTTTAATTTAAAATTTTAATCAAAAAGGCTTTCAATTGTCCCATAAAAAATAAATTCTCAAACCTCTCCAGGTGTTCGTTTTCTACTTTGATCACTACAATGAAGCATCAAAATAGCAGCCAACAGCCTTAACAATCCTTCATGTTGAGACAAAACTTTCTGTTCACCAAGAAATGAAAAACCACGGAAAATATTTGACAAAGCTAAACAACGATCTATCAATTCTTGGGTTAATGCTGCTGAAGAAACAGAAGAGGTAATAGAACGTTGATTACACAATACAGGTTGTCTACTAATTAAAGAACATTCATCCATACTATAACGATCCCAATTTTCCCATTGAAGAGGTTTTCTGTAAAAGAAAGGTATTTTTGTTTTTGTTGTTGAATCATCTTCATTCTTCTTATTTTCATTCTCCCCATTTTCTTCTTCAACTTTTTCTTTCTTAACAGAATCTTTATTAAATTTCTCTTCTTCTAAATTCTCCTTCTCTTCATTTTCTAAATTATTTTCTTCATTTTTTTCCTTTTTGAAGCGAGGAGCAAGTTTAGACAATGATTGACGAGAATTGATGTGATCCAGCATTGATTGCCTTATTCGTTCTATAAAAGCAGTTCTCCAAGTTGTTTTTGAATATTCTGGAATAAAACAATTATTAGTTTTTCTAAAACTTGAATTTAAACAGAAATTAAAGTTTAATTTCTTCAAGTTTTTAATAAAAACAAGTTTTAATTATTCTACATGTTTTAATTAAAGTTTTAATTCCAAGTTTTATTTTAAGGTTTTTGTTGTTTTTAATTTTGTTTTCAATTTTAAATTAAAGTTTATTTTCAAGTTTTAATCTCAAGTTTTATTTCAACATGTTTTAATGTTTTATTTCAAGTTTAATTCCAAACATAAATTTTTTTTTGTTTCCGTGTTTTAATTAAAGTTTTTATTCCAAGTTTTAATTTTAAAAAACAAATTCCAACCCAAATTCTGATTTTGTTCTTCTCTCTCATCATTAAATGTTTCTTCATTCTCTGTCTTCTCTAACTGTAAAACTAATTCAGGCGGAATTTCTGTTGTCATGTCTAATTTTACTTGGCGTCCAAGTCGTGAAACCAAAGTAAAATTAGGTGTTGTAGTAGAAACATTATTTGTTCCAATATTAGCAAATGAAGTTGAAGGCGAAGGATATAAAGGCGGTGGGCGAACCATTAAAGAGACTGGCTCGATTTTTGGCTGATTTGTTGTTAGATTTTTTGAATTTTTTGTTGTTAAAGAATTTCGTTTTGTTAATATTTTTGATGAAGAAAAATTTAACAAATTTTCCTAAATTTTTTAAATTGTTTTTAAATTAAAAAATTAAAAAAAGCAAACAAACATCAAAATTTTTAGGAAATAAAAGGCTTAGCACCGCAGCAAAATGTTCAACCAACAAATTAAGAAATTCAGGTGTTTGTGAAAATGAAGGATAACAATTTGGAGTTGTATCATCATATAATTGGATATTTAACGCATTTAATGCCCAACATGTTTCCACATGTAAAGCACTTCGTAAAGCCATAATAATACGTGAAGGGGTGACCTAAAAATGAAAAAAAGTTTTTTTTTAATATTTTCAAAATTTAAAAATTTTAGAAAATTTTTAAAAATCTCAAAATCATTTATCAAGAATCCAAAAAAAAATACAAAAAACCCAAACCCCTTGCAAATCACGTGCATAAACTTTAGGTCTCCTATATCGCTGTTGCTGTATTTGTGATTGTTGTTGTTGAACGTGTGTAATTGCTTGAGCCTCTAATGTATAGGGACCAAAAGGAGGTTGTTGTGCTGATAATGTTGACGACCCAAACCAAGCTGGAAATTGTTGGGGAGGCTGTGGATTTGTGTAGGCAGCAACTGGGACAGATGGAGCTATTGGTAACATTCCAGGACCTTGAAAAGAAATTTTTATAGAAAACCGAAAAATATGACAAATATAAGGAATATCCAACTGAAGTTTAAGGGATAGTAGAGGACTTGGTTTTTAAGACAAAGAAGTTAAATTAGTATAGGTTTACTTTTAATTTACCAATTATCAAAAAATATATCCTAATATATACCAGCATTTCTCCCTTTTGAGTGGTGCTTGCCAGAACTTTGCGGGTGTAGTTGCGGCTGTGAAGCAGCCAAAAGTTGCGGGGAATTCACAGCTCCAATAGGCATATTTGGTTGTTGTTGAGAAGTTGATTGTTGTGAATAAGGATGTGAAAAACGATTAATTGGAGTTCCAACAGTCGGTGGTTGTTGATGATGATAACGTACAACTGCTGCAGGATTTTGCATTCCTCCATATGGTGACCAAACTTGTGGCTTTAAAGAAAGAATTTTTTAATGAAATTGAGGACGCATAAACACTATAAATTTGTCAAATTTTAGGTGGAAGTTTGGGAAGCTTCAGAAATGGACCCATAATACTGTATTAAAAAGTAGGCTGACTCGATTATGTTAATTCTATCTCGGTCCTGAAAATCTTCGTCTTGTACAGCTCCAATAAATTTAATACTAACTCCAATAAAAAATATCAAACAAACCTGTTGTGGCATTCTAGGTGTGCCTCCATACATTCCCTGAGCATAATCAGAAGACGACGGCAAACTCCCTGGAGAAAAACGAGGGACATAAAGTGAAGGATGCGGTATCTGGTGTTGGTAATAACTGCCAGACGATGGTGGAATTGCATTTGGTGGGTTTCTAGAAAATAGAATTTAAAAACAATTAGAAAGTTAAATAAACCCCATAGCATTAGGAGGGTAGGTAGAAGCATTTGAAGTCGACAGATTATTACTTCCTCCTTTAGCCTCTTTTTGAACAGTATCTCCTCCTCCTCCATCTATTTCACATCCATCAACCCTTTTAGAAGATTCATTTTGTTGTTGTTGTTGTTGATAATCTGTTGTGACTGTAGAAGGTGCTCTGTTTTGTTGTTGGGCATCGGGTGGCGCTGGAGTCGATGACAAGCGTGATGATGAAGTTGAAGAAGGAATAATGCGTCCTTGTTGTTGTTGTAATTGTTGATGTTCATCTTCCGCCTTTTTTAAAATGGGATTAAAAATTATTAACGGTTAATTGAATATGGTAAGAGAACCGGCTGACCATGGTTACTATCGTGCGGAGAATATATTTAAAAATACACCAGGATTTTTGAAATTTCCTTATTTAGATTTCAGCTTGGGTTTCTTATCACAAATATAGATAATTCCACAAAAATAAGACAAATAAGAACAATTTCAGTCCAATACCTAACTGGATAGCTTTACTCTGACTTGCAAAAAAATGCAATAAGGGAACACTACTTCTATTGAATAAAGGATTTCCACTAAAAAAAAAAGAAAAATTCTAAAAAAATACATCATTCAAAAACTAAAATAAACAAATAATTTTTAATAGTCCCTCCACTCCTCCCCCTAAAAAACATTTTCATAAATAATATAATTAAATATTTATTTTTTCCTTTTTATTCTTTAGTCATCCTTTATTCATGTGAATTATTTATTTACAATTTTTTTCTTTTCATGTAAACAAGTTCCCATAATAAAAAAATTTTATTTTAGAGATTCCCCTTTCAAAACACGTGACTAAAAGGAAACATTAAATAATTATTTTACGCTCAAAATTGATCTTTTTTTTGGCTCGACTAATTAATTTTTAGCAAAAAATTTTTGGAGAAAAAATATTTTTTGAAAAAATTTTTGTTTTATTTGTTTAGATTGAGGAAATATTTTTTAATAAATTTTAGCAATTAAATTAAAAATATAGGTAAAATACCTGTTGTTGCTTTCCAGAAACAGTTGAAGGATTTGTAGGTGATGGTTGTTGAGGTCCCCTCATTCTTTGCTGAAGAAACATTTGTTGTTGGTAAGCATTCCATTGCGAAGAAGGCAAATATTGACCGCCAGGACCAAAATGTTGTGGAGGTGGGGGATACCCAGCAGCTGGAGATGCTCCGAAATCGCCTGGTGCAGGTTGAAAAGAGTAGCCTAAAATAAAGTAAAATTATTTAAAAAAAATTATTTTTAATAGAATTTTTAATAAAATTTTTAAAAAATTTTTGATTAGAAATTTTGTTTAAAAACCGCTATTAGATGCGCCACTTAAATATCGTGCAGCAAGTTGCTGTCTTTGATAAAGTTTCAATCTAACAGCATTTTGCTGTTGATGGTAATTATACCAAGCATAAGAGGAGGAGGAGGCATTATTAGCCTCATCGGGGGTTTTTGATGTTGAGGGAGAAGAATCTAAGCTTTGAGAGTTTTGAAGGGTTGGTTGTATGTTTGTTGTGACTGGAGTATCTTTTGAAGTATAATTAACAGAATTTGTGGTGGCTGATTGAGGCTGTTGTTTCTGTTGGTTTTGTTGTTGATAATTTGCCCAGTTTTTTACAGGCCATCCCCAATTATTTGTTGGCCAATAACTCAAAGTGGGGTATGAAGAATAGGCATAATAATTCGATTCTGAAGAAGGATAGCCATTAGAAGCAAAATATGGAGAATATTGAGGCCATTGCTGATGAGGCCAATAACGGTAAAACTGTTGAGCTCTCTGCTGGTTTTGAAGAGTCGAAGTTGAGGTATTAGAATAAGCAGGGGCCGAAGCGGAAGTACTTGGAACAGCCTGACATCCCTCAGATGTTGTGGCAATTCCGCCATTTACTAAATCCTTTCCAACAGCCACAAATTGATGTTGTTGTTGAATGGCAGTGGTAGAAGCCGTTTCTTTTGAATTTTTAAAACAAATGTTGGTAGAAGGTGAATTGTCGTTATTAGAATTATTATTAGCCGTTTTTCTTGAATTAATTGTTGCCAAGTTTTTTTATTTAAAATATGAGAAAACTTGTTTTTAAAAACTTGTTTTTATTCAAGTTTAATTTATTTTGTTTCATTTAAAGTTGCATTAAAATAAAACAGGCGGAATTTAAAAAAACTTTAATGTTTCTTTCTTAAAAGAACTTTTTTTAAAAACCTATCAAATAAAACTTTTTCTTTGATTAATAAATAAATTAAAAAAGGGAATTAATGCTAGAAAAAGAAACAACAAAAAATAAATAAATAAAAGCAATTAAATTTTTAATAGACAAAAAAGGAAAAAATATGAAAAAAATGGAAAGCAGATTAAAAATAAAAAATAATTTATTTCCTGAGCTAATAATATTTTTTTGTTCTTTAATGTTTTTGAATAATTTTTTTTCTTCATTTATTTATTTAATTTTCTTTGAGGGTGCGCGACATAAAATAATAAATAATATTTTTTTAATTTTAAAACAATTTTCATTTTATATTAGAGTAAAAGGCAATTTTATTTTTTATTTTTAAATGCCTAATAGAGGAGAGGAAAAAGTGAAGTCTTGTGTGTCATGCCAACAAAAACCTTTCTTTCCTCTCCCTTTCTTCAATTGCCGTTAAAAAAGAGAAAATTATATGATCCACCCTTCCTCCTCTTTTTTCAAAATTAATTCCTTCATATATTAAAAGACAACTTCGCGCACTAAGTAAGGCAAAGTAAAGCCTCCCTCCCCACTTATCGTTGTTGTGTGGCACCTCTTTCTAATAAAGTAAAGAAATTTTTAAAAGGGTTTTGAGGAGCGTGTTAGCGACGGTTTTTCCTTCTTTTTTTGATGCCATTTTATGAAAAAAATACAAATCCCCACCACTTCCTTTTTGTTTTACACACACCCCTCCCCCTATTATTATTTCTTTCAAACGGAACTAGCACCACAACTTCTTCTTGTCCCCACCAATACCCACACTCCCCCCAATTTTTAAAAGCCTCAAAACTATTCATTTTTTTCCTTCCTTTCTCGCGCGAATGCTTTTTGTCCCCTGTTGGAAAATTAATTCCTTTCTCACTTTTTTTACTGTCACCCTTCCTCCCCTTGTTATATCCCCTCTTTTAACTTTACATATTCTGCTACTACCACCTAATAATTTTAAGTCTCTAAATATAAAAGTTATTAAAAGGAAGAAAGAAACACCCGTAGCAACCAAAAATTCTTTTCTCAATTATTGCCAGATGGTTTAAAATAATTTTACTTAATCGCGCAGTTCCATGGCATTTTAAAGAAAGAAAAAAATTTTTTTGGCAAACGTGTGAACAATAAACTGACTTTTTACTCAAAATTCTCCCACAAATAAAAATTTTAAAAAATATAAAAAATATCACGCAATGAGTGAAATAATAATAAAATTATGAAGAAAAGATTTAATTAAAAAAAAAAATTAAAAAGAGAAAACGAAAAAAAGAGGAAGTTTTTAAGTTAATAATTTTTATATTCAAACAATTTATATTTTAAATAAATAATTACCCATTTACAATTTTTTTTTATTAATTTTCATTTTTAGTAAAGCTTATTAAAATTTACAATTCTTTCCATTTTTATTTATTTAAAATACTAACTAAAATAAAATTAATAAAATGAACACCTGCAATCATATAAAATTTTACCTCTTAAAAATTAAATTAAACTACTAAAATTTCTAAAAACTAAAGAAAATACCAAAAATTCCCCCTATCCTTTTCTCTCTCTGGTCAAAAAAAAATTTTTTTTGACAAAATTTTCCTAAAAAATGTTTTTATAACGTTTCTTTAACTATAACTTGAGAAATTAAAAAAAACTAAAATATATCTAATTAATATATTCAAAATTTCTTTTAAATCAAAAAATCTTTTCCAGAAAAACGAGAATATTATTTTTTCTTTTATTGTTTAAAAACACTTTTCAATACTTAATGTTGCCATTAATGTTTCAAATCCCCCCTTCTCTTTCTCATAATTTTTAATTTAATTTTCCTTTCCATAAAAATATGAAAAAAAATTTTCCAAAAATAAAAAAAACATTTTCTTTTTTCATTCACTCAATAAAAAGAATTAATATATTTTAAAAATAAAAACTTCCTCCTTTTCCCTCTCCCCTCCTTTTCCGTTTTAAAAATTAAATGCCTCGATAAATAAATATATTTTTTAAAAAGCAAAAAATGAGAATCTTCTTTTTTTAGAGAAATTGAGTACATTTGCACTCAAAAAAGAAAAAAAATAAAAATAATAAAAAAATTCCTTTTTTCCCCCATTCATTATATTTTTAAAAACCTAATTATAAATCTATTCATTTTATTTCTACAAAAAAAACGATTTTTTTTCGTTCTTTTTTCTATTATAAATGACTCAATTTATTTTTAATTTATTTAATTTTTTTAAAATTAAACCAACAAAAATTGATTGAGTTTCCTAACTTTTACTTTACCAAATAAATGATTTTAAATTATTTGTAATTTTTTTAAAGACATTTTTATTTTTTAAACAATCAAACCTAACTATAGATACCCGCAGAATTAAAAAACAACTCAATTTAAGACACGTTTTCTTTTTAATTTAGTTGACAATGTTGGGGAGCTATTTAAGCATTATCCCCAATTAAATGTATCTCTCCTTTTAAAATATGATTTTCTCGCCCAAAGGAACATCTTATAGTGAGGTCCGACTGATTAATATAATACTTATCTCTTCCCTCTAGTAAAAAGTTAGGATACCCAATCAAAAAATAATTTTTTAACGAACCTTGTGTTGGAGGATAAGCATTAACAACACTTCCAAATGGAGAAGGTCTTTGTGGTTGTTGTTGTTCTCCTTTAATTTGTTGTTGTTGTTCCTCTTTGCCAGCTATAGAAGATGAAGTACTTGATGAAGGAGTACCAGGACCTCCAGCTGTAGGTATCGGTGTTGCTGCTGTTGGGGGAATAATTTCTTTTTCTTTTTTCTTCTTTTTTTGTTTTTCAGCAAATTCAACCAATTCTTTTATATTTTGGCCAGTTTCAAGGCATTCCAATCTTAATAAATATTTTTGATAATGCTTGCGTAGTTGAAAGCCTGCTGCTGATGATTGTTGCATTTCAGTATTTGCATCAACACATAAATTTTTCCAAATTTTGTCGCGAATTGTCTGTAAAAATATTTTTACTTAAAATTAACCAAGCACATAACCCGCACCAAAAAATTTCGTTTAAAAATTCGAAAACTTAAAAACCAAAACCTCCCAAAAGAAATTTTATAATCATTCCAGGAAGCCAAAAAAGGCCCAAAACCCTCTAGCATCAAAAAATCATTTTAAACTTTAAAAAAATCAAAAATAATTTTTTAACCTTCTCAAATCCTCCACGTAATTTAACAGCATAATAAAGCGAGTATAAATCCACTGGTGATTTAGAAACTTGTGGTGGACCACTCAAAACTTCTCCATGTTGTTCATTTAACATTACAAGCCTTTCAAAAAATAAACGTCTTTCATACACCAATTCTGGAGTTATTTGTTGTTTTGGGTTAGATATTTGCATTACTAATTTGTCTACTGATTCTCTTTGAGAAGGTTTAATGCCTGGATGAATATTAGCACCTCCAAGAAGTGATGGATGTCCTCCACTAACTATTCCATTTTGCCCTCCAGAAGGAAGTTGTTGTGGTGCTTGAGCATGTTGTTGTAAGGAAGATGAAGCAATATATATATTACTTGGATGGGCTAAAAAAAGAAAATTATTTTAACATGAAGGACGTGGTTACAGGACTATTACGGGAAAACGAGTCAATAAGAAAATTCTCTTCCCAACGAGAATCCCCAAAATAGTATTTAAAAACTTACGCGGAAATGTGGAAGGATGTGGTGCCGCCATGTGATATTGATACATCGCTTGTTGTTGAAGGGGATGTTGTGGATGTGCTTGGCCTGTTGCTGGTGGTGGTTGGAAGGGAGGAGGTTGGCCCATTGTTGCTGCAGCAGCTGCAGCAGCAGCGTGATTGGGCGGCAGCATTGCTGGAGGGTAACGAAGTTGATAATGCTAAAAGAAAAATTTCAGGGTTTAAACAGGGGCAAAAAATAGAAAAAATTAAAAAACCGTTTGTTGTGAAGGTGGCAAAGGTACATGTTGTTGTTGCTGCTGCTGCTGTTGATTTTGAAAAGGATACATTTTTGACGTAAAAATATAAGAAAGAGTATTTTCTAATAAAATAAGTTGAAGACAATATTTATGACCATAACTTGGCCTAGCAAAATTAAATTACGTAGATTTTTGTATTTTTCGATTTAGCTCAAAGAGAGACATCGAATAATCTAAAAAACTAAAATAAATGTTAAAGAAGATAAAGATGAAATTTAAAAAATATTAAGGAACTCGTAAAAGCTTGATCCAATTTTTAAATAAAAAATAAATTGGCAAAATGTTTGAAACAATTAGAAAATGACAATTTATCCAAAACATCAAAGGGAAATTTAGAGATTTCTTTTTTTTCTGATTTTTCTTTTTCTGATTTTATAAAGACCTAAAAATTAAAGGTATCCTTTCCCTTCCTTTTCGGCGTGAAAAATTGATCTTTGCAAAATATGTACTAATTTCCTACCTACAAATTTTTTTTCTTTTCGTTTCCAATTACATATCAAAAGCCTTTCTAAATTTAGTTTATTTAAGTACACACGTGCTAAAACGTATTAAAAAAAAAGTCTTATTTTTTTAGAGAAACCCAAGAATTTCCCCCTTCCCTTCCCTCCTCCCTCCTTGTCCAATTGTTGTTTATTTAACAAATCTTAAATATAAATACATTTTCTCTCACGATACAAACTAGACAATCGAAAAAAAACCTTTTTGCATGTTTACGCATTTTTTGCACGTGCTTCCGCACAGCTCTCAAAGTTCAACTTCGTCATCAATTGAAATCCGCCCCTTTCAATTTTTTTTGTTTTTTTCCTCCTTCCCCTTTCCACCTTTCAATTTTTCTTTTTTCCCCTCATTATTGGCCCCTTCTGCCACTTACAAAAACACTAGCCAGAAACCCGCCAAACAAAAAAAACGTTCGAATGCCCCACGAGGAAGTCAGTCAACTATACCCCCCAACCCCTACCACCTTATTTCATTTTTCTTTTATTTTTTTTTGAAAAAAATGAAAATAGACTTTTGCCCCAAAAAAGGAAATTATTCCCAGAGGCCTCTCTCCCATTTCATTTTTCTCCAATTTTGTTGCCACCCTCCTCCCACCTTTCTTTGGCGACAAGAGTACAAGAGGCGCGGAAAGTGAGGAGAAGGACATGACCGAGAAAACGATGATGGTGGTCTTTTTGCGCCATCACAAAAATAAACAATTTAAAAAAGTGGCAAAAACAACACACAAAACACGAAAAGGAAGGAAAGATTAAATATATGTGTAATTGAAAGTGCAATTGGAAAAAAGAGGGGGTCGGTATAAAAAGAAATAAAAATTTAAAATACGCGGTTCATTAAGCTTTTTCACAAAAAAAATTTAAAAAACGTGTGAAAAGTTTTTTTTCAAAATTGGAAACAAAAGAAAATAAATAAACAGAAAAACTATAAAAGGCAAGTTTAAAAATAAAAATTAGTCATTTTTCATTCTCGCTATCCCCCCAAAGTTGTGGAGGTTGGTCTGAAATTCTAGCCAAATGTCCACACCATGAAAGAGCCTTTTCCCCTATTACTACTCCCCCCTTTTTATTGTCGCCATTTTGTTTCTTGTGTTCGGAGCTTGCCCAGAAAAATACAGAAAAACACAATTATGTCTTTTTGTGTTTCTGCGAAATGTATTTTAGTGTTACGTCGATGACAACGATGATGTTAAAAAGGGGAAAAAAGGAAAGGTTACCATTAGTAATGGAGAAGGGGAGAGGCCGAACTGCTCTGTGAGGAGGCGGGTGGAAAGCTGAATGGAAGAAAAAAAGGAGGAGGGGAAAAAGGACGTGGAGGACTTAACCGCCGCCGAACAGCCGACCAATTCCTCTCCTCATTCCCGCCACTCATTTATATATTTTTACATTGCCGAGGCTAAAAAGTAGAGAGGAGCGATATTTTTAAAACGAAGACGGCCGACTTTGAATGGGGAAAATGTTGAGAAGGATAAGATTGAAAAGGATGAAGAAATGGTCGGCGTCCAAACGACAGGCAATTTTGTTTGTTTGGTTGGGGAGTAGCAAAAATAAATGGAGAAACGACAGGGTAGATAGAGGCAGAGGCAATCGAAGGTGAAGGACTGTCAAAGACAACGACCATCCAACGTATCTATTCGCAACGCATAACCACCAATGTCGATGAGAGAGTGAAAAAATAAAGAGGCTCTCACTACCCAAGCCAGAAGAGTCGGCGATTTGCGCCGCGGGCGCATTCACAGGGAAAAAAATTTGATGTTTTGTCAAAATGAGAGAGTATTGAAAATGAGAGAATAAGAAAAAGTAAGAGATAAAAAGACATCGAACCATTTCGCCAACAATCACTAGCTTTGTGTTTGCCGTGTTTTTAAAACCTTTGAAAGCCTCTTATTTCAATCCTTTTTCTGTTTTCTTCTCTAACATTAATATTTTCTCTACTTTTTATTGTGAAATGTTTAAGAAAAGACAGTCGGTGGCGGCTGCTCCTGACAACCCGTCAGTCGTTATTTATTTCATTTGACTGCGTGCGCGTCAAAACATCCATCGGCCTTAATTTAAAAAATAGTGTGTTGTAAGATGAGTGACAGAGAGTAAAAAGGCCATTTAGGCGCCGACCATGTTGTCTTCACATTTATTTTACAATGCTACCCAAACTTTCCCTCGCAAAATTTTTTAAACGACCCTTTTTCCTTACTCCTCTCTATTCTTTTTGTACACTCTCTTGCTTGCTCCAATTTTGCTCCTTTTCATTCAACGACCATTTCTCATCGCCCGCTCATTCAACTAAACAACTATTCCCCATCCGTCATTTCCCAAACAACCCTTTTCTTTAATCCTGTCCATTCCCCATACTCCAACTCTCCATATAAAATTTTTAGAGAAAAAATAGTAGGCAAGTCTCACGCCACAAAGGACCTCTCCACAAATGTTTGTTAGTCAAAGCCGATGAAAAAAAAATTTTTTCTGTCCATTGGTAAAAAGGACGAAGGCTAGCAAGTAATGTTTATGCGTGTGTGTTGAGATGAAATAGATGGCCTTTTTTCCTACTGTGCTGCTGTTGGTTGTGGAATGAATTGTGAAAGAAAAAAGAGATGTTATGGTTTTGTGCTCGGAGAAAATTGGATGGAGAGAAAAAACTCTCCTCTTTCCCCGCACTATTTTCTTCCATCATTAAATTGCAACGACATCATAGGACGAATAGTAAAAAAAAAATAGGAAAGGAGTCCGTCGTATACTAAAAATTGCTCCCAAAAAAAAATAATTTTATTTTTATAATGGATTGGAGGGGAAGTTGTTTATTTATATGAAAAATAAATGCAAAAAATAAATAAAAGAATTGGGCGGGAAAATAAGGAGCTTTTCTGCCTCGTCTGCCCTTTGTGTTTTTGTGTGTTTTGGTTTTATTTATTTATATGTTTCTGCATCCACCCAAAATTATTGATCGTTTTAATAAATATGAGAAAATAATAAAAATGTGGTGGTGGAAAGTGCTCGAGGATGAAGCAAAAATCAATTTAAAAAAAAGAACGAAAAAGTACATCTATTTAGTCATTATTATTTGTCATTTTATTTGAAGACGAATAGATTTTATTTTGCGAAAAAATTGGGTTCTCTGTTAAAATATGCATTTATTATTTTTTGTTTACCAATTTTTCATGAAAATACATTTTTGTTGATTAATTTTAAAAATATTAGAAATTGAATTCAACACACTTCTACGTGAAATATTTAATCGAATTAACCCTTTGAAATTAAGATTACTACTTTTTTATAACTTGAATATTTCCCAATTATAGGCTCATTCCATTGATTCTTTGTTAAGTAAGGTCTTTCACTTAATTGTTTTTAATATCAAACGCACAAATTTATCTACATAATATCGAAAATCTTTATTTCATTGTCAAATTAAAAAAATACAATCTATATTTTTCTAGTTTATTGTGTAGGTCTATAATGTTGTGGATGTTCAGATGAAAACATAGGTAATGTAGGTGAGTGTAAATTAACTTTACATGTAAATCGCTTTCCCGCTAATTCGACTTCATAACTTCCTTTATTCAAAAATTCTGTTGTCAAGCCAAATTCTTTGTTCTCTATATAACCCAAACAAACCTTAAATTAAAAGAGAAAACTTTATAATATTCTAAAGATTTTGTTTGTCAAGTTTGTGCAGTTTTTTCATTTTTTGCTAAAAATATCCTCCCCAATGCTAATTAGATTTTGGTGAATTTTAGCTTTTTTCAAACTATGTTCTTCTGGTTTGGGGCCTATTACCGGAACCGTTGATAAGTTGAAATTGCGGGAGCCGGCTCTGGAATCCCCAACGAACATTTTCGCCTGCGGTGCTAAAAAGAAGGAATTCTGGCATATCTAAAAACCTTTGTATAGTTACAGTGCCGGAAAAAAGTATTGCACCAAAGAGTGATCTTTTATTTAAAACCCCATAATTATTGAAAAAAACTTTTTCTTATCATATCTTTTATTCCTAAAATATAAAATAGAATGTCCTCTTTCAATAGGCATTAAAAATATTTTGTTTAATAAATCTTTACTTTCAAAAACTTCTTTTCCGTATGCATACCCAAAATAGAGGCGGAAAAAAGTATTGCACCAACATCTATAACTTGATGTTTGTTTGGCCATAATTTCTACAAAAAGTTCTGTGATGATTTCAAGTGATATGGAGTAGAAAAGAAAAAAGAACGAAGTCTGAAACTTCTTTCTTCGTCGAGATCTTAAGTCACAAAAATCAACGGGAAATGGGGTTACAGTGCTTTAAAAATTATATAACCCCCCAGAGCTTATATAGAATTTTTCTTTTAGGCTCATTTGAAAGCCCTTGAAATTTGCTACAAAATACCTCTTGGACTCATATGTGTAAAAAAATTTGTTTAGGAGATAAGGTGGAAGGAATTCATAATGTTGTCAGAATCATTTAAAATACCCCATAAAATGCTTATTTTTAATTTTTTAGAAATTCTATGCTCTTTATCTCCTTTACAAATTTTTTTATACAAATGAGTCCAAGAGTGATTTTGTAGCAAATTTCAAGGGCTTTCTAATGAGCCTAAAAGAAAAATTCTATATAAGCTCTGGGGAGCTAAAATATTTTTTAAAGTACTGTACCCCCGTTTTCCGTTGATTTTTGAGGTTCGAGATCTCGATGAAGAAAGAAGTTTCAGACTTCGTTCTTTTTATTTTTCTACTCAGTATTGATGGGAATGTTGACAGGAATTTTTGTAGAATTTTTGGCCGAACAAACAACAAGTTAAACATCTTGGTGCAATACTTTTTTCCGCCTCATTTTTGGGTACGCAAACGGAAAAGAAGTTTGTGGATAGTTAATATTTGTTAAACGAAATATTTTCAATGTTTTCTGAAAGAGGACATTCTATTGTATATTTTAGAAATAGAACAATTGATAAGAAAGAGTTTTTTCAATAATTATAGGGTTCTAAATAAAAGATCACTCTTTGGTGCAATACTTTTTTCCGGCACTGTAATAATCTAATCGTTTATATTTCGAAATTTTGTGGGAAAATTTTCTAGTTTAGCCGCTCTCAAAAAATGTTTTCCACGCCCAAACATACCACCCTTTAAGAGATTAAAGATCATTTAAAGTATCAGGTGTTTATAAAAAAAGTTATTTTTGATTTAATCCCAACCACCAACTTTGTTTTTCGAAAAAATTTTCCTATATTTTTTTTGCAATTTATTTTTCTGAGTATTTTGCATTAATTATAATTTTTTCTGAATTATTTATTCAGCATTATTTTTCTTCTTTTTTTTCTATTTTTAGTGCATTAATAAGCTTTATTTAAAAATAAAATATTAATTTATTTACGTGACATCCAAGAGTAAATCCATATGCCGCTGTTGTTGTCCAACCTGCCAATTTTCCATTCCGATAAATTGGTTCTTCCCCTTGAGGCCACGGGTCAGTTTCCAAATTGTGATTTTCTAATAAAAGTTGGACAAAACGTTTATTTACTCCTCTATCTAATTGTTTTTGTAAAGCTTCTTTTCCAATAAATTCTTTCTAAATTTTAAGAAAATTAAAAAATATTTCCTTTTTAAAAAATTACATCAAAATCAACACGAAAAGCCCGACCACATTCGACAGGTGTAGTTCCACTACCAATATCCTGACCCCAATAAACATAAAATTTTTCGATACGTAAATGTCTTAATGCTGAAAAAATAAATATTTAAAGATTATTTTAAAATAAAACCATAATATCCACAATGCTTTAATCCATGTAGAGAACCAGCTTCAATTAATTGTTCATAAACATTTTGAGCCACCTTTATAATAAAATAAAAGATAGGTAATTTAAAAAATGTTTGATGTAAAAATGAACTTAAAAATGTTAAAAGAAAATCACAAACCCCTTTGTTTTTAAGTTTTTTCTTATTTTAGGGGATATTTGTACTATTAATTTCCATAAATTCTATCCGCTTCAATTTCCTTTTAAATTTCATTCTAATTTCTAAAAAACCTCATTCGGAATATAAAGCATCCAACCAAGTTCACCACAATGTGTAACACTTATTACTCGAATTGGTCCAGCTAACCCAATATGCATTTCCTTGGAAGAAATTCTGATAAAAGTAATTTTTTAAAAAATACTCTAAAAGAAAATGAAGGAAATTCGTTAGGAGACAATTCGTTAGGAGACATAGTTTTTCCAGTAACTTCACTCATTAAAGCTCTAGATGCTGGTCCAACAATATCTAGCGCTGTAAAAGCATTTGTCACATCCTGAAGTTGAATATTCATTTTCCATTCATTTGCCCATTTTTTAATCCAAAGAGCTAAACGAACTTGTTGGACAGTTGGAGCAACTATAAAATAACTGAAAAATAATTTTTTAATTAAGAATTTAAAAATAAAAAACGAGTAACTAGTGTAATCCCATTCGACTTAAAGTTAAATCAGTCAAGTATCCTCCATGATCATTTTGCATTCCAGTATAAACTGTTCTGTTAATAAATAAAAGAAAATAAAAATTAAATTTATAAAAATTTAAAAAGAAATTTTAAAAAAATCAAAAAAATTTTTTCAAATTTTTTGACATTTCCACTCTAGGAAAAAAAAGAAAATTTTGCTCACGTTCCAACTGGACAGTCAATATTTCCAGAACAGAGGCGTTGCAATAAAGGAACAACATCAGCGCCTTGAATGTCAAATTTTGAAAAACTTGTCATATCAATAAGTCCAACTCGTTCTCTACAAGTTGAATATTCCTTCGAGACAAGTGGGAACCATTTAGGTTTTCCAACAAGTTGATCTTCGCCAGAGAAATTTGATGGGCGAGGTAATCCTTCAAAAAAGTTGGAATTATTTTAAAATAAATTTACTTGGTCCATCACTATCTTGATCAAAGTGAGAAGCAGTATTGTACCAAAGAGGTCTGAAATTTTTTTGATTTTAAAAGTTAAAAAAGAAACCTTTCATAACCCATTATTTCTGCAAAAACGGCACCAGCATCCCTCAAACTGTGGTGAATTGGAGAAGTACGTAAATTTCTAGCTGTATGGCATTGATGTGATGAAAGAGGATTCTGACGAATTGTTTAAATAAAGGAAAGGATATTCTCAGCAAACCTTTAGAGTGTTGACTAAAAATTAAAAAAATATATGGAGAAAATTTGTTGAAGGAAAAATTTAATTCCTTGTTTAATTAAAAATTTGATTACAATTGTTAATTAGAATAAAAATATTTCCTTCAAGATCCCCGGTTCAAAAGAAAGCATTTAAAATAAAAATAAAATTTACATGCAATTTCCGGCACACGTAAATAAAGATAATGCGGATTAGAATGCAAGGGAAGAAATCGAGTTAATTCCAATTTATCTACAGGAATGCTACTTGATCCGCTCAAAATCCATTCTGCAAGCACTGAACCCAAACCTCCAGCAAACGAGACACCTTGTCCATTAAGACCAGTAGCAAGGAAAAAACCTTTAGCCTTACGAACAGAATTTTAGTTTTATTAAAAACAAAATAACCTGATCGGATTCTCCAATAAGAGGCTTCATATCTGGCGTGTACATTTCTACACTAGTCATTAGTTCCCCACGTGATAATTGAGCCAATTCAGGAAATCTGTCAATCAAATGGCGAAGAATTATGCCTAAATTCTATTTTTAGATTATTGGTTAGAAAATTAATAAATTTACGAAAATTATCCCAAACAGGTGTTGGCATATGCCATTCAGTCACCGATCCTTTAGAAGTTTGTGAAGCTGGAGGTAATGCTTGTAAATCACCACCTTCCATTGTAAAACCTCCACAAATTGTTTTTGTCTTTAACGGGCAAATAAAAGTATTCTCGTCCATACAAACAAAAACAGGTTGTGATTGACTAGATGATTGACAATGAGGTAAAGGATCAGTAGAAAGAAAAGTAAATGAACAAGGATGAGCAGCTATTCTGACCGGATGGTCAGCATCAGGAAGTCCCAAAACATCAACAAGACTAGAATCCTAAAAAACTTTAATTAACAAAATTATTACAATTCTTTAATTTCGGGATACGTAAATATAAGACGGAACCCCAAACGCCACTCTTATAAATTAATGATATTAATTTTGTTCAACAAATCTTAAGTTACTGCTTTAAAATTCCCAATTATACTTACAATTCCAGCAGCGTCAACAAAAGCCATTACATCGATAAAACCTTCATCAGTATCAACAGCATATACTCTGCTCTCCTCGTTTATCAAAACTTTTTTAATGGAACAATTCTCAAAAATTTGAACTCCCATTTCTCTGCAATTGTCAGCCAAAATACGAGAAAGTCCAGAAACGTCAATTGTTGCATCCAAAGGGGAGAAAACGGCTAACTAGAATTTTTAAAAATTATTAAAATTTAAGGGTTGTCAAATAAAAACCTTAACATCCTCTGTTGCAAGCATAGGCCATCTTGCTAACATTTCACTGGGACAGTCAATTGCTTCAACTTGAAAAGAACTTGAAGGATCAGTAACTAATCGAGTAAGTAATCTTCGTGCCTGCGTTTCTGATTCATCACTGGATGATAAATAAACTCGGCCACATTTATTGAACTCTAAAAATATTATGTAAATGTTAGTTTATTCAAAATAACAAACCAAATGTTCCTGTAGCAGCCAATTCATTATAAATATTTAATGATTTGCGAGCAACTGAACGGAGAGAAGGCTCAGAATAAAACATTGGACTTACTAACAAAATAAAAATTAATTTGATGATTTAATAAAAACTAACCAAATAATCCTGTGTTAACCCGTGAAGAATTATGAGAACCGATACTTAAAATATTTTCGTTAAGTTGAAAAAAAGAAAAAAACAAACCAATTCCTTTCGAAGAGAAAAAGTTCTTTGACACCTAAATAAAAATTGAAATAAATTTTAAAAAACAAAAAAACCTCGCTTTGCCAAGTTATAAGCAACAGAAAGTCCCATTAATCCTCCTCCACATATCACAATTCGATTATTCATCGTGTTTTAATCAAAAAATTTCAGAGGAGAAAACTATGCTTATTCAATTATTCAATGCTCTCCAGAAATTTTAAAAGAAAAAAACTAGAAAATCAACATCCCTTAACTTACAAAAAAAGAACATATGTAAAATAACTCATAAAAAGAAATAAAAAAGTTGAAAAATTAACTTATTATTAAAATATTAAAGTAAAAACAAATTTAAATTTTTTTAAACATTTTATTCAAAAATAATAAATAATCAAAAGACCAAATAAATTTGGTTTATCTTTGGAATACAGCAAGCAAATATTTGTAAGGATGGAAGTACAAGCGAAACAAAATCCTTTCTATCTATTCTAGTCCATTGAAGAAATTAATATTAAAATTTATTAAAAGATATGTAGAAAAAGGGAAATGGCAGCGCAACAGAAAATGTTTTTGACAATTAACTTACTATAGGGACCTAATGAAATGGATGTTCTACTAGAAATGAATATCACCTTTTTACAATTTTCACTTTCTTGGAAATTAGCTGCTTACAATTAGGATGTATGGTGGAAACCAGGGAGAATCTGAAAAACAGAAAAATAAAACTAAAGACGTGTCATTATTTTTGTTAGGCAAAGTTAATAACCATCACCTTTCAGTAATAAAAAAAACAATAAGAATCAGTTAGGATTTAATGTAATGTTTTAGATTTTCCTTTTTTTTGCTTTCCAACCTAACTATATTAATTAAAATCTCAAAAATTTGATTAGCTTTAAAGCATTGAAAAAAAGTGATATTCATTTCAAGTGAGCCACCATTAATTTCTTTTCATTTACCCTCCCTGTTTTTTTACAAAAAAATTTTTCTTAATATTATACAATTATAAACCAAAAAAAACTACAATTCATTTTAACAAAACTTCCAACGATTTCCACAACTTCGACAAAAAACAAATGTAGTCATCGGTTCGTCAGCAGACCTCGTTTGCATTTGAGAATATGTGCAGTTGTTTTGTCCACACTTTCCGCATCTATAATTAATAAAAAGGATAAAAACAGAGAGATGTTTGAAATTTCGATTTCGAATAGAATTAGAAATATAGTCGAACCCCTCCTAACTAGGGTTGGCAGATTCAGAGAAATCTCCTGATATTCGAAGCTGAAAAGCTCCGGACATTCAGGTTTGATCAAGACAGCTTGAATATGATTTAGAGAGACGAAAAAAGTATAACAAAAAACTCTATTGTATTTTTAGGTTCGAAGATAAAATTTCAAACATCTCTGACAATAAATAAAATTATTAGAACAAAAAATCAAAGCGTTGCGCTGCCAAATTTAATAATCCCCAATTGTTTTTAATAGGATTTTGCTTTTTTTGTAGCATATATAAAAATAGTTTTAATGTGAAAACACTTCTGACCTGAACATATCTGTTGGAGTCCCTAGAAAATATTAAAAAATTAAAAAAATTTTTTAAATTAGAAACCTTCTTGAATAGACATTTGATGTTCGAGAATTCCTTCTTTGGTAAACATTTCACGGGTCTTCTTCATTTCCTCGGAAGCCATCTCTTCAGTCGTCATTGTAGCAAACTTCTCGGCACCCACTAAAAAGAGAAATATTTTTAATTATTTCAAACTTGAAAATTATTATGATAGCGCCGGAGAAATATTTTTTGGCTTTTGACAAGACATTTCCCAACATTTTTTCTTATCCCCCACACAAGGCGTGGAACATCTTCAATATAAAATTAACAAACCAGCTCCAGTAAGGACATTTTCACGCAAAGCCTGGTTCTTCTTATCCCGAAGATTGAAAACGCGCGAGCGTAATGCTGACTTGTATTTGTCGCCTGTCCCATTGTGAAAATCAAAAAGACGTTTCTCAATTCGTCTGGCCAAATCTTCAGGATCCAACGTACCTTAAAGAAAAAATAAAAATATTCTCTAAAATAAAAATAGCCAACCATCCGGAATTTCACCAGATCGTAAAGCATTCAACAACATTTCAACACTTTTAGATCGAACCTTTAATTTATTAAATTTAGATCAGTTTTTTAAACTTAAAATGTTACATCCGTTGCACCAGACGAGATTCCATTCATCATGGGCCTTGACTTTGAATTTAAAGCAACAGCATTCATATCGCCTCTTTTATTCTCTACAACTGGCATTTTTGATTCATCCGGAGATCTAGAACGAGTACTTGAACGAGATTGAGCTGCCTTCTCTTCTAACAAAGCCTTCCATCGCTAATAAAATTTAAAGAAAATTGAAAAAGAAACCCCTTAAAATACCTTAATGAGCGCTTTACAACGCTTTGCCAACTTCTCGTCTTCAACTTTTTTCCGAAAATCATTCAAAACCATTCCAATACGAGTTTTCTTAAAATTGTAATTTAAAAATATATTAACAAAACAAACATACAGTTAAAACTTCGATATTAACTGGCATCTTTTCGAGAGCCTCGATCAAATCAATGGCACCACCGAGCTGAAATTTCAATCAAAAATTAAATATTTTTGAAGGACGAATCTATGTAGACAAATCTACATAATTTAGTTTATAAGTGTCTGTTAGTAGTCAGATGTAATCTCACCAAATTCAGATAACTAATATCAGAAATATTTATTAACCTGTCTATCAACATCTTTACTCATCCGTGTAAGCTTCTTCGAAATTTCTAACAAATCTTCCTCCAATGCAGATGCAGGCATTTTGCGACTAGATAAATTAAAGTAGGTACTATTTGGCTATTACTAAACCTCAATTTCTTAAAAAAGAAAACCTCTTTTATAATCTAATCCAATAAAAAAATGACATAGCCCATCCCCAAAAAAAGAAAAAAATATTTTTTGCAAAAATTGATTTGCAAAATTTTTTAAAAGTTTGGCATTTCGCCAATTTTCGTATTTTTATGATTTTTTATCCAGTTCTCCTTTATCGATAATTTTATTGTTGATGGCCGTTTTTGTTTTTCTACACAAGTGGGCAATAAAAACAAATAATGATTTCTCTTTTTATACTTACACATTCACTAACTTACTTCTTTAACACAAAAATTTCCTTCTCTTCATATACTGGTCATGTTACTACTAACTTTGTGTTATATTTCAACCCCTTCTCTAGCTTGCAGCATTTAGGATGGGGTTTTATATTTTACAACATTTATTGACTGGTGAGTGTATGGATGCGTGTGAAAGTGAAGGCAGCCTGGGAAGTAAGGATTGAAAAAGAAAGGTGGAAATAAGAGAAGAACCCGTCTCTATATTTTAAATGCAGCCGACAGCAGAGATTGGTTTCCTCTCTGTTGGGCTTTTCTTCTTTGACAGGGACAGAAAGAGCGTGTTGGGAATTTTTTGAGAGAGAAAGATTAGGCCAAGAAGTGTAAAAAATTAGATATCTTGTGGCAGTTACAGCACAAAATCTGCTTCTAATCGCCACACGGTGTGTAGTAGAGAGACCACGATATCCGCTTGTTCTGCGGCTTTGGTTTTTATGAAAGTATGGCATCATGTTTCTTTCTTTTGTGGGGGGATACAATTGCTACACTTGCCATAAAGGAGCTTTTACTGCTGTGAAAATTGTGGGACGTGTTGATGATATTTTTGGCGCTTATTTTAGTAGCTTTATTTAATATTTGTAATCCATTTTAGCTTACTAGTCTCTATTCTTTCCCAATTTCCCGCATCTTTTTTTGCCAAATCGGTGGAATAAACCGTTTCACGTGCTGTTTTTTTAACTTTATTCATTTTTTCAGTTCATGTAAAATTATTGGACTGTAAAAACTACAAAATATATTTTTTAGTCAAAAATTATTTCTAAAAAGAAGAGGATAATAATAAATATGTCACAGGCAACTCCAAGAAAATTTAGCGAGAAAATTGCAATTTTGGTGAGTTTTTATTTTTGTTTTAAAATTTACTTTTAAAAAATTTCTAGGAGCGAAAGCAAAACGAAGAACAAGAACAGTTTAATAATGTAATGCGTGATGTTCGGACAATAACAAGTTTTTTTTGTTAATTTATTTCGTACTTTTCTTTTATTAAAGGTAATGATGTTCAACAACAACAGCAACGTCAAACTACTCCACAATCAAGTCCTCAACAACTTTTAAATTATGGCCCCCAGAGCAACGATTCTTCCTCTAAATTGTCTCCCGAGGGCCCTCATCCGCTTACTACAAATTGGAACAGAGCTGGCGGCTCGTTACCTAACGTTCATCAAATGGTTGTTCAACAACCTGCAATGGGTTCAACACCACCTTCTCCTTACAATTGTGCAGTGAACAACAATTATTGTTGGTCACCTTCTTGGACAAATGTTCAAACAGCCGCAGCAGCTTCCAATCAATTTCAACAGCAACAAAGGGCGGCTAGAACACGTTCACCTGGCGCCACACATTTTCATCCTTATAGGAATGGAACATCTCCGAGTGGCGGGCATGAGGCAAAAATGGTGGAATCTGGCGGTCCTGGAGGGGTACATTTGCAGCCACCAGATCCGACGTGGTCAAAGTATTAAATTTTGAATTTATTAAACCTAATTTATTCAATGTTAAAAGGTTTTCTGGAATTTTTCTGATTTAGCCCTAATTTGTATGAGTACGAGCCATATTTTTGGAAAATCACGATTATTGTCTTTAGTTTTTAATCTAAATTCTTAAAAGTATAATTTTCCTTCTTTTTCGCTAGAAAACAAAAAAAAACTTGATTTTTTGTATTTTACCCGGATTTTTATAATTTATTTTAGAACAAGAAGTGATCCTGCCATTCATACAAATACTTCAGCAACTAACCCGAACTTAATTGATCCAAATTTCCTTTCTTATCCATTCTATTCGGAGGTTCAAAATTCCTGGAACAATGAAACACCGAAAATGTTTAATGGTCCTGCAACAGCACCTCCAACAGCGCAGATTCAACCCTCCGTTTTATTTTTTCCTTCTTATCCATTGGGACAAACAAATATGCCATTAAATCAAACAAATAGTATGTTTTTAATTATTAAATATTTTTAGTAACAAGCTAATCGGATTTACAAAAATTGATTAAAAATAGTTTTCACGGATCTCATAAAAATTTTGGTACTCTAGGTTATATTTGAAATTACAGAATTATTTTTTGGTTTGTAGTAGAATAAGTTTTCGTTAGTTTTTATAAGCTCCGTATTTGGGGTTATCGGTTTCAAAACTGAACAGAAAATCTGAAGATCTTTGACTAGATTAACCAGCAAATTTGATAATTCAATCCGACTCAAGTGATAATATTTTGATTGATTTGTTGGGACCGTGAATTTTGTAGGAAAAAACAGAAAAGATGAATCATAAAGCTTTCAATCTAAAAATTAATATTAAAAATCGAACTGACACGTTGGAATTTAAACTTTATGGTCTTACAATTTTTAATTTTCAATTAAATTTTCTTTTCTAAAAAACAATTTTCTTTTCAAAGATTCAATTAATCAACATCAAAATCGACAACAACAACAACCAAATTTACCTCCAAATCAAATATTTAATATACCTGCCAATCCAACAACAATTCCTCCATTACCTTCAGTTAGCCTACCAATACAACAAATTGGCTCATCACCTTCATGCTCATCACCTATTGCTTCTTGCTCTTCTCAACAAAATTTTATGATTAATAATAATAATAATAATGGTTCTCCTGCCTCCCAACAAATTATTTTTTTACAACAATTAAATAACAATAATAATAATAATTTTGTTACAAAACCAAAAATAGGAAATAATGATCAACAACAACAACAACAATTAATAATGCTTGAAAATAATAGAGTTGGTTTTCAACAACAACAGCAATTGGTATTTTAATTATTTTTTGAATTTTATTTTCTGGGTTTCCAAAGAAAAGCTTCCTACTTTAAAAGAGAGAACTTGAATTGAATTTGAGAGAGATCATAGGGAAATTAACAAAAAAAATTTTTGAAGAAATTGGGGAAAAATGCCCATATTTTTATTATAGTTTCCGTTTTCTGAAAATTGTGAATACGATTGTGTCTGCAGAATTCCCTTCTGTCTTTCTAATCAAATTGGGGATTAAAATATTCCCGCGAATTAAATTCGCTTTGGAAATACTTGTTCCTCCTTTTTAAATCAGATTTATAATTTAAACTTTTTAGTATAACACAAAAATATCTCCACCACCTCCATACTTTAGTCAAAATATAATAACAAATAATAACAACAACAATACACTTCAACAACAATTAACAACACCTTTAACAAATTTATTATCACAAAGTAGATCTGCCCCAACAAGTCCAACAACTTTATCTTCCTCCTCTTCAATGGAGAATTACCATCCATTAGCTGCAATTCCGGGAGGAAAGATGATGCAAGGACAATTAAATAATAATAATCAGTGGTCACAACATCGACATTTTTCAGCTAGCCCTGATGGAATGGAAGTTCCAAATATTTGTGTGACTGGTACAGATGGTTCTCTTGATGTTGATTGTTTTCAGGTTTTTTTGATTTTAATGAAAATTTTTTAAATAAGGCAGGGAGAGGGTCACTCCATTTTTGTTAAAAACCTTCAATTAAAAAATCTAAAAAAATTTTTTGTAGGATCTACAAGATTTGCATTTGGACAGTGAAACGCTACAAATGTTAAAAGACCAAGCGGACCACGAAAACATGGTGGACCCAGCATGTGAAACTCAATTGCTCAGTTGATGGTAATTGTTGGGGCATAAAATCTCTAGCCAATTTAACTACTTTAAATTAAAATATTCCTTAACTTTTTTGTGCTGTCAGTTTGTCGTGAAAATTTAAAATATTTTTGGTTAAAGAAAAAATTTTTTCATGACATTTCTGATGCCCAAAAAGTTTCACACCGCCAATTTTCATTACAACCAAAAAATGCTACCAAAACATTTGCATAGAGAAATGCCATTTTCTGTGAAGTTGTTCACTCCCTCAACCTCTATATTGAAACCAAAAATCTTGCCTTATTTTGAATGCAACAAAAAATAAATAAAAGCACTCATTATTTAGTGTTTTCCTTTCATAAAATATTACTAGCTGTTTGAAAATATTTTTTTATCCATCCACTTCATATTTAATTTTTATGTATATTTAAAATAAAAATTTATTTTTTCTTTAAGAATTTTTTTTGGATTGACCCCTAAAATTTAATTTCCTTAAATCCTATCAACCCTCCCTAAAATCTTCATTTTCTCCTTGGGGGAAGTGATTTATTTGAACATTTTAAATTACAAAATATAGGTAATAGAAGTATTTTATACGTTTATCTTCATGTTTTCCAACTATCCGCCACTGGACGGGGTATTATTCCCTTTTTGAGTAATTCAGCTTTCTTTTGTTCTGTTGCCACAATATTACTCATACGAACTCTAAAAAATTTAAAAAAATAAAAATTATTCTTTTTAAATTTACTCTATTCCCAAATCAACTTCTGGTATTCCAACAAGCATTTGATTAGATAAAAGCTCTTCTTTTTTTGTACTCGAACAATTTTTTACACGTTCAGCTGCCTATAAAATAAATAGAGTTTAATTTTCATCCACGTGGAAGCGAAAAAGGAAGTAAATATGGAAAAAGCTAAAAAAACCTTTTTTAAATTCGACTTCCCCGTCCATGTGAAATTATTATGGATAAGCGAATAAAATATAAATTAAATTATGGATAAGTATAATATATATATATATATATAATATATATATATATAATAATTATGGATAAGCGAATAAAATATAAATTAAAATAATTTTCATTAAATTTTTATAAAAGCTAAAAATTCAACCCACTCTCCCACAGATGTGTAAATATTACATATTCCCCCCATAGTAAAACTAAAAATAAACCTAACCAAATAAAGAATTCCCAACCTTAAATAAAATTTCCTCTTCTGGAGACAAAAGTTTTGCTCGTTTATTATTACTATCATCTGTATCATCCAAAGTATTTTGACGTTTTAACCTCGCTTCAACATATCTACGCATTTCTTCATGTTCATCACGTAAAAGTGTTTCTTTTTTAAATTGTTCTTTTATATCAGCTTCAATATCTGCTGCATTTAAGGCTGCTCTTTGAGTATCTAAATTTTAATAAAAAAAATTTTAATATTTCTTTACTTTTCTATATTTAAAAATATTTTAAAAAATAAAGATTTGCCTCAAAAAATTCCTAATAACGAACCAGTCAATCGAAGCATTGCACCTCCACTCATTCTAAACGGATCCTCATCCAATCTTGCAAATTCTTTAGCCAATTCTCTACCTACAGCACATTCAACTGCATCCATTCCATTGCGGCGTTGTCTTACTCTTTGTGCTTCTTGAATATCTCGAATTCTGGATCTTTATTTAAAAATATTTTTTAAATATCTATTCAACAAAACGGACCCAAAAAAGGATCTTTTTTCTTAAAATCTCTTCTCTTAATTAACACCAAAAAATTAGAAAATGTGTTAGCTCCGATTTTGAAAAATTTCTATACACATTTAAAACCTTTCTTATAAATAAAAACAAAAATATAGGAACCGATAAAATTAAAATAAAAAAAAACAAACTCAATTTCCTTTTGTTCATCCTCAATGCTGGTTAAATTAAAATCTTCTTCCAACGTTTTCTTTCTCAAATTTGCTTTAATTTTAGGTTTTCTGAACATTCTTTTAAAAACATTTTAAAAAAATATTTAAATTTAAAAATATTATTAAATTGTTAAAAAACAAAAATAATTAATTTAAACAAATTACATATTTATATATTTTTAATGAGTAAAATAAATTAAATTTAGAGGTTTTTTAAATTAACAATTAAAAGACTAGTTTATTTAAATATTCAAAACTGGAAAAGAAAATTGAAAAATTTGGACGGAAATATATTTTTAAGTGGTTTCCAAAGGGTTTTCTAAAAAAATTTTTTTCTATTTTTTATTTAAAAATCCAATGATTAAAAATCACAGTTAAAATTTAAAAAATAAGGGCAACATTTTTTAAAGAAACCACCTAAAGTAAATAAAATAATAAGAGGAAAGGAGTATTTAAAAAGAAATTATGCTTATTAGTGTCTTAAACTTAAATTGAGTATTTTTTACAAATTTAAAAGTCAATTAAAACCAAATTTACAAAAAGTGTAAAAAAAGAGCATCTCCTAATTTATAATGTCAATAACGTCGACGGCCCTTAAAATTATTTAAAAATTAATTTTAAAAAATTAAAATTTACTCTTGAAGCTTTCTTCCGAATTTTTAACTTAAAATAAAAAGAAATTATTTGTTTAAATTCAAAAAATAAGAAAAAAACCTTGTCAGTCGTCTTCAGTTTTTTGTTTGCTAATTTATTTATTTTATCATGAGACTTGGACCTTTTCTTTTCTGAAAAAAGTAAAATAATTTTTAGAGAGGCAGGAGGAGACTAACCAATTGATTTTGATATTTCATCCTCAGAATTTTCCCCTTCATTTAATTCCTCGTCTTCACTAAACGTCGGTTCAATCGAGGAAGTATGAGATTCTTGATTTGAACTAGTCATTGAACTTTTTCGTTTTGTTGAAATATTTTGGAGTGAGTCAGAAGAGCGATATAATTTAACTTGAAGGTTAAGTCGATCACAAATATTACGTAATAAAGGTTCTAGAGTGTAACCAAAACTAAATTTTAAAAATAAAAAAATATTAAGAGAAATGATAAAAATAAAAAGACAGGTGAAAAAGGAAATTAACTCAAAGAAAATTAGGGGAAATTCCCCTTGGTTACGGCCTGGTTCCTAACTAGGCTAAAAATGAAAAGTCTAAAATTTTATAAAAAGTTTCAAAACATACTGATTAATTATAACATTGTTTACAAAACCAGAAAGATGACAATCAGCCCCTTTAGAAGTTTTGCGAATTTGTACCAAAATGTTAAAAATCTAAAAAATATTTAAAAATTAATCACAAAATAAAAAAAATTTACATTATTTTCGTTCCCATTTTTGTATTCATATCGAAGCATAAAAAGTTCTAATAGACAAACCAATTCTAATTCAATAAGACGTTTTTTGTCAAGATGGGAATGAAATTCTCCAAGGAATTCACAAATAAATTCAAAAACACATTTCTGCACAGAAGTTGCCCAAGTTATTCTTTTTAAAAAAATTAAAAAAATAAAAGAAAATAAAAATACTTTGAATAAAAATAAGTAAGAGAATTAATTATAAGTTGATATGAGTGTGCTGGATCAATCTCAAAATGAAGTAATTCGTCATAAAATTCTTTAAAAAATGCTGGCAGTTTATCTTCTCCACAAGCTTTTAAAAAAATTTAAATTTAAAAATATATAAACTTACAAAAAATAACAAAACTATTTAGTTTTGCAAAAGAATTTTCTATATGAAGACGTTGAAGACAACGGCGATCAGTTTGTGGTTGAATATGTGAAGGATTAAAGAAGAATTGAGCTCTGTTGAAATTAGCCAAACTTTGTTCAGAATATTTTCGAGTTTTTGAAGAAGAAGAAGAAGAAGATAATATTGGCATGTCAATAAAGATTAAAGAAAAATGATGAAAGGATATACTAGATATCCGATATCCAATTAATCGAATTCATTTTTACAATTTAACGAGAACTTTCCTTCTCCACATTTCTTTTTATCTTTCTTACTTTGTTTCTCTAACCATAATCTCTCGCTTTTTAATTTTGGATTTAATGTCTATTAATAAACGTTTTGACAATTACCTCTATTTTAATATTTTAAATTTAAGTCAATATTTTATTGCGCGCCTTTATTTGTTAATTTTTAATTTTTCAACTAAATTTTATTTTTTAAAATTTTTTTCTAGTTAATCTCTAAAAGTTTATAAAAATGTCTTCTGATGATCCGCCAGGAGATCCAATAGATTCTGAACGTGGAGATACTCCATTAGTTCCTTTAAGTGAATATGAAGAACAAGTTTTGGGAAATAATCGATCGCCAAGTAGGGAAAGCGGTCTGTTTATTTTAAAATAATTTGTTTAAATAAGATATTTAGATGATTTAAATGGTTTAAGTGTTGGGTATCCCGCTTCGGAGAGTGGAGTTTCTGCAATTAGTGCATCAACAATTGCAACTCCAAATAAGTCGGCTAGGAAACGAGCAGATTTGGTAACAACAACTCAACATAGACAAGATAGAACTATTTCTATTGCTGCTGATGATGATATATTAAAGTTTGTTTTTTCTTGGAATTTTTACCGAAAATTTTTTACAAAATTTTAAAGTGAAAGCATTGATCAAACAAACAAAGAAAATATTGAAGACAGACCAAATGCTCGTTTATACATTTGGGGAACTCGTGTATGTGTGATGGAAATGCAAGAGGAATTTCGTAATTTTATAACCAATTTTACTACTCAACAACTTGACGATGATGAAAATGCTGTGGAGGTTTTTTTGAAGAAAAATATTTTTTTGAATTAAAAAAAATTTTTATAGATGGAAAGTGGAAATGTTGCACCTGTTGATTCAACTTTGCCTTATTATATGGAAAAACTTAAAGGAATTTTTGCTAGTGAAATTCCAATTTTAAATCTTAATTTGGCTCATGTTCGTCAATTTAATGAGCATCTTTATAAAATTATTATTTCATATCCTGATGTAAATTTTATTTTTAAAAATCTCACTAAAATTATGTTTTAAAGGAAGTTCTAACCTATTTGGATGCCACAATTGATGAAATTTTTGAAATGACTTACAACAAGAAATTGCCTTCAATTATTGAGATCCGTCCTTACAATGCTGAACAGACAAAAACTATGCGTGATTTGAACCCTCAAGGTTTTTTTGGTAAAAATAAATTTTTAAATTCATTCTTTAGATGTCGGCCAATTAGTTACAATTTGTGGAATGGTCACACGAATTTCACCAATTATTCCTGAAATGAAAACCGGTTATTTTCAATGTGCTCTTTGTAATGCTCCGGTATTAAATTGAAATTTTATTTTTGAAATATGGAAAAACTTAAGGGAATCTTTGCTAGTGAAATTTTTTACTCAAGAACTTGTTTACTTCCCCGACCTTTATTTCTGCAACTTATTGTTAGGTTAAGGTTATTTCATTCCGCATCTCTAACATAAGCCTTCCTCCCCTTACCGGATCTTAAATTTATTAATTTTTACTACAACCTTTAGGTCATAAGCGAAGTTGATTGTGGACGTATTGAAGAACCAGTTAAGTGTAGTAATTGTCATGATGCTTATAGCTTCCAATTAATTCATAATCGGTCATTTTTTATTGACAAACAAGTTGTTAAACTTCAAGAAATTCCAGGTTTTTTAATTTTAAAAATATTTTTAATATTATTTTTAAGGAGATATGCCAGCCGGTCAAACTCAACATTCTGTTACTCTTTTTGTTCACGGCTCTCTTGTCGAAAGTGTTCATCCCGGCGATCGCTGTTCTGTAACTGGAATATATAGAGCTACTCCAATTCGTGTTAATCCATTGCAACGAACAGTTCATTCAATTTATCGAACGAGCATTGATGTTATTCATTTTCGAAAACTTAGTCAAGACAGACTACATGAGCCAACTGATGGATAAGTTTTTTTATTTTTCTTGAATACTTTGTTGGTATTTTAGAAAACCGTATTTTCTAGTAATTTAAATTATCCTTATCGTTAAATCAAAAGCAATTCCGTTTAATCTCCGGGAAACATCTTCAATAGGGTTGCGGTTTTCGAGTCGGGCCGACGTTCGAGTCATTTTTCGGCCCTCATTTTTATCGGGCTGGCCCGTCCGAGTCTTCTTCGGGCCAAAATTCAATGCCCGATTCGATCTTTCAGACCTTACCGGATCGGGCCCCAACCCTAATTCTCAATCTTATTTTCTCAAAGTCTATTCAGTCACCACAATTAACATCTTCTAATCTGGATTTTCGGGGAATTGATAAGGGCAGACTTTTTAGTAACAATTTTTTTATTTTTTTCTAATTTTAAGTTGTTCATGACAGAAGAGCGTATTCAGCAAGTTTTAACTTTATCAAAATGTGATGATATTATTGACCGTTTGACAAAAGCTGTTGGTTAGTTTTTCATAATTTAAAGTTTTTTGATTGAATATTTTTTTCATTTTCAGCCCCAAATATTTTTGGGCACGAAGAAATTAAAAAAGGAATTCTTTGTCTTTTATTTGGTGGCTCTCGAAAATGGGATGAACAAAAACATGGAGAAGAAATTGAAGAAGAAGAAACTGTTGGGGATAGACGTATTAAAGTTCGCAGTGATATAAATATTTTGCTTTGTGGTGATCCTGGAACAGCAAAATCACAGCTTCTTCAATATGTTTATCATCTTGTTCCACGGGCACAATTTACTTCTGGAAAGGTTTTAAATTTAAATTCTGATTTTTTGAGGTTACGAAATTTTTTGACTAATTAACAAGGAAAGGTTCCGAGGTGTCCGACCTAAAAACGGTCGAGACCGGACTCATTCGATGGAGAATGTGCCCTTTCTAGAAAGGATTTTGAGCCGTTTTTGCCCGTTTTTTGATCTGGCCAAGATATGGCCTTCCAAAGTCCCAAAATTTAGCATAATTTTCCCCTCACGGACACAATTTACTCCTGGAAAGGTTTAAAAAAGAATTAAAATTTTGATTTTTGAGTAGTTTTGAGGTATGAAATGGGTTGACTAATTAAATATGACAGATCATTGCCTCCACATAATCTGTTTAAAAAATTTTCTTTAAATTAAATCTTTTTTAAAAAGGGTTCTTCTGCTGTTGGTTTAAGTGCATCAATCACTAGAGATCCAGATTCTCGTTCAGTTGTTTTACAAACTGGTGCTTTAGTATTAGCAGATAATGGAGTTTGTTGTATTGATGAATTTGATAAAATGAATGATAGCACAAGAAGTATCCTTCACGAAGTAATGGAACAACAAACACTTTCAATTGCCAAAGCTGGAATTATTTGTCAATTAAATGCTAGAACATCAATTTTAGCAGCAGCAAATCCAGTAGATTCGCAATGGAATAAAAGGAAAAATATTGTTGAAAATGTACATTTACCTCCAACTCTTTTATCTCGTTTTGATTTAATTTTTTTGGTGCTTGATCCGCAGGATGAAGAATATGATAGACGTTTGGCTAAACATTTGGTATGGATTTTGAAAAAAATAATTGGATTTTATAAAAAATAATATTTCTGGGTTTGTTTTTATGTTAGACTTGGAATTTTTCCGAACAACGTGGAACTTTAATAAGCTAGTTATAAATCCTTCGATAGAATATGCTGTGATATATTGAGGTATACCCCTAGGGAAACGTTAGGAAATTATTTGGATTTGCCTTATATTTAAAATTTTTTTTTAATTTCAACGATTTGTTTTCGTTCAAACTACGCTAATTTTTGATTATCTCTCCAATTTTTTTTATCTATCTAGTTAATTCTAGACTTTTGTCTCTTTTTTAATCCAAAATTTATTTTTATTTTTTCTATCAAACAAGGTCAATTTCTACCTGGTAGCCGACACCGAAGCAGAACAGCAACAACGTGTTGATATGGCCTTTCTTCGTGATTATATTGCCTATGCAAAAGCTAATATTTGTCCTGTAATTAGCGAAAAAGCTGGCCTATTACTTGTTCAAAAATATCAATTTATGCGTTCTTTGGGCAAAAAAGTAAAGCAAATATCGGCATATCCAAGACAATTAGAAGCTTTAATTCGACTTTCTGAAGCTTTTGCAAAAATGCGTTTAAGTAATGAAGTTAGTGAAAATGATGTGGAAATGGCATATGAGTAAGTATTTTGCTTGTTAATGAGCAAAAGAATAATAATTTTTATTAGACTTCAACGTGAAGCACTTCGACAATCAGCAGTCAATCCAGACACTGGCTGTGTTGAAGTAAATATAATTGCTACTGGATATTCAGAAAAACACAAACAATTTGTTGGTGTTCTTGCAGAACAAATTAGACAAGAATTGGAAGGCAAAAGAGGAAACTTTTCTCTTGGAAAACTTTTTAAGGATATGCGAATTAATGAGAAGGTAGAGAAATTCTTTATTCTTTTTGAAATTTATTTACAGTTTATCTCCTTTGTAGGTACCCCCGAATTTGGGATTTAAATATTTTTATGTTTCATGAAAAGTATTTTAAAAGGGGGGAAGGCTATCGTTTAGGCAAACTTTTTCTTGGAAAACTTTTTGGTAATATCTAAAACTGAGAGTTCTCGACTGTAAATATATTTTTATTAATTTTAAAATTTTTTACACTCTTTAATATTTATAAAATTTAAAGGCAATAGATCGAGAATGTTATGAAGATGCAATTAAACAATTGGTTTTGGAAGGCTTTTTACTAAGAAATGGAGACAAAGCTAGAGTTGTTGGAATTGATGACAGTAATATTTGAAAATTATTTTTTAAAATTATTTTTTTGAATTTTTCAATTTTAAATTATTTTGTATATTTTAATAAAATTATTTAAACACTCTTAAATTTGGAAAAAAAAAATTTTTGAAAATTCGTTTCTCCTTTTCTGATTGTTTTTCCCCCAAAAAATAAAAATTTTGACAATAAGCATCAGGTGTGTATATTTGTTTAAAGGAAAAAAGAATTTTTATTTAGCCAAAGATGGCAGTTTATATTGTTTCTAATCCTTTTTTGACGATTGCAAGGGGGTGGAGGTGGAAACCGTTTTTAATAATTATATATTTTGTAGAGTCTTCCCAATAATTTTGTGGCCTTAAAAAAAGGAGGAAGGGAGTAAAGGTTTAAATATCTGTTAATCCTCTAAATTTATTTCCTTTCTCTACTGTATTTTATAAAAAAATTTTTGAATAGAAAATTAGTGAAATTGAAGGATTTTTGATAAAAATATATATTTCAAGATTCTAGATAAATTATTAATTTTTGTAGAAGAAATTTTTTGAGAACATGTAAGATTTCTTGAAATTACCAAAAAAAGTAAATTTTAAAAGAATAAAAATTTTGTTAAGAAAAAGGAATTTTTGTTTAAAAATATTTGTTCTTATTTTGCTTCAGAATCAATTAAATCTAAAAATTTCTTTTTAATTTTAATCAAGCAATATAAAAAAATTTTAAATTAAATTCTTATTACCACTAATCTCTTTGTCTTTTACCTCCACTAACGTTAATGGGAGTGGCTTATTATGTAAGCTTTTAGAATGTTACGATATGTAAATTAGAAGGGGAATTAATATTTAAAATATTTTTAAAAAATAATTTTAATTGTTGGAGGTTAAGAAGAAATGTAGATTTTGAGGCTGCCTATAATTTAACTAAAAATATTCTTAATTTAAGTACTATACCTACTATAATTGCTTTTTAGGTTCTCAATCTTGATTTAAGGTTTTCGATTTCTTTAAGGATTCTCTTTTCCTTTTAAAGCCCTTTTAATTGTTTTAATTGTTAAACTCAAAAAAATATTTTGAGGCTGCCTAGAAGCCATGAACAACAATTCTTCTTCCACTTCAAACAATAATAATTCACCATCAACAACAGCTATAGCCTATGCAGTTGCTGCAGCTGGGATTCCTTTAAATTCAAGGAATTCCTCCTCTTTCAATTCTTTAACAGACCAACAACAACAACATTCTTCTAATTTTTATTCGAATAAAACATGCCATTTTGAGCAACAAAGCGGCGGTATTTGTATTTTCGAAAACATACATTTTTGTGAAAAACAATATGTAGTTCACAGAAATCTAATCCCGTTTATAAATCCCATAAATTTCTTAATTTATGGGATTTCTATTACCAGAGTATCAGTTAAAGATCATCTTTATACAGTAATTAAGAAGACCAAACGATAAAAAAAGCTAGAAATAAAAAGAAAATTTGGGGGCGTGTTGAGACTCTAATGTTCAAAAACCTAAAGGTTTAGGCTTCAAAAGGTTTAGGCTAAAATCTACCAGGTAACAAAAGAGTCTCAAAAAATGGCATCAAAACTAAAGTTTTTGGGGCATAACTTTTTTGTTTTTAAATCGATCCAAATAATTTTTGCATTAATTAAAAGCTCTAAATGTGCCGGTTATTTTTTCCAAAAAATTGTTTAGTTTATACCGTCTTTCAAAAAAGTTATAAGCCGTTAACTGCGAGTAATCGTGATTTAACATACTTAGCGGGGTATAACTTTCTAAGAAATGATCGGATCTTTTCTTAAAGTTTATAAAAAGAATAAAAACAAATAAGGATTCTAAATAATGAAGGAATTTTCTGGAAATGATCGAAATAAAAAAAGTTATGGCCTAGAAAAAGGCGTTTTGATGATAAGTCGCCGTGACTCTAGTGTCAAGCAAGCCTAAAGGTTTAGGTTTTCGTTGAGTCTGAAAATAAATGTAAAGACACAAGAGTCTTGTTGACTATTTGACATAACTCGAGGCATTTAATTGTTTTACTTTTCAAGGCTTTACTAAACAAAGCAAATAAAAATAACGAATTTTCTTTACAGATTATTTATGTCATTACAACACAACACCTTTTCATCATTTTACTCAACAAAATCGAGGGCATTTTGATGACTGTACTGCTACTAATTATTCAACAGACCCTTCTGCTCAACAACAATTACAACTTGCTGCTTGTAATGGACTTTATCAACTTGAACATAATGCGAATATTGGGTAGGGGATTTAAATAATTTTACGAGGATATTTCTTTGAGATCTAGAAATTTATTAAGAAATAGTCAAATCTCGCCAAGAGGTTACATCCAAAAATAGATACTCCTTTATTTTAAGATACGTTTTTTAAATTTGGTTGGGTTGGAAGATCTGCTTATTTAGCGATAACCCGAAATTAAATACTTCTCATTATAGGGTACAATTTCTTATTCCTAAAGGAGTATCCTAAAAGGAGAATCATTTTATAGTGAGGTTAGTATACTTTATTAGGATTCAATAATATTTTTTCAAAAAATTTTTAAACCTCCGTAAATACATATTTCCATTTTTCTTTCAGTTTACACACTTCAATTATTCCCTACCAACGTTCTGTCCAACTGGCAACAACAACTTTTCACCATCCACAAAATTATCCAAACAATTTAAATTGTTATTCTAATTTTACCCAGCCAGTTGTTGATTGGAGTGGAGGAAATAATGGTGGAAGAACGGGGGGAGATTTATATTTAAGAGTTGATGCTACACTCGAAATTGGTACAGCTAATTCTATTGGAGGATCGGCGGCTTATGTAAATTAATTAATTTTTATTTAAAATTGAAAATCCAGAAAATTGTTTTTTTTTATAAAAATAACCCCTAAAATAACAGTAAATCAAACACCAAAATGGTGTTCTGAACGTTGAAATTTTTTCGACTATATAGTATATTTTAGAGTGCCGACGGGACAGGATCCTGAACGGGATTTTGCGGAATTCTCTCCCGAAATCACGTGTTTTAAACGATGAACAAGATTTACAATATTAATCCCGCAGGATCCTGTCCCTTACAAAATTCTGAAAAAATCCCGTTACGGGATCCCGCTAATGCGATTTTTCCGCACTCTCATATTTATTTACATTATTTTTTAAATAGTAGATCTAGAGAAATCTGTTTGTTTTTAACTGAATTCTTTCTTGTTTTATTACTTTTAAGGAAAATAATTTAAAAATCCAAAAACAAAAATTCAAATATTTTTTTTCAAATTAAAAACTTATTTTTTGTAGAATTGGCATATGGGAGGAAGTGGAGGTAATCACAACTTAATTCCTCAATTTAACCAACACCACCATAACAACAACAATTCAATGATTGATTGTCTTACTAGCAACAATTCCCAAATAAATAATTTTGGTATTAATTGTCAAAAACAAACAACAAATTCTTTAATTGGAACATCCACAAATTGTTTACAGGTTTAAAAAGATTTTTGGTACTTTTCCGTTATTCGACCGCAAACTGAGTGCCAGCCGAATTTGATAAGCTATAAATTTTCGATACTTGATCCAATACAAATGAATTTTATATCATTTGAAAGCCCTCGATAAGCGATATCTTTTTCCAACTTCAGGGTTCATGTTGATCACCCATTAAAATTATAGCCGATCAAGTTCGACTGGCACTCGTTTGCGGTCAAATAACGGAAAAGTACCTTTTTTTATGTTTAAATTTTTTTTCTAAATTTTTTCAAGATTTCTCAAACATCCTCACAACAACTTCCAAATAATTTAATAAAAACACAACAACAACAATATTCTCCTGAAAAACCTTTTCGTTCAATAAAAAAATTAAAAAATATTAAAAAAGAAATTCAAACAACAAAAAAATTTATTTCTTCCCCAAACAAAAATAAATTTTATGTTTGTAATATTTGTGGAAGACAATACTGTAGAAAAAGTACTTTAAAGGCACATATGAAAAATCATGTTGGTGAAAGGCCTTTTATTTGTCCGGTAAGTGGGGGGGGGGTGGTTCTTTGTAAACTTGTAATTTTTGTTTTTACCCCCAAAAATAACCATTAAAGTTTGGGGGATTTTTGTCTTTCTTTTTTACCTTCCGACTCAAACAATCAATTTTTGGTTATGTAACACCTTCAAAAATATTTACAGATTTGCGGTAAACATTTTTCACAAGCTGCGAATTTAACAGCTCACAGACGAGTACACACAGGGGAGAAGCCGTTTAGCTGTCCAGTTTGTTATCGACCGTTTTCTCAAAGGTTTTAATTTATTTTTTAAATTAAAATTAATTTTTTTTTTAAATTTTTTAGTTCTTCATTAGTTACGCATAAAAGGTAAAAAAAATAAAATTAAAAATTATTTTAAAATAATTTTAGAACACATACTGGAGAAAGACCTTATCCCTGCCCACATTGTGAAAAAGCTTTTACTGATAGTTCAACATTAACAAAACATTTAAGAACACACACAGGTAAACTATTTTAAAATTAAATGGGTGGGGAAAAATATTCGCGAATTTTAATATTTTGAAAATAAATTGTTGTTGGGCCATATCATAAAACAACCCCAATATTAAACTTGATGATGACTTGTTTATTTTAGAATAAAATTCGGTTGGTCATTGGGTAGAGGGGAGGAGGTTTACCTAAGCGATACCGTCAATTTAAGGAAATCCTCGCCTTAAGGAACAAATTTTTCGAACCCCAAGGTATCCTATAGCGAGATTTGAGTGTACTTTTTTTAATCTTAAAACCCCCACAGATATCTAAACATCAATATTCTTATTAAAAATTAATTTTTTAAATAAATTTTCAGGCCAGAAACCTTATTCTTGTGCTATTTGCGCTATGAGATTTTCTCAGGTTAAATTATGAAATGTATGAATTTTAAAGTTTCTTTTCAGTCCGGTAATCTTCATAGGCATATGAAAACTCATACAAGTGAAATTCGCTGAAAACCCAAATATGATGTAAATAAAGGTGATAAGATTCCCTGTGATCAAATTATAATTTTTAAAAAAATTTCCAAAAATTTTATTAAGAAATAAAAAATTGAAAACTAAAATGTATAAAATCGGAAAATGAATCTGAGAAAATCAATTTTTTAAAATAAATGCTTCGTTTAGGTTACATTTTAGTTTAAAAAATTGCAAAAATAATTTTAAAAAATTCAAAAATGAAAGACAAAAAATTGTTTAAAAACCATTTCAACTTAAATTAGTAAAAAAAGGTTCAATTCTGTACCAGTAACTAATTAAATTTTCATCTATTTCCTCTTTCTCATTTTCTTTTATTTCTTTGTTATATGGTGATTTTACTTTAAATAAGCTTATTTTTAATTTAAAATAAAAACTTTTTAATTTTATAAACCATGTCTGTGTCCCCAAAGTCTGTCCCCTAGCTTTAAAATAATTCAAAAATACCTTTTATTCTTAATTGTCGAATTTGTCGTTTCCTTGGAATATTTTCAGGCAATTTAAAACTATTTAAAAATGTTTTAAAAATATTTTTAAACAAAACCTCAAATCTTCATTTAATCCTTCTGCCCAAGTTTGCAATTTATCTGTTGTTTTGATAAACATAAAAACTTTGTCAGTTTTTCCGGGTATTGGACAAATTTCAAAATGTTCCACAGCTGTTTTACTCAAAGCTATAGCAGAAAATATTAGCCTTTTCTCTCTAAAATGATAGAAATTGTGGTTAAAAACATTGGAAAATTTTTGACTGAAAATTAAGAGAACTAACATAGGCCAAAAACAAAAAAAGACATTGTTAGTAATCCCAAAGAGATTCCCAAAAACAAAGGAACATTCCCGACTAGAATTTTTTGCCTAATTTGGAAAAAATTAAAGAAAAGACGGTCGTCTTTTCATTACAATTTTTAATTTTATTTCAAAAAAGCTCAAACTTTGCCGACAACTCCTCGCAACAGTTGACTTCCTCTTTCTTCTCTCCATTATTTTCTTGAATGCTAATCTTCTCTATTTCATGTTCATCATTTCTGCATTTAATTCTATATATTTCTTTAGGCGAATAAGGAGCACTTCCCAATAAAATAATAAATTCACTTATAAGTTTGGCATTTGGTGAACGAAAAGTTTTTTGTAAAATTTGAGCAACCTTTAAATTTCTCAAAATTTTATTTAAAATTATTTTAAAAAAAAAACCTTTTCATAAACACTTCTAAATTGTTGAGATATATATGAATCACCTTTTGAAAGAGTTAAAACTGGTTCTGGAATGATTTGTCGTTGATAGAGAAGTGATTGCAATGTAATATCAACAAGCTTAACGATATATAAATTTGGAGAAATGTTTTGATTTTATTAAAGATATGTATCTTTCTAAAGGCAAAAAAGCTTTAACCCTTTTCGCAATCTTCTTCGAAAGGGTCCCATAACGGCTAACAAAAAAAGCTACCTAACACCCTCAACTTTTCACAATTAGATCTAAAAAAACCTGTGAAATTGAATGAATGCATAAACACCTATTGACATCAATATCGATAGAATTTGTGTAGAGCATCTAATTTTTGTAAAATAAATTAATTTGAATGAATTATAGGTAAATGAATATAACAAAACTAATTAATAATCAACGCAGAAAACAACAAAACATTTTATATTAATTAATTGCGTAAATAACAGAGAAATGAAAATTATCAAAAATAATAAGCGGAAAAGTAGTAAAGAGAGTAACATTTTCAAATATTTTAACGGTCAAATTATGAATATTTGAATTTAGTCAATAATTCTTTATATAGATAAGTTAAAAAGAAAAAGATTTTAATTTTGCCCCACTGAAAAAATAAGTTTTCTGGACGACCCTTGAAAATTTTACTCTGAAAAATAAAAATTATCCTTACAGTTAAATAATAATCAAAATAGACCCCAAATTTTTCTAATCATTTTCTGCTTTTCAATTTTCTTATAAATTCTTCCATTTCTTTCAATTTAATACGATTCTGTTTTGCCTCCTCCTCGCTCATTGAAGAATCTGCCTTTTTGTTCTTATCGTCACTCTGATTTTTATTATTGTTAAATCCATTAGTTTTTCCTTTTTTCAAATCCTCTTCGTCTTCATCAAGTTCTATAACATCAGAAGGCCTCTTCCTTGAATTATCAGAAATATCCATTCTTTGAAAAAAATCTACAGCATGAAAATGTCCCGGTTGAAGTTCCAAAACACGAGTAAATTTCTCTTCAGCTTCTCGGATATTTCCAGATTTTTCCAAACTGTTTAAAGAAAACGATTTTAAGATATTTTCAAAGATAAAAACAAACTCTTTTGCATATGCAACGAGCACTTCTAATTGATATTTATTTGCGTTTCGATGCTCCGGCTGTAGCTCTATTGCCTTTTCCAAATCTTGCAATGAAGCAGAAAAGTTACGTAGACCTGCTGATGCAGCACCACGACCAACATAAGCATCTACACATTGTTCATCAATGTTAAGTGCTTTATTGAAACACTGAAAATGAATTTTCTTGTAAAATTTTTTGAGTCAAAAACCTGAATAGCCTCAAAACATTTATTTTCTCGAGTCAATTCCGCCCCACGAACAACATGAGTCATTGCAAAACGTCTTGTCTGGTCTTTTCGCAAATCCTCGGCTGAAGGCTTTGAAGTAAAACGTTTAGCTCGCAGTTGTAGAAGAGCTGAAAGGTCGCTGTTGATGTGAACGCCAAATTTAACGGCCAAGTTTGGATTGTCACGGAGTCGAGAAATGTGAGGGCAATCATCGAAGTTGACGCTGGTGTCGAACTCCCTACAAATTTTTTAAGAAGAGTAAAAATTTTAAATAAACCTGGAATATGCTGGGATGCCTCGTTCAGTATAAATTGCCTCAATTTTAGAATTGGAAGAGTTCTCTCCTCCCATGAACATACCTCATCCTCGTCCAGTTTGAGCTCCAGTTCCATGCTGTTCGGACTCAGTGCAATGATGGTGGCTCAAACAGGTACGCAAATTAATGATTTATTGTCGCAGTCAAAGGCCAGTAAATTCTATTATTCACTTACTGCTAACGTAGTCGTTAACTTGGTAGAAGCGCTTGGCACGATCGTAGGCAACTGGAACCTTCACAAATTAATTTATTTTATACATGAATATAAAATTGAAATAACCAGTTTTCCTTTCATAAAAGATAGAAGAGTACGCCTGAACCTTGTCAGAGTGCAAACAACCTCCAAATGCAGGACCGTCACTCCAGTGCGTACAACTCGTGCCAAGAGCCGATCCAATGGTCGAAGGTCATCAAAGAACTTCCGACGAGCAAATTCTGGAGAAAGATTGCCATGAAGCTGTTCAAAAGTTGGCAACAAAACGTTTGACGGATCTGACTCTGAGGAATCATCAACAACGATTACAGAGGCTGATGTGGAAGGGAGAGTTTGGCTCTAAAATTGATTCAATTTAATATTAAAAAAGGAATCTATCAGTAGAAAGGCTTTAAAGCCACCAGTTGACTCTTTACCAGTCAACTACAAAAAACGAACGCTTGACGATCCAGCAGAAGCACTTCTTTCCTCATCCACTTCCTTCTTAACACCCAAAACGCCAGAATCTCGAACAATTTCAGCAATGGCATCAGCAAGCTCACGACGTTGTTTTTGACCATTTGATGAATTTTTGTCAGAAACACCTTCTAAATGTTTATTTGGATAATGTCGAGCAGAATCCCAAGTAAATTTGTCGGTGTACATTCTTACAAAGGAAGGTTAAAAGAAAGAAAAAATTAACAAAAATATTTAAATGTCTCCAATAAACATTTCCAAAATTCTAAAAAAAAACTTCAATCATAAATAAATTTTAATATTTTTAAATAAAGCATGGCAGCAGATTGAAATATATAATTAGGCACAAAATAGAATTTAATTAATGATTACACTACTATGTATAATATATTAATAGTGAAAAAACATTGATGAGATAAACTGACAAAAGAAATGTTTTCTTGTTCATAGAAGAGATTCATTTAACCTTCCAATAGTATCACCAACGTCCATCCATTTCGTTGATATCAGCTTCAAAAATTGGGCGGCATCTCTCATTCAAAAAAATAACAAAAGCTTTATGCAAAAGAAGAGAACCAAATTCAGTTATTTGTTGTCTTGTCCAATTTGAAGCAATTTCTGGGAAAGTTCCGCGAACGATATTTGTTAAATTACTTGTTCCTTAAGAGAATTTATAATACAAAAATATTTAAGTATTAAAAAAACCTATTGCTTCGATCATCGCTCCTTCACGAATAAAAGCTTCAGCAGAGTGTATGTTATGAAATAAATGCATCGAAATAACGCCTTCTCCACGATCCCATAATTGCAAAATTCGTTTTAATTTTTCTGTTCTCTTAAAAATTAAACAAAATATAAATTTAACAAAAAAATTTTTATACTTGATTAGGCCTTGTTTTGGCAAAATTTCTGCATTTACTTGCATGAATTAAATGTTGTAATGGACGAGAACGTTTTCCTTTTCCAACGTAAAAAATCGAGGAGATAAATTGACGAAATGATAAATTTTCAGACTGCGTCAATTTAGATGGATCAATAAGTAAATAACAAAAGAAAGAGACCTAAAATTTAAAATCAAATTTAAGAAAGGAACTTTTTACTTCTTGTTTAGGAGTAGATTGAGTAAAGTGATTTCGTAAAAGGAGTTCCTCCGCTTGTCCAATTTTTTGATTATCAGCAGAATTTGCACGTTCAACATTTAAAATGAATTTTTGAAGTACAGGGCAGTAATCTATAAGAGAAAATAAAACAATAAAATTACTTAATTTCCTTACTTCTTATAGAAACTCGATCTCCATTTTCCTTTGAAGGCCTAACCTCAAGTTTCGCTAATTTTGCCTCATAAACCTTCCTATTTCGTGCATCCATTGGTCCAGTTTTAAAATTTTTACAGCGCAGCCTAGCCTTCAAATCATCCAATTTTAAAGCAGAAAATTGTTTACAAAGCTCTTCTTCTTGCTCCATTTGTTTTTTAACTGCAGCTTCTTCTGCGGGATCTAAAACTTCAAATCCTTCTTCAATTTCTTCCTCGTCTTCTTTGTTTTCTTGTTCCTGACTTTTCTCATCATTTTCGTTTAACTCATTTTCATGGGGCTTATCTTCATTTTCAGTTATTTTATTTTCAATCTCTCTTCCATCATCAGTGTTGTCAGAAGTAAGAAATTCCTCGTTTATTAGGCTAGATGTACGTCTAGGAGCTGAAGGCATCGGTCTTACAAAGACGGTAGTAGGATACTTAAAAGGAAAATTAAACGTTTTTAAACATAAATATAAAAATGAAAAACCTTTAGTCTTTTGTCCTTTCGATCGTTTATGTGAATATTAGCTATACAAGATTTTCTTGACGTCGCAACGTCCTTTCTAGGACTGTCAATAAGTACAGATTTATTTGCAGCTGATGAACTTGCACAAATTCCTCGAAAAAGATAAGACAATACCTTCCGAAATTTGCTTTTATCTGTTCTCCTCCTCTTTTGTAAACGCAGTAAAAATTGTTTACATTGTTTATCAGCAACATCCACTGGTCGGCGCTTATCAATATCACGAGCGTTTACTTAAAAATATATTTAGTATCAAAGTTAACAAATTTTTGAGGGCTATAAAGTATATTTAAAATTCTCAAATAACAAACCATCAGCTCCATAGTGAATCAACAATTGACACATAGCCAAATTATTCCACGCTGCAGCCACATGCAAAGGAGAAATATTATCAGTCGGTTCTCGTTCATTAGGATCATTGTATCCCGAGTCAAGTAAACTTTTTGCCGCATCCAAAGCCGTTATAGTCTCACTACCCGCAAGGAGATGTAAAAGATAAGGCTCCCTAGCAAAAATCATGGGAGCAAAATTCTTGAAAAAAATATAATTTTAGGAAAAGTAAAATTAATAAAAATATAAAATGCATAAATCAACAAAGAAATGAACAAATTTAATAAACAAAATCATTTTATTGAATCAATCTCGAGTAAATATAAAATATAAATAATCATTAATTCAACAATCAGATCAGATTCAATAATGCCACACAAAAAATATCAAGTATTTTCTGGCTGGATATCATTATCTGGATTCATTTGGTTCGTTTACTAATTGCTAAAGTTGTACAATCATCTTCATTGTCCTTTAAAACCAAGTAAAATCTGACCACCTCTTGTGGTGGCGTCTTCGGAGATGGCGACTTGGTCTTCTGTGTCTTTGGCGATGGTGTTTTGTTTGGACGGTCCTGAGCTTTTGAGCTTGAGTTAAGGACAGCAACCTACATTAAAGAATGAGGTGAAGACTCTGAAGGAGGAGGTGGCTAAACTCAAAAATGATCAGACGGGTCCAAGCAAAACGCCGTCGCCAAAGACGCAGAAGACTACATCACCATCTCCAAAGACGCCTAAAACCAAATCGCCGTCCCCTAAGAAGCCATCTCCAAACAAATAATATGGGAAAATTTTTTTGATTTAGGAATAAAAAATTGAATTTTTGATTTTAAAATTTGTTAAAATTATTTTTTTATAAAAAATTTGGTTTACATTAGTATTCACCTAACCAAAAACCGCAAATTTTTCAATTTGGTCTGAGAGTTAACAAAAAATTTTAAAATCAAAAATTCAATTTTTTATTCCTAAATCAAAAAAATTTTCCCATATTATTTGTTTGGAGATGGCTTCTTAGGAGACGGCGATTTGGTTTTAGGCGTCTTTGGAGATGGTGATGTAGTCTTCGCAGTCTTTGGCGACGGCGTTTTGCTTGAACCCGTCTGATCATTTTTGAGTTTAGCCACCTCCTCCTTCAGAGTCTTCACCTCATTCTTTAATGTAGGTTGCTGTCCTTAACTCAAGCTCAAAAGCTCAGGACCGTCCAAACAAAACACCATCGCCAAAGACACAGAAGACCAAGTCGCCATCTCCGAAGACGCCACCACAAGAGGTGGTCAGATTTTACTTGGTTTTACAAGACAATGAAGATGATTGTACAACTTTAGCAATTAGTAAACGAACCAAATGAATCCATATAATGGTATCCAGCCAGAAAATACTTAATATTTTTTGTGTGGCATTATTGAATCTGATCTGATTGTTGAATTAATGATTATTTAAATTTTATACTCCCCTACCCTTTTCCACGAGTAGGGGAGTAAAAAATTTTAAAATCAAAAATTCAAACAAGACAATGAAGAGTATGGCGGTTCTTAGGCAATTGCGGATTAATATTACACATTTGTAAATATGATTCGAAAGATCTCGAAATGCTACATCTTTTTCATTATTGGACTGATCATAAACGATATTAAACAGCTTTTCATCTGCAACTTTTTGTAACAGAACAGAACGGTTCGATCATGAAAAAGATGCCACATTACGAGAACTTTCGAATGCTATGAAAATTATCAAAATCGAAGAGTTATGGCCATAAAACTAAATCGGCGATATATTTTATTTGATCTATTCCAAATAAATATATAAAATTTAAATATTCCATAATTTAATAATCAGATCATAGATTCAATAATTGTGTCACGTAAATTGCTGGAAATTGCACTAGGTGCATTATCGCCAAGCTTGAAGATGGACTCAAGCACAGAAAGTTCTGCTGAGGTTGTTGCTAGGCCACAAAAAGCAATCCAGTCATTAACACACATTCCTGCTCCAATTAACTCAGATCTAGAAAATAGCACATTAAAAAATACCAATAAAACCGAACCCTCTATTAACGGTTCCTGCTACAACTGGCACTTGAATTAAAGAAGACAACTCTCTAGTAACCTCAGGTGGTGTTTTGGCTGCAACCATCGCGCCATTCGAAGTAAGACAGGCATAAGAACCGACCTTAAATTTATAATAAAATATAAAAAAATTAAATTACCAAAGCATTCTCGCCCAAACTAAGCCGAAATACTTCCACTCCAAGTACATCAACAAGAGCTTGTTCAGTTTCCTTGCTAATCTCAGCATGCACAATTGCGACGTGATCATTACTTAAATCGAAAAAGGGTTTATTTTGCAAAACTAAAAAAGCCTTATTACCAAGAAATAACATTCCCCAATGCAGAAAGACGCTCGTCGATCCTTCGAATCTTAACAGAATCGGGAAGGCTATTACGAAGATGTTGCAATTCTTGATCAGTCGTTGCATTTGGAACAAGCAATCCATGTCGATTACCGACTGTCACCCTGCCAACTATCCTAATCCCAGCAATACTGCAATGGATAACTGGAATATGGTCTGCCAATTCTGCTTCAAGAACGCTAGGAATGAAAGAAAATTATCTCAGAATAAAGTTTAAGAAAACCTGTAAAAGTTTTCAGAAGATCCAATTCCAACAAGACAATAAGCATTTGTAAGATTGCAAAATACTCCGACATCATTACTAGCTTCAAATTGAACACGAAGAGCCATTTTATAATTTAATTAAAGGAAAAAACTAACAAATTTTTAATGAAAAAGTTGTGAAAAAACTAAAAGAAAAATTTTACGAAATAAGACATTTAAATTGGTGTTTATTTTGGCGTTTAGATTACAGTACTTGATTTTGGAAATATTATGTCTTTTTTGAGAATTAGAGAAAGAAAGCTAAAAATTTATTTTTTTAACACTAAGATTTTGTTTGTCAATTATTTTTAGTTTTTCGATGGATTCTGCAGAATTTAACAACAATTTGCGAGCTGATTCACCTCCTAAGAATCTTGAAGAATTTTGGCCTAAACAACAAGGGAAAATTGATCGAATGACTATGGTTTGGAATTCCTTATTTAATTAGTAAATAGTAGATTTTTAGACTAATTTTCGAGAAGTTAATAGGCATTCTGAATTGCCAATTGCTCGAATAAAGGTTTGAAAGAGTTGTTTTCATTCTATTAATTTTTTTAGAAAATCATGAAAATCGAAGAGGGCCTTAAAACACAGGTTTTGTTTGGCTTCTTTTCTACTTTTAATTCAAAATTTAGATGATAGGTTCGGAGGCTCCTGTTCTACTTGCTAAAGCTGCAGAAATTTTTGTGTGGTTTGCTTCTTTTTAATTCCATTAATTTTGAAATTAAAGATAGAAGAATTAACTTTACGTTCTTGGCTAAATACACAAGAAAATCGACGCAAAACAATTCAAAAGGCTGATGTGGCAGCTGGTGCCGAAAAGAGTGAAATGTTCGATTTTTTAATTGATATTCTGCCGAGAGACGATATGCAAAAGGTTCTGCTTTTTTTAGTTTTTGGACTTTATTTTTTATTTAGGAGGAATCAAGCGATCAGCAAACGGACATAGAAAGAGAAGAAAATGTTCAATATGTTTTACAGGTTTACATTGTCTCAAATCATATCTTTAATTTTAATTATAGTGTACGGATGGTTCCATGCCAGCCCTTTCAGAATGTCTAATGACTCTTGAGAATGGACAGATAATCCAAGCCACACAAATTGGTCAACCAATTCCTCTCAATTGCGGTCCTGGTCAACCCATTATAATGACATTACCAGGAAGTGGAGATCAACAACAATTCCAAGTTGTGCAAATGCCTGGGGATGATCAAAATCTTGGATGATTGAACCGTTTAATTTAAAAAATAATGACATTTTTTGTTTATTTTTTTTATATTTTTCAAATAAAAATATTTTGAATCAATTTACTTGCTGCATGATTTATTGTTATTGGACAAAATATTTAATTATTATTTCATTGTAAACTTTATTAAAATTTTAGAAATTTAGTAATGACAAAGTTACAACATCCAGCTGTTGAGGGTCTTGCTGTTGGTTTAGATCGTGGTCATCCTGTGACTAAAAATGTTCGCAAGCCACGTCAATCTCGTAAAAAAGGACGCATTACGAAGAAGACTCGAATTGTTCGTGAAGTTGTTCGCGAGGTATTTTGAGTTATAATTTTTTGTTGGGGGCCTTGCTCTTTCGATTTGAAAGACCTGTTCCTCGAAATCTTTTGAAGCATCTAACAGTAAACTTTAGGTTGTTGGTTTTTCACCTTATGAGCGTCGGACTATGGAATTGCTTCGTATCAGTAAGGACAAGAAGGCTTTGAAGTTTTTGAAGAAGCGAATTGGGCAACATGTCCGTGCAAAGAGAAAGCGTGATGAGATTCAACGAATCCTTGTTGAGATGAGAAAGCACCATAAGTGAGAAAATATAAAGGAAGGAAAACATTCAATCACAGTTTTAATTGTTAAAAAATCATGTTATATGCGATTGAATAAATTTGTTAAAATTATTTGAGTTGTTGTTTTGAACTATTATTTTTAGTTTGTTTACCTTTTTGGAGTTTAATTTAACACTTTAATAGATTTACAGAAGAATGGCTTCTGTTGAATTGAGCAAAGCAGATCGTGAAGCTAAAGCCCAGATAAAAATTGGAAACTATATTTTGAAGGAAACTCTTGGTGTTGGCACTTTTGGAAAAGTTAAAGGTTTCTTTTACGATTTTATTTTTTTGTTTTTTTTTCAACTTCGGTCAAAAACCCTTTCATTTATTCTTGAATAAAATTATTTTAGTTGGAATTCATGAAGCGACTGGATATAAAGTTGCTGTTAAAATTCTCAACCGCCAAAAAATTATGACTCTTGACGTTGTTGGCAAAATTCGACGTGAAATACAAAATCTTTCGCTGTTTCGCCATCCTCACATTATAAAACTGTAAATAGAGTTTATTTTTATAATCCAAATTTTTTTATTTTAGTTATCAAGTAATTAGCACTCCTACAGGTTATTCTTTATAAATTTATGTTTAATTTTTCTTTTATTTTTAAAGATATTTTTATGGTTATGGAGTACGTTTCTGGTGGTGAACTTTTTGACTATATTGTTAAGCATGGGAGAGTACGTTTTTATACTTTGTAAAATTTTTTCTGGTTTTTCACTAGTTATTTCCATGGTCATACCTGGGGGCTGAAGCCCCCTCCACAGTAATGACCCCTGGTCTACGCCTTTGGTTATTTCTATTCTATAAATAATATTTGGACCTTTTGACTTTTCTCTCAAACTACTTGTCTGCCTTTTTGATTTATTCTATTTATAGTTGTAAAGATAGTTTAGAGGTAAACTGTCGAAAAAATCTAGTCATAAATCTAAGAATTCCTTATCAATTTATCCAAGTAATTTTAAAACCTTTATTTTTTCAGCTTAGAACGCATGAAGCAAGACGATTCTTTCAACAAATTGTAATTTTAAAATTTAATTTATTTTCCTAATTTTATAATTTAAGATGTCTGGTGTGGATTATTGTCACCGACACGTAAATTAAATTTTATTTGAAATTTTATATAAATTTTTTTATTTAGATGGTAGTTCATCGTGATTTAAAGCCAGGTTCTTTTGCTTATTTCCATTAAATTAGCTAAATATCTATTTTTAGAAAATTTACTTTTGGATGAGCGAAATAATGTGAAAATTGCTGATTTTGGACTTTCTAATATAATGACTGATGGAGATTTTTTGAGAACCTCTTGTGGCTCTCCTAACTATGCGGCACCAGAAGTAATTAGCGGAAAATTATATGCTGGCCCAGAGGTTGATGTTTGGTCTTGCGGTGTTATTTTATATGCTCTTCTTTGTGGAACATTGCCTTTTGACGATGAACATGTTCCGACACTTTTTAGGAAAATTAAATGTATTTTTTAATTATTAATTTTTGTTAAAAATTTATTTTTTTTAGCTGGTATCTTCCCAATCCCCGACTATTTGGAGAAAACCGTTGTAAATCTTCTTTTACATATGCTACAAGTGGATCCCATGAAAGTAATAATTTTTATAAGATTTTCTCTTGGGAACAGCTAAATTCTTGAACATAAAATTATAAGACAAAATTCAGTATAGGTATATAAAACGAAATTCAGGCACGTAGATAAATTGTTTTTCAATTTACTGTTTTTGGAGATTTTTAGCTTTTTCAGTTGACTGTTTTCTTGTTTTATTTTTTTAAAAAGATTTTTTCTGATTAAATTTCTATCTCATTCGGCTGTATTTCTTTTTTCTATTTATTTTAGAGAGCAACAATTAAAGATGCAATTAATCATGAATGGTTTCGTATAGATTTACCTGCTTATTTATTCCCGCCAATTAATGAAAGTGAAGCTAGCATTGTAGATATTGATGCTGTTAGTGAAGTTTGTTATCGTTATAATGTTAGCGAAGATGGTATGTTTAGAGGGTAAATTTAAACTTAAAAAATTTTTTTCTTAAAAGACGTAACTTCCGCTTTGTTGTCAGATGACCCTCACCATCATTTAAGTATTGCTTATAGTCTAATTGTGGATAACAAACGGATTGCTGATGAAAGTATGAATTTAGAATCTTATGTTTTAAGTTTCTTGAAAGGCCCTTATCGGTCTATTTTTTTCTAAATGCCAATTCAAGCATCTATCCTCTATCCTTATGTTAAATATTCTCGATTAATCTAAGAAATTTCAATTCCTATCAATTTTCTTTAAAAATTTTTAGCTGCAAAGTTATCAGTAGAAGAATTTTATAATATTCAACCAACTGCTCGTCTCCATCAATCTGACCAATTACCTCAAAGACATCCTGAACGTATGCAAAATGCTGGTAAAATAACTCCAACACTTGGCCATACATCTGATACTTCTGTCAGCCAACAACAACAGCAACAACCTGTACAAAAATCGCCTCATATGAAAAGAGCAAAATGGCATTTGGGTATTCGTTCACAAAGCCGACCTGGTATTTTAAATTTTAATTATGGAGACTAAGAAATTATGGGGACTCTTCTCTTTGTTATTCCTGGGATAGGTTCTGGGAATAAGGGCAACTTATAAGGGTGGGCTTAATTTAACTATTTTAGATGATATAATGTATGAAGTCTTCCGTGCAATGAAATTCTTAGATTTTGAATGGAAAATGCTTAATGCCTATCACGTTGTTGTTCGACGTCGACCAAAAGATGAGAATCAGGAAATGGTAAAAACAACTTTAAAAAAATTTCTAATTAATTTTTCCTAAAAGATGTTGCCAAAAATGAGTCTTCAACTTTATCAAGTAGATCAACGTAGCTACTTGCTTGACTTTAAAAATTTGGTTGATGATGAATGTAAGGGATTTTTTTATTTTATTTTTTATTAAAAAATTTTTTTAAGCTATCTTTGGTTATGATGGAAGTGCTGGCTCTTCACGACATGCTTCTGTCTCCACACCTGTTCGACCTTCAATGAGAACTAATAGAGCTCAGTCGTTGCCTATGCTTATCGAAGTATTTCTAATTTATTGTTTATAACTTTAAATTCTTTATAGGTTGGTCAGCCGCCTGCCCAAGTACCAAGTCCAAACGAGATGGCACCAGAGACTCGCCAGTCGCAGACAATGCAATTCTTTGAAATGTGTTCTGCTTTGATAGGTGCGTTGGCTCGTTAGAATGTTCAGAAGGTGTATAAAATGAATATATTAAATTAAACCGAGTTCTGAAAATTTAAATGTAACAAAAATAGGTAAAAGTTAATTATTGACCCGCAGAAGGAATGAACAAAAAAAAGCTTGTAGATATCTTTTCAAGAGTTTAAATGTAAACCAATTTCTTATCAAAATTATTCTTTCCGTTCCTAACTCTATCAAAAAAATTTCCTTCTTATTTGTTTGGAGGAGTCTTCGACTTTGATGACGGAGTCGTGCACTTAGGTGGCGGCTTTCCCTTCTTAAGCTCAGCAACCTCCTCCTAAAGGACGCCAACAACATCAAGGAGAACGGAAACAAAATCCAGAAACAGACTGAAGAAATTAAAGGGCTCAAAACGAAAATAACTACTCTTGAGGGCAAAGTCAATGCATTGGAGAAGCGCAGCAATCCGAGTACCCCGAAGAAAAGCACTTCACCATCACCAAAGAAGTGAATGGGAAAATATTTTTTTGAAAATGTTAAAATTTGGATTGTTTTTTGAGTGAATTTAAATAAATTTGGGTGTTTTGTTAGTATTAAATGTTTCTTTTAACCTTACAAAAATTAGTCCAGCATCCTATCCAGTAATTTCCTTCTTGCCAATAATTGTTGCCTTAAACATTCCATCCGATCGTACACTTTAGATATTCATCTTGATGAAGCTTCGTTGAATTTTCCCGCTAACCCATTTATGCAGACTGTTGATCAAGTCAAACAACCCAAATTTTAACATTTTCAAAAAAAATATTTTCCCATTCACTTCTTTGGTGATGGTGAAGTGCTTTTCTTCGGGGTACTCGGATTGCTGCGCTTCTCCAATGCATTGACTTTGCCCTCAAGAGTAGTTATTTTCGTTTTGAGCCCTTTAATTTCTTCTGCCTGTTTCTGGATTTTGTTTCCATTCTCTTTGATGTTGTTGGCGTCCTTTGAGGAGGAGGTTGCTGAGTTTAAGAAGGGAAAGCCGCCCCCTAAGTGCACGACAGGGGTGTGCCGAAAGTGATTTCAAAAAGCGAAAGGCGAAAATGCGAAAGTCATTTTAAAAAGCGAACGGCGAAAGACGAAAGTCCAAAAAAGGCGAAAATCGGCGAAAGACGAAAGGCGAAACTCGCACACCCCTGGTGCACGACTCCGTCATTAAAGTCGAAGACTCCTCCAAACAAATAAGAAGGAAATTTTTTTGATAGAGTTAGGAACAGAAAAAATAATATTTTGATTTAGAAATTCAATTGTTAAAACTATTTTTTGATAAGAAATTGGTTTACTAGAAAAAAATTTCGGACCAGGCGAAGGAAATATTCGAGATATAAGCAGAAAATCACCACTTCAGGTTCGCTTATATTCGGGCGCAGAGCGTTCGATTACGAAGTTAAAAATATTGAAGCAGCTTTTTCTGCTCATTTAGTTGTGATCACTAATTTAAACTTTTACCTAAAAATGTTCTCTTACATTTAGTTGACGTACATACATATGTATACTATATTCAATATTTGTAGTTTTTGAGCTTTGAATAAATCAATTTTATTATTTCCTAATTATCAGGAAACCTCGAAATTTGTTCTAATTGTCTAGAAAGTTCAAGACTAAACAAATTTAATAACTAATTTGTAAGAAAAATAAATATTCATTTCACAACAAACAAACAATCTCTCTTCAATAAATAAAAACAACGGGAAAGGGGAGTGGGTCATTGATTTGGAATGTATTTTTGTATGTGCAAATTTTTAAAAAATAAAATACATAGAATTTTTGAAAATAATTTCAATTTAAAAATCTGCACATTCAAAAATAGTGTTCGGCACAGGATAATAATTAGTGAATTCTTTTCTAAAATTATCTTAAATATCAACAAAAAAACACCAAAATTTGCCAAACACTATTTAAAAATATATTCTCTATTTAAATTAGGGATTTTCAAAAATATATTTAAAGGGGATACTTGTAAAAATCATAAATATAACTTAAAACTCTCTTAACAAAATAAATTTCTTTTTAACTCTTATAACAATTTAAATTTATGTATTTTCATCCACAATTGTAGTGACGCAATTATTCAAAACGTCCTGAACTGCATCCTCCTCCCCTTCTCCATTCATAACAAAATTTGTCTCAACAATTTCTTCCCCTCCTCCTTCCTCTTCTTCATCATCTGAAGCTTTCTTTCGAATTTTCCCTCCTTCCCCACGACCAACAGATCCATCATCAATAGAAGCAAATTCGTCATCTTCATTTACTTCAGATTCTTCAACTTCCTCTTCTTCATATTCTGAATCAGATGAAGAACTGTCCGTTGTACTATATTCATCTGCTTCATCGCCAGAAGAGCTAGACACATCAACATGTCTTTCTTTTAATTCATTTGTTGTAAATTTCTTTGGTTCACTCCAATTAGCAGCCTTTTGAGGTTCCATTTCTTCATCATCTTCAATATTTTTTGACTTCATAATTTCAATATTAACCAAAATTTCTTTCTTTAATTCTTCTGGAACTCCAATAACGGCATTATTTTGATGACAATGTTCGTACATACTACAAATTTATTTTATAAAAATATTTTTAAAAATTTTATTTCAAAATTACCTTCCCCAACAAGAAACTTTAGTCATAATTTTTGCATTTCCAACAATTACCAACAATTCCTCAGCACGGGCAACTGTTGTATTGAAACGCTAAAATAAATAAATTTTTTAAAAATATTTTTCAATTTAAAAATAAACCTTTTTAGAATACATAAACCCAAGTTTTTCAGCTGGGTTGCTACGAACAGTAGTAACTAAAAAATACAAAAAATATTTAAGGAATGAAAAATAATTATAAAAACCAATAATAACACGGCGTTGTGACCCTTGGAAACGTTCAACAGTGTCCACAGTAATATCAGCAAAGTCACCCATTAATGAATGACGAAGTCTACGAGCCTTAAAAAATATTGAAAAATCAAAAAAAATTTTTTAAATTTACCTGATATGTATATGGACTAATTATTCCAATATCAACAGGTTTTACATTTAATTCGTTGATAATTTTCTTCACATAAACAAGAACCAGTTCCAATTCGCCAAAATTCATATATGAAGTCCCTTTATCTTCACATTTTTCTGGGGAGTCAATATGGTGCCAAAGAAGAGGAAACCCCTTTAAAAAGTTATTTAAATTCAACATTTCCCTAAAAAACCTTTGTTGGAAGTCCTTCCCAATTAGCAAGTTTATCTCTTGGTAAGGCATCCTCAGCGGCAACCAATAAATTATTATAGCAAAGGCGTGAAGGAACTTTAATTATTGCCTCATGTGAGCGATAATTCTTGCGAAGAAAAGTCATAATACGTCTAAAAAGGGAATTTGACAAGATATTCAACTAAAAAAACTCACTCATCATCTTTGTAGCATTCAACAGTTTGAAGTCGTTCAATTAAAGAATTATCTAAAAATTTTAAAAAAATACGTAAAATTTAATCGAATTTATTTCTTACTAAATTTATTCCTTCGAAAATAATCCACATTTTCAACGGGACCAAGTTGCTTATGATCCCCAGCCAAAATAATTTTACAATCGTTCCTTTCTCCAATTACTCCAACTGAAAATTAAAAAAAATCTACAAACAATAAGCAAAAACAAACCCATCGGAACAAGAGTTTCAAGTTCACTTGCCTGCCCAGCTTCATCAATTATAATATGCCTAAAAACAAAGAATAAAAATTTAAAAAAGAACAAAAAATTCTAACGAGAATTTTGATGAAACATAGCCAAGCATTAAATAAGTAGAAGCCATCATTGTACAGACAATCACTTTGAACTTGAGCAATCTCTCAGCGGGGTGAATAGCAAACATTTCAATATCAGAAAATCCATCAGGTGTCCTTAAATAAAAAATTATTTTGAGTAGAAATCGAATCAAGCGATAGAATTCAAAATTACAGAACAAGACAGGAACCCTAAAAGCTCCAAGAAATTCAAGAAAATTTACTTTGTGTAAGTTATCGGCTTCAATGACTCCTTCAAATCTTCTACAGGCACCATCAAAGCATAAAGTCGAAATACCAGTTCCGGATCAATTTTTGCAGTTTCCAACAACTCTGTGGCAAACAAATCAGCAGCTGTGTTTGATGGTGTACAAACAAGAATTCTTGTGTCGTAATCTTTTTGTTCCAATAACAATCGCACCGCTTCAACCAAAACTGTAGTCTTCCCTGTTCCTAAAATTATTTTTTAAAACTACAGACTCAAAGAGAGTGAACCTGGTGGTCCATGAATAATATAAGGAAGAAGCGTCCCACTCTTATTATTTATCTTTAAAGAAAATAATTTTAAAATTTAAGGAAAATGCAAAAAAAACCTTAATATGTCGGCCCATCAAAATAGCAAAAATTGCATTACGCTGTTCTTGATTGAAAGAATTAGATGAAAACCGAATATTTTTAATCATAACATCACGTTGCTCAATGTAACGATCCAAAGGAAGCTTTAAAATTAAAGAAATATTTGAAAAATAATTTTATTTAAATTACCCTATCATCGTCAAAAGGTTGCGGAAAAATCAGAAAACTAACTGCCCTTTGAAGACGATAAATATTTGAAAGAATGTAATCACGAGCATTATACACGAAGCGAGAAGGCTCAAAACGAACAAGATACTTAATAAAAAATATTTTTAAAGGAATTTGAAGGGAATTTTGAAAGATTGGTTAACCTTGCAATCGTCCATCCTCTGCACCGTAAATGGAGTGAAACGAACAATGCGAGAAGTTTCATCATAATGCAGAATTCGGCACTAAAAAATAAAAATTGCTATACATAAACATAGGCCGTAACCAGGATTTTTTCGGGGAGGGGCCAAGGGAGGAAATCTTTTCTGCGCCGCATTTTTGGCGCCGAAGACGACAGAAATTCCTCGTTAGAGGAATTTCGTTTGAGAAACGGTTCCGGTATGGAGAAAAGGTTCCAGTGGAGAAAAGGTTCCAGTACTATTAAAAATTACTCGATATTCGTTGGAAGGAACACCAGCAGCCTTTATCGCCTTCTCCAGTTTAATAGTCCCATAATTCGGCACAGTAAAACGGTCACAAAAATCCTGGCTCAGTTGAACTTGATACACAGGCATTGGAGTAGCATTTCCATTGGGCAAAGTCAACGGATAAATTGAGTGAGGCCCATCACTGTTGCGCAATTGACTGAGCTAAAATTTTGAATTTGAAAAAAAAAATTAAGAAAAAAAACCGTGTCAAAAATAAGCGTAATTTGATTATATGCCCTGTATTTGTCCGCATATTTATGCATTCCCTCAGGATATTTTGTGTCAAGCGCAACTTTGACAGTCTAAAATTTAAAAATAGAAGGGAGGATTATTTTATTTAAAAAAACCGCCGCATGTTCAAAAATTGACGGGTCAATATTCTTACGCAATTGAACCATGTCAAACTTGTGTTGTAACAAATTGAAATGAACATCGTCGATTTTCAATCTAAAAAATTCAATGTAAAATTATATGCAAGTTTCCCTCTTCCCAAAATTTCTTATGAATTAGGCTGCCAAAAACAGATTTTCTGGAAATTTAAACTCAGGCTTCCTCCTATCGCCTAACAATTTTAATTTAATTGGTTTTTATCAAATATTATCATTTTTTAAGTTTTTTTAGTTGTTTTAGAAAAAACTAATACCTAGGCATTCGTTTAATAACCAATCCACCATTAACAGTTGTTGTAGGCTCAGAATTTTCAAAAAACGCTGCAGGCATTTTAAATAAATAAAATTTTATAATAAATGTCTTTAATTAAAAAATTTAACAAATAATCACACAATCAGAAACAAGCCAAAAATTAAAAAAAATCAATTAATACTCAAATAGAAAAATGGAGGGAAGAAAAATACAAAACGCCAAAATTTGGATACTGTATTTTTTTAAATTGAGCAAGGCTGTTTGAGTGTGGCCGGTTGAGTGTCAGCCAACTTTGACAACTGTAGCTATTTTATGCCTAATCCTATCCAAACGAATCTTACCATTCAAAAGCTCTTGATATGCTGTATTTTTCCAACTAGATTGGTTAAGTCTGTTCACTCATTAAAAAGGTAAAATCGAATAAATGTGAAAACACCAAATAATGTGTGTACCAGGAATCCTGCCGTTCTGATTCCCGAAATCAGAAATTCCCGGCATTTTTTGGTGTCGGGATCCCAATTTCCCGAAATCGGGAATTTTGGTTTTTTGTCGGCAGGATCCTCCTATCGGGTTATAATTTTTTATAATTGATCCAGACTTGATATTTCCAGTAGGAAAAAGAATTTTAGCTATTTTAGCTTTTTTAGAAAGTATTTGTTGTGGATGAGAACTTTTTAAAATTAAGAATTATTCTCCAGTTTTTTTTAATTTTTATTCTAATTAATTTAACAAAATCAAAGTAAAAAAGAAAATATTTGGGAAAAAGAAAAAAGAAAATTAAAAAATTTTTTAAAAAATATTTTGCAATTGTTTCATTGTTATTATTTAAAATCTTTTTTCACTTCATTTTGATTATTTTCTTCTCCAATTTTTTCTTTTAATTTTTGTTTTTCAATATTATTTATTGAAATATTTTTATATTCTGATATTTTCTGCTTTTTTGTAAAAGTCCAAGGTCTAGGAGATGCTTCTGCCGTACAATCAAAAAATACAACACAACAAACTACTACAACAGCAACAATAATAAATATTCTAGTCCACTTGAAAAAAATATTTTTAGAGAAAATTTTTTTGGAAGACAAATTACTTGTTCTGGACGGTTATCTGGAGCTAAAAAGCTAACCAAAATTGGAATTAAAATAATTATTGAAGAACAGGCAAAAACGCTAAATGAAGTGACGACATGAGCGAATTGACGGGAAATCTGGGGGAAAATAAATTTTCAAAATAAATTTTTAAAAAGGAAGTGAAGAAGAGTGATTTGGGGAAGTAGTGAGGGAATTGACTTCGAAAATCCTTAAAATCCCCTTTTGCCTCATTTGGGAGGCCTTTGCCCCCTTTTTGAATTTTTCTTGAGAAAGGAAGAAATCTGTCTTGCGGACTTCAAAAAAGCTATATTCTTCCAAAATTCTCAAAAATAATTTTTTTAAACCTGATATAACATATGAATATTTTTCATAGTTTTATCTAATCTCCTTTCAGAAATTTCAGAATTTTTTTATACATATTTCTTTTGTTCAGAATTTTTCTCCAAATTTTTTTTAATTTTTCAAAAAAAAATTCTGAAACAGAGTTTAATTTCCCCCATTTAAAAGCTTAAATATTTTAAAATTCCTTCAAAAAATTTCTTCTCACCAATTGTGTACTTTTCCCTAGCCCAGCACAATTAAGCCCACAAACAACGGGCACCGTAGTAAAGAAACATTGAAAAAGAATAGGCGGGGAGTTTTGAGGTAATAATGCTAATGTACAAAAACAAATAGCTACTAAAAATTGTGAAAGTGAAGCAAATAGTAAAACGCGGGAACGTTCTGATAAACAACTGGGAAAATTAGAAAAAATTATTTAAAGTTTATAATTAAATATTCAGAGCAGGCCTGTGCATGGATACGGATCAAATAGTATCAAGATGCCTGCGGATATCCTGCGGGTATACGCCGTAAATATCCGGATACGGACACCAAAAACCGTGTCCATGCACAGGTCTGATTCGGAGTCAGGTCAGAATATTAACGCCCTTTCCTTATACATAATTCCCCTCAAATCAGAATACTTTTAAGTTATTTTTTTAGTTAATCTTTTACTTTCGTTACATTTGTTACTCTTTGAATATTCATTTTAAAAATAATTTCTGACTATATTCTGACTTGATTTTGAGCTAATTATTAAAGATATAGTTCAATTTTATAATTAAGAAAATTATTTTTTTAAATAATTTCCAACCTAGCCCTATCGCTAAGTGAACCAACAACAAGTTTAACAAGTACAGATAAAATACAAGGAAGTGCCATTGCAAATCCTGTACGTTGAACATCAAATTTAATAATCTTTAAAAGAAAAAATTTTTTGAAAAAAAAAATTTCAAAAAGAAATTACTTGATTTAAATAAACAGGCCCATATTGCATAAAAATGTGAAAACCAAAAGTAGACCCCATAGCACAAAAGAAAATTGCCCAGACTGCTGGATCACGAAACTTTGAAGAATTTTTAGGAATTAAAAAAAGAATTTTTTTAAACTACCATAGCAGCATAAGGTATTTCTCCATTACGAGCAACTGGCCCGGCCTCTGATGGGGGCTTTCCTTTTTCTATTTTACAAAGTTCTTTGCGTGAAACATTTCTGTGTATTCTTGGGGAGTCTCTATAGAAGGTGAAGAATGCCCCGAAGGCAAGGGCTGTTAGCATTGACTGAAAAGATATTTTTGTTAATTTTTTAAATACAAGTAGACCTCCATTTTACATACACCCATTAATAACGACTCCTTTCAAAGAAGGGTGTTGATTTAACAGAGGGAGTCTTATGCATAAGTAAAAATAAATCTTTAAAAATGTCCACTATATAGGGAATCCATTATATCGAGAGTCCACTATAAGTGTACATTAAATAGAGGTCTACTAATAAATAAAATATTTGCTGATTTATAATTAAAAATAAAATAAAAAGTTACGCCGCATTGCCTGCAAATGGTAGACAGCTGGCCATCCCCAACTCGATTCACACAATTTCCCAGCCAACGGCATAGTTAAAATAGGGCCAAATTGAATATGGCACGAGAGAAAAGCAATAAAAGTGCCTGCAGTTCGAAGAGGGCTCCAATCAGCGATTATTGAACCTTTAATTGTTTAATATACCCTCTATATAGTCAACTTTCGCTATTAGCGACAAGAATAGAAAGTCTCTTATAGTGAGAGTTTATGACTAAAGATCCAGTACCGACTTTCTGGACTCAATATTAATTATAGGAGCGAAAAGTCGTCAACAGAATTATCGTTATTTTAACTCTCTATATAAGCGACTATTTAATAGGAATTTTAAAAATATTCACCACTAGCTGGAAAACATATAGAGACAGCAATACCCTAAAAAATTATTTTTTTAAAGGCCAATTAAAATTTTTAACCACCTGTAATACACGCATAATTAATAAAAATCCAAAATCTAATTTAACAGCAAGTGGAGTAAATAAAGTTGCAAAACTAGAGATTAACCCGTAGAAAACAAATGTTTTTCTAGAAAAAAATATTTTTAAAAAATTTTTCTTCCTGAGAAACCTCATTCCAAAACGAGAAGTTAAAGGTGTAATAGGTAATGTTCCCAATAAAGTCCCAACAGGTACAGACGAGAAGAGAAGAGCTTGTTCAGCGCTGTTGAACATTGGACGAGAAACTTGAAGAAAAAAAGATTTTCAAAATTACATATTTTGGAAATTTCATCTTTTAATTTCATTTGCCTCATTTTTTAAATTTTTATTCCAAATATTATTAAATTTTTTTAATTTATGCAGTGCTTTTATCACCTTATTTTTTTAAATTTCCAAGCTCTTCCAACCCCAACTTTCACTTTATTTTTACTCAAACAATCTATTTAATCTCACTCCCGTGAGACTCCAAAAAATGTAAACGCTGGGTCTTCATCTCAAGGCCCGCGATATAAAAGGTAACGTTTTATGCTTCCTTCCAACAATACTTTTATTTTAATTTTAAATACTTTTAGATAGTTTATAACTATCACACTTAAATGCTATAAAATATTTCACTATTTCCTTCACTATTTATCTCTTTCAAGCACATTTTTCTTTCCTTTTTCTCTCTCTTTTTATTTTCATTTTCTTTCTCTCTTTCCTCCCTAACCCGACATAATGTAATTTTACAAAATGCCACTTAAGGCAAAATTTGACAAATTGTCATTATGGGGAATGAATTTTTACCTTTTTGTGTTGAATCTTCGCCTGTAGTTAGGTTACTGTTTATTATACTGTCTTTGTGCATGCATATTACTGTAAAGTTTAAAGCCAAAGAATTGGCCATTGACATTGATAAACACATTGTTGTGATAAACATTACCTTTAATTTTTTTATAAGGGTTCTTAAAAATTTCTTGAAAAAGAGAGGCTTTGTGAGGGTTGTGTTTTTAATTGCTAGAACGAGTCCACCCCAAAATATCTACACCCTAAAGACCTACTGACCCAAAACACCTACTCCAGTCTTAGCACTCAATTTTTACTTTTTCTTTATAATATGGAGGGATATGGAGGGATTAAAGGGGCCGTAGACCTAGAAAACTCAATTTAGGTCTACGTTTTTTTGTTACCTTTCCCTCGTAATAGGACTTGTTCTATAAGTGATTAGAGTAACTGATGCGGGACTTTGAAGAGGATCACCTCCCCCATTCTCTTTTAAATTCTTTAAAAAACCCTTACCAAATAACGAGTATAATTCCCAAAATAATGTCTACTATTATTCCCTTCATTATTCTCTTCATTATCTCTTACTAAATTATTTAAAGCTGAAGTATAACAATCTACTACATTCGTAGAAGGGGCTTCAATGCTGCTATTACTACTTATATTTTTATAATCTCTGTTAACATCCTCTTCATCTTCTTCTTCCTCATCACTCCCTCCTTCTTCACATCCTCCCCCTTCAAAATTAACTATAATAGGTCTGCCTTCCTCCTCCTCCTCAATATTTCTTTCATTTTTGTCTAATTGAAATTTTAATGTTTCTTCATCTGCCATTTTTGGACCCATTGAATAATTAAAAAAATAATTTTTGTTAATTCTCTGAAAGGTTGAAAGAGTTTTAAAAATATAAAGAGGAATAATAAAAGGAAATTTAAAATTTATTAAAAAAAATTTTTTTTAATTTTTGATTTTGAGCTGGTTTGTTGGAGGAATAAGGAAAAGAGTGTAACAAGTAGAGATCGGACCGTACGGACTACGGCCGTATTTTATCGATACTTATATCGGTAGTACGGTACGGAACAAAATTCCGATCTCTAGTAACAAGTGAATTAAATTGCATTAAGAAGTTAAAGAAAATTACTTCGAAAAATTATATCAAAATGATAGTAGGAGGTAAGAAACACCTCAGAGAATATTCATAAAATTTCAGGAATTTTACTCCTTCCCTGTCTCTTTAAAATCTCTCTAATACCTCTCAAAACCGAAAGGGAAGGAGTGCCATATCAGAGAAGTTTTGGGTGTACTGATATTTTAAAGATTTTACAGTAAATTGTTTGCGATTAAAAAACAAGAGTAAATTAAAATTTTTTTGGGAACATCTGATTTTTAATTTTCAATTTGAGAGGAAAGAAAATTGAAAGGAAATTAAAAGTTAATTAATTATAAAATAATGGGAGGAAATATTAATTTAAAATACAAATTTTTTAATGATGACGTTTTTAAATAAATGTGTGGGAAGTTTAAATAAATTATTTTAAATATATTTTTTTATTTATTACAAGTTGCGAAAAATTAAAGAAAAATTTTTTATTAATTTTTTAATAAATTAATTTAAAAAAAAATATTGGAAATTTTTATTGAATTAATTAAAAAGCTAATACGAGTAGAAGAGAAAGGAAAATTAAAATTATTTAAAAAAATAAAATCGTACTAATAAATATATTTATTTAGATGAATTTTTATATTTATTTAGTAGATATTCCAAAAAATATATGTGTGAGAGAGGCTTTGCAAAAAAAGTGTCCCTGTTAGCAGCCCATCGATTAGCTTAAAAAAATATTTCCAAAAAAAGTATAGGTAAATAAGGAAACTCTCTTTAACGTCTCTCTATTCCCTCCCTCGAACGTCAATCCCTCTCTTACATCGGAAAAATTCGGGACGTAATTGAGAGGTTCCACTTTTGGTGTAATTTTTTAAAATAATTTTTTTCTTTCTCCAATTCCCTATCCAACCAATCCCCTCATTCAAAAAAACAATTAAAATTCACTTTTAAAAACTCACCTCCCCATATTACGTCAGAAAAATTCGGCCCGAAGGGGTACGTAATAGGGGGACCCCATTATTTGTATAATCTAAAACTTTTCTCTCTTCTAATAATTTTCCCCCCTCCTCCAAAAAACAATTAAAATTCCCCTTCTAAAAAAGCTAAAAAATTATTTTATATAAAAATCAGTGATCGATCCACTCAAGAATATTTTTAGCTAAAATCTTTAAAAAGAAGATCATTTTTTGTTGGTTAATCCTCCTCCACAATTTTATTTAAAGTAATAAATAAGTCAAAAATTAAAAAATAAAAATCCTCAAAAATTGATTAAAAGTACTTGAGAGAGGAGGTAATTTTAAAGTGGAGGAGAGTTAATAAATTAATTAATTTAAATTTCCTAAAATTAATTTTAAAAATTAATTTTTTGAGTACTTCAAAAATTAAAAAAGGATTTTTAATTAAATTAAAGATTTATTATTTGTTGTAAGCGGGGATCAGTGTGATTCTTTCCAACTCACCAAAAGGGAGCATGGCTTCACAAAAAGGGGGCGAAATTGGCCAAAAAGGTACAAAGAAAAAAAGGAAAATGCCCCCTAAAGGTGGCAAAAGACCTTGCCAGTGTCAAAAGACCTTGCCATGGGACCTTGCCAAACCTTGCCAGGGGGTTGACCATACAAGGATGATAAAAGAAGGCTTATTTCAATTTTTTTTCTTAAGAGAAAAATATTTAAATTATCCTGTTATGTAGCAGACTTGAAATTTAGAGCAGTTAAGAAGAATGATTAAATAAATATATTTTTTATATTTTTTTATTTAAATTTATATATTCCCCTCTAATAAGAAAATACCAAAAGAGAAACCTTGGCAACTAAACAAAAAAAGTTAAGAAATAAATAAATAATAAAATAATGACGTAAATAAATACATTTATTTATTAAAATTATGAGAGTTTTTTAAAATTAATTAAAATAAAATAACGGATATACTAACCCAAATATTAAAAAGACCTTTGACCCCGAGGCAGTTATTCGCTCTAATTTCCCCCTAAAATTATTTAATTAGTGAGAAAAGAGGTTGGAGGTCGTTTGGGCGCAATCCTATAAATTAAAATGTTTAAAAAATATTTTTCTTAGGCGAGAAACTAATTTATTTTTAAATTTAAAAATAAAAAGAAAATTATTTTGAATTTTTAAGAAGGTTTCTACAAAATTTGACAAATTTAGAGCCTAAAGATTACAATTTTTAAAGGCTCGCGCCCTAAAGCTTTACGCCAAAATGTCTCCATTCCTTTGACTGATTTATTAAAAAGTAATTAGGTAATTAATTAATGCGCGAGTAGATTGGAGAGGAAGAAAATAATTATTTTTTTATTTCTTCTAAAAATAATGGAACAAAGAGAAGGAAGAAAAGAATACCTCTAAGGCAGGTATTACCTGCTAGCGAGAGAAGAAAAAAAATTATAGTTAAAAAAATTTCGATGAAATGCAAAATATTATAATAATTATTTTTTAGTGTGAAGTAATTAATGAAAGGAGAATATAGGTAGATCAAAATAAAAGAAAAGGTTGAGATCAAAAATATAAAACTTTCAAAAAATATAATTTGTCAAATAAAAATTTTTAAAATTATTTTTAATAGGTTATTAATTAAATTAATCACAAAGTTATTTAAAAGTGTAAAGATGAAAGGTAAAAAAAGAAAGTTGAGGCAACTAAAGATTTGAAAGTTGAAGAGTTCCGGGTAGTTTATTTCTGGTTGTAGATATCCAGAGATTCTCTTGGAGCAGAAAAACATTATTAATGAGTGAGTACACTGTCCCAAAATTATGAGTTCACCCCAAATTTCATCATAATATGGTTTGCAGATTACAAACTCTAAATATTTTTTAATATTTGTTTACTGTATTTAGCTTATTCTGAAATATACATATTGCAAGTTCTCAGAAAATTTGCAATATTAAGGCGAAAATTATGCCAAAATTAATTAACTCATAATTTTGGGACAGAGTGTATACACTTGTTTGGGAATGGAATCGGGAATCGTCAGAATTTTAGAAACTTTCTGAGCCGAGACTGTTCGATTTTTTGGAACTGAGAGAACAATGCACTTCGATCTTAATTCGTTTTCCAATAAAAAGTTATTTTTTCTAGATCTTTCAGAGTAATAAAAAATATCAAGTCTTTTCCTAAATTTTCTCAAAACCTACTACTCTGTAATAAAAATATGAGGAATTTTACTTTTAATTTATTTTGAAAAAATGAAGAACTAACATCTTTTATAAAGAATTTTGAAAGTCAATTTTTTTTGTTTTTAATAAAAAAATATTTTTTAAGATTTATTAAAGAAAATATAAATTTTTTTCATACCAAAAGACAACGGAAGTCACAAGAATGTGAATAAAAAGGGGTTATTTATGAATTTAAAAAATATTATCAAAAAATATTTGAAGGGAATTCCATTTAAATTTATGCGCATGAAAATGACCGGGAGAGTATGTAGTCATTAAATTAATAAATTATTAATATTAATTACATTTTGCATTTTAAATTTTTTTATTAACATAAATAAATTTTTTAAAAATATAAAGAATATTTTTTACATTAAAAGGAACTAATTTTTATGGATCATAAAGTAAAAAGGAAAAACTTTTGAGGAAAGGATTTCTTTTGAGGAAAAATTTCTCAAAAATAATATAAAGATTAGTTGTGATTTATAAACGGTTAAGACATCTAATGCCTTTATATCCCCTTTTGTGATTATAAACAAATTTGAAAAAAATACAGAACAAATTCATTAAAGAGTTAATAAAGAGAAAAATTATTTAAAAATTCATAAAAATTATTTAAAATATTTTTTAATAAACGTCGCGCAAAGAAAAATATTTTTGATTTAAAGGCTCTAGAGAAAATTAATTTTATTTAATGACGTTCTCAAACTAATCGGAAATTTATATTAATTCTCACATTTCTTCGCCAAACATTTTTGAGAAAATTAACCTAATAATTAAAAGGGGTAATTAATTACAAATTATTTGTCACCAAAAATCATTATTTAAAAGTTTATTTTCCGGAATGATAAAAATTTAATAAAAAAATTTTTTAAAGAATTAATTTAAAGTCTGTCGCAAGAAAATACTTAAAAATTTTGTAAAAAAAATTTTTTTTGTAGTTTTCAATTATTAAAACCAAAATTTTTTTGAAGAGAAAGATTATAAATTTTTGAATACTTTCAGAAATTAAATATGTTGAGGAAAAACATTTTTATTTAAAAAATTCAGAAAAGTCCCTCATTAAATGGCAATGATGAAAAAAATAAATTTTTAATTCTTTCCTAATTTTAAATTCCAGTCAATATTTTGCAGAAATAAAATAAATGATAAATAAAATAATTAAAACTTTAATTTTGAAAGCCAGAAAAGATATTTTTAAACATAATTTTTAGATTGAAAGGCTTTTTATTTAATAATTCAAAAAAAAATAAATGTACAAGGAACCGGTACATTTTTAAAATATTAAATTTCTTAAATTTTTAGTAAAATATATTTAAAAAGATATGTTTGTGATTGCCTTATCTTTTCTTAAAAAACCTTTCGTTCAATCAATATTTGAGCTATTTCCAACAGGAGGAGCATCCACATTTTGATGTTGCTGTTGATGCTTTTTTCGAAGAAATTTACCACCATAGAGACCTAAAAAAGTAAAAAATAAATTTGATAAAAGGGTGTAAAAATTTTAGAGAACATTTAAATCTCCTTTTTTGCTAGGAGATTTACAGTATGGGAATGGTATGGGCATGGGAATATAAGGTATGTAGGTATGGGTATATATTTAGGGTATGGGTATGGGAACTCAATAATTTCCATGTTGATAATTAAAAGAAATAGAAACCTGCAAAAGCCCCACCAACAGCCGCAGCAATACCCGCAATTGTCGAACCAGCCACAACACCAACAGGTCCACCAAGTGCAACACCTCCAACAGCAGCCGCGACAGCTGGATATTTGGCACTTTGAGTCTCAACAGCTCGACGTAAATGACGCTCTGCGAGTTTAACTTCCTGGGCCGTTCTCTCTACATGGTCCTATAAAGAAAAAAAAATAGTCGATAAATTAAATAAGTTCTATAAATTTTAACAGGATTAATGAAAAAAAAAATGAAAAGATTCTTAAAGTAGAACGATCTTAAATCAAAATTTTAAACAGACACAGCAATTTAAAATACGATTATTGAAATTTTGGTAGATAATGAATTAGATAATAAATTCGTAATGGATTCGATTTAAATATACGTTAATCCAGAGTTTTGAATGATTTACAAAAAAATAACAAATTGTAAAACAAACCTCAATACTGTCAACAACCTCATGTTGCTCCTAGAATGATAAAAAAATTAAAAAAAACGAAAAATACTTCCAACTTACATGTACTAATTTACTCAAGTCTTCCATTATTTGGTTTAAGTCATTAATATCCTAAATTTTAATAAAATTGTGCACAAAAAATAAAAAAAACCTGTTCCAATTTTTGAGTTGCTTCAGCATCTTCTTTAGCCATTTCTTTCCTTAATTGTAATTCGGCAAGTTTAGCCTCATTTTGTTCCATCAGCCTTTGTTGTTGTTGAAATTGTTCTTCATAAATAGATTTTCCATTATTATTGTCATTTTCCTCAAAATCGTCATCAAATGGGTTAACTGATTTGTATGGCTGAATACGAAGTACTCCTGAAGGCATTGCAGTGAGATGAGGCATTGGACCAGTAGATGAATTTGAGAACATTTTGTAGTCAAAAATTATGTGTAATAAAAATCTTTTAAAGTCTAAAAATAAAATTTATAAAAATTAAATATAAATTAGTAAATAAAATGCAAAATACGCAGGTATCCCTTCTTATCTTTTTCGAGTTTTTCCCAATAAAATTAATGTTGTATGGTCTTTACAAAAAACTTTTAGCTTCCTTGTGGTTAACTTCACATGAAGACTTATACTCGACGAAAAATTGAAACAATAAGCTCCCAAACAATAATCAAAGATTAAAAAAATGCTCGTGATTAAGCAAATTATATTTTTCGACCATTTTGTTATAATTTTACATTTAGACATTTTTTGGGATATAATGTCATTTTAATTTTATTTTTTACGCGCAAATTTGAATAAAATTTATTTATTTATTTATTTATTTATTTGCCTCTTGGGCGACATTACAAATTTGAAAATACATATATGGATTGAAAAAATAAATTAAGTCAAGTTGAAAATTAAACTAAAACAAATATATGTCAATAATTGGTACAACAAATATATGTGATTGTATTATGTTACGGGTGTGGGGCGTGATAAATATGTGTTGAGATCTATTTGATCAAGAAGTGTTTTGAATATTTTGGAATTTGATTTACGTATTGATATTGGTAACTGAGAGTATAGCCGCGCTGTCCTAACAAAAAAGGAATTATGGCTGATTTGATTTGATCTTGCCGGAATAAAAAATTTATATTCGTCTCCCCTTGTATTAGTTTTTGTAATTTTAAATGTTTCTTTTTGATCGATTTTTACTTCACCATGTAAAATTTTGTGGAAAAATTTAAAGTCAGTTTTGAGTCTTCTAATTTGTAGCGAGTCTACCTTAAAAATTTGTAGAAGGTCTTGATATTCTGGAATTGGTGTGCGTGGATTTGACCTATTGTATATAATACGTAAATAAGTTTTTTGTATTTGTTCAAGGTGTTCGATATCCTTTTTAAGATATGGATTGAAAACGGGCGATGCAAATTCTATTATGGGTAATACGTATATTTTATATAGTTCGAGTAATATTTTAGGATCATTAGTTTTTAGATTTCTTATTATTGTAAATGCTGTTTGATTTGCTTTGTTAGTTATAATTTTGATGTGCTTTTCCCATTTTAAATCGTGTGAAAAATAAACGCCAAGGTCTCTTATAGAATCTTGATTTGAGACTGTTTTTATCTTTTGATTATTGAGTGTGTATGTGTGCAAAGGGTTTTTAGGCCCTATGTGTAAAAGAGATGTTTTTTCGGCTGAAAGTTTGAGTGAATTTTCCTCAGCATATTTTTCTAGTTTTTTGATAAACTCTTGTAGGTTAATTTCAAAGTCTTTAGTGTTTTTAGAGAATGAGTATGCTTTAAGATCGTCTGCAAACAATTTTATCTTTACGTCCTTTGTTTCACAGAAACTGGGTAGATCTGATATGTATATAAGGAAAAATAATGGCCCTAGTATTGACCCCTGTGGGACGCCTCTATTTATATCCATTAAATCAGTTTTATAATCTTGGATCATCACAGTAAATTTTCTATTAGTGAGGTAATTTTTTAGCAATTGTAAAAAAGATCCCCTTATTCCAATTTTGTGTAATTTATTTATAAGTTTATCATGTGGAACTGTGTCGAAGGCTTTACTAAAATCAAAATATATGACATCAATAAATTGTTTATTTTCCAAAGCAATCGAAAAGTCGTTGAATGTTTCTAAAAGTTGTGTGGTTACTGATTTCCCTTTTCGAAATCCATGTTGGACGTTAGGGATAATTTCATATTTTTCTATAAAATTAATTAATTGATTGTATAATAATCTTTCGAAGACTTTTGAGATTGGACATAATAGAGATATTGGCCGGTAGTCTGAAGGACAGGATGAATTTTTATTTTTCGGAATGGGTATAATTATGGACTGTTTCCAGATATCGGGTAAGTTTGCGCTCATTGTAATATAGTTAAATATGTAGTAGATAGGGTAAGCAAGTGATTGTGAGCAATTTTTTAAAAATATCTCAGGAATCATATCTGTCGATATATTTGATTTATTTGTTAACGATTTTAATATAAAGAATATATCTTCTTGAAATGATTGTATAAAGTTTAAATATGGTTTGTTTGTGTGTGTGTTAATGAGGTTATTTTTATTTGAAGAAGATTTTGGAGTGAGAGAAGGTTTGTGGATTAGAGATTTTTGATTGGATGGAGAGAGAATTTGTGAAAAATAGTTTGAAAAGAGATTAGCTTTAGATTTAGCTGATATTAGAGGAAGTTTATTATTGTCCAAGAGTATTGGAATTTGTGTATTTTTTGTCTTTAAAAGGTTTGTAATATGAGTATATTTAGTTCGAATATTTTTTAATCGTTTATTTTCACGATTTCTAAAGTATTTCTGTATTTCTTTATCTATTTTTAATGATGCAATTTTAAATTTTTCTGTTGAGTGTAAACTTTTATCCTTAAATAGTTTACGACGGTATTCAATTAATGATTGTATGTGTTTTGGTAATAAATTTTTACTGTTTCTAGATTTTGTTGGTATCAAATTTTCTATAGTTTCAGAAATTATTTTTTGGAAGGTGGAATACAGGTGATTTATGTCTATGCAATTTGCAAAACATAAATTCCAGTTTATTGAATTTAGATAGTTGTTTATGATATTATAGTTACAGTTTATATAATCTTTATAATTTTGATTAAGATTTTTGGTTTTTATGAAATTGAAAATGACTTCTATTCCATTATGATCGGACTGGTATATGTTTGATTGTATTGGTTCAGTCATATTTATGGATTTATAGGAGGAAAGTGAATTAGTAAATATTAAATCTAAAAAATTGTTTTGGCGTGTAGGAAATTTTATAATTTGTTCTAGTTGAGAGTATTTTATAAATTCTAGTAAAATATTATCATTTTTAATTTCTATTAAATTTTCGCTACCCCAGGGTATATAAGGAATATTGAAATCACCAATGATAGAGTATGTATAATCAATACTGGTTAATTGTTGTAATTTTTCAACAAGGCAATTTTGTTGTATTTTGTTTACAGGTGGTGGGAGATAAACTAATATAAATCTATGTTTCTGGGAAGTAAAAGGTGAATATATGTCAAAACATAGTATTTCATAGTGAGAATTTTTGCAGGTTTTAATTTCATTAAAGGGAATAGAATTTGAAATAACTGCTAAAACCCCGCCGCCTTTTTTAGAATTAATTCTATCGTTACGTATTAATGAATATTTTGAGTTTTCTATTATGGATGAGTCTAAAGTTTTATGATTTAGCCAGCTCTCAGTTATCAATATTATTTCAAAGGAATTTTTTTGCATTAGGAATTTAAGAGTGTCAATTTTGTTTGTAACACTTCTTGAATTAAAATAGTATAATTTGATCTCAAAATTACCTAATAGTTTTTTGTACGTCTTGTAACGTTGTCTCCAGCAGTATTATTCTTATTTCTTTCTTGCCAATCGATTCTGCGTTTGTCTCTCTCTTCCTTGTCTAAGCGTAGTTGTTCAGCAGTTAGTGAAGGTCTTATTAGTAATTTGGTCCATTTTTCCATGGATCGAATCTCAAGACGTTTCTTTTTCCACTGAGCCAAACAAATTCGCTGAAAAGATGTACTGGGAAGTATCACTTTAATTAAACGACCATTTGGACCTGCTTTGGCTGGATTTCCCATTCTATACACTGCCAATGGCAATGTCTGGACGTCCAGCGCGTCCAGAACGCGTAAAACCTCCTCCTCGTCAGCTTTCGCACGCTCTGTTGGCCGAACTGCTGTTGATTCTTTTAATCCTATAAGGACAAGACTACGTTGTCTTTCTTTATCCTCAACAGCTTTGATTGCTGTTGTTTCTATAGTCGTTGATATATTTTCCAATTTTTCAATAATATCTGCTGTATTTAATGTTTCAACCTTGTCGTCTAATTTATTAATTTGTTGTTGAATAGTTTGAAGTTTAGCAAGAATTTCTTTAATTTCTTTAGATTGTGCCATTTTAAATATTTCTTAAACTTGGGTAATTAAACCTAATAAAATTCAAAAAAGGATGAGATTTCTAAAAGTTTGGGTGTTTGACCGAAATTTGTTGTATAATTTTTCCTTATTAAGCAATTTTCAGCTCAAAATCTTTAATTATTCTTTGAGATGACACGGGGAAGTTCTGCTGGTTATGATCGTCATATTACCATTTTTTCGCCTGAAGGACGTATTTATCAAGTTGAATATGCTTTCAAGGCTGCAAATTCTGCTAATTTGACTGCTGTTGGTGTTTGTGTTGAAGATGCTGCCGTAATTGTTGTTCAACGTCGAATTCCAGTATTTTTTAATATTCTCATTTAAATTAATTTTTAAAATTCAGGACAAGCTGATTAATCCAAATTCGGTTAAGAACGTTTATAAACTTTCTCCAACTGTTAGCTGTACTGTTCTGGGGATAGCTCGTAAGTTTTTTATTGCCTTTGTTTTTTAAAGAATCTTTCTTGTTCAGCGGATTGCAAGTTCCAAGTAAACCGTGCGAGAGCTGAAGCTGCTCAATGGAAATATCACAATGGGTATGATATGCCAATCTCAATTCTAGCTCGTAAGATGGCGGATATTAATCAATACTATACTCAAGTCGCGGAAATGCGTTCGCTTGGAACGAGTAAATTTTTTTATTTTTTTTTAAATTTTCTAACGAACTAAATCTTGAGATTTTCAAATTTCATGTCATTAAAAGATTTAAATACAAAATTCAGGTTTTTAAAATTTTAGTGATGATGATGTTATCTTATGATGACGAGAGATTTCTTAACCTTCCTACTCTCGAAAACCGTCGTAAAACTTATGATCTCGTTTTAGCACATAGAATCCTACATGGATATACACATCTTAAATCAGACAATCTCTTTAAAATATCAAATAGGAAAAAATGTTATTTATTATCTAAAAATCAAAATTCTAAGTCATCGAACTCATTTGTTAATAGGGTAACTAAGATGTGGAATGTTTTACATGAAGAAATTAGGACTACAAAAATAACCCTTAGTTTTAAAAATAAAATAAAAGCAATACTTATTCAATAGATCTAAACAAATCTTTTTTATTGGTATAATCTAAGAATTTTTTTCATTTCTATGTTTTTTGTTTTTCTCTCTCGCATTCGTTCCTTTCACTATTAACTATAGTTAAATGACTACTATTTTGCATATTTGAACAAGGAAATTTCAAATTAATAATTAAAATTTATTGTTTGGCATTATGTTCAAAAATACATTTAATGACAATTTATCCTATTGTCTCTTACTCAACCATACAATTTTTCTTTTGATGACTCATTAAATTAAAAACATAGTTTTTCTTTTCTCTTAATTTTTATTTTTGCTCAATTTATCTCTTTTAAATCAAATTTGCTTTTTTTAAGGACTTTTGAAAAATTTAAAACAATTGGGTAATATTTTTTGACTAAAATGTCTAAGCGCAATTCTTCTGAATTTTCTCCATTAAATTTTGCAGCAAACATGACAAACAACGAAAAACGCAGCAAAATTGTTGAAGAAATCAATTCTTTAAATTTTGACAATTTAAAATAATTAAATCATTAAAATGGTCGGTACGGAGTATATTTATTTAAAGAATAAATCAAATATAATATCAAATTTGTGTTTTTTTATAATTTAAATTAGTATGACTTTATATGCTGTTTTTTATTTTTATTTTTATTATTTTTATTGTGCCACGCTACGACATTGTTGTCGAATTAAGTGGCACGCCCTTTCGATGACATTTTTTTTTGTTGATAAATAAATAAATAAATAAATAAATAAATAATTATTCTTTGAGATGACACGGGGAAGTTCTGCTGGTTATGATCGTCATATTACCATTTTTTCGCCTGAAGGACGTATTTATCAAGTTGAATATGCTTTCAAGGCTGCAAATTCTGCTAATTTGACTGCTGTTGGTGTTTGTGTTGAAGATGCTGCCGTAATTGTTGTTCAACGTCGAATTCCAGTATTTTTTAATATTCTCATTTAAATTAATTTTTAAAATTCAGGACAAGCTGATTAATCCAAATTCGGTTAAGAACGTTTATAAACTTTCTCCAACTGTTAGCTGTACTGTTCTGGGGATAGCTCGTAAGTTTTTTATTGCCTTTGTTTTTTAAAGAATCTTTCTTGTTCAGCGGATTGCAAGTTCCAAGTAAACCGTGCGAGAGCTGAAGCTGCTCAATGGAAATATCACAATGGGTATGATATGCCAATCTCAATTCTAGCTCGTAAGATGGCGGATATTAATCAATACTATACTCAAGTCGCGGAAATGCGTTCGCTTGGAACGAGTAAATTTTTTTATTTTTTTTTAAATTTTCTAACGAACTAAATCTTGAGATTTTCAAATTTCATGTCATTAAAAGATTTAAATACAAAATTCAGGTTTTTAAAATTTTAGTGATGATGATGTTATCTTATGATGACGAGAGTGGTCCTCAAGTATTTATGATTGATCCAGCAGGATATTATTGGTAATTTTTATTTTTTTCTGGACATTTTGAAGAATAAATTTAGGCATTGTTTACACTCTCCTAAAATATTTTTAAATTTAGTTCGGTTCGCGGCTTCGGAATTGGCACAAAACAGCAACAAGTGAATAGCTTTATGGAGAAAAAATTTAAGAAAAAGACCCAATTTACATCTAACGAAGCAATTGATTTGGCTCTGGAAGCCTTACAACACGCTTTGGGGATGGATATAAGGGCTGGGGAAGTTGAGGTAATTTATGTAGACAGAAACAATCAGAAAATAAAACAAATGACGAATGAAGAGATTGAAGAACATTTGACTGCTATTGAAGAACGTGATTAAAAAGGGCATCAATTTTTTGTTATATTTAAAAGGTTTTTTAAATATTAAATTCTTCCTTTGATGTTTAATCTGATTATAAATTAAATTTGGCTTGCCTTCTTTTGTTTAATTCAATATTTTATAAGATTTAGGACAAAGATCTTCAGGGTCTTGTCATTTTAGATTTAAAAGCTAAATAGCTAGAAAAATATGTTCCAAATCAGCAATTAGATTCTAGCCTAAGGATTTTTAAAATTTCAAATTTTCTGAGTTTTTGTTCCACTAGGAAACACCGCATGTATTAGTATAATAAAAGTCCACTTTAAAAGGTGATGAGAAAATGCTACAAATATTAGAATTTTAACAGTTTTGATAACTTAGAAAAAATACAATAAAATATTAACATGATGGAATTATTGCATTAAAAATGTCTTTTCTCCAGTCCCTCTAATCTAACTGGACAAATAATCAGGTAGTTTCATTCGCATAAACATTCGTGTAGTGAAGAATCCGACAACAAAAAGACCGAAGCCTAAGAAGAAAAGCATCATTCGATTGGTCTTCGTGGTCAATGGACTATTACATCTGTCCAAAAGAATTAAGCCTATACCTGAAAAATTAAAATTTTATTTTCAAAATAATAGTAATTGTGGAGGTAATAAAATTGGAGAGAGAAGTTTAAAATTTAAAGGCTAGGTTATAAGAGATTTTTTAGATCTCTTGATCTTTCCTTGACTCATCGGAATCCAATCAATCAGAAATCAAAGAAAGATTTTCTAATTGTAAGATTTTTAGTTATAAGAAGAGATCCCTCTCACGTTCTTTATATTTCCTGACCGTTCCGTTTTTTTCCTTATAAAAAATAAAAGTAATATTTAATTCGTTTCACAAGGATCCCTTAGCCTCATAAAAAATAAAATAAAAAAAAGTGGAAGGAAAAAATTGAAATAGTCAGAAAATGTAAAGAGGCCCATCCAAAGTATTACCTTAAACTTCTCTAAAAAAGTAAAAATTCTCACCACCAAGGCAGAACATAAAGCTAGCCCCCAACCCTTCCATAATATATTGTCCATTGATACGATATGGCATTATAGCAACTAAAAATTTAAAAACAGAAAAATTATTCTGAAAAACCTGGTCTATTATGTCCACGTTCATCAACAGTTGATCCTTAAAAAATTTTAGTTAAATTTTAAAGAAAAAATTTAAGAAAAACCAATAGATGGAGGTTCATTTATAATATCATAAACAACACCTAAAATTGTTTTAAAAAATATTCTCTTATTATAACAAAAAAAACCTCCAGTAACTAAAAAATAAGTAACCATTACAAAAAAGAAGACTTGCATAGGTGAAGGCAACTTCAAAGATAAATTAATATATGTACATATTTTTATCAAAATTTAAAAAAAACCGTAAACCATCTCGGAGTTGTTATTCGAAGATTTGGAGGGTCAATAATTTTAAATAAAGTTTTTTCTAAAAGAGTTTCCATAAATAATCTATAGAAAAATATAATTAATAATTAAAAAATTATGTTCGGCGCTGGACAAGAATCGTTAACAAAAAGTAGGCTATGTACACAACCAAAAACGAAACTTTTTAAGGCAAAAACGAGGCTGGACTTGACCAAACTTTCAGGCCATGTTTTGCGTACCATTTTGTCTTTTTTGTTATTTTTGCCCTTTTGTCCAAGGTTGAGCTGATTGAGCGCCATTTATTAAGCGTGAGAAGATAGTATACCAAAATTTTCTTTGCGCAAGTCGAATAAATTCTATTTACAAAATTGAAATTAAGATAACTTTTTGCCGTTGGCTTTTGGTTTAAGCACAAAATAAAAAGACAGGAAAAATTCAAATGGCCCTGTTTTGCAGCTAGTATGGGTTAGAGCTGTCCGAGACCGAAATTTTTCCAAGACTCAAGACTCAAGACCCAAGACAAAATTTTTTCCAAGATCAAGACTCAAGACCAAGACCAAAACTCCAAGACTCAAGACCAAAAATAATACAAAACTCGAGACAATTTTTAGGTCCCATAGGTCAAATTTTTGGTTTATTTTTTGTTATTTTGACACGATCACAGTCAACTTCAGCACAATCACCTATAATTTCGAAAAATCTATGCGAAATTCAAAGAATTTATCCGAAATTCAAAGAATTTTGAGGAATTTATCCGGGTGGAAAATCAATGAGTTATGTATATTATTTCAGAGGATTTGGGTGGATTAATGGGATTATAGTTAAGGGGGATATTAGCAGGCGAAAGTTTCGAAAATGTTGGAAGGCCAAGAAGCCAGAATTCTTCCTTTTCTAGCGCCGCAGGCGAAAATTTTGAAAATTATTAAGGCCAAGAAGCCAAAAATCTTCCTTTTCCTGCGCCGCAGGCGAAAATTTTGTGAATTTTAGAAGGCGGTAGGCCAAAAAAATTCACTTTTTCAGCGCCGCAGGCGAAAATTTTCAGGATTTTGGAAGGCCAAGCACTAGATCCAAAGAGGCCAAAAAACCAAGACCAAAAAATAAAACCAAGACAAGACCAAGACAAACACCCCAAGACCAAGACCAAGACCAAGACCGAAAAAAAACCAAGAAAAGTCTTGGTTCCAAGACCAAGACCAAGAGTCTCGGACAGCTCTAGTATGGGTCAACTACTTGCATTATTGATAACTTTAAGAGTTAACGAAGACTTGTGAGCAAATTTTCACATCAATTTTGTTCCAATTTTTTTGAATTTGAGTGAGGCTGATTCAAAATTTTGTTTAAAAATAAATGTAACCAAATTAGTTGGGAGAGGATTAAAAATGGAGAGCTATTTATCTCACCTTCCGCTATTTATTAACTCAAATGGGCAAAAACAGTCCTTCAAAGGATATTCGTTAACTTATAACTCATCTCCCTATTCCTATCTCTCAGTCAAAAAAAGAAAGTTCAACTCATACAACTATTTATTTAAAACAAACAATATATACAACAATGTTTGGGCAATAGATTATCACAACAAAAATACATTTACAACATAATAGGATGAGAGTGATTGCACAACATATAGGACACAATATATGTACATCGGGAATATATCACAAGGGTGAGAATCTTTTCTACATGGCAATCACAGTGGCACTTCATGATCATCACGCATCTTCCGCTTCCGTCCTATTCGCGTTCGAAGCGCACGTAGAGACGTTTGATGCCCTGCTCCTTCTTGACCATGTCCCACTGCATTCGCGCCTTCGTGTTCGAGTCTTCGGTGTCGTGGTTGTAGACCGCGACGTCTGAAAAGGAAAAAAAGATTGATTGTGGCAAAAATGAAGAGTGCAGCAACAAACATTGGCGGTCGTCCTCTGGCAGGTCTTCCTTGGTCAGGAGAAGAAGCCTAACCGTCGCCGAGCTTCCAGGTTTCAGAATGCCGACAGGGGGCCGGATCTTGATGAGCTCATTGCTGAAAAATAAAAGAGGGTTAGGTCTGCCCTAAACGACGCAAAAAAGTTGACTCTTACTTCGTGCACTTGACTTTGTAGAGCTGGATCGTGTCTCCTTTGTTCTCGATCTTCAGCTCCACGAGCGGCTCCGGCGGCGAGTCCTCTTTGACCGGGAACACGATCCTGTCGTCGGGAGTTGTCAACAGCCTGAAAAATTGAGAAAAATTAGTGATGAATTAAATAGATAAAGATAAGTGAAACTTACATTTGAAGAGTGAAGAGCGCGAAGGTTGGAGTTGGTTGGAGTTGCTAGTATTGAAGAGGTTGTTTGGCGTACTTCGAGGCAAGCTTTTATAGGGTTCATGACAAGAGGCTGGGTTCTAAAAATAATCAAAAAAAAACTATAAAAGCTCCTAAAAGCTTGCCGGAAACATCAACAATATTCGACTCTACGGACCTGCAAACGTACGGCCCAACAACTCATCTCAAAGGCGCTGCATTTCGTCAACATGTTCTTTGTTCTGCTGCTGCTCTCCATTGTGGTTGCCGTCATCTACTATGTCACTCTGTATCCTGTAGACGCATCAATGCCTGCGGAGTCTGAGGTTGGTTTCTTGTCATACGTAGTATTTATTTCAAATTTTTAATTTTTTTATTTACAGGGCGGCGCAGCGAAAGAGGGCTCGGTGGCTGGAAGTGAGGAAAGTCAGGCAGTCAGCTCGGGAAGCAGAAGTGACGAAAGCGCTGGTGGACCATTTGCTCTACGTGATCGCCGTCCAGGAGCTCCAACGCCAGTTCCCGTCTATCTGGTTTCACCGGTTGAAGTGAGGAAATTGTTTGGAAAAGGCGCTGCTACTATCGACACAGAACAGAGCAGAGGAACATCAGAACGGAGTGATGCCAAAGCACCGAAAGGGAAAAAGGCAAAGAGCAAGAGAAGCGGTAGCAAGCCGGCTCCAACGAGTGAGAGTGACGCTGGAACAGCTGGGAAAGCTTCGAAAACCAAGAAGCGAAGTGGTTCTTCTGGTCGACATCGTCGTAAGAAGGAGGCTGGCAGTAGCAAGAAGGAAGCTGGTTCGGCAAGCGATAGTGCTGGGACGGAAGGTAGTTAAATTTGGGGATTTTAAAGTTGAAATAACAATCTTATTATTTTCAGCACCGAAATCCAAGGCTGAAGCTGGGAAAGCGCGCAGTAAGAAGTCTGGTGGTGGATCCAAAGGACGCAAGGACAAGAAAGGTGAATTTTTACAATTTTCACTTTTGTAACGTCATAATTTTTCTTTATTTAGGCGGCGGTCGTTCTCGAAGCCGGAGTGCAAGCCGTGGAAGTGCAAGCCGTGGGAAGTCATCCTCCAAGAAGGACCGGAAGCATGCTGCTCCTCTGCCACCAGCACTGAAGGAGCAGAAGAAGAAACCCACTAAGATCTGAATGGAGGAAAGAAGCGCGCGCAAACTCATCTCTGAGAGGCGTTGAAGAGAGGAAGGAGAAGTTCAAATCACCTTTCTGATGATAAGCCTAAAAATGATAATTATTTCCACCAATTGCTTTGTCTCTAATTTGTAAAATTTGAATTTCTTTCCCCTCGTTTAGATTGTCATAAGCCTTTCCTCTATGATTAATTATAACCGATTATTTGTGAGTTGTATATATTATTGTATTTGTACTTGTATTTTATCAAAAATAATCACAGATAAAATTGTTGTATTGATGTTTTTAAAAATGAATTGTAGGTAAATAAAATCGAGATTATCCAAATAATAGAATGAGAGAAAATAGGGAAATTACAGTAAGTCTCTCTCTCATTCACTTTTTTCTCTTAATTCTCTTTGTTTTGCATGCTCTTTCCTTATAAAACCTCAAAAGGTATAAGCCTTTTTGTAGCGAGGTTTCAGAGCTTTTTTCTTGATTTTTTGATTTCATTTTTTTGTTTCCGTTAAAGGGAATTGCAATGCGTAATGTTCAGCAACAACAATGCTTCAAACTTTACATAATCAAATAATTGCTGTTTAATGGCGGAGCTTTATCGTTTGTTCCTGACTACACCCTTTGATTTTTTCAAAATTTTCAAACATCAAGCTTTTCAAAATTTGAGAAAAATATTCCTTTTTGAGGAAAAAATTCCTTTTTGAGATCCATTTTCTAATTAAAATTTATTTTTACTCACATTTTCTAGATTTTCATTTAAATGTTATTAAATGCAATTGCAATTAATTCGGCGAATCAAAAACAACTTTCCCCTTTGGGTATTTTACAAAGATTTGAAGTTCAACAATCCTCTAATAAAGATATAAATAATTGTAGCTGTTCAACTTCTCAACAAATAGAGTTTTTTTTATTTTTAATAAATTAATTTTTAAATTTTTTTAGAATTATTTCAACAGAATTATCATCAAAAATTCGTTGCCCTTATTGTCGTTTATCTCAAAAAAATTTAATTTGTGTCAATTGTTTATCTACACATTTTCTTAGAATTGGTAAAGTCAAAGAAGAATTAAGAAGATTACAACAATGCAAAAATGCAATTTGTGGTTTAATTATGGATGCTTTAAATTGTGAAGTTTGTTTATTTTTAATTAGATTTTTTGTACTAATTTAAAAATTACTCGATTTTTCTGATAGAATTTTTTAAGGAAAAATTAGAAATATTAAACAGAGACTTAGTCCCCATCAGGCCCGTAGCCAGGGGTTAGGGGGGGAATTCCCCCCCCCCCCCCCCCCCCCGAAATGGGGAAAAGGGAAAAATTTGGGGAAGGGCTGGGGCAAAAAAAGTGAATTTTTTTGGCCTACGGCCTTCTAAAATTTTCAAAATTTTCGCCTGCGGCGCTGAAAATCAGATTTTCGGCGCCTGCGGCGCCGAAAAAGCAAATTTTTTTGGCCTACGGCCTTCTAAAATTCTTAAAATTTTCGCCTGAGGCGCTGAAAATAAAATTTTTCCCCCCTTGCCCCCCCCCCCGAAAAAAAATCCTGGCTACGGGCCTGGTCCCCATTATGGTTTTTTTCGGGGACCTATATCTCGGTCCACAGAGTTAAAAGACACCAAAATCACCGTGCATGATTGAATAAGTTTGGACAAAGTTATTTTACCACCAGTTTACAGCAGAAAAATAACTTTTTCTTTCCCATTCAAGAAGAACAAAATTTCTACTCACTTATTTTTTTATCCTATATTTAACAAAAAGTTTTAAAATTCCAAGTTTTTACAAAAGTCTTTCACATTAAAACAAATCGACATCTTCAATATTAATTTTTTAAAAGGATTTTTTTAAACTCATAATTTTTCTCTGCCCTTTTTGTCAAAAATTTATTTTTTAATTTTTCCTTTAAAATGATTAAAACACAACAGACCACAAAAAATTTTCTTTCCATTTTTTTTAAATATATTTTTCAGGTTAAATTCGAATCAGAATATCACCAAGTACGTCGATCTATTGAAGATTTAAAAACTAAAATTGCATGGAAACGGGATCAAGTTGGTCGTCTAAGGCATCGAATTGCTGGAATGGAAAGCCATAGTGAAAGAAATCAAAGAAATATTGTTCTTTTGGAGGTTTTTTTGTAAAAATTTTCTTTAGCTTTTTTTTCAATTTTAGAAGAAAATGTTAGCACATTATGAACGAATCAACAAAACTTCTTTGAAAATAGCAGATATTCGTTTGCTTTCAGAACATACACGAGCAAAGGTAATTTATTTTTGATTGTTAACTCTGGCACCTTTTTATTTTTAATTATTCTTTAAATCTTCCATATGCATAAATTTGAAAAAGGACAAGTATTTAGACATTGAAACTTAAAAAAAACTTTCACTTTGATTCTTGATTTTGGTTCAGAATCTTGACAAGATTCTCGAATCAAAGAAAATCAAGTAACACTGAAAAATGTCTTGATCTTAACTCTGAATTCAAGAAAAATCAAGGCTGGATACATATCCAGGCTGACTCTACAAATATGAAACACCCTAAATTTTCTTTTCTCTTTTTTTTAGTTAAACGAACGGCTAGCTCTTATTGCCAAAGTTCTCATCCAAATATTTCGATTTGAGAAGCGTCAATTATCCACTTCGGCAAATAATCCAATTCCTGCATGGACTGGACAATCAAAAATGAGCAGAGCAGCTTTTTTGGTTTTATTTAGATTTTTATTTTAAAGATTTTTTTAAAGTTAAATAATTGCCTTTGTTTGGATAGAATAAGTTTATTATCTAAAGCTGCTTCAATCCAACAAAATGACGAACCTACAAACAACAATGTTAATTCTACACAGGTTTTTTTTGATTAAATTTTATTTTTGAATGAAAATTGGAAGGCAATTGATACTAACTCAGTTTTAGCTATATTTTTAGCCCTTATGGTGTACCTATGTAAAATTGATATTTGACGGGTACACTCCAACGTACTGCTGAGTTATACCTTCGTTCTAAATTATCTAACCCGTGACGTCCTGAATCGAAATTCAGTTTGACGAGGTGCTGTAACGAACCATAATTTGGCGTGATAATTTTGAACGAAATTATAGCTCGGCTGTACATTGGCCTCGCGTTACTTTTGCCTGCTCACAGATTTCAATGCATTATCAAAATTATGATTTTTAAATTAAATTTATTTATTTAAGATCTCATCATCTCAAAATTCTTCTCACCCATTAATCATCGAATCCTTAGCATCACTCGAATTTCTTTCTCAATTTATTCACGTCCTTGCCCGTTTTCTTGATTTCCATTTGCCTTATAAATTTTTAAATAAAGAATTTTCTTTATTTGGATTCGGAAGTGGTGCTAGAATTAATTCTTCTTCAACAACATTAGAACAATCTCTCAGACAAATACTTTTTAAATTGGATTATTCTTTGGCACATTTATGTTTAAGTAAAGGATTGCCTTCGGAAGAATGTGAATTAACTGAACCTTTTGCTAATTTGTATACTTTTTTGGTTAAAATTGTTGGAATGAAGGTAAGAGAAGAGGAACGGGAGAAAATTTTTTTGAACAAATTTTTGTTTTTTTTTTGGGTTTTACTAAAATATTTTTTAAATTTTTCAAAAATATTTTTAAAACAATGAAAAATTTTAATTTTCTCAGTTAACAACAAATTGTGCACCTCAAATGGATCACCGTTTATTGCGACAGATAATGCAACAATTTGCCATTGTAAAACCTGATGGACGGATCAACAGCGAATTTACTCTTGATAATGTATATTTTTTTAAAAATTATTTTTAACTGGGAAGAGTGTCTCTATTTTTATGTAATTAAATCAACTACAAAGGCTGCTTTCTTTGGGACCTTTTTAGATTTTAATTATTTTTTTTATTGATAATTATTGAGTAGGAGGGTGTTTCACGATATATAAGAAATAAAGCTCCCACGTTCCCCGCAGGTTCTAATCCTCCCGTTGGCTAAACTTTTACTTGATTGCTATTTTTCAGATTTGCGATATTTCCCTTTTTTCCATATTAGATTTCTTTTTACTCTTTTGTCTCTTAACGAATGAGAGATCATCTCGCAAATTAATTTCCAATTTTAAAAATTATTATTTTTTTTAGGTTGAAAACGACTGGGTAAGAGTGTATTACTCTTCCATGTGAAGTTCACTTGAATATTTTGTTTAAAGTGTAAAAATGATTTGTAAAAATAAAATGCCTTTTTTTACGTTTTCGCTAGTTATTTTTGGATTTTTGAAAAATTAAAATGCATGATAAAAATGATTTTTAATAATAATTATGAGAAAAAATTTTGTAAAAATTCAGAGTATATATAAATTAAGTTTGATTGATTATTTAGAGAGATGTTTTTATAAAAAGTTTAAATCTAAGTATGTGGGTAATTGTTTTTTATATATAGATAAATTACTCAAAATTATAAAAAAGAAAGAAGTTTTTGAATGGTTTGGGGATTCTCTTTCACAGAAAATTGTATTGTTTTTTGCAAGATTTTTTTGGGAAAACATCCGTAATCTTTCTGATACATGTTCTTATAGAACGGAGTTTGCAGGGGACTTTGGAGTTGTTCCAATCTGAACCAAGGGTAGTAGATTCCACAAAAATATGGGGTCTATGCTTTGACCACCCTGATATGAGCAAATATTGCTTATAGTGTATAAGGAAAGGGGCGATAAAAATCTACGTAAATAATTAAAATATTTTCGTGACGCAATCAAAGACACTTTGTCCCATTTCTGAGAATTTATATTTCTAAATTAGGTGTTGATAAGCAATTAACTATAGAATATTTACACCTTTATTTTTGTACTTTTATAAATAATTTAACCATAATATTTAGTTAATATTTTTTCTTCTAAAAGCAAATTTAATGAGTATTTATAAAAATAATATAACGGTTAGCATTCATTTTTTATTTTTGAATTATATGTAGTTCTAAATCATAGTACTACTAAATAAAATTCCAATACTACGTTTGTTACTGGAGATGATCTACTTCAGTCCATACGTGGCAATCTTAAAAAAGCTTTATTACCTAGAAACACTCTCTACAAATATTCTCCTTGGTCCATCTTTTGAATAATTGAACAAATAAATTAAACAATATTTCCCATTTCCTAAATTCTCGAAATTTAATTTATTCTATTTTTAATATTTAACAATTTTCTAAAAACTTTAAAATTTATTAAAAAATATTTTTTTATTTTATATTTTATTCAAAAACATTAACTCCTCTAATAATCTTTCTATTTTTGAAAAAAATATGTTTTTTTCTATCAATTTTCCTAATTATTCAAACACATCCGATCTCTCTAAAAAATTTGTTTTTCAATTTTTTAAATATTTTTTAGCAGTACAGTAACACATTCTTACTTAATTACGCACTATTATAAAATATATTAAAAAATATTTAAGCATAAGTGCATCTCCTTTTTAATTTAAAAAAATATTTCAAAATATCAAACTAGAAAAATAAATAGTAAAAAATATTTTCTAATCTTTTCTTTTTTAATACTTTAATCTTCAAATAACTGGAAGCCTTAAATTAATTGAAATTTTATATATTCTTTTGAATTTATACAAAAATATGTTTGTACATTTGTGTTAATTTTTTATATACTAAAACAATTTGGAGATCTAATACCAAAATAGAGATTTTATTTACAAAAAACCTACAGGTTACAAGTTGGAACCTTCAAAAGAGCCAATCAAGACCCCCATCACTTTTAAAAAATTATAACTTCTTGATATACTTTTAAAAAAGATTTTATGCCCTAATATGCTCCCTTCCTTTCGTTCCCAAATTTATTTTGACGTTAAAAATTTTTCTATATTAAAAAAACCATTTTTAACATATTCATAATATTCTTCCATATTGTTAACTGACTAGAAGCTTTTTAATTTTCATTATCTTATTTTCTTAAAAATTCACACTTCTTCTCTAACCTAACATTTCAAATTTTGCTACCGTTAATTTATTTTTATTTTCCTTTAAAATTAAAAATATACATATTTCCATTTTTAAAAAAATATATATTTTATTTTGTGAATAAAGAAATCTTTTTTTATGAATTTTTTAGTAATAAATTTGAAAAAAAATATTTTCTACAATTTTTCCAAATAAATTCCCCTTTCCTCTCCGCCATCTTTGAATGGCACCAAGTTTTTAGAAAAAAAATATTTTTTTAATTATATTATAAAAGAAATGTCAAGAGTTTTGATATTTAATTATTTATTTTTATTATTAAAATAAACCAAAAATAGACTAAATATAACAAAAACAAAAAAAAGCTTTTAAAAGAAAATAATATTAAAGTTTTTTTTCCTTTTATGCAAAAATAAAAATAAATTTATTTATAAAAATATTTTTTTTGTTTATTAATTTTTGTCCAAAAATCGGAAGTTTATAAAATCTTAGAAAAAAATATTTTTTAAATAAAATATTTTTGTGGGGCAGTAATTATTAAAAATTATTTTCTAAGGAAGAAAGGGAGAGAAGAGTTTAATTTTAGTGTAAGTTATTTTGTGGTTAAGTTGGTAAAGGAATAGAGAAAAAGTCTATCAAAAGTTTAGCCACCGGGCAGGATTGACCTCCTTGCAGTATTGGTAGGCGCTTTCGCTCACCGCTTATAGGAGCTCGCCCACTGAGCTACCGGGGCATCGACTAATGCTTTCTCTTTTATCCTTTTAGATCGTTTAACCTCAGCTTAAGCTTTTTAAATGCTCTAGGTGAATTATCCTTACAATATTTTAGTAGTGGGCAAGTTTACATTACCTTTTTTTTTATGTTCGATGTCGGTTCGAGCTTGTTAGAAATTGTTTTAAGTTTAATTTTCTAAAATTAATATGTAAAATAAATTGATGATTTTAATTTTATTTATTTAATTCCCAATTTTGTATTTATCAACAAAATAATTTCCTTTCTCTTCTTTAAAAAAATTACTTTTTTTTTACTTTAATTAGCAGAACCATTTTAACTGTCTAGACTTTTTTGGTTTTTTGACGATTATTGCGCAGTTGGTTATTATATTTTTTTAATTAAATTAAACTTGCTTTTAACCTTTCAATTTTTATTTTTTAAATTAGTTCCTCAAATAATTAAAATTGAAGGGTTAAAAAATATATACTTATTTTTAAATATATATATACCTTTTTTTGTACTATAATTTTTTAAATAAAATTTTTACACCTTAAATTTTTATTTCATATTTTCTTTAATTTATAATTTTTATTATTTAAATTTTTTAATTTTTTAATTGTTTAATTAAATGTCTAAATTTTTTCTAATTCTTTTCCCGAAAATTTAAGACGAAAATCTCAACAAATTTAAAGAATTTTTTTTATTATTGAATATCTATATTTTATTTTCCATTATTTAATAAAAAGAAATTTTAATTTCAAAATTTTAATTAATTACTCATTCTTTGTTTAAAAAATTATTTTTATTTAATTTAAAGTTGCTTCTTTCATAATTTTCTAATGTCCTTATAACAACATTCCTTTTATTTAATGCGGGGACATTCTTTTTTAAATAAAAGAGAAAAGAAGCCTTTAATTTATTTAACACCTATCCATCAACAATTAAAAATATTTGCAAAAAGAGAAAAAATTTTTTAAAAAAGTTCCTTTTTTCTTCAAGATTATAGTGTCATCGAGAATATTAGGGCGCGGAGTAAGTAAATTATTTTCCACAAAAATTTTTTGAAATTTTGTGAAAAAACATTTAAGATTTGTACTACATAATTCTTATAAAAATTAAAAAAAATTTTTTGTCGACCTATTTTTTGTAATTAAAAGAAAAAATTATCGTTAAAGAGTAGGGTTGGGGTTTTCTAGTCGGGTTGACGTTCGAGTCATTTTTATCGGGCCGGCCCGACCGAGTTTTTTCGGGCCAAAACCCCCACATTCCCTGTCTACGCCCAAATATTCCCCAAACTTTTTGCTCTTTTCTGCTTTAATTAAATTAATAACACAAAGTATTCTTCTTTTTTTTAGTTTAAAAATACTTCCTTCCGTCTCGTTGTTAAGAAGAAAGTGTTTAGGTCAAAAAAGATTCTCTCAAATTATTTTACCTTAGACAGACCAAACCTGCATTTTCTCTTTTCATTTTCTTATCATTTTTGTCCTTTTTTAGTATTGCAAAAGCACGAAAAAAAATTATGAAATAAAAAAGGAGACACAAAAAAATTTTTGTAAAAGAAATATATGTATACCACACACAAATAATGAGCGTAAAACTTTTTAAATTAAAAATATTTAAAAAAAAATTAATTTTAATTAAATTTTCTTTCTTCTTTTACCTTTAGGGAACTTTAAAATCTTTTCTTTTCTTTTCAAAAATTTTTTATCAAACCATAATTGAAAATTATTATATAGTATAAAGTTTATATTAACCATTAAAAATAAGGCATCTTTTATATTATTTTTTATATTAAAGTTTTTATATTAAAATTTTTATATTAAAGTTATAATGATAATCAGAATTAAATTTTGGAATTTTTAAATTTATTCGTATTGGTAGGGTTGTCGGTTCCTGGAAATTCTTCGGATATCCGAAACCCTACATTAGAACCGAACCGAAAAATCGTTGATTCTTCGATTCGGTCCAGAACCGACAACCCTACGTACAGGCCATATTTTCCCTTGTACGCAGATACAAATAAGAATAGGAAATTTGTTAAGAGCTTACAAATACTACCCAAAATTATGTTTTTATTCTGTTAATTTGTAAATTATTTGTTCAATCAGTAAACGTGTTTGTTTTATTTAAATTCGAGTCCCTCCTTTACTCAATTTTTTTCGTTTTCTACTAATTTTTATGTGCTTGTCCAAAAATTTTCTAATAAAAAATATTAATTTTTAATTAATTAATTAAAATATTTCTCTCTAGAAAAATAAATTTGATATTTATTTAAAACTACATACTCTTATTCCAATGATCATAATATAATTAATTTAAATATTTTTTGAACATTTTTGTGTTTACAAAAGAAGTTGCAAATTAATTTAATTAATTTTTCGATAAATAAATATTTTTATGTTAAAATAAATCACTTGACAAGAAATTTAAATATTTTTTAAACTTTTAATTTTTGCAATTAATTTTGGGGTATAGAAAAGTTTTTTTCTTAATTTTTTTTGTTTCTTTTTTTATTTTTCTATAGTCCTTCCTAAAACCTTTTTTATATTTTTATAAAAATTTTGTTAGAATTAGATTTTTCTCTAATTAAAAAAAACTCTTTTGACCTTTATAAACTCAAAATCTCTTAAAAAGTGTTTTCCTTCTTTAATATGGACTTCTTGTTATTGGCGCCTATTCCTTAGAGCTGTCCAAGGCTTTTGGTCTTGAGTCTTGATACAAGGCTTTTCTTTGGGATTTTTTCGGTCTTGGTCTTGAGGTTTGGAAAATTTTCGGTCTACGTACTATTCCCCCATTACTTTTAATAACAAAATTAAACATTTAGGGATCACCTCTTATTTTTCAGATTTCAAATCTTTCGTTTTTTTCTAAATTTTTTCTGTCCATCTTTAGTAGCAGGTTCTACACTAATTTTTAATTTTTTGACAAAAAAAAATATTTGGAAAAATTAAAAAAAAATTTTTTTTATAATAATTTTACTAATTTTATTTTTAATTAATTTTCTTTCATCTGCTAATATACATACAATATTTTCTAGTTTTACTATATTAGGAATATTTAATTCCTTCAATTAAATGTCTATATTTAATTATGGCCTTGAAAGGTGTGTGGTCCGACATTAAAATAAAAATAAATAAATATTTAATTAATTAATTTTTGTGATTTATTTTTAAATTAATTAATTTTGACAAATTAATTCGTAAAATTAATGTGTTCATTTTACGAAAAAAAATTTTCGGGAAGTAGCTAAAATGAGAAGTAAGAAAGTTTATTAAGTAATTTTAGTTGTTTTTAATTAATTAATTTGACAATAAGTTTATTAGGATTAGACACGTCCATTTTTAAAATCGAAAATCTTTAGAAATTCGATTAGGTACTGACATTCATTTCCAAACATTTTCGGTTTGGAAATGTTCCAAATTTTTCCAAAAATCCCCCCGAACTAAAATCGAGTATTTAACTAAAACTCAATACCTAAATCGAATTTTTAACTTTTTATTAAACCGATGTACTTGTTGATGACTGATTGTGTCCAATTCTACTAAGTATTTATCCCAAAAATTTTAAAGTTATTTAAGGCATCTGGATTTGACGAATTTAAGAAAATTGAGAGGAGAAGCCCCGAAAAAAATAAGAGCCCTCCTCCTTCCCCGATTTTTAATGTTTAAATTAATTAATTAATTAAAAATTATTTCAAAAGATTTTCTTCTTTTATTTGACCCTGAACTTCACCTTTTTATCCATTCATTTATTTTTGCGCAAACGTAGTAAGTAAAGCGTGAAGGTCTTTATTATTACAAAAATATATTTATTTATTGTGTCTCCTCTCTCTTTTTAAACATTTCCATTTTCCTTATAAAATTGCGCATTTCCTGTTCCGAATTAAAAAATATTTTTTATTTAACCAAAAATTAATTTACGTTGTTTAACAATCTCAATTCATAATCCCCCCATCCTTAGGATTTTAAAATAAAACTTTAATTAAAATATTTAAAACTTCCTTATACTTCGAATAGAGGGGATTAGGAAGTTAATTTAAAATTTTTTTAATTTTATTTTTGTGTAATAAAAATTTGTTTTCCCCAAATTCCTTTTAAAATCTTTAAAAAAAATTTTTTTGAAATTATTTCTTTAATTTTAAAATTTTTAAAATAAGTATTAAAAATTTAAATTATAAAATTTACCAGAAAAAGAATTGTTTACATTGATACAAATATTTATCCATTTTCAAAATTACTGATAGATTTGACTGTATAGCCAGTAGTGATGCTCGGGAGAAGAAAAAACCCGGGAATCGGGAAACGGGAGTCGGGTCGGGAAATGACCTCGGGAGTCGGGATCGGGAGTCGGGAATTAGCAATAAAAAAATTTTCCAAAAATTTCAAAAATTTTTGGCGCCTTCGGCGCCAAAAATTCCGATTTTTTGCACATAGGCAAAAATATTGAAAATTTTGGAAGGTAAAGAAGCCTTACTAGCGCCGCAGGCGAAAATTTTGAGAATTTTTAGGTCAAGAAGTCAGATTTCTTCAATTTTTTGCGCCGCAGCCAAAAATTTTGATTCTCATTGGAGTGAAATAGAAAGGGGTCTTGAACGATCTTTAAGGGTAACTTAAGAGTTTATTTCCCCGATTATTAGGAAAGATAAGCCAACAGCCTGTCCAAAAAAACCTTGTAACCGCAGAGATAATCAGTGTTGGGTATTGCTGGGGGCTTTTTCTTTGAGCCAGAGCCCAGCTCTGATTTATATTTGTTGTCATTGACCTTAAGTCCTTAGAATCTCTCCATTGGAGTGAAATAGAGGAAAAGTGAAACAGAGAAAAATATTTTTAGGTTCAATTTTGGTGGAATTTTGATGAACTAGCCACATATCTCTTTATATCCCCTCAATAGTATTAACACCCCCTATGCAACATTAATCATCCATTGATATCTCTCTTTATTATTGCAAATCCCTCGTTATCTCTTTAAATTCACCATAATCCTAGTAAATCACCGTTATCTTCTATACTACAACTCCACAGATTCTTCAATTTTCAGCGCCGCAGGCGAAAATTTTGGGAAATTTAGAAGACCAAGAGGCCAGATTTCTTCATTTTTTTTGGATGAAAATATAATTTTGTCAGAAAAATCCATTCTTAGGGGTGTAAAGCCGATGATTCTGGCACTTTTATTTGGAAAAATATTTAATTATTGGATAAATTATAATTGAATAAACCAAGCTTGGTAACGGATACAGATAATATCCGGATATCCGCGGATATATATGGATACGGATAGCAAAATCCGTGTCCACTACCATGTCTGGAGTAAACTTTATTTTAAAAAAAAATTTTAGATAGAAAAGTCTCCTAAATTGAGAATTTACCAGAAAAGGAGTTTTTAATTTTTATTTTAAAAATAAGAAAAAATACTTTCCTTCCCTTTCTCAAATAAACATGCACTTTTCTATTCAAAAAAGTTACTAAAAATTAATTGCAAATAAATATTAATTAATTATTTAATTTTATCTTTTTCTTAAAAAGGCAATTTTCTTCCAATAAAATTAATGATAAAAATAAATTTATTAAAAAAACTTATTTTTAAAAATAATTTTTATTACAAAAGTATATATGTATTTCCCCCTCTCCTTTTTTTGTTAAAATTAAAAACCTGTTAGAGAAAATTTTTTTAAATAAAAAATTTTTTTTGTTGTAAAAGTATATAGTATTTATAACCTTTAAAAGTATTTTTAAATAAATTTATTTTTATTTTTAAAATACATTAAAATTATCACACTTTTTAAATTCTAAAAATATATTTTCCTTTATTTTTTCCTTCTTTTAAATTTTTATTTTTGTCGAATTGGACGCAAAGATAATATGCTGCGGATCTCTTTTAAAGGAGTTAGAAACTGAAAATTTTGTGAGGCTTAAAATTTCAGAATTTTCGGTCTTGTAGAGCATGTAGCTATTTAATTCCTAAGGCTGTGCAGTAGGTGGCATGGTGTAATGGATAACAGAGCCCAGCTGCTTTGCTGTTTAAAATTTCAGAAATTATTTATTTTTAATATTTTCCCCCATAGAATTCTAATTTTTATCGTCAAAAATTCTGAAATATTTTAATTCAGTATTCTACAAAATTTATAGCGCTGTATCCCCTTGCGCCCAAATATACCCTCTTTTAATTTTTCTACAAATTTATTTTCTTTTAAATTTTATTTTGTTTTTAAAATTAAAAAAATGTAAACAATTAATTGAGAAGATATGGCAATTTTATAAATTTTTTTGTTATTGTCAAAATTAACCCATTTTAAGGGAAAAAGGGGGGAATGAGAAAGAAGAATGATGATAACATTTAATAAAAAATATTTTTAAATTGTTGAATTAATAACAAAAATTTAGTAACTATTTTTAGATCATTTTTAGAAATTTATTAATTAAATATTTGTTGTAAAATTAATTAAATTATTTGAGAAAATATAATATGTATGTAGTATGTGTACTTTTGATTTTGTAAATTTATTTTCGGGCGCAGAGAATTTTTGGGCGCGTATAGGGATAAAATTATAAATTAATTATAAATATTTAATTATAAATTTTGGAATTTATCAGCATCTCGGATTTCCATCAAAATTTAGGTACTTTTCTGTTTTCGCCTCCGGCGCTAATTCTTATTTAAATAATTTTAATTTAGAATCTACACAAAAATATTCTTTTCTACTGATACCGAGTTCCTTAATTTTTAAAAATAGTGAAAGATATAAAGTATTTTATTTGAAACTTTAATTATTTTTAGTATTCAAAGATAATGCCATATTTTCGCATTATTTTTAAGTGGCTCGTCCTAATTAGGTGTTTTGGAAAGGGTCACCCTTATTTACACTTAAATAACTGTTAAAAATTAAATTTATATCAATTTATGTATTTAATTGGTTTATTGAGCGGTTCCTTATACAGGGAGACCATAATATAGAGGGTCTCTTATAATGAGATGTTCGTAATAATTTTTATTTTACTTTGTTATTTTTAAAATATTTCCTCATTATTTATGCAACAATAATTTTTTAAAAGTAAAAAATAAATACTAAACATCCAAAAATAGATTAATAATGAGGAAATAAATTATAAAAAAAAATAACAAAAAAATTTTTTTTTAATTTTTTCAGAATATTAATAAAAAAATAATTTTAATAAAAAAAACAACATTAATTAATTAATAAAATGTTTATATTTATTTATATATTTATTTTATTTTTGTTGTTACAAGTTAAAATTGTGAATGGTCGACAACGTAGAGATTTACCTTTAAGTATGGACAAAGAAATGCTTCCGGTTAGATTTTTCTTTGAATTTTTTTTAAACATTTTCTTGTTAGAAAATAAGAGTAAATTAAAAAATATTTTTAGAAATTTTTTTAATTTAATTAATTTTATAGCCCCAATATTTTGATGAAGAAGCGCCTACTTGTTTGGCAGAAAGAGAGCCTTGTGGATTTTATAGTTTTTCTTTAGATGGAAAAGCACCTTTAAAGTGGATAAAATCTTGGTAAATAAATAGTTAATTTTTATTTGTAATTATTTTAGGGGGATTTAATTATAAAATTATACTACATATAACTGTTTCTAACAGAAATTTATATTTTTTAATCAAATACCCTCACTTTTTAATTTTAAAAATAATTTTCTTTTTTTCCCAAAAAAGGTGTCGTTGTTCTTATAAACATGAATGTGTTTATGAACGTACAGATATGCGAATGCGTGTATATCGACAAACTTGCGTCTCCAAAAGCGAAATTTCTGATAATGACGATAAATAATTGAAGGATATCAAAGAATTGAGGAAGAGGAAGAAGAAAATAAAAGTAAAAATAGCCCTAAACATCATCACCACCACCACCATCACCGCAAAAATCGAAGGCATTTACATAAATTACATCATTTAAAATCTTCAATTTATTAAAAAAATATTTAAATAATTAATTAATTCCCCTTAATAATTTTAATAATTCTGCCCTTTCGGCGCTAGCAATGTTTTGGGCGTGGACGTTTATAAAATAAATGGATAAATTTCAGAATTTCTATCTATTCTCCCTCAGGATTTCAGAATTTTTATTAAAATATTTCAGAATTTTAGGAAGCTTTTCCACCAAAATTTCAGAAAATAATTTCAGAATTTTAGATTCAGAATTTATTATCAGAATTTTATTTTTATAAACGCCCAATTTTTTAAACTTTTTTGTCTTCCAAAGAGAAGTAGCTAAAAAATAAATTGTTGTTTATTTTTAATTTTTATTTTTCTCTTCCGTTGCTACTTCTTATTAAATCAAGATCTCATCTCATAAATATATCTATAATTTCCTATATATTTTTTTAAATTTTGTTTTTATTTAAATTTAAAGCTTTTTATTTAAAAAAGCTTCTATTTTTCTATTCAACACAAAAACTAAATTTGTTTGTTGATCCAATTTATTAGTAAAGTATTTATTTAAAAATTTATTTTTGTCTTTTTTATTTTAATAAAAATTTTTAATAAATATTTTTATTTTTTTCTATAAAGTCAAAAGAGCAGAGAAAAAATTTCTAAAAAAATTAGGCAAAGAATTTCAATAAATCTTTTAATAAACTTTTCGACCAGAATTTCGGAAAAAAAATTTTTTTTATTAAAAAAATGGTTTAAATTTTGTTATTTTATAGCTAATTTTTTCAAAAATTTTTTTCAATTTTTCAAAATATTTATTTTATACAAATATTATGTAAAATTCAAAAGATAATTAACTCAAAAATCACCGTCTACGTCGTTCCCTCAAATCTTCTCCATTTCTATCGTGTCTTCTTCGTTCTCTACTTCTACTAGATGAACGTCTCTTCCGTTCCCAATGATCCCTTGAAGAATGCTTGTCTCTTGAAGAATAACGTTCATATTTTGAATATTCTTCCCTTTCAACATCCCTTCTACTTATTTTTCGTTTTTCTCTTCTTCCATCGTCTTCATTACTTTCATCCCTTCTTTTCCTTTCTTTTTTGTCATCCCGACGACGATCGCTAGTAGAAGAACGTTGATGGTCAGAACGACGAATTGTTGCATCTTTTGAAGGAGAAGAGGGCATTTTTTGTTCAATGGACTTTGTACCTAAAAATGATTTTAAAAAATATTTTGATAAAGTTTTAACAAAAATAAAAGGATAAAAAATAGTAAAGATGCTTTATTCTTTCCTTATTTAGTAAGGAAAATTATGGGCATTATTTTTCAAAATACGAACATAAAGATTATTTTCAGCCAGATAAAAGCCAAGTAAACTATAAAAACTCAGCATGGAATCGATATTGAGAAAAGGGTGATCTTTTTCGTTCCCAAAGATGGTTTAACAATAGTATGATGGGCTAACCAAATCGGCAAAAAAAAAATATGATAAAATAAGGTTTCTCCATTATTAATTAAAATTGAAGTTCCACCAGCATGAGTGACTTTTAAACTCCTACATATTTTGTTTAACTGACTCTTTAAGTCAATTTCAATCTATCCATTTATTAACTTATATCTTACATTAAAGAAAAAAACTAACCACTTTTAAGTTTCCTATCCCATTGATAATTTTTTGCCACAGATTGACTGAAATCAACATGGATTCTCCTATCATCAATCAAAACATTATCCATTTTCATAAAAGCTTTTTCACACTGTTCTGGTGTTTCGAATTCAATAAATGCATATTGTAGTGAATCTTTAGTTATTCTATTTCGAATAACTTCACAGTTAAGAATTGTGCCGAAACGAGAAAAAATAATTTCCAAATCCTGAAAGAATAATATATATTTAAAAAATGTTAAAGTTTGGAATTTTATGCCCATCGAAAATTAAATTTTAAATTCTAAAAAAACTGAATAATAATGAGTGGAAAAATAAAAACTCTGATTTGTTCTTCACCCTTTTTAAGTCAAAAAATCCAGAAAGACCCATACTTAACCATTTAAAAAATTTTTGAAAGATCTTAATAGAATAAAATTCTTAAACAAACGCCAAAAATTTATCTAAAAATTTATTGGTAAGGGGATTAGTTTTTTAAAATAAATTTTCGATGAAGACAAAATCCAAAACAAAAATCCAAGAAAAACCTCATCATTCGTTGCTGGATTCAATTTACAAACAAAAAGAACATTATCTGGAGGACGTTCTTCAGCATAATGTAAATCACCAACCATTTCCAAAATTTGTGCATGTTCTTTCATTTCTTTCTGTTCAAGTTCCTTTTTAATTTCCTCAGCTGTTTTACCCTCGTTTTCATCAATACGCTCATCTAAAGCCAATTGATTTTCAAGCTTTAAAAAATAGCAAATTTTATTTAAAAATATCTTTTTGCTGTCTTAAGTGAAATTTTTCATTTTAATTAGTCAAAACTCGAATTTATACAAAAAAAACAAATTTTCATTCCGATTTTAAAAGTTAAAAAAAAATAAAAACCTTTAAAATATCAATTGTAGGTGAAGGCGAACGTCTTGGTATTTTCAAACGAGGAGGGTCTTCAAAGGGATCATCCAAAATAATTGTATGAGCAATTCTATAATTTTGTTTTTATAAATTTTATGAAAAAATTAACCGAATATCTCTATAAGGCCTATTTGTTTCATTAACAAGTTCTTCATTCAATTTCGACAACGTTTCTAAACCTTCCGCCACTTGTCCAAAAATGCAATGTTTTCCATCAAGAAAATCCAATTCATCAGCTAATGTAATAAAGAATTGAGATCCAATAAGTCCTTCCCCATTATTAATCATTGAGACAAGTCCACGACGAGTATGTTTTAATTTTGGTACCTTCTCCATTTCGAAATAGTTTGCCTGTTCGCCGAATAAAGTACTAAAATGATCGATTAAATGAAAAAAAATTATCAGCAAGTGCCAGCAAAAAATATACGCAAAGCATTTAATTTTATTAATTTATATCTTTAAACCCCCCCCCCCCCCAAATTAAAACTAAGATCGAGTATTTAACTAAAACATAAAGCCTAAACCGATTTTTAAATTTGAGGATAAACCGAGTTACTTGTTAAAAACCAATTGTGTCCAACTCTACTAGTTTTCTCAAAATTTTAAAATTATTTAAAGTACTGAATTTAACGAAATTAAATTTAATAATGAATAAGAGCCCTCATCTAGCCTCGATTTTAATTCTGTACGGCACGGTACAAAATTCCGGTCTCTAGTAATTTATAAAAAAACAAACCCAAAAATTGATTCTCCTCCTCTTCCAGTATTTGTTGGATCTCCAGTTTGAGCAATATAATTTGTCTCTATTGTAAAGAATTGGCAAAGATTGTAATATTTCGTTTTGCAAAGCTTCAAAAAGTTTTTGCAAGTATTTGGTCTTTCTTTAATAAACAAGTCAATAACTAAATCACCCAATGTTGTTTCTATTAATACGGCCATTTTATGATTATCTGAAAAAACAAGCAGATTATATGTAAAAAAATTCTAAATTTATAAGATTTCTACTACCAGAATATCAGTCCAAGATCATCTTTATACACTAATTAAGAAGACCAAACGATAGGAAAAGCTAAAACTAAAAAGAAAATTTGGGGGCGTGCTGAGACTCAAATGTTCAAAAACCTAAAGGTTTAGGCTTCAAAAGGTTTAGGCTAAAATCTACCAGGTAACGAAAGAGTCTCAAAAAATGGCATCAAAACGAAAGTTTTTGGGACATAACTTTTTTGTTTTTAAATCGATCCAAATAATTTTTGCTTTAATTAAAAGCTCTGAATGTGCTGGTTATTTTTCCCAAGAAATTGTTTAGTTTATACCGCCTTTCAAAAAAGTTACAAGCCATTAACTGCGAGTAAATGTGATTTACCATACTTAGCGGGGTATAACTTTCTAAGAAATGATCGGATCTTTTCTTAAAGTTAATAAAAAGAATAAAAACAAATATAGATTCTAAATGATAGAGGAATTTTTTGGAAATGATCGAAATAAAAAAAGTTATGGCATAGAAAATGGCGCTTTGATGCTAAGTTGACGAGACTCTAGTGTCAAGCAAGCCTAAAGGTTTAGGTTTGTGTTGAGTCTGAAAATAAATGTAAAGACATAAGAGTCTTGCTGACTATTTGACATAACTCAATCTGGCATTGAGTCGAATAATTCTTTTTTCACTCGAAAGGTCTCGGATTGTTAGATTTAAATTATTTTGTAAATTTTTAGACTATATTTGTTTTTTAATGTCAGTTTCTGGAAATAAATTATTTAATTCTTTACCGGAAAATAATACTAAAAATTGTCACAACAACATTCTCAATTATTTCAAAAATGGACAAGAATTACTCGATGAGCTGACTAATTTGGCTTCTATCGCCTATCAGCGTTGCCAATCGAGAAAAACAAAAGAGGGAAAAGGAAAAGATGAATCAATGTGTAACGGAGAAGACAAAATTGAACAAGTTGAATCTTCAGATAATGAAGGTTAATTTAATAAATTTAAAAATAGCCATCCCCTTAAGCTTTCTCACACAAGTGTGTGAAAACAAACTTGAGTATTTTTACTGAAGACCCAACTAATTTCAAAATTTATTTCAGCTGATATTTGTGATGCAACCAAACAGCGTCGAAAAGCTTTAGAAACAATTGCTGCCAACAACAAAAATTTACCTAAAACAATTGAAAGTGAACAAGCCATAAAAGAACGTTCAGAACGTAAATTGGATAGAGCTAAAAGACGTGCCCAAAATAGTCAATTAGTTCGTGAATTACGTGATGAATTGGAGGACAGACCAGAGGAAATAAGAGAAGAGAATCCAGTTTTTGGTATATTTTTATTTAAGGACAGGCCCGTAACCAGGGGGGGGGGTGGGGGGGGGGAATTCCCCCCCCCCCCCCCCGAAATGGGAAAAAGGAAAAAATTTGGGGAAGGGCTGGGGCAAAAAAAGTGAATTTTTTTGGCCTACGGCCTCTGAAATTTAAAAAATTTTCGCCTGCGGCGCTAAAAAAGGAAGAAATCTGGCTCTTTGAGGTCCAAAATTCAAAAAATTTTCGCCTGCGGCGCTGAAAATCAAATTTTTGGCGCCTGCGGCGCCGAAAAAGTGAATTTTTTTGGCCTACGGCCTTCAAAAATTCTCAAAATTTTCGCCTGCGGCGCTGAAAATAAAAATTTTTGGCGCCTTCGGCGCCAAAAATTTGGCGCAGAAAAAATTTTCCCCCCTTGGCCCCCCCCGAAAAAAAATCCTGGTTACGGGCCTGTTTAAGGATATATTTATTTGGGCAATTTTAAATCCAAAGTTTTTTTCCTAGGAATTGAGGGGAAATTCGGTATCTTCTAACCGGCCCTAATAAATAGTCGATGAATATTTTCTTGTAGAAAAAATAAATCTGATTATATTTTTAAAAGGTAATTTTCAATTTCGTTCCCCCCCCCCTCTTTTTTTCCTTCCTCAAAGTATTACACAATGGTCAGTCAATCTTAAGATAGAACTCGTCGAGCTGTGTCGAATGACACCAAAATCGAAAAAATCGGACTTGATTGGACCGAAATACAGACCCCTAAAAATTGAACAACCACAGGGGTGATTTTTTGAAATTAAAAAAATTTAAGCAAATGGTAGCTCATTCGAAAGAGCTCTTCGAGCTGAGTCGAATGACATCAAAATCAACGTAATTGGACAAGATTTGACAAAGTTACGACGTTATTTAGACCTACCGGAGTCGATGATTTATGTCATATCTTTGTCAAATCAAGTCGGATCACGTCGATTTTAGTGTCATTCGACTCAACTCGACGAGCTCTTTCGAATGAGCTACCATTTGCTTAAATTTTTTTAATTTCAAAAAATCACCCCTGTGGTTGTTCAATTTTTAGGGGTCTGTATTTCGGTCCAATCAAGTCCGATTTTTTCGATTTTGGTGTCATTCGACACAGCTCGACGAGTTCTATAACTTAAGATTGACTGACCATTTTGTAATACTTTGAGGAAGGAAAAAAAGAGGGGGGGGAACGAAATTGAATTTTACCTTTTAAAATAATCAGATTTGAGGAAAAGTTAAAATCCCGTCCACAAAAATCATTTCTTACAACATTTAAAAAAATTTTTATTTTAACAAATGATGGCCTAGAATCTCGCCATGCAGAAGCAAGACGTCGTTATGAAGAAACTAATTTTGTACGTCTTGGAATGTCAAGAGAGGAAAGAAAAGCAGCAAAGAAGAGAAAACATAATACTTCAATGGTTGATGAATTGGAGAAATTGCTGGAATTTGGACGATATAAAATTGATAATGATGGTGAAAGTGATGGAAGAAAAGGTTTTTAAAATTATAATTGAAAAATAATTGTTTGGAAGTTTTTTTGTCGGGTTGTTCTATTTTTGTACTAAAAAGGAAGTGTAATTAGGGTTGCCGGTCCGGTCCGGAAGATCGAGTCGGACATCTTCTGCCCCAAAAAATGATCGGGACACCCCGGCAAAGATAAGGCCCGATAAAAACGAGGCCCGAAAAAATTTCTCGAACGTCAGCCCGACTCGAAAATTGCAACCTTAATTATAATTTTTGAGGATATTTTTAAAACCATCCAAAAATTATGAAATTTTTCTGAACAAAATTAACCCTAATCTATATAATAATTTAATGTTTTTAGATAAAACAAATCGGAATGGAAATAAAAAATTTGAAGCTAAAGGTGCAGGTTTTTCAGCAAAAAGAAAAAATCGAACATCATTCAAAGCAAAAGGTACCAAAAAGAGGAAAATGAAGAAACGGATAAAACGATAAAGTATTTCTGTTAATTTTAATTGTTAAAAATTTGTTTTGAAAAAAATTTTTTAGCAAATTTAATTTCTTTTGGATCAACCACAGAATTTTATTAGATTTACTTGGAGGATAATTTATTTAGGGTCTCACAATCAACTTGTAATTATTTTATAATTATTAACTCATCGACAGACTTAATCAGAATCCCATTTAATAAAATATTTAAATTTATTTTTGTACAAATATATAAGTAAAAAAATTTTGTTAAAAAAAGAAAATTCAGTTTATCAGCTGATTGGGAGTAAAAGAACATTTTATTTAAAAAAAAAGTCAAAATGATATTTAAAAAACAAAATGGCGATTAAATAAATTTTTTGGTTTTTTTAAAGTAATTGAGGCGAATTAAATTAAAGAAAATAATAGAGTAGTAGTTTATAGAATTAACGGCAGCCAAAATACAAAAAAAGATCAAATAAAGTGAAGAAAAGAAATTTTTCAGCTCTTTTTTAGGATTTTTAGATTAGAAAAAGCAAATAAATGTGAAATAAAAATATATGGGCAAAAATATTTTTTTAATCAAAATTTTTTTAAGAAAAATATTTTTAAAGTGTAGAGAGTAAAATATAAATATTCACAGAATTAGAGATGGGAGATCTCTAATTTTAGAGAATTAGAGATCTTCCTTTACTTAGTGTTAAATTCAAAAAATTGACCAGAAGCTAACCCTTGACAATTTTCAATGTTTTTTAACTTCTAATATAGCAAGTAAAATATTTTTATTCAAATTCCGATTCATCGATATATCTTTACCCAATTTCTATATGCCTCACCTAAAATAAAAAATTAATTCTAATTGTAAGGACATTTCAAAAATGCGACTCTCTACACTTTAAAAATCAGAAGAATTTAAATTTAAAAAATATTTAGCCCATAAAAGCTGTCATTAAAAAATATATGAGGTGTTTAATATATAAATAAACAACAAAAACAATCATTTTTTAGAAATGATATAAGTAGAAAAGATTGAGGATCTTTTTTAATTTTTAATACTTATTTTTGTTTTTTTCCTATAATTTAACCCGTTTTATTAAAGGCTCGTTAATTGTTGAATTTCCACATGTTTGTGCTGTTCCACTATTATTTCCAAATTGCTGTAATTGAAGAAAACCACAACAAAGAGGAGAAAATTGTTGGTGTTGTTCAAAATGATTGTCATCACAAACTGGAAAAAATAAAATTTGGATGAATAAATTTTAAAAAGTAAGGCAATCTTAAGATCTCTTGGAGGGTTCCCGTTTAAAATAAATTAAATATTCGAACATTAACTGAATGAGAGAGAATTAAAATTTCAAAAAAAAATCTGAGAAAATTTTCTAGCGGATAATAACAGGGACAGTTCTCTATCATTGGATGATTTAACAATTATTTTTTATGAAACTTAAATTTTCTTTCAATTTCCACACAACCCCAAATTCCCCTTATGTTCAATTTTCTCTAAAAATCACATAAACAAAATCTAGATTTTATAAGATATACCTCCACCACTATTTTCCTCAAAATGAGACCATTCCGATTGTGAATACCACGGCCTCTTCCTCGATTCAAAAATATCAACTTGCTGATGAGTATTTTCATTTTCTACAAGTTTAGCATTATCCAAATTTGTTAGACAACGAGAATTTTGTTGTTGATTTTCACCTTCTAAAGGATTGTAGAAAAGAGTATCTTCATTTGAGAATTTCATTATATATGGCACCTAAAAAATTAATTTAAAAAATATTTAACAAAAAAAAATAAATTAAAATTTCGTGTCCTATTATAGCCCCAAAACCCTTTACGAAGAATTCTCCACAAAAATTCAAATATTCCCCTCCAAATATTTGCCTAATTTTTTATTTAAAAAGCAAACCATGTTAGAAAATCCAACTAAATGTTGTTGAGAATGTTCAGATATTTCATCAATTAAAGGCTCAGCAGCCCTTTCCATTAAAAACAATTTTGTTGTATTTCCATCTTTTTCTAATAATTTATCGATATGTTCATTTTGTTGTTGGTCCTCCAGCATTAAATTTTCTGTTAATAAACCTCCATGTAAAGAGTCAAATGTTGTGTCAATTCCTCCATAAAAATGCCAAGATCCATTATAAATATCTTTATTTCCAGATAAAAGAGAATTTTCAACTGCATAACTGTTAAGAAAAATATATTTTTGAGTGATTAAAATTTTCTTTGAAGCCCTGACACTTTCCCGATTAGTATATTCTACCACTGATTAACTTTTTTCTTTTAATATCACAAAGATTTACTTATTTAAAGAGAAAAAGCAAAATAAGTCAAAAATACAAAAACTTTCCCCGCTCCTCCTACAAACCTTTCCCTCATCGTCTTTTTTAAAGTTATCACAGTAGGGGGGGGGGCTGTCCATAAAATAAATTAAAATTCAAAATCTATTCCTACATTTTAGAAAAAAAAATTAAAAAAATTTTTTACAATTGATTTTGTTGTATAGGCACTTTTTGGAATTCATCTTCTTCCACTCCCCTCTTTTCTTCATTTAAATGATTTGGCCAACTACCATAATTAGCAGCTGTCGAATAATTAGAAATAGAAGAAAATGTTGTTGAAGATGAATTATTTGAAATTGTTTCTTCTTTGTTTTCTTCTTCCTCTAATAAAATATCTTCTTCTTCAACAGAAGTGTTATTTTGGTATCTAAAATTAATAATTTCTTAAAATCACAATCCATACCCTTTGAATTAAATTTCTTCTCCTATTTTTCCAAAATAAAGAAAAAAAGTTTTGGAAGGGAAACAGAGAAGTTTATTCACTTATTTTAATTAATTCAAAATTTTGGTAAAATTCAAGTTCGTTTCCTTCCTCTTTTTCCTACCCAAATTCTTTGAATCAAACAAAATTTTAAAATTACCTCGGTCTAAAAGAATTTTCTTCTCTTTGATCAGTTACAGCCAAAAGAGCAGCTACAGCTGTTTCTTCTTCCTCCTCCTCCTCTTCTTCATCCCCATCTTCTTCTTCCTCTTCACCCTCAACCTCATCATAATCCTCTCCTTCCTCCTCTTCTTTTTCTTCCCCCACTCTTCTATATTCTTCTCTTATTTTAAATTCTTCCATTTCGTCTTCCTCTTCCCTTTCCATATGCCTATCGTCTGCTAATTGTGAAGATATCCAAGAAGTTGTAGAAGTTAACTAAAATTGAATTTTTTTTAAATTGGAAATGGATATATGAGAACGGAAGGCTTCCTTTTATTTTTAAAAAATTTCTTGGAATTATCCTAATCATGTTGGATTTTTGCCGTTATAACTAGGGTAGCACCCCGAGCCTTCAGGGGCGAGAGTTTCGGGGATCGGATTTTGTCGGGGTAGAGCCTTCGGAATTCGGGTCGGGGTGTTTTTTACCTAAAAATTCGTCTGAGCACGTTGCCACCCTAGCTACAACTATAAAATTATGACCTATTCCTATGTTAAAAATAACTATTTTCGTCAAATTCCCAGTCAAAACAAAATTTAACTGTGACACAAGTTTTAGAAAATAACTCAAAAAGAGCCTCCCCCCTTCCTTTAAAATAAAAAATATACATTTTGTTGACATTCTCTAGCATCCAAATATTGTTGCTGTAAATTCTTTGTTTGCTGCTCTTGTGATAACATTTGTGCAACAAAATTCTTTATTAACAATCTATTAAACAATTCAAATAAAAAAAAGGTTTTTTCCCTTTAAAAACCTTTTCCTCATTGCTGCACCCCCACAAGAAGCTTTCTTTTTCTCTCCTTTATCTGAACATTTTTCCATTGCCAAATTGCACATATACGAACTTTAAAAAAATTTTTTTTTGAATTTAAATTAAAAAACATTCTGCTTACAAAACATCATCTGAAACATTCTCAATTCCTTCTGGCAATTGGCAAGGCATTTTTTTATTATTAATTAGTTAAAAACAAAATTAAAAAAAGAAGTTAGCTATAAAATCTAAAAAATTGAAAACTTTTAAATTAAATTTTGACAGCAAAATTATTGAAAATTGGGTCATCAGAGTCGTGAAAATTTTTTTAAAGAGGATATTAGAGGTCGGTAAAATCACATTTGCAGGATTCTGTATCAGGATTGGTCGAACAGGACAGGATCCCTAAGGATTAATCCTGAAAACTGAAAAAAAGGCAGGAATTCGGATAGGATCCTGAAAAATCCTGTGCAGGATCCTGTCCTGCGCCGATCTCTAGAAAATATGGCAAAAAAATATTTTTAAAAATAATTCAATGTATTATCTTAACAAAAAATTTTAAATAAAAATTTAATCCGAATTTTTAAAAAATAAAAAGTAATACATAACGGTAAAATAGAAAAAAAACATTTCATATAAGACAAAGATCGAAGATGAAAAAAAACTTTAACACCAAAAAATCACAACGTCCATCCCTCAAAACAAAGATAATATAAAATCAAATCTTAAAGCTTTATTGCTAAAAACACACAAATTTCTAATTAAAAATTAAAAAAAAATTCTTTTACACAACTTTCGTTTCTAATATTTCTCTAAAGTTGTAAAATTCAAAAAAAAAATTTTTGTTAAAAAATTCCAATTTTTCTTAAATCAAAAGAATTTTCCAATTTTCATTCCCAAATTTATTTTTTTTTTTGAAAATTTTGCTAAAAATTCTTTTTGCTTTTATATCCCACTCCTCCCCTCTAATTTTTAAAGATATCCTACACATTTACTATTTACTATATCTCTCAATTTAGTGCATAAATTGATTATTTTTCCAATTGTGAAAATTAATTCAATAAAAAAAAGAAACGAGAAAAGCACCCAAATAAATGACTAAAGCTGTGATAGTTAGGCAAGTAAAATCAGTGAAATAGGCGCCTAAAATAGGCACCAAAAAGCCAAAAAAGGCACAAAAATAGGCATGTAAAAAGGTTATCAGGCCTATGAAATTAAGAAAAAAGCAAGAAAATAACCACATATTCATCGTTTTTTTTGACCATTTTGCCATTTATTCGCCATTTTAAATCATTTCTTGAGCAAAAATTGTGTAATTTTTTTAAAATGTCGATAATTGGAAAAAGCAAATCTCGCCCAACCCACAAATCGTCCCACCCCAAAATGTCCCGCCACCAAAACGTCTAATCTCAAAATGTCCAATAGAGGAAAAATACTCAATTTGTCGAACTAAAAATTAAAAATGGGACCTGGCATTGATTTTTTCTAATTTGGGACTGATTTTTTTAGATTTTTCACTGATTTTTAGGCAAAATTTCGAAAAAATCGCTAAAAAGGCAAAAATAGTACCAAAAATTACTAAATAGGCAAAAAGGCTCAAAAAGTCCAAAATAGGCAAAAATAGGCAAATTAAAAGTCATGCTTAACACTTCGGACCAAGCTAAAAACACGTTTTTTGAACGTATTACACCATCCCAAGCTTGCAGAAAAAATAGGCATTTGCCTATAAATCACAGCCTTATAAATGACGTACTTTCCCCTCTTGTCTCTTTTTTTAAATAAACCATTTTTCATTGCAAAATAAAAATATAAATTGACTAAAAAAATATTCCTATTTTGTGTTATTTCTTATTTTTTTCAATCGAAGAATTAAAAAAAAAAGACAAGAAAAAAGGTTGGTTAACTGAAGAAAATAAACACACACAAGTGAAGCGCGCTCTGGAAAATAGCACATATTTTTGGGAAGATACCAGGGAGGGCGTTAGAAAAAGATAGGGGATAGATTATTTATTTTTTTATATTTTTATGCGCCATCACTTCAACATTAAACTATTTTAGAAAAAGACAAAAAAAATTTTTATTTCCTCTTTTCAATAACAGCAGTTCATCTATAAAGACATTTTTAGGTAGCCAATGGTTTTGAGGGCTTAACGAGAGCGCTCGCATCTCGTTACCAGGCTTTTTACATTTCAAAATAAAATAAGCGAATCGGAGGGCTTTTTAGAGGAAAGAAAAGAGTTTGTCTAAAAAATTTTTGGTTGTCAATGGAGGTCCAATGGTAGTGACTGGCTTGACAACCCTTCCAAGGAGTATATGTGGGAAGGAAAATGGGAAGAGGAGGGAAGGAAGAATCGATGTTTAGTCGAAGCGAAGACAGAAAATGTTGTATGGGGGAGCGAATGAAGTGATGGCAAAAAAAGAGGAATTGGCTGCGTGCGTCATTGCTAAAATTTTTGCTGTAGTAATGAAGGGGAGTTTAGAGAAAGAAAAGTCGGGGATAGAGAAAGAGTATATATAAGTCTCCAACTCTTCAACAATCTTCTCTTTTTAATGAGGCGCCTGACTAAACAAAACAAGAGAAACTGCTCGTCAAAATGGGACGCGAGCGGCGGATTGTCACATTGAGAAAAAAATGAGAATGAAGGAAACGGAAAAAAATGAAGGAAAAAACTTTCCCCAGAAAAGAATTACTCATTCGTCAAACGTCATTAAAGAAAAAACAGGTCTAACATTTAAACAAATGTAGAGAATGGAAATAAGAAGTAGAGATATAAAAATTTAAAAATATTTAATATTTTGGTGTACCTTTAGCAGACGACGAGAAAATCTATTTATTAAATTTGAATGTTTTTTTTTGCTTAGAAGAACTCATTAAAAATTATTTCCATTAAAAAATGCATTTATTCTTGTTTTAGTTGAAATTTAGAGTTTCCTCACATAAAGAGATGAAAACTCTGACAAACCAAAGTTTATATTTAAATTCCATACTTTTGAGGTCCTTTAATATTTTTGATTCTTTAATTTTTTAAAATTTAGTCTTTTGGACATTGTTTAGTAAGAAACTTTCCAGGTTAGTTACTTTATATTTTTGGAATTTTTTGACACATCAACTTAAATGTGCAAAAAATTCCAATGCCGAACCTCATATTTATTTAACTCTAGGATTGTGATGTAATGCTTCACAACCAGGGTCGCAATTTTTAGTAGTCTTTTTCTGAACTTCTTATGCTCTGAAAATCCTCACGATTTCCTAAAAATCGGGAGGGTGCCTGAAATCTTTAAATTTCTTTACGTTGCTTCCCCACCTCGTAGATAACCAAAATTTAAAAATATCGTAAACTGAATACCTAATTTTGAGGGTATTTAAGTTCGGTTGAGATTAATTTTGAATCGCTCTGATTAAAAAAAATAAGCAAACCAAAATTACAAATTTTTTAGTATTTTAAACCTGATGTACAATATTATTAAATCATTCATAAAACATTTTCATTATTCTCTAATGTATTTAAAAAATTTACAAAAAAATATTTTTTAATTTATCCCGTAATAAAGTAAAATAACTAAAACAAATTTTTCTAAAAATATTTTCTACTGATCAACGAAATCTAAAAAAAAGTTTTTAATATATTTTTTGATCAGTAGAAATTAAAGAAGGCATGAACAAAAAAAAAGAAAAAGGCACAAAAAATAATGTAAAATTTGTTGCACTTTTCTAAAGACAAATTCTAAAAAAGAGAATCTCCTCATTTTTCGACAAAAAAAGTAATCACCACAATTCCCTAAAATGAATAAATTTTAAAAAATCCTTCAAGTCATTTAATTATTTTTCGACCTAGTACCAAATGGAATTTCAATTAGCCCCCCCCCTCTCCCTTTAAAAAAAGTTATAACAAAAATTATCGAAAATTTCTACTATTTTTCTGTGTGGAAACCGAAAGCCTAAAGGAATCTCTATCAGAATTGTCTTGAAAATTTCGTAGTTATAGGCCTATTACGGGACTTAAAAATAACAAGTCTAGAAACAAGTAATAAACAAGTCTAGCCTACCTCAAATGCCCGTTTCCCCCCTTCCCCTCTAGTCTTACCATTAAAAAAAATTTTAATTTAAAAATTATACCAATGCGGTTTCGATGAATACGTGTCCCTCAATGGTTTGTTTGTGTAGTTTAAAGGGATATCAATATTTATAGAAGGATTTGTATACAATAAATATTGCCTAATACGCCTTCTAAAAATTTAAAATTAAAAAAAATTATTATTTAAAGAAAATAAACCCAGAATTTCCAGGCAACCAAGCACATGAGATATTTGCCTTTCTATTTGTATCATCGCTAACCTTTAAAATTTTTATTTTTAGAGCACAAATTTATGGAAATCTCCCCCTTTTTTCAAATCTTAAACTAGTCAGCTCCCCATTTAACATCCCTTTAAATAAATAAGGGGAATTTTATTACTGGATTAATGCTTAAACTCCCGCATTGCCAAATTAATAATTAAAACGGGCAATAAATCTGTCAAAACTTTGTCAGATAAATTTTTCGAAAAATGCCCAATAAAAAATTTTAAAATATAAGATAACCAACCATATCAATAAAATCATCACTCCCAACTTCAGAATCAGTAATTACTAAATTAATTTTTTTAATTTAATTATTTTAAAATTAAAAAAAAAAATTAAAATTTTTAAACTTAAATAACAATTCACTTGCAATTTTGGCGCCAGCTTTTTGGGCATTTAAGACTTTATCAATAAAAGGGCATCCACTATAAATTAAAATTAGAAAGTTATTTTTAAAAATGCCTACCCTCTCTCTAAAAGAATAACTTCTCCATAATTTGAACTAAGTTCTTCACATCCTTCTGGTGGATCAGAATATGTCATACTTGCATCCTTTAAAACAATTTAAAAAATAATTTTTTTTTTATTAAATAAAATCATACTCTCAATGGATAATCAGGAAATCTAAAAATTAAAAGGAAATTTTCAAAAGAATTTAATTAAATTTTTTACTTTTGTCCAATGTGATAGGATGGATTTATCTAGAAAAATTATAAGCTTTTTCAAAAATTATTTAAATAACCTGATAAAGATAGGCAAGGTTTTCCGGTTCTGAGATCTGGAAGAAAATTCCTTCTAAAAATTTAAGTATAAATAGAAATTATACTAAAGAAGCAATTATTTTCTGTGTGAAAATTGAAAACCTAAAGGAATCCCTGTCAGAATTGTCTTGGAAACTCATAATTACAGGCCCATTACAGGACTTAAAATCTCAAATGATTAGACAGGTCATTGCTTTCAAGGTCTAACCTAAATGAGTACTTCGGTACCAGGGATAGGCCCTGTCAGATTTTAAAGCGGAATAAGCGGAGTTCTGCGGAAGCGAAAGACGCCCTTCCACATTCGGTACCGAAGTACGAGCTGAATCGAGGTTACTAGGAACTACCCAAAAATCCTACAAAAATTAAATAAATTAAAAACTAACCGTCTAAAGATAAAGTACAAATAATAAAACAAGAAAAAGCACCAAACCAAAATTTAAATTTCCTTGGAATAATCAACATTTCAAGTAGCTTCATTTCATCTAGCAAAAAAATAAATTTTTAAAAAATAAAATTTAAAGCAAACCCCAAATTATTGCGCGTATAATTATGTTTAAGCATACGTGTACATAAAAAAATTTTTTTAAGAAATTGTTTACATGTAAAATAAGTATACATTGGAATCAATACCAATTGATTAAAGAAAAGCTAATAATTTTTATTTAAAAAATAATTTTTAGAAATTGTCTCTTATCTTTTATAAAAATTATGTAAAAATTTTTTTAATTTTTATTAATTTTATCACGAACACAAAAAAATTGTCTCGCACAATAATAATTGATATATTCATTATTAAAGAATATTTTTGATGCCTGATTAGTAAAATATTAAAAATGATAGACACATAATTAAAAGAAAAAATAAAATAAGGAATTGCGCATTTTAAGGAATTTTGACGAGTCAAATAAAAAAAAGCTTTGAGCTCCTCACAAAATTTACAAAAAAAATAATTTCTTGGAGAAAATCCAAAAACAATTTTTTAAAATTAAATATAAAGAAAAGCCCAAAGTTTGCACAGCAATAAAATTTTTAGAACAAAAATACACAAAGATTTTTGTAATTTAAAGAAAAATATCTTTTAAAATTAAATTACAGCCTTTGATGTTGTTGGTGATGATGTGGACTTGATTTATGTGATGATGATGCACTGTGATTTCTTAAAGTTAAATTTGGTTCGCTAGTAGATTTCTTTAATTTAGGAAGTCGAAGTTCGTCAAGAATGGAATAAATCTGACAAAAAATTTATTTTTATAAGAAATTTATACAAATAAATACCATTCTAAACTCAGGCCGTTCAGAATGTTTAAATCTTATACACTGTTCAAAAACATTTCGAAGTTGTCTGGGTGTATCACTTCGCAAATTTTTAATATTAGGTCGAAGTAGTCCACTACCTACCATGAACAATATCTAAAAAAGAAAAAAAAAAGATTCACAAATATTCAAAACAAACTTGGTCACGGTCTTTAATATCGTCATAGGGCAATTTTGAAGTCAAAAGTTCATAAAGACATATTCCAAAAGCGTAAACATCTGACTGGGTGCTGTAAGGGTTTTCACATTGCATTCGAATGACTTCAGGTGCCTAAATACAGTTTCAAGATTTATAAAAAAATACTTGTGTAAATAACCATCCACAGAATAGAGCCAGTCGGGTTTGGATTAGGTGCGCCATTGGGCAGCGCATTTGTACGTGTCTTAACAGTGGCCAATCCAAAATCACCAATTTTGACAGAAGTTCCCTCAGCAAGGAAAATATTGTTTGTTTTTAGATCACTAAAAATTATAAAAAAATAATTTTTAAAAATTAAATTGAAAAAAAACCGATGAATAACTCCTCTACTATGTAAATAATTCATTCCTTGACTTATTTGTTTACAAATGTCCAAAATTGTTTGTAATTCAAAGTCCACTTTAGGTTCCAAAACATGTAAATGACGATATAAAGAAGAGCCTGAGCACCATTGGGTGACTATTGCCTTAAAATAAAATTTGAAAAATTTAAAAAAATAAATAAAAATAACCAATTCTGGCTCCTTAATCACTCCCAAAAAATTAAGAACATTTCCATGACGCGCCTTTCTCAAAACTGTTACCTTAAAAATATATACCGAGTAAAAAATAAAATTTAAAAATTTACCTCATTTTTGAACGCCAATGACAATTCAGGGCCTGGATTGGTAATATTTAATTTCTTTACTGCAACAGTACCTAAAAATATAAAAATCAGTACAAATTCAAAAACAAAATCAAACCAAAATAATCAGCTTTATAAACAGTCCCAAAAGATCCATTTCCTATCTTCTCCTTCATGATAACATTTTCACTTCGAATTGCCCAATCTTCAATAGTTCCACCTCTTTTCTTGTTGTAACGCTCACAACCACGACGTGGAATACCAACAATACCAGAGCCTGGAGATGTTAATGCAGTGCTAGTCAATTCTTTTCCTGCAAGTGAGCAAACACTTCCAGCAGCTGATGGAGAAACAGCTGCAAAATTCGCACGATCACTTGGACCTGGAAAATAAAAAAAACTTGGAGTCAAGATCCATTTAATATTAAAATTTAAGATAAAAACACTTATCAAAAGTATATGATGAACATATTATGTTTGTTAGATGCCCGCCCCCGATTATCCCGGCTTAGAAAAACTTAGTTCTAGAAGTTACTTCAAAGTATGTTAGTTTAGGAGGACCCTCCCGATTATCCCGGCTTAGATAAACTTAGTTCTAGAAGTTACTTCAAAGTATGTTCGTTTAGATGCCCGCCCCCGATTATCCCGGCTTATTGTTAGTTACCGACTAGCTAAAAATTACTTTTGCTTCGAATCCTCATTTGATCCATAAAAAAGGCATGTGAAGTTTTTTGAGGAGGCGCTGATTGTGGAGGAGTTAATGTGACCGGAGCAGGCAAAAAATTTCCACCAACAGCTATACTTGGTTGTTGCCCTTCAATAAGTAAATGTTGTTGGGAGTTCTGACAGTTCGAGACAAGAGGGCTCGAACAAGTTGATGTTGGAGATGCAGAGGCAGAAGATGATACCTAAAAAAATTCTTGAAAACAGTTCATAAAATATAAAAAAAACCTGATTAAAGCGTTGCTGAAATGAGTGAGGGAGTAAATGACGGGAAGACTGGCCACTGACGAGAGGTGGAGCCAAGCCAGTTGGTGTATTTAGAAGCGGCGGGAAGAGTGAAGAAGAGGACGTTGAAGAACAACTACAAACAGCTCCACCAGCTGTTATTGTACCACTTTGACTGTTTCCAACAATACTTTCACCGATACCGCTAGTTGCTGTTGTAATGCTACTTCCACTGCAACAGGCATCTGTACTATTGATATGTTCTTCGTCATTGTCAAGTTCAGTTCGGATACCATTAATAACACGAGTTAATGAAGGGGTGTGAGAACGAGGCTGAGAGTCAGCACATCGCTTGGGCGAATCTTTTTTAAAAAAAAGTCAGATAAAATAAAATCTTTAAAATTAACACATACTAATTAAATTATACAATCCAGAATGCATTGAACTGGCTTGAAGTGTTCTCTAAAATATTTTTATTAACTATATTTAATTAATTTTAAAGCAAACCATTTGTTCAAAACTTAGTTCATCTCTAACAATATTAATATTTGGAGCAGATGAGGATCTGTCGCGGGTTTTATGAAGATTGCGTACGATAGCCAAAGACGATTCTTTTCGCCGAACACCCAAACCACGATTTACAATGTCATCAAGGCGGCCTAAAATTTTTGAAAATATTTCTCTTAACCAAAAAAATATTAAAATGACCTTGAGAAGAAGTAGATGCATGATGGGCAGGGATGAAACCAGAAGACCCTGGCAACAAACTGTCAAGAAGTTCAGTTGCAATTTGTGCATGTGGACCGCTATATTTCTCACAAACAATTCTTAATTGACTTTCCAAATCACAAGAAATATTTTCTGGCTCGCACAAAGCTGGAACTTGCCCCCAACAACGCTTATGAAAATTAAACTAAAAAATAAAAATTCGAAACATAACAGAACAAAAAAACCTGGCATTTTTCACAGCGATAGCCTTGGAAGAGTATAATCCGGCGACAGACACCACAATAAGTCTAAAATGAAATGGGATATTATAAAAATTACAATTATATATTAGGCAAGCAGGAGAAAATAGGGTTCAACCAAAAATAAATGGTATATAATAAAAATAATTGTCTCTCGACCAGATTACAAGTCAAAGTTCTATGGCGATAAGTACCCGGTTCTGCGTGTTAGAACCTATGGTTCGGTATCGTGCGTGTGTACCAGAACTCGAGTCGAGTAAACTATATATTTTAGGATACTAACAATAAAGTGCCGAAAAGGGGTACGGATTGAACGCATAAAAATTTGATTGGACGTATAAACTTTTCATTGGACGTACAAAGTAAATTGGACAAGAGATGGTTCTAGACGGATCTAATTTAATAAACCCATTTACATCTAATTGCTACTATTAAAATATTTTACCAAGGAAAGGAATGTTTTCGGCACAAACACGTGATCAATGCCTAAAAATTAAAAAAATTACTTAAAATAAAAAAGAAATACTTTTAAATAGCTGCATACACTCGCTATGAACCCATAATTCATTCCTTGTAAGTCTACGTGCCAATTCATCCAAATCTAGTTGTAAATCAATTTGTTCACTTTTAGGGTCAGAATCGCTATGAACTGAGCACATTGCAGGAATAATGTTTCTTTTCTAAAAAATTACGAGTCTAAAAACAAGTAGGGTAATCGAGATTAGCTTAATAAAATAGAAATAAACAAGATTGAAAATTCTGCAAATAATGATCATTAATTGGGAATAGGGTTGCCGTTTTCGAGTCGGGCCGCGGTCAAGGCATTTTTCGGGCTTGTTCTTATCGAGTCGGGCCTTACGAGTCTTTTTCAGGCCGAATATTTTAGGCCCGACTTGATCTTTCAGTCCAAGTCGGGCCATTTTGGCAATCCTAATTGGGAGGTCAATTGATTTACGGAACCAGCAAAATAGGAAGTGTCCGAATTTTTCCGTTCATCCCAAAATGTAATATAATTAAATAAATACTTTAAGTATTGCTGAGATTGCTTCTCTTGCTGAGATTCCTGATCGAACATGAAGTTTAGAATGTTGTTGAAATGGAAGGTGTAAATGGATTAATTTGTGTTGTAAAGCTGGTTTATTATTTGTTTCAACCATACAATTTTTAACTGTATTTTTCATTCCTACACCAGCAGCTGCCACATTTTTTCTAGCTGATGAGTTTCGTTCAAGCTTTTTAGTAAGCGAATTTTTGGGCATTATTCTAAAAGAAAAAATTAATCATCTTTGAAAAACAAAATCCAATATGAAAGGTAAAAATCAACAAACATATAGGTAAAATCAACCGTTTTGAGATGACTTAAAGTTATTAAGGCAACAAAATGAATTAAGGGAACAATGAAGGATTCATTCAATATAGCGCCAGAATTGCTGTAATACTGATTTTGTTCAGTTGGACGAATCGGGTTGGGACGAATTGGGCATGCAGAAATAGTATGGTTAACGAGGATAGACATTATACATAATTTTTCATTTTAATTGCTGCCGTTTAAGTGCCAAAAACTGGAAGAATCCTTACCCAGAAATGGGGCAAATGAAAACGGAATGGTTTAGGATAAACTATCCAAGTCTGGAAAAGCATTTTTAAAAAGTACAAGAAAATGGCCAAAAAAGGCTAATTGAATCAGAAAAGTTAAAACTACAATTTAATATCTTATATTTTATTTTAAGAAAATTTACACGCAAAAAATTGTAAAACATAAAAATATTCTCTTCATCGTCTTCAACAAAGCTCAAATAGCAGATAGAATTTAATCACCTCCACGGGCTGACCCGTCGCCACAAAATGTTCAGGATCTTGTGCATTCCAATACGTGACATTCACTGTTGTATTTATCAGATCAAGCACTTCTTCGTCAAAAACTGGTAACTCATATCAAGCCAAATGGACGTAGAACCACCAACGTCGACCATCCCAGCAAAAGGACGTGTTTGAAGAGAAGGACTGAAATTTAGAATTCATTTGATCGGCATAAAATATTTACTCACCAAGAAGAAGTGACTTTGAAATAACGTGGAACGGGTGCTGTGTTGTTGACTATAACCTTGACACGAGATGTCCCATAATGATCAAGTGGCATTTTTACGATTGAGGTATTTGTCACTTCCCTATATAAAATAATAAGAACTTATTAATTGTAAGTAATGAATAAACTAACATAGGAAGTATTTTGAAGAAATAATAAAGAATAATAACAACGCTCGTTTAATATACTAAAGAATGCTAAATAAAACTTTTTGAAAAAGGAAAGTTTTTTTTGGCTTTCTTCAAAATACTTCCTATGTTAGTTTACTCATTACTTACAATTAATAAGTTCTTATTATTTTATATAGGGAAGTGACAAATACCTCAATCGTAGAAATGCCACTTGATCATTATGGGACATCTCGTATCAAGGTTATAGTCAACAACACAGCACCCGTTCCACGTTATTTCAAAGTCACTTCTTCTTGGTGAGTAAATATTTTATGCCAATCAAATGAATTCTAAATTTCAGTCCTTCTCTTCAAACACGTCCTTTTGCTGGGATGGTCGACGTTGGTGGTTCTACGTCCATTTGGCTTGATATGAGTTACCAGTTTTTGACGAAGAAGTGCTTGATCTGATAAATACAACAGTGAATGTCACGTATTGGAATGCACAAGATCCTGAACATTTTGTGGCGACGGGTCAACCCGTGGAGGTGATTAAATTCTATTTGAGCTTTGTTGAGACGATGAAGAGATCAGTTTATATACAGTCCCAAAAGATCCATTTCCAATTTTCTCCCTCATAATAACATTTTCACTTCGAATTGCCCAATCCTCAATAGTTCCACCTCTTTTCTTGTTGTAACGTTCACAGCCACGACGTGGAATACCAACAATACCAGAGCCTGGAGATGTTAATGTAGTACTAGTCAATTCTTTTCCTGTAAGTGAGCAAACACTTCCAGCAGTTGATGGGGAAACAGCTGCAAAATTCGCACGATCACTTGGACCTGGAAAATAAAAGGAAAATTGGAGTCAAAAACCAATTTAAAATAAAATTTAAGATAAAAATCTAATAGGAAATATATCAAGAACATAGTACTATATGTTCGTTTAAAGGAAAATTCCAATTATACCGACTTAAAATTAGCTTAAGGTATTTTAGCAGTCACTTTAAAATATGTCCGTTTAGTTGACCACCCCCAATTATCCCGGCTTAGAAAAATTTAGTTCTAGAAGTTACTTCAAAGTATGTTCGTTTAGATGCCCGCCCCCGATTATCCCGGCTTATTGTTAGTTACCGACTAGCTAAAAATTACTTTTGCTTCGAATCCTCATTTGATCCATAAAAAAGGCATGTGAAGTTTTTTGAGGAGGCGCTGATTGTGGAGGAGTTAATGTGACCGGATCAGGCAAAAAATTTCCACCAACAGCTTGGTTGTTGCCCTTCAATAAGTAAATGTTGTTGGGAGTTTTGACAGTTCGAGACAAGAGGGTTCGAACATGTTGATGTTGGGGATGCAGAGGCAGAAGATGATACCTAAAAAAGAACTCTTTAAAAACAGTTCATAAAATATGAAAAACCTGATGAAAGCGTTGCTGAAATGAGTGAGGGAGCAAATGACGGGAAGACTGGCTACTCACGCTCGCTATGAACTAAGCACCTTACAGGAATAATGTTCCTTTTCTGGAAAATAAAAGAAAAAGTTAAGAGATGAGAAACAAGCGAAGTGATTGAAAAAAGTATGTTTTCATTAATAATTAAAAATAGATCAATCCTGTTAATTCATGTAGTATTCTCAACTAGACCATATCCAGGGTGGTATGGCCTAAAACTTATTCGAAATTCAAAAAACAAATTCTTATCAAGAAATGAGGCAAGTGAAAACAAATGGTTAATATAAAATAAACTATGCAAAAGTGAGGAAAAGAATTTTAAAAAAGTACAAGAAAATGGCCAAAAAAGGCTAATTAAATGATTAAAACTACAATTTAAATTCATTTTATTTTAACAAAATCTACACGCAAAAAATTTTAAAAGAATATATATGTAAAAACATACTACATTAAATATAAATTGCTAACAATGTTCTCTTCATCATCTTCAACAAAGCTCAAATAAATTGTAATAACCTCATCTGGTGGGCCAGTAACCGCAAATTGTTCCGGATCGGCATTCCAAAAAGATAATTCTACAGTTGGATTGATCAGATCAAATAATTCATCATCATATTGATATAACCCAAGCCAAAAAGCAGTAAAGCCACCACAATCAACCATCACAATATACTTTTCCAAGGCTATTGATGTGAAAAATGCCAGGTTTAAGGTGAATCTTTGAAAAGTAAAATTAACTATAAAGATCAAATTATTAAAATTAAACATACTAATAAAATTATACAATCCAGAATGCATTGAACTGGCTTGAAGTGTTCTCTAAAATATTTTTATTAACTATATTTAATTAATTTTTAAACAAACCATTTGTTCAAAACTGAGCTCATCTCTAACAATATTAATATTTGGAGCAGATGAAGATCTGTCGCGAGTTTTATGAAGATTGCGTACGATAGCCAAAGACGATTCTTTTCGCCGAACACCCAAACCACGATTTACAATGTCATCAAGGCGGCCTAAAATTTTTGAAAATATTTCTCTTAACCAAAAAAATATTAAAATGACCTTGTGAAGAAGTAGAAGCATGATGGGCAGGAATGGAACCAGAAGATCCTGGCAACAAACTGTCAAGAAGTTCAGTTGCAATTTGTGCATGTGGACCGCTATATTTCTCACAAACTATTCTTAATTGGCTTTCCAAATCACAAGAAGGTAATACCAAGGCTGGCTCTGTTTCCCTGACCATTTTGAGCTTTTTGCTTGACATAATTTAGAATATCATTCGAAAGAGCTACTCGAGCTGTAATACTATGATCGATTAGACTTGGCGATTCTGAACAAAATTACGAAGATAAATCCTCGATGGACATGCTTTTTGTGATGTTGAAAGTGATTAAAACAAATGCTCATAACTATGTTGATTTAAGCTCGAAGAGCTCTTTCGAATGGGTTTAATTTGCCATAGAAAATAACAAAAGTAAAACCGAAGAGGGGGACCAGCCTTGGTATTACCCACAAGAAATATTTTCTGGCTCGCACAAAGCTGGAACTTGACCCCAACAACGCTTATGAAAATTAAACTAAAAAGAAAAAAAATACAAAAAAATATACAGATCAAAAAACCTGGCATTTTTCACATCAATAGCCTTGGAAAAGTATATTATGATGGTTGATTGTGGTGGCTTTACTGCTTTTTGGCTTGGAATACATCAATATGATGATGAATTATTCGATCAAATCAATCCAACTGTAGAATTCTCTTTTTGGAATGCCGATCCGGAACAATTTGCGGTTACTGGTCCACCAGATGAGGTTATTACAATTTATTTGAGCTTTGTTGAAGACGAGGAAGAGAACATTGTCAGCGATTTATATTTATTGTAATATGGGTACTTGTGAGTTATCCCAAACCAGTTTTTGCGGACATTTTATGCGGACTTTTTTGTACAGAAAGATCATTCTTTTTCTTCGTCGATTTCACCAAATTTTCCCTGTTGCAATATTCAATGAGTTCATCAACAAAGAAAAGATTAATTTTTCTTTCCAATGTAACCAAAATAGAAATTAACATTAAATTTTTTCCGCTATTTAAATGAAAATAAGTACCCGGGTCTGGGTTTTAGAAAATGTCCCGGTATTTTCAAATCAATTTTTCTCAGAATTATGACCATATTACCCATTTTTATACATTTTCGGTCCCTGTAAACCAGTTCAGAGATCTGGTGTGATTCGACTCACATCAGCTCGGTGAGCCTTAAAGATGTTTAGAATCAATGGTACACTGCTTCTATTTACTACAGGGTGCGGCAAATTAAGCGCGCGTTTATTTTTTGCCATAACTTTCTTCAATTTTAATGAAAATTGATAATTCTTTTTTTGTTTTATTCCCAACACTTTAGGAAACTTGCTGATACCAAAATTGCTTTTTAATTTTAAGCTTACTCTGAGTAAACTTCCCTCAAAGTTTGAGCAGAATTTTTTGGATAAAAATTGGCCTAGATTCAAGGCTGGGATTTTAATATTGGAAATGTTTATATCATTCGAATCAGCTCTTCATTCTGATTCGAATGACATAAAAATCATGGGGCTACGACAAAAATCGAATGAGATACGGTTCTCTGAATATAAATTAAAATAATTTTGATAAAAATAAAATTTTTGTGTAAAATTTTCAAAAATGAGATTATAAGCTATTTCAATGCTCCTGAACGAGATGAGTCGTATAGTACCAAAATCATTGGTATTGAACGATTTTGAACGAAGTTATGATCAATTAAACTTTGGCATAAAAAATGTTTTTAAATTTTCCAGACGATCGAACTCGATTATCTTTGCCAACAGTGAACCAAATTTTTAATGTTTGGTATAAGCAAGTTTCCTAACGTGTTGGGAATAAAACAAAAAAAGAATTATCAATTTTCATTAAAATTGAAGAAAGTTATGGCAAAAAACAAACGCGCGCTTAATTTGCCGCACCCTGTATATAATAAGTCCACTGCTGTCCAGTAAAATCTTTTATGGGAATAAAAAGCTCTACACACCCGAGTTTTGGTACACACGCCACGTACCGGACCATTTAACGAAAAATACGTGAAAATAACGACCATTATTTCTAAAACGCAGACCCGGGTACTTATGCCATTTAAATAACTGAAATAAATAAAAATAAGAATGAATTGATACAAATGTTAATTTCTATTTTGGTTACATTGGAAAGAAAAATTAATCTTTTCTTTGTTGATGAACTCATTGAATATTGCAACAGGGAAAATTTGGTGAAATCGACGAAGAAAAAGAATGACCTTTCTGTACAAAAAAGTCCGCAAAAACTGGTTTGGGATAACTCACAAGTACCGTAATATGTTTTACATATACAGTAGTCGACATAAAGATAGGGACAAGAGTAATTTAAATATAAATTAACTATTTTTCAGTCAAAAAATACGTTCTATATATCAATCGAAAGCTCTATTCGTATCTCAGTTGACATGTTTCTGCATTTTTCATGAGATTGAAAATTGGCCGAGATAATCCGGATCTGCCGGATATACCAAATCCCATAGCCTCGGAAAAAATTTTCGGAAAAAATCTAACAAACCCATTTGATAGAGCATATTTTTGTAAGTACTTACCACAAAACCGCTTAGAAATATCTTTTTCCGGAACGGAGATATGATTTTTTGAAAATGGCATTTTTCGCTTAAAAATTCAATTTTTTGCAAAAATAGGCGAAAAATGCCATTTTCAAAAAATCATATCTCTGGACCGGACAAAGATATTTCTAAGCGGTTTTGTGGGAAATACTCAGAAAAATATGCTCTATCAAATGGGTTTGTTAGATTTTTTCCGAAAATTTTTTCCGAGGCTATGGGATTTGGTATATCCGGCAGATCCGGATTATCTCGGCCAATTTTCAATCTCATGAAAAATGCAGAAACATGTCAACTGAGATACGAATAGAGCTTTCGATTGATATATAGAACGTATTTTTTGACTGAAAAATAGTTAATTTATATTTAAATTACTCTTGTCCCTATCTTTATGTCGACGACTGTATATTCTTTTAAAATTTTTTGCGTGTAGATTTTGTTAAAATAAAATGAGAATTTCCTAAATTAACAAAGAAAATTGAACAAAGAAATAGTTGTTAACGAAAATTTTATTTAAAAAAAATAAAGAAAAAGTAGTTTCCCCAAGTTCTGGATCAAAATCCGATCCGGATCCGAACTCTCGTTTTAGCCTTACGTCGAAAATAGCGTGTTATTTTTGGCTACCCTACAAAACATATTTTTTTAAAACAGCAAACGCTCAAAACATCTAGACGACTAAAAAGGCTCAAAATATATTCGCTCAAAACATCAAACGCTCAAAATATCTAGACGGCTAAAAAGGCTCAAAATATCAAAATATTTTTTGATTAAAAGGGACAGTTGAGTCCAATATTTCTTCCTTGTATCAGGGGTGAATAATGTAGTATCTCAGGACCAATTTTGCATGAACTCGACGTGTTGAGAAAGGGCTCGACGAGCTGAGTTGAATGACACCAAAATCAGCTCGATTGGATGATTGTGAACAAAGTTATGACCAACTGAATCTTCGCTGGAAAAACTGTTTTTGTGCTGCTACGGAGGGTAGGCCGGGCATGGTCTTCGCTACACGATGGCCGTGCTTCGCTGCGGTCGTGCTCGCTTCGCTCGCGGCGACCGTAGCGAAGCGGCGGCCGTCGTTCCGCTCGACATGCCCGGCTTCCTCCGCAGCGGCAAAATTTTTTTCCGCGGACTCAACTGTCCCCTTTAAATGAAAAATATATTTTGATATTTTGAGCGTTTGATGTTTTGAGCGAATATATTTTGAGCCTTTTTAGTCGTCTAGATGTTTTGAGCGTTTTTACCCGTCTAGATATTTTTAGCGTTTTTAGTCGTCTAGATATTTTAAGCGTTTGATGTTTTGAGCGGGCACGTTATTTTTAAGAGAGACGAATCAGAATACCGCTCAGAATACCGAATTCTCAAAATCTCGAATCGGGCAAAAAAGCTCAAAATATGGAATCTTAAAATATCGAACCTAAAATCTCGACATGGGTGAAATGTCACAAAATATTAATCGACCAAAAGTAGTTAGTTAAAATGTCGACTTTCTTTAAATTCGAAAATGGTCATTTGAGTGCTAATAGTTGAGTGCGGGTACTGTGTTTCTTTGTTTTAATTTCAGGTTTGTCTTGATTTTTATTTTATTCGTACTCGGCTGAAGAAAGTTTTTGCCGCTGCGAGGAAGCCTGACATGTCGAGCGGAACGACGGCCACAAATGTCTGAGCCGCAAGTGTACGGGCCGTAAAAGTAGGCTAATCTGGCGTGGTTTAATAGATAACATATCAGTCCGATCTACTGAAGATGCTGGTTCGCTCCCAGCCGCCGAATAACCTTTTGCATTAGCTAAAGGAGAGAAATAGTTATAGCCCAGCTGCTTTACTGTATAGATCAAAATAAATTAAAGCATAAATTGTTTTATAATAAAATTTAATTAAATCCGAAAAATTAAAAAATTAAAAAAATGAGCAATTTTTGTATTTTTGTTTAAAAATATGTATTTTCGCAAATTTTCTATATAATTCTCTGATTTTAACAGCGTTCTTGTATTTCTCCTTCTTTCAATCCAAGGCATATACCCCATTCTTTAATAGTTATTGAACCATCTTTATTTGTATCGCTTAAAATAAAAAATATTTTATTGTAAATTTATTATTTAAAAATAATATGTATTGGGCGAGTGCCCATGAACTTGTTAGTCTTGTATATTCTCAAATTTTTGCGCAAATATTCAACTAACTTTTTTTTAATTTTGGAAATTGTAATTTCGAATTTTTCAAGTTTTGGTCAAAAAACATTTTAAAACTAAAATATTTTCGAAAATTTAATATTGGATAAAAGTAGAATAAAAGTATAGCTAAAGGATAAAAGTGTAGCCACAATCAGGCATCGATCCTACTAATTCTTTCCAATCACTTAACCGACTGAACCATCAGCGTGCTTCTCTCCTCTTTTAATAATCTTACAACTACTTACATTTAGCAAGCGTTTTTGCTTGCTGTATCTTCACTTTCCTTATAATATTTTTCACTAAACTTCACAAAATCATAATCTAAATCTATGCAATTTTGGGAGTAGAAAAATATTATTTAAACAAATTTTCACAATTTCATTTAAATATTTTATAACCTAACATGCCTTAATATTATCTATAACCCCCTTAAATATTATTTTTTATTACCATCCTTCCAAGAAAGGTTTAATACAACTTTCCATCGGAATAACAGGTGCAGTAATTGGAATTAATTCGTGATGTGAAACATGTTTGTCATGGGGCTATAATAATTTTTATTTTTTTTGAATTTATTTTATTTTTCCAACCTTGATGTCCTGAAAATTATTTAAATTTAAAATATTTTTTTAATTTTTTACCAAATCACAAAATTTCCAAATAACTGGATAAACATGACGTTTATCATCATTTTGTTCTGCCTCATTAATAAGTTCTTCCCATTCTAGACCTTGAAGTTCACGACGCTTTTTTAATTCTTTCATTACCTTTTAAGAGGAATTTAATATAAATTAAAAAATATCCCTATTTTATTTTTTGAATTTAAATTGTTTTAGTCTCTACTTCCTAAAATATGGAGGACATTTACCCTATAATCTCTTTCATTAGGTTGTCTCTTAAATTTCCTTCCCCTTCTTGAATTTTTTAAAAATCTTTATAGGATCATAGTCAGTGCTTCGTACCACCCCATTGACTTCATACATCGTATTCGTACCTGCCTATTTTTTGCTCGTACTCGTATTTCGTACCAAAGTACGAGTATTTTGGTACGAGCTTATAAGCACTGCTCATAGTTTCAGTTTATTTTTTGTTCATCCCTCCTTCCTTTTTATGATATTTTCTTGTTACATATTCTTCAAACAACAATGAAATTATCCCCTTTTTAAAACTCTCGTCCTTTCTCATTTTTTAAATTTATAAAAATTTAATTAAATTTAAATTTGCCTGAAATAGCCAATCAGCCATTCTTTCCTATAATTTTTAAAAATTATTTTAAAATTAATTTTATTTAATTTTCTAACCGGAAATTGCAACATTAAATCGTTAGTACAATCATCAAGTTGTTTACATTCACCCAAATATTCCAAATGAATTTTTTGGTTTGTTGGGTTTTCACATCAAAAATTATTAAAAAAATATTTTTTTAATATTTTAAATTAATTTTTACTCATTTTCGAATCCACTCCTTTTCTTGCAAACACAACGTTGGCTGAAATTTTTTTTAGACTTTTTAGAATAAATTTTAGACAAAGTTTAAAAGGGAATAATCGAAAACACCTCCACTCATTTGATACATTTTTGCTTTTTACTACTTTAATTAAAAATCATTTAATGTGTAACTAAGATGAAAATTTATGATTTAGGGTTATCATTAATTAACAGACAATACTACAAAATACATAAATGTACTATAAAAATAAAAATCCATTCAAATATTTATTTTGAACAATATAAAAACTTTTACAAAAATTATTTACCGATAAAGATGACAGAGAGAAGCAAATGTTTGATTATTACTAGCACAGACCTTTTAATTAAATAATAAATAGTATATAATTAAATAAATTTTTAAACTTTATCAAGAGGATCGTCTTCAAGTTCTGGGCATTTTGAAATACCTTAAAAATTAAAACAATTAATTTAAATCTGGATCAGAAAATGAGTTCTTTCACTAATAAAAATTAATTTAATATAAAACATCATACATTCACAAACTGGACGTCCTTTTTTATCAACAACACATTCCTTCCCCCACCCACAAACATGTTGATCACATGGATCTGGGACTACAAAAATAAAATTTTATAAAATATAATTTTAAATATTACCAGGAGTAACAGGCCGTGATTGTTCTCTAATTTCTCTTCCTGCTTTACCCTGATTAAATTCATCCAATAATTCTTCTATTTCCTTTAATTTTAAATAAATTAATTAAAGTGAAAATAATTTCTTTAATTTTAACCAGACTAGCCAGTTCTAACTGAAAGTTTCCCAAACATCTCACAGATTATCTTAGGTTAGGGATTAATTTAAATAATCAACTCTCGTCAGTATAAAAAAATAAAAATCCTAAATTGATAGAAGGGTACAAATTTATAATTACATTTCTAGAAGCATTTAGAGATCCAGCCAAAAGCAACAAAATAAAACTGCTAATAAATAACATTTTGTTTTTAACTTAAAATTTTATTTTATTATCAGGATTTTGTTCAAAATAATTAAATAAGTATTGGAATATTTAACTAAACAAAAATATTAATATTAAGAAAATTTCTAAAACATTTTGTTTAAATTTTAAAAAATCAGGACCTCAATTATCGGTTATCCCTCGAACTTCTACAGGCTTATTTAAAATAAATTTATAAATGTCTTATTTTAAAGAATGAGGAGTGTTTTGGACAAATATTGGGCGTCGTATTTGTCTGCAGAAACTTAAACAATTTTGTTTTAAAATTTCAAAATTTCTGATTTTATTTTTAAGGATAAATAAAATCTTAAAACTTCTTCTATTCCTTAAAACTTTGTGTTTAAACACTCTCAAGTTTTATTTATTTATTGATATATCCCCCCATCTGCTTTTTAGTAGTAAGCAACAGAAGTTGTTTCTGATTTTTATTTGAAAGATTTTGCTTTTGCAAAGGAGTAAATCAATTGTTTTTATTTAGAGCAAACAAAAAAAAAGTAATTTTTAGAGAGTAAAATGTGGCACGTAAAAAATAAGGCCAAAAGTGAGAAATGAAATGATAAATCTTTTTTTTGAGAGAGAGATAAATTGACAGCTGTTGGATTGTTGTACATAAATACTTTTCTCTCACAAAATAAATGAATAAAGGATATAATTTTTGACAAAATTATATAGTGTATATATTTTGGATAAATAAATGAATCATTAGGAAATGTTTCTTTAATATTTTAAAAAATTATTTTTTCGACTTTGTGAAAAGTTAGTTGAAATCGACTCTGTCATTAATGATAATTCATTATATGTAGATGTCCTTTCTATCCAATATAGGCCGGGATATAATTTTTGTTTTCGAGTATTGAATAATCTATGATTCTATTCAGGTATTTGAGACATAGTAAATGAAACAAGAGGTTGGATCAGGACGAGATTTCGAAGATTGATATTGATTAAAATATTCCATCCGGTACGATTCTTTTACAATCGGTAGGGTCCTCCTATTCGGGATATAATCGGGAGGATAATCGGGAGGGTCCTCCTATTATTCACTTCTCTATGAGTACTGAATGAAATTAATAATCTTCCTGCTGGAGTATCTAAGCGGGATAATCGGGAGGGTCCTCCTAAACTAACTACTTTGAAGTAACTTCTAGTACTAAGTTTATCTAAGCCGGGATAATCGGGAGGGTCCTTCTAAACTAACATACTTTGAAGTAACTTCTAGTACTAAGTTTATCTAAGCCGGGATAATCGGGAGGGTCCTTCTAAACTAACATACTTTGAAGTAACTTCTAGTACTAAGTTTATCTAAGCCGGGATAATCGGGAGGGTCCTTCTAAACTAACATACTTTGAAGTAACTCCTAGTACTAAGTTTATCTAAGCCGGGATAATCGGGAGGGTCCTTCTAAACTAACATACTTTGAAGTAACTCCTAGTACTAAGTTTATCTAAGCCGGGATAATCGGGAGGGTCCTTCTAAACTAACATACTTTGAAGTAACTTCTAGTACTAAGTTTATCTAAGCCGGGATAATCGGGAGGGTCCTTCTAAACTAACATACTTTGAAGTAACTCCTAGTACTAAGTTTATCTAAGCCGGGATAATCGGGAGGGTCCTTCTAAACTAACATACTTTGAAGTAACTTCTAGTACTAAGTTTATCTAAGCCGGGATAATCGGGAGGGTCCTTCTAAACTAACATACTTTGAAGTAACTTCTAGTACTAAGTTTATCTAAGCCGGGATAATCGGGAGGGTCCTTCTAAACTAACATACTTTGAAGTAACTCCTAGTACTAAGTTTATCTAAGCCGGGATAATCGGGAGGGTCCTTCTAAACTAACATACTTTGAAGTAACTTCTAGTACTAAGTTTATCTAAGCCGGGATAATCGGGAGGGTCCTTCTAAACTAACATACTTTGAAGTAACTTCTAGTACTAAGTTTATCTAAGCCGGGATAATCGGGAGGGTCCTTCTAAACTAACATACTTTGAAGTAACTTCTAGTACTAAGTTTATCTAAGCCGGGATAATCGGGAGGGTCCTTCTAAACTAACATACTTTGAAGTAACTTCTAGTACTAAGTTTATCTAAGCCGGGATAATCGGGAGGGTCCTTCTAAACTAACATACTTTGAAGTAACTTCTAGTACTAAGTTTATCTAAGCCGGGATAATCGGGAGGGTCCTTCTAAACTAACATACTTTGAAGTAACTTCTAGTACTAAGTTTATCTAAGCCGGGATAATCGGGAGGGTCCTTCTAAACTAACATACTTTGAAGTAACTTCTAGTACTAAGTTTATCTAAACCGGGATAATCGGGAGGGTTTTTCTAAACTAACATACTTTGAAGTAACTCCTAGTACTAAGTTTATCTAAGCCGGGATAATCGGGAGGGTCCTTCTAAACTAACATACTTTGAAGTAACTCCTAGTACTAAGTTTATCTAAGCCGAGATAATCGGGAGGGTCCTTTTAAACTAACATACTTTGAAGTAACTCCTAGTACTAAGTTTATCTAAGCCGGGATATCAATAACAGCAACAACAACGTTTACTTCCACCAACACCTAAACTTTTTGTTTTAGAACAAATTAAAAATTGCGAGGGTATTTAATTAAAACTCTGTGTTCCAACCTTGTAACATCTCCCAGTTAACTAACCCCTCCTAATTACTCCAGTTAACCAATTTGCCTTATTCATCAAAATACAGTCGGACCTCACTATTTTACCTACCTATTAAATACTCCTCATATTAAAATACAATTTTAAAAAATTTTTGTCACTGGGTGAAAGCTACATAAGCATAAACATTCTCCTTATTTTCTAAAACAAATTTAATTAAAAAATATTATTTTTTATTTTTAATTATTTCTCCAAGAATTCACAATGCCCACCTTCTCTCTCGAACTCCAAAATATTGGATACCAAGAAAACGTTTAGATACCCAAATAGACTCTATAATAACCAAAATATCACAACTTTTAAAAGAACAAAATTCAAATAATTCAACTTTTTATATTCAATTTTATGGGTTGCCTGGAAGTGGAAAAACAGCAACTTTGTGTAGATTAAAACAGTTATTAGAAAATAAATTTGGAAAAAAAGATGAGGAGGATGGAAATGAAAATTCTTCTTTGCCCAATTTTGTTTTTATTACACGGTGAATTTTTTAGAAATTTTAAAATTTAAAAATCTTCTTTTATTTTCACCTCAATCCCTAATTTGTTCACTTCAGCTTACCCAGGTTCCTTTCCAGCCTACCCAGAATATAACCCTTATATTCATGTCTCTCTCCAACATACCCATTTTCCTCTCACTTTATACAAATGATCATTATTAAAAAATTCCACAATATCCGGACAAATTTTCTCCTGGCCAGACTATGTGGCCAACGAATAAAAAGATTATTTCCCCGTCAACTTCCACATTAAATTTATTTTTTTTGGAATTTATATTATTAAAATTATTTTTAAATTTTTTAAATTTTTTAAGTTTTATTCATTTAACTGATGGAGCTGTATTTGCAAATGAAATGCTTCGAAATATTTTTCTTTCTGTAATTTTTTTTAAAATTCTAAAAAAATTTTCAAAATTTTTTAAAGATTTGTGACACATTAAAAAGGCCAGATTTAGCAACAGCTTTTATCAAAGCTTTTCATATCAAAGCAATTTTGGCAACCGCTAAGACAGCCTTTGGGACACAGCAATCCCCAATTATTTTTATTCTCTTAGATGATGTTAATTTAATTAAATTTGGAAGAACTTTGGGAAGAATTAAACATATTTTAAAGAAATTATTGCCAAATATTTGCTTTATTTGTACTTCCTCTTTGAATATTTCTATTCCTATTTTTGCTCCTCATACTATGGAATTATTAGAATTGGCATCGACTACATTGGATGAAGTAATTAAACAACCTCTATCCCCTTCCTTCTAATTATTACATAGAGTTGGAGCTTTAAAATGACCTGGAAACCCACTAAAAACAAGATCTTATTAAAATACTCGGTCGGACTACCGAGTTCGGCCAGGGTGTGAACTCTACTAATTATCTTCACTTCAGACCTCCTATGTATATTCCTTTAACTCTACCCCTCTTCTACCAGGCCTCTTAAAGTTCTCTTCGACTTACCTATTCCATTCCAAAAATTATTCCTCACAATTAAACAAAAAATCATTTAAAGGCAATTTCAATACTTTGTGGAATTACTAGTGAAACAGAAAAAAGTTCCTCGTTTAAATTTACCTCTGATCAAATTGGAATTCTTCGGAAAATGTTACAAAAAAATTCTGATATAAATTTAGCATTAGGGTTTATTCAAAGAGATGAAATTATTGGTGGTTATGCTGATGATATTTCTGAAACAATTGAACAATCTATTGGTACAGAATTTTTTGTGAATTTATAAATTAAAAAAAATTTTTAAAGCAAAAGCAGAATTTCAGTGTGGGACAGAATAGTGTTGCAGTGCCACGTTTTTTTAAAACAGTCTCATCCACGTAAATATAAACAAATTTAATTTGATAAAATATTTTTTTTCATTTAGCAAATCTGTCAAAGTTACGGCACCTAATTATATTGTTGACGCTAATGCAACTGCAACACTTACACTCACGATCAACAACACCACAGAGGAGAACGTGTTCGAGATGGTTAATGTCAATGTAATTGTTAAATGGTGGCTGCTTGACTCCGTTCCAAACATTTCAAATATGACTGTTGAAGGCAATCCTGAAGAGGTGCTTAAATTCTACATTATGTTTAAGGGAAAGGAAGCAGTCTGTGATGACGTTTATGTGATAGTATAAAAATGTATAGAATTGTTTTTAGGTGATATTTAATATGTATATATTGTATGTCATGTATTTTTTTAAAAAATTGTAATAAAACCTTTTAAAATACATAAAACCTGTAAATATCAAGTACAGCTTTTGATATTCAACTAATTGTAGGTAATTCTATAAAAATTTTAGGAAATAGTCTGAAAATTACTTTTACATAATTTGGTATAGTTAAATTGAAAGTTCGACACCGAGCAGGCCTCGATCCTGCGACCTTTTTGCAGCCACGTTACCGACTGAACCACCAGTGGTCTGACAGCTTGGTCTTTTAATAAAACTTTTTTTTCGTTAGCTGGATCTTCTTTTTCCTTATAATTTGCTAGGTTCACAAATTCATAGTTTAATTCTTTAAGGCTATAAAAATTTAATAAATTTAAATTAAAAATCCAAGATTGTAAGGCAGATAGCTATTAATGCCTAAGGCTGTACAGTCACTAACGAGAATTCTTTAAATAAATTTAAGAAACGGATATGTTTATTTCACAAAAAAATTTAAAAAAATTAATTTAAATCACATATGTAATTAAACAAAATTTAATTTAAATTCTTTTTTTGATCTAAAGTACATATTTGCCCCCCTTGTATTGTAGATATACTCGAGCAAAAAATAATAAACATTTAAATAGAATGGTAGACTGGCTAGTTTTTATTTAATTATTTCTCTATTATTTTTCCAGACTACATTTAATATTGTTTGATTGTCTGACAAGTACATAGAAAAAAGTGAGAAAGAAACTCGGACCATTCCGTACAATTGTGTCCGCAAAAAAGTCCGTAGGGATAACCCACAAGTACCAAAAATTTAAATAAAAATACTTTGCTATATTTCCATAATTTTTAAAGTGGAAAGCTTCACGTACTACAATATTACAACCAACATATAATCATCAACATTTATTAGGTTTTTAAATTTGTGAATAAAGAATTGACATTAAACTAACATTATAGACCTTTTAAATTAATTAGTTTGTTCAAACAAACATTTAAAAAATTACTTGTTTTGTTATTTTCGTTCAAAGATTGGGTACTTTACGCTAGCTACCTAGAATTTATAGTAAATTTATTTTTCAACGAAAATCTTTGAAAATTATATGAAAAAATAGAGCACACTCTGCTCCATCTGAAAATATTTAATTTTGAATTTTTAATTTTGAATCTGAATTTTTTAAAAAAATTTTAAAGAGCTGTGGATAAGATTTTAGATTATTATTATTATTATTCTAATCGAGATTTAAATTAATTAAAAAATTTTTTAAGGTATTTCAAATGTCCAAAATTTGAAGACAATCCTCTTGATAAAGTTTAACATTTTATTTAATCATACATAATACATAGTATATTATTTAATAAAAGGTTTTGCCAGTAAAACATTTGCTTCTCTTTGTCATCTTTATCAAGAAATATCTTTATTAATGTTTTTTTATATTTATTAATAGAGACCGGATTTTTATGCAAATGCATATTTTTTTTGCAAACTTGGCAGGTAATTTTGAACGTGACAGACCCCCTTTTTTCCTCCCCAATTTTCAGCCTATATTTTTTAAAAATGGCCAACTTTTTCCTTTCTTCCATCCAATTTGCCTTTCTAATTTTTGCCTGCAAACAAACAAAAAGGATTATAAAAATGAGGAGTACATGATTGCTGGCAAATATAGAAAGGCAATTGGGATGGGAGAAAGGAAAAAGTCTGACCATTCTGTAAAAATATAGGGGGAAAACTTGGGGAGGAAAAAAGGGGGTCTGTCACGTTCAATATTACCAACTTGGCATGATGTATAATGCACAAAAAACACTGTTTCCGCATGTTTTGAATACTCTAGAGGGGGTTTCTATTTGCATATAATGCATATTTTTGCATATTCCGGACTTTGCTGCATAATGCATATTTTACTGCATATTTTGAGGTTTTTGGGGAAAATTACTCAAAAATTACCCAAAATCCTACCAAAAATTGAAAATTAGAGAAAATTTAAGAAAAAATTTATAAAAATTACAAATTTTGTAAAAAAATTTTTTTTGTTTTTGGGCGAGACCCAAAAATGTCCCATACCCATAATGTCTCACGCCCAAAACGTCCCATCCCAAAGTGTCCCACCACCAAAACGTCTCATCTCAAAATGTCCAATAGATTAAAAATACTCAATTTGTCGGACTATACATTTAAAATAGGAGTAATCGTAATAAAAATAGGTGTTTTAATGCTTTTGATTCAAAAAAATTAAAAATTCTAGGTAAAAATTGCATTTTTGCTGCATAATTTCGTGAATATTTTGGTTTATTTGCATATTTTTGTGCATATTTTGTAAATTTTTTATGCATATTATAGTGCATATTTTGCATTTTTTAATGCATAAATATCCGGTCTCTATTTATTAATATTGTGATTTTAAATTTATTAAATTTTTATAAACTTAAAAAATTAAACTATGAATTTGTGAAGTTGGCAAATTATAAGGAAAAAGAAGAAACAGCTAGCAAAAAACAATTAACAGTAGTTTAAGATTTATTGAAGAAAAGCTGTCAGCGCACTGGTGGTTCAGTCGGTAAGGTGGCTGCAAAAAGGTTGCAGGTTCGATGCCTGTTCAATGTCAAATTTTAATTTAACTATGCCAAATTCGTATTTGTAAATTTTTGCTGTTTCCCAAAATTTTTAGAGAATTAATTACAATTAATTGAATATCTGTGCAAAGATTTGAAAATATACAGCTTAACTAACTGATTCAGGGGCATTCTTTTTAAATAATAAATTAATATTTTTTATTTTAAGCGATACAAATAAAGATAGTTCAATAACTATTAAAGAATGGGGTATCTGTCTTGGATTAAAAGAAGGAGAACTACAAGATCACTGCAGACTAGCAAGGGAAATAGCGGAATTTAAATTTTGGTTAAGTGGCTAAGAGCAGTGACTACAAAATCGTCTAAAAATTGGTCTCGGGTTCGAACCTTTTCATGGTTAATTAATATTTTCTAATTAAATAAATAAAATAAAACATAAAAAAAGCATTTTAAATAATATTTTAAGTGTGTAAAATTTTTTTAAACTTTTAAAAATAAAAACGGGAAAAATTTAAAAAAAAGCCGGCTGTTATTTTTGAATGTAATTTTTGCAAATTTGGATTGCTTGGACAAATGAGGTGTCATTCGAAAGAGCCTTAAAAACTGAGTCGAACTAGATGTGAAAGAAGTTGATCCGACATTCCGGGACCGAGTTACAGTCTCCCGAAAGTTGAAAACCACAAGAGATTTTGGAGTCAAAAAGTCAAATATATAAATTATAGCTCATTCGAAAGAGCTCATCGAGCTGAGTCGAATGACACAACTCCCAGGGTGCGGAAATGCCTGTGGACCGAGATACAGGTCCCTAAATTTCCGATTTTCGGGGTCAAAAATTCGAATATACAAATTATAGCTCATTCGAAAGAGCTCATCGAGCTGAGTCGAATGATACCAAAATCTCCGTGATTAGTTTCCGATTTCACCTCAATATTGCACAAAAGCGGTTATTCCGGCGAAAATACAATTGCCTGTAACTTTTTCCAGAATCTTCGAATCGAGCTGCTTTTGGTGTCATTCGAATCAGCTCGTCGAGACGAATCGAATAGTATATGTTACGACCAAAACTTTCAAGATTTTTAACGAATTTTTTCATCAGAAATTAATGAAAAATAATTGTGCATAGAAGTCAACGAAATCTGCATTAAAATTGGAAAAATTAACTTTTTTGGAAAGAAAAGATTGTTATTTTTAAAATAAGTCTGGCAGAATTCGAATCGGATCTGTAATTTTCGAGATATTGAATTTCAAATCCAATTACCTCGGATTTGTAAAAATTAAACGAAAAGAGTATGGAAAACAAGAGAAAATTAGAGAAAAAGAGATAAATTTAGCTCTTTTTCAATTAGTTGGCGTTCTGCCCCATTAAATGACATTTCGTTCGCTATCTCCCTTGCTAGTCTGCTGTGCAAGATCGTTGTTAAAAATTAGAAATTATATAGAAAATTTCTCTAAAATATTTTCAAACAGAAATACAAAATTTGTCATTTTTTACTTTTTTTACTTTGTCGGATTTAATTAAATTTTATTATAAATCCCCATCCCTTCCATTTCCCCTTTACCTCCATTATTAAACCTTCCAACTTCAATATGTTGCCCACAACGACAACTCGTTCAACTGAACCTTTGTTTAGGATTAAAAAATTTGAATCAGGCTCGAATTATTCTTTTATAGTATTTATCACCGTTGATTTTGAGGACTTTAAAAACCGGCTATAATCTCTTCAAAATACCTTTTGTCCACATCATTCAAATTATTTTTTTAGGCTTTTGTTATTCGTTTTAATTGTTTTTATTGTCTCTTCATAAACAATGTAAGTTTATACAAATTATCTTAAAATCTTCATAACATTTCTTTTCAATTTTTAGGGAACTTGTCAACGAGCAAATTGTTCAAATCAATTTAAACGATATTGGAATCCGTGTGGTGGACGTTCTTCTTCGTAATAATTCGACTGTGCCGCGCTTTTTTAAAACAGTCTCTTCCACGTAAAATAAATTAATTTAATTTGATAAAATTATTTTTTTTTGTTTTAGTAAATCTGTCAAAGTAACAGCATCTAATTATATTGTTGACGCTAATGCAACTGCAACACTTACACTCACGATCAACAACACCACAGAGGAGAACGTGTTCGAGATGGTTAATGTCAATGTAATTGTTCAGTGGTGGTTGCTTGACTCCGTTACAAATATTTCAAATATGACTGTTGAAGGGAATCCTGTAGAGACGCTTAAATTTTACATTATGTTTCGAGGAAAAGAAGCAGTCAGTGATGACGTTTATGTTGTGATATAAAAGATGTATAGAATTGTTTTTAGGTGATATTTAATATACAGTCGTGGAAAAAAGTATGGAAGCGCTAGAAAATTTTTTCTTAATTTTTAATTTTTCATTCAAAAAATACGTTCTATATACCAATCGAAAGCTCTATTCGTATCTCAGTTGACCTGTTTCTGCATTTTTCATGAAAATGAAAATTGGCCGAGATAATCCGGATCTACCGGATATACCAAATCCCACTTTTTCGGAAAAATTTTTCGGAACAAATTTATCAAACCCAAATGATAAAGTATATTTTTGTGAGCATTTTCCACAAAACCGCTTAGAAATATCTTTTTCCGGAGCAGAGATATATTTTTTGAAAATCGCATTTTTCGTCAATTTTTGCAAAAATTTCAATTTTTAAGGGAAAAATGCGATTTTCAAAAAATCATATCTCTGCTCCGGAAAAAGATATTTCTAAGCGGTTTTGTGGAAAATGCTCACAAAAATATACTTTATCATTTGGGTTTGATAAATTTGTTCCGAAAAATTTTTCCGAAAAAGTGGGATTTGGTATATCCGGTAGATCCGGATTATCTCGGCCAATTTTCATTTTCATGAAAAATGCAGAAACATGTCAACTGAGATACGAATAGAGCTTTCGATTGGTATATAGAACGTATTTTTTGAATGAAAAATTAAAAATTAAGAAAAAATTTTCTAGCGCTTCCACTTTTTTCCACGACTGTATGTGTTGTCGTTTTAAAAATTGTAGTGAAACCTTTTAAAAATAAAACCTGTAAATATCAAGTAGCTAATTTTTTAAAAATTTTGGGAAACAGTCAAAAAATTTACTCGTACGAACTTGGTATACCTTAAAATAAAAGTTTGACACCAAGCAGGCTTCGAACCTGCAACCATTTTTGCAGCCACCTTACCAACTGAACCATCAGTGCGCTGACTAATAAATCTTAAACTACTGCTAATTATTTTTACTAGCTGTTTCTTCTTTTTCCTTGTAATTTGCCAACTTCACAAATTCATAGTTTAATTTTTTAAGTTTATAAAAATTTAATAAATTTAAATTAAAAATTCCCAATATTGTAAGTCAGCTAGGTATTTAACTCCCAAGGCTGTGCTTAATTACTAAGATTAACGAGAATCTTTAAATAAATCAAAGATATGTTTATTTCACATTAAAAAATAAATTAATTTAAAAATCACATAATCAAACAAAATTTCGATTTTTTAATATTATTTAAATTCCTTTTTTGATCTAAAGTAGATATTGGCCCCCCTTGTATTGTAGATTCTGGATTGGAAGAACTAATTTGTTTTTTAATTAAAGAATGTTGTTGTTGGTGTCTTCTTGGAGTTGAAGAATTTATATTCCTTTTTTGAGAATTGTTTTCTTTTTCTTTAATATTTATTTCGCTTGGAGGGGCAGCATAAATTGTTTCTTTTGAAGAAGAATTTTTATTTTCTTTATTTGTCAATTGTTGTTGATCACTTGTTGAAGGTTTTATTTGTTGTTCTTCTTTATCTCTATTTGAGGAATTTATTGGGGTAATTGAACCTTTAAAAATTTTAAAAATTAAAAATAAAAATTTTTCTTTTCCTAATTTGTCTCTCTTAAATAATACACATAAGCACCCACTATTTCGCTTTTTGTCTAACAATTCTGGAAAAATGAAACCAGAAACTGTGTTTTCCGGATTTTTGCCAGAAATAGAAAACGGAAGAAAAATAAAATTAATTTTTAGAAATTAAAAATTACTTTTTCTTTCTTCATTATTTCCTTCTTCTTCTAAATTTAAAGGTTGAGGAGTTATAGAAGATTGAAATGAAGGAACTAAACTTTTTCTATGCCCATTTTCTTCTTCTCCTTCAATACCTCCACTTAAAATTACACGTTCATAACGACTGGCAGAAGTTGAAGATAAACTGGCTGGGGTATTGTGGAGACAAATTATTGGAAGTCTTTAGAAAATAAAAAAATTAGGGGTTTTTTGTTATCCAAAAAATATTTTTCTGAAAAGATTACTGGGCTGTTTTTGCCAATTTTGCAAGTATTCTATCCCCATCAGCCCCAACAATTAATTGTTCAATCTAAAAATATTTTTTAATAAATTAATTTAAAGAATTTATTTACTTCTCTATGTGTATTGAATGAACTTAATAATCTTCCTGTCGGAGTATTCCAAGCTTCTATCCAGCCATCTTGTCCACATAAAAAAATTAAAAATTAAATATTAAATATAGTTCTTTCATATAGACCCTCTAAATGTATAAACTCTCTATTTAATGAACACTCTCATTCAAAAAGAGACTAGAGTTTAAGTAACATCTCTATATAAACACGTCTACCTTCTATTTTATAGACTCTAACTGCAAACATTCTATTTAGTGTTCTACAATTAAACCTCTATTTTGTAGACACCCAAAGTAGTGTGGATTTTTTAAATAGATTTTTAGTTTATAAGAGACTGTCCATGAAATAGAGGTTTTGCTGTGTTAAAGAGGAAATAAATTATTTTTCTAAAAATTTACTCGAACAAAAAACATTTCCATCCAAACTAATTTCCATAAATTGGGGAATTGCTGATCTCTTAAAAATTAAAAAAATTTTCGGAACTTTTTAAAAAATTATAAACTTGTAAAATATGAAGAGAAGAGCCTGTTTGTATATCCCAAACAATTAATTTACTTTAAAAAATATTTTTTATTATTTAATATTCATTTAAAAACATACAAATCTTTAGCACCACTAACTGCTAATTGGCCATTTTCACTAACACAACAACAAGTTGGGACTTCTTCATGGCCAACCAAAATCTTTTAATTTTTTTAAATTTAATGAATTTTTGATTATTTAAATTCGGAATTTTTGTCATTGTTAAAACCCCAATTTTAATTTAATTTTTAATTAGTTCCTGAATTTTCTTAAAAAAAAGAGGAAAAAACACAAGTTCCAATTAGAATTAGCAATTCCTGGGAAATCTTCAGATATCCGGAACCGCCCTATCCTTACCAATTTTCTTCTTTCTTTTTCCAATTTTTTACAAATATTTTGTCAATTCTAATATCCTCTTCCTCACAAGGATAACCAAATATTCTGATTAAATTTATATATTTAATTCCTCTACTTAGAAAAAATTAATTTTTAAATAATCCTTTAAATAACCCCCTAAAAATCCAGATTTAATTCCTCCTTTCTAAAAAAAAATCAAAAAATCTCTACTTGTATAAGTAACCCTCCAGTATCCATTTGCCAAATCTTTAAAGAACAATCCATGGAGCCAGTAATTAACATTGTACCAGAACGATTTACAGCGTAACACAAAATTGGCTTTAAAAAAGAGAAAGGAAAATTAATTTAAAAAATTATTTTTAATTACTTCACTATGATGAACTTTAGAACGAGTAAATAATCTATCGCCAGAAGATGTCCATATATTCATTCTTTAAATTAAAATTAATTTTTAAATTTTAAATTGAAATAATAGTGAAACTATTCTGTAAACCCTTCTACTATATGGTGAACGCTTTCTATATTTTGGATACTCTATTTAATCGACGCTTTTCATAGGAGACTTCGGCTAAAGACTGTTTATGCTTATAGTAAAATACTTAATCTAAAATAGATATTTTTATTTAATAAACACCTCTATCTAACACACAAAAAACCTCTATATAGTAAACTCTCAACTTAGCAAACTACTCACAATCAGTAGAAAGCTTTATTAAACCTCTATCTAATAGACTATTTTGGAAGATTCCACAAAACAGGGGGATTTATTTAACAAAAATTTTTATTTTTAATAATTTAAATTTACTCTTTTGGATTGGAAGCGTGTTTAGCAATAATTACTGTATCTAAAAATCAAAAAAAAATTTTTTTTTAATTTCATTTTTTACCAGAAAGGCGAACATATAGAGGCGGGGAAATATTTGCAATTGAGGCAATAAACTAGAAAGAGAAAGTCAACAAAATTAAATCTCTTCCATATACCTCTATTTTCCGACTATTTTCATCAAGGGAAGGCAAAGTCCAAATATGGGCATTATCTTTAATTTAATTTTGAAAAATAATTTTTAAATAATATTAACCAGAAGAATCACAAGAAACAACTCTTAAAGGTTGAAATTGTTGTTGTTGATGTGTTGGTATTACTTGACTATAAATAAATTTTTAAAAATATTTTTTATTTAAAATCACCCCATTTCTGCATTCCTTCCTCCATCAACAAAAACATTTAAGGACAAAATCGAGTCTGTATGAAGCTGTAATTGTTTAAGCAATTGCCCTGTCCCTGTTGCCCAAAAATGAATATTTCCTTAAAAATAATTTTTATTTATTCCCTCCTTCCTCCTCTTCCCAACCTTGTTCAGTTCCACTTAATAACAAAAAAGAGTCTGTAGTAAACCCCAAAGCAGTCACTTTCCCAGTTCTTTGTTGACTACTCGTCCACCTTTATTTTTAAAAATTAAAAAAAAATTTTTTTAAATCCCCCTACATGCATTGACAAACATCCAAATCCCAAAAAGCAACAACTCCATCTACAGTTCCACAACCGGCTCCCTAAATAAAATAAATGTATTTTCTCGATTTTTTCTTGTTTCTGTATTTTATGTTCTGATTTTGTAATTTAAAATTCTCTTTTTGCTTCAGCATATTCTGATTTTTAATATTTTTTAAAATTCCGATTTTTGTATTAGAGGAATTTTCTGTTTGTTTATTCTGATTTTTAATTTCACGGGAAAATTAAAAATCAGAATAAATAAACAGAAAATTCTTTATTACAAAAAATCAGAATTTTCCCGTATTTTTTAAAATTCTGATTTTCTGTAATAAAGAATATTCTGTTTGTTTATTCTGATTTTTAATTTCTCTGTATTTTTTAAAATTCTGATTTCTATATTTTCTTTGTATTTTTCCCTCTTCCAAACCTTCTCATCTGGTGCTATTTGAATACAAGAAACACTACTATTAGGTAATTGTTCATCATTTATTCCTTCTTTATTACCCATTAAATTATTATTAATTAAAGATGCTTGACTTTCTGCAGATTCATTAGTTTCTGATCTACTTCGATAATTTAAATTTAATTCCTTTAATAATTTTTGTTGTTCCTTTTGATGTGCTGAAGCAACGTCTCTGTCTATTGAATTTGTTGCCCAAATACTTACTCTATCACCTTTTAATTTTTTTTTAAATTCTGATTTTTATTTCTGATTTTTCTAAAATTCTGATTTCTTGTAATAAAAAATTTTCTGTTTATTTCTGGACATTCTGATTTTTAATTTTCCTGTATTTTTTAAAATTCTGATTTTTATATTTTTTTTTTGTATTTTTACCAGCTACAGCCAAAACAAAGCTATCATCATCACTTATTTTAATTGAGGAAATCTATTTAAAATTTATTTTTTATTAAAAAAATATTTTTAATAACCGGTTGTCTTTCTTGCGGAAATAATAAAATTTCCAAAAGTTGTCCATTGTGAATATCTTTTTTTAAAAATTAATTTTTTTCTTAAATTTAATATTAAAATAACCATAAACAAGAATTTTTCCTTTTGTTCCAGCAAATAATCTTTTTAATTTAAAAATTATTTTTTTTAATTTTCAATTTATCTTACTTGCAATCATCGGCAGATGACTGTAAAGCATTAATTCTCGATTCATGCCCTACTAGTTCATGCAATTCTTGTGCCGATACAAGAGAAAATACTCTCAAAGTTTCATCTTCACAAGCAACAGCCAAAAAGGCATCATTTCTATTTAGAATTATTTAGTTTTAAAAATAATTTTTGGAATACCTAGTTAATGTTAAACAAGTTACTGGGGCCATTAGACTATAAAATATTAATACAAATTAATTTTTTAACTTTAAAAAACCCTTGTAGACGAGTCTAAAAATTAAAAAAAATATTTTTTAATTTTCAAAAAAAATATTTATTTACAATAATAATTTCCTTTTCAATATCCCAAACCATAACAGCAAAATCACCAGAACCAGTAACCAACAAAGAATCGTCTGACGAAATTTGTAAACCAACTACTGGTCCTTTTAATTTTTTTATTTAATTTTAAGAAATACTCCTCTACCTGTATGGTCACGAAAAACTTTTGTTACTTTCCCACTATCTAAAGTTACAATTCTTGCACAAGAATCTGCAGAACCGGCAACCTTTAAAATTTAATTTTTTTTTAATTTTTTTGATTTTTATTGTATTTTTTGGTCTTTGTACTAGTTTTTTATTCTTTTATTTTAATAAGGAGACAAGTAAAAATAGAGCTCCGGGGCAGGCATTGATCCTGAGACATTCTGGCAGTTATCAATGTTAGCCAACTGGATGTCCCTTCCTCCTTACTTTTTCTGGTATTTTTAACTTTTTTTTATTTATAAGTAGAGTACTCGACTCGCTCGCTCGGGTTTTTTCGTCATTACTCGGGCTCAGAACTCGGGATCATAATACTCGCATTATTCGAACTCGGAAGCTTTTCGGTTTAAACCGAGTCTAAAATTCAAAAATAAACTCACAATCCATTTATCGTCACTACTCAAAGCTGTTGTAAAAATCCGTGTAGAACTAACTTCCAAGGATTTTAAAGGGTCTGCTTGTGTAAAACTCCAAATTTGAATTGTTCCCTCAGATGTTGCACTTGTAAAGAAATGTTGTTGTTGTTGGATTGAAATGTTTGTGTTTTTTTCTTTACATCTAGAGGCACACAAAGAGGTGACCTTTAAAATGAATTTTGATTATTTTCTGGGGTTTTTATTTTTTATTTCTGATTTTATAAATTCTGAAAACACCTGTGAGTGTTTTGGTGTAGTAAATGTCCGAATTAATAATTGTGAAGCAATATGGAACATATAAATACATCCTGGAGCTAATTCATTTCCAGCAACTTAAAAATAAAATTAGATGGGTTGATTGTAAATGTTGAATAAATTATAGAGAGCGAGATTTTCAAAAAGCCTTGCTTTGACCTTGATTTCGGTTGGGCACCTTGATCAGATTCTTAACCTTGAGTCAAGGAAAAATCAAGGGACGCTGAAATATGCCTTGGTCTGGACTCTGGATCCAGGAAAAATTAAGGTCTGGATCCAGATCCAGCTCGCTCTCTAGTAAATTAGTTCATTTAAAAGTTTATAATGTCTGTTTAAAGTCAATACAAATTTAAAAACCTAATAAATGTTGATGATTATAAGTTGGTTGTAATATTGTAGTACGTGAAGCTTTCCACTTTAAAAATTATGGAAATATATTAAATTATTTTTTATTTAAATTTTTACTTGAGGCATTGTAAAAGAAAGAACTTGTTGTATTTTAGGAGGAGGTATCCAACAAGTTAATGGGACTAATAAAGGAGAAGAATCGAAAGAATCTGGAAAAATAATAGAGAAATTGGATAAAAACAAGAAAACTAGCCAGTCCATTGCATAGCTTGTTCTACCATTCTATTTAAATGTTCACTATTTTTAGCTCGTGTATATCGAAGTCTATTCAAAACTTTAGGAAAAAATTAATTAATTATATTTAATATTTTTTAATTACATTCAGAAACAAATTGTAAAGGTTCTCGAACAAGTGTTTCAATTGCAGGAAGTAATATTCCTTCAAGAATGTCTAAAATAATAATTGTTTAAATGATAATTGATAAAGAAAAATTAAGGAACTGAGCGGAGGGATCTACTTAAACTAAGAAACTGTGACATAAGCCAGGTTGTTCTACTAAATAGCTTGTCTAAAGGGAACAACGAGGATCTCAAGGAAGATTAAAAGGTAATATAAAGGTAAGCTAGCATGAACATATTTAGAATGTCCGAAGGGAGCATATTTATGATCGGATTAATAATTAAAAACTATGTACACTTACAAAGTAAATCATTATCCAATATTTGAAGTAAACACCTTAAAAGTGAAAATTAAAATTAAAAAAAATAAAAATAGGTATTTATATAAATTAACAACTCACTCTTCAAAAATAGAAAGAAATCTAGCCAGCCCCAAAGCTCTAAATGTTGCTTCCAAATAAGGAAATGAACAGAGAGTTTCTCGTTTTAATGCTTCAACTCCACCTTATATTTAAATAATGAAAGATTAAATCTGAAAAAAATTACAGACCTGCCCTTAGTAAGTAATACCAATGAAATCTGAAAAGAAAAAAAGATAAATAACTTCTAGATTATGGATAAGGTAGAATCAAATCTCGCCAATATAGAAAAGGTGTTCTAAGGAAAATTCTCTTCATAACAGACGGACCCTGATTTTATGTACACAATCAAGTTAGTTGGCCTCTCGATAGAGAACCTCAAATAATGGATACTCTCGAGTTGATTCAAAATTTCTTCGGTCCCAAGGGTTATATCTAAAATTGAGATCCGATTGGATTAAAGAGAAAACTTTTACAAATTTTTAAAATTCTCTCCCACCTCGCTCTCCTTATATCAATGCCCATTCCTCCATCTTTAGATAAAGGTCTAGGAAAGACCATAGCCATTGCAGAGGCTTCTTGTTCATTACCATTTTCTAAATTCTCATTTGGATTTAAAAAAATATTTGCAAGTGTTTCATTAGCTAATTTAATATCCCCAGCTGTTTGTAAATATCTTTGCTGGACTGTTTGAGCAAATTGTGTTGAGCGGAAAAAATAACTAGAAAAAATTATATGTATTTAATTTTGAATAAACAATATGATTAACAAACACTCTTCTTCTATCCATTATAATAAAATCTAGAAGAGATCCAAGTTGTCTAAGTACAAGTAAAGGAGTGGCACTTAATACATCTTGAGGCTATAAAATAGATTTAAATGTTTAAATATAAAAATTAGATATAATATAGTTGGACTTAAGGGGACATAGATAAGGTGAAGAGAACAAAGGTAGGGTGAAGGGAACCTACTAAGGATTTTTGCATTTTTCGGTCGAGTGAAGGGAATATGCATAAGATAGGGTGAAGGGGACATGTAGGGGATAGCCAGAAAAAACATTTTTAAGATAGTATTAAATTATTTTTTCTCCTGTTTACCTCAAACATAAAACCAGTAGCATAATTTCTCATTCTAAAAGCATCTAGTAATTCCAAAGAAGTTAACCCACAGGGAGCACAACAAAGAAATTCACAAAAAATTCGAACATTATCTGTCCCACACTGAAATTCTGCTTTAGCTTTAAAAATAATTTTTTATTTTTAAAAATTCACAAAAAATTCTGTACCAATAGATTGTTCAATTGTTTCAGAAATATCATCAGCATAACCACCAATTATTTCATCTCTTTGAATAAACCCTAATGCTAAATTTATATCTGAATTTTTTTGTAACATTTTTCGAAGAATTCCAATTTGATCAGAGGTAAATTTAAATGAGGAACTTTTTTCTGTTTCACTAGTAATTCCACAAAGTATTGAAATTGCCTTTAAATGTTTTTTTGGTTTAACTGTGAGGAATAATTTTTGGACATGAAATAATATAGGTAAGTCGAAGAAAACTTTAGGAGGCTTACAAGAAACTATCAATTACTGTGACTGCGAATTTAATAAAAAAATTTTTGGTACCATTCGAAAGAGGACCCTCGTGTTACTATTGTTGATGCGGGATTTCTTGCAAAATTAGTTTGGGCCGAGTTATGGCCGTTCAAAGTTTCAGTCCTTGGGATTGGTTGAGTATATGAAAAGAGCGATGGGTAGAGTGAAAGGAACATATGGGGGTCTGAAGGAAAGCTAATTAGTAGAGTTCGAACCCTTCCTTCTAATTATTCTAATTATTACGCAAAGGAAGGGTTCGAACTCTACTAAATTTGTCACAAACCTTTGAAAAATTAAAAAAAATTTTTTTAATTTTTTTTAACTTTTTGAAAGTCCGACCGAGTATTTTGATAAGATCTTGTTTTTAGAGGTTTCCGGGGTCTTTTAAAAGTTCTAACTCTATGTAATAATTAGAAAGAAGGGGACAGAGGTTGTTTAATTACCTCATCCAATGTGGGCGATGCCAATTCTAATAATTCCATAGTATGAGGAGCAAAAATAGGTATAGAAATATTCAAAGAGGAAGTACAAATAAAGCAAATATTTGGTAATAATTTCTTTAAAATATGTTTAATTCTTCCCAAAGTTCTTCCAAATTTAATTAAATTAACATCATCTAAGAGAATAAAAATAATTGGGGATTGCTGTGTTCCAAAGGCTGTTTTAGCGGTTGCCAAAATTGCTTTGATATGAAAGGCTTTGATAAATGCTGTTGCTAAATCTGGCCTTTTTAATTTGTCACACACCTTTGAAAATTTTTTGATTTTTTTTTAAATTTTTAAATAAAAAATTACAGAAAGAAAAATATTCCTAAGCATTTCATTTGCAAATACAGCTCCATCCGTTAAATGAATAAAACTGGAAAAATTAAAGAAATTTATCTATTAATGGAAAGGCTCTCTTTAATGTAACACTTCGAAATAAATTGAAATTAATAATGGAAGTTAGTCAATTCTGACGGGAAAATAATCTTTTTATTCGTTGGCCACATGTTCTGGCCAAGAGAAAAATTGTCCTGATATTGTGGAATTTTTTAACTTAAATGGCCATTTGTATATAGTGAAAGGAGAATGGGTATGTTGGAAAGAAACGTGAATATACAAGGATTATGTTCTGGGTAGGCTGGAAGGAACATTGATAAGCTAAAGTGAACAAATTCGAGGGTGAGGTGAACATGAGAAAGGATTTGTTAAATTTCTAAAAAATTCACCGTGTAATAAAAACAAAATTGGTCACAGAACTTTCATTTCCACCATCCCCATCTTTTTTCCCAAATTTATTTTCTAATAACTGTCTTAATCTACACAAAGTTGCTGTTTTTCCACTTCCAGGCAATCCATAAAATTGAATATAAAAAGTTGAATTATTTGAATTTTGTTCTTTTAAAAGTTGCGAGATTTTGGTTATTATAGAGTCTATTTGGGTATCTAAACGTTTTCTTGGTATCCAATATTTTGGAGTTCGAGAGAGAAGATGGGCATTGTGAATTGTTTCTTCTGCCTGGAGAAATAATTAAAAATAAATAATAATATATTTTATTAAATCTGTTTTAGAAATAAAGAGAATGTTTATGCTCATGTAGCTTTCACCCAGTGAACAAAAAATTTTTTTAATTGAATTTTGACTTGAGGAGTAGAGTTATCGGTTCTGGACCGAACCGTATTGAACCGAAGAACAGATGATTTTTCGGTTCGGTTTTGGATATCCGAAGAAGTTCCAGGAACCGACAACCCTATTGAGGAGTATTAGCAGGTAATAATTACTCCCTCCAGCGAGAGATTGAAATAATAATTACACAGGGTAATTATTGCAGCATTTACGGTAGTCAACTCGGAGATGTTACAAGGTTGGAACACAGAAATTTAAAGATTTAATTCCTTTTTTTATTTTAAATAATTAACATTCTGTGTTTACACAATTAATTCAAATTCCAAAAATCTCTTAAGGAGAACTAATCGAATATACACAATATTTAATTAAAAATACCCTAGCAATTTTTAATTGTTGTTCTAAAACAGAAAGTTTAGGTGTTGGTGGAAGTAAACGTTGTTGTTGCTCATTAATTAAATATTCTGGATATATTTTTAAAATTATTGTTTTAATTTTTTCAATTAATTTAGAAGATAATTCTTTAAAATAATTAATTCCTTCACGTGTTCGACTCCAGGAATTTAAATTTAAACCTTTTAGGTCTAATAAAAAAGATAAGTATTGTTGTTCTGCTGTCTTGTTGCTAGCAGAACTTATTTTGTTCTAAACAAAAATTAAATTTAATTAACGAGGAGGGCTAGAAGGAGATATGGCTTTGGAGCTGGAAAATTCTTTGAGGTGATCTTTGGGGTTTTCAATTCTCCAAAGTTAAAACAAGTTAAAAAAGAGGAAGAAGTAATGGAACAACAGACCTAACAGCTAAATTTGATTAAAGGAAAAGTAAAGATGTGCGGGAGTAGAGTTGGCGAATCCGGCGAATCCAGATATCCGGAAATTTTCGGTTCGGATGGGATATCTTAGGATTAACCAAGATCCGCCAACCCTATGCTGGATATAAATAAGGACAGCTGGAAAGCTTTTACCTTATAAAAATTTAGTCTTTTAGCTGCTTCTGATCCAGAAGGGTCCATTAACCTTTCCATACCGCTTGAGGTTGCTGGTATATCTTTAAATTAGAATATTTAAATATTTTTTCAAATTTATTTTTTACTTTCAAAACGCCTAGAGATAATCAAAGAATGAGCATTTGCCTTGGCAGCGTTTGCGCAAAGTTCAATGAAAGATTTTGTAAAGTGTGTATTGCTTTTTTGATCCTTTTCTGTTATATTTAGATGGCCAAACTGTAAAAAATTATAAATAATTTTATGTAAAAATTAATATGAGTATTTATCTCTCCAATAAAGTTATTTAAGAAGGAAGAAGGTGATAAGGAACCTGCGAGATTGCGGTGAACTATCCTATGGAAACTATTTAAGGCTTCTTGTCCAAAGAGGGGAAACTATCCATGTTTTCCCCCATAGCTCCACGTTTAATTAAATTTATCTGAAGTGAATATGGACCGAAGGAAAAATAGGTACGGTGAAAGTAACTTGAAAGTGAAAGGAAATCTGAAGAGTAAATACAAATAAAATGTATCTTCTACAACTAACCGCTCCATCTTCAAAAGCCCTAGCAGCACATCTTTTAATTCCATTACATAATTTCCTAGCTCCAACAGGATCTACAAAATTTTAAATTTCCAATAATTTAATTTAATTTTTATTAACCTCTATTAGCAATTAATTGATAAATTTGAGGCTCTCTAGTTCTGTCTAAATGATAAAATTGTTCTAAAAGCAATCCAGCATCATCTGCTAATTCTAAAGCTGCCTCTTTTAATGCATTAAATTCAAATGAAGATATCTAAATTAATTTAAATTATTTTTAAAACAATTGGATCTCACTATAAGATAAAACACTTGGAGGCTTAAAACTGTACTTGCGATGTGGAGTATATTAAACTGGAGGGATTTGTTGTGCAAGGGCAAAGCCTATTAACGGTCTACACGATAAATATATGTTTATACTCATCTACATATAAGTCAAATCTCACAACAGACAGACCCCATACTAATTTTCAGTAACAGTACTGGTTAAATACAGTTTCTTAGTTCCACCGCCCTTTGGCCAACCAGCATTTAAAAAATTATCATAAATTGGGATGTATTTAATATTTTGGGTTTAAACCAAATATTTTGGGTGTATTTTATAATTAATTCCAAAAGTAATGATTTTCCACTGAAATAATTTTCCAAAAATTATTCCATTATTTACATAATTAAATTAATTAATTTTTATACCTCAATAGGAAGTAATTCCTCTCCATATCTATCACCAACAAAAACTAAAGCTGTACTATTCGGTCCAGATAAAGTATCAGCCAAAAGTAAATAATCATCCATACATTTCAATATATCCCCTTTCTCAAATAAAGTACAACATTCTAATTCTATATCTAAATCACAAAAATATTGTTGTAAATCTGTTAAGACTCCTCGAAGAACTTCTCTTTCGTGTGTAAATTCTTCTAATGAAGGGAATACTGCTAACTAAATTAAATAATTAAATTTGAAAAAATTTTGTTTAGGGATACTAAAATTATTTAGCCATTTCAAACCTATCAATTTATTAATTCTATAATCTTTCCCCTTACATATTCCAGTCTGCCCCTCCAATTTAAAAATAAATAAATTTTAGATATTAAAGGATTTAAATAATTAAATTTTTGATATTAAGGGATTAAAACAATTAAAATTTTGAGATCTTTCAATCATCATTAACTTGGAAAAAATTCAATAAATTTATTTTATCGCCCAATTTCTAAGCGATTCAACAATATTTAATTTCTATTTATTTATTTACTTACAAGAACATGAGAACTAAGTATTTGAGAATCATTTTGTGATGAAGTTGCTGGGCTATCTATTTATTTATTTTTAAAAATAATTTAAAAACAATTTTCTTTTTAAATTACCAATAGCAGCAGAACGTAAATGTGCGGGTCTTTTAATAACAAAAGCCCCACCATGTTGTTGATGGTGGTCTTTGAGAAATTTTTCTTTTGATTTTTTAGAAGATTGGTGTTGAAGTTTATCACTTTTGAACATAATTATTAAATTATAACTAAATTAATAAAGGAAATATGTATTCAAGAAGAGTTTCCTTTGGAAAAGACAAGGGTTATTGGTAAAGACAGGGGTTAATTACATGGTGACATACATAAAAGAAAATGCACATAGTATTTTTGAAATAACTTTATTCAAATTGAAGATAATGGGATCAAATAAGGCTTAAACAATAGAGAAATGAATGGGGAACAAATACAATTAAGAATTATCGAAATGCCCCCACCCTTTGCTCGGATACAGAGTTTAAGGCGCGTGAAAAAATTTACGGCAAATGTTCGCACCACCTTGGATGAGATTTTCTCTCATTCCTGGGCGAGTGGTTGACGAAGCGACTTATAACTTCTGTCTTATTAAGAACAGGCCCTTGCCTTCAAAACAGAATAAAAAGCTGATCCAACGGTTAGCTTTTATAGTAGTGTAAAGGATACGTAAATAAAAATTATGGGACTTGAAAAATAAACAAGAAAATTTTATCAAGGAAAAGTTAACTAAAAAAATGAGAAGGACGTTATTATAAGGCTAAAGGAAGGGACTTTACCGGATTAGAAGTTTTGGCAGTTTAAAAATTTTTCTTTTAACATTTTAAGGAAATTTCCGTTAAAAAGTACTTCCTTTTAAAGGAATATTTTTTATTTATTTTAAACAATCCACTTAAAAACAAAAACGAATTGATTAAATTGCGTGCAAAGCCCTCCACTCTCGACGACCCTTTTTTCTTTTGTGTTAAATAAAAATTCAATGAAAAGCAGAAGTTGAAACTTGAGGAGAAATTGAACACAAAAAAATAAGGAAAAGCTGGGCAAATACCCCCTTACCCTTCCACCCCTTTAGCGCAGACAAAAAATAAAAGGAAAAAAGGGGGGACAAAACAAACGGAGTAGAAAAAGCCAAATACACACACAGCAGTGGGAAATAAATAAACGATGATGATGATAAGAAGGGTGAAGAAAAAAGGACAAAAAGGGGTGAAGAGGGAAAGAAGAAAAGGGTTAAGGCTAATATAAAGCTAAAAAAGAGCAAAACTAAATAAGTAAAGGCTTTTACCCGTTGGCCATTCAAAAAAAGGAAATAAATAGTTGAGGTAAATAAGTAGATAGAAAAATATTTATATTTTATAATAAAAGCCATCGAATAATATAATTTATGGGTATTTTTAATATTTTTTTAAAAAAATATTTTAATAAATCAAGTTTAAAATGGCCACAAAAAAATTTAAAAAAAAAAGATTTATTAAATTATTTTCAGTAAAAGAAATTTAGTTTACTTTAAATTATTATAGGATATTTTTTATAAATAGTTAGCAAATCAACAACTTATCTCGAGAATATAGAGAGGTTTTAAAAATAGATTTTAAGTAAACAGTTTAATTAGTCACAGTGCATTAAAATTCTTATTTAAATTTAAATCTTTAATTTAAATTAATTTAAACTTAAATTCAACTCTCTGGATAAATCTGAGATATTTTACTATAAAGATTTCCTAAAAGAATACACTGTACTTCCTTTAATTGAATGCTCGACCATTCTATTTTTAAATCACCTTCTAAAGGGGCATTCTGTTGAAATACGTTAGGTATATTAAATAAATAAATGACGAAAATACAAAAAAATACTAAAAAACTAATAGAGAATTATTAAGAAAACAGGTATTGTATAAGTGTGGGGGCTTATAACGAGAGTCCAATGTCTATAATCCTTACAGTATATCCATGACAGGTAGATTCTTAATAATTCTCTCTTAGTTTTTTTAGTAATTCTCTATTAAAATAAGAGAATTACCTTTAACTCACTTTTCTTTTATTTTATCACATATTAAGCATGTATTTTTCTAGCTGCCACATTACCTTCCCCCCTCAAATTACCTTCCCCCCACACACTTCCTTTCTTGTCATTTTCATTCATTTCGTTACCAAGTCCCTATCTCTAACCTTATTTTTTGTATTAAATATATCGTTAAATACATTTCCCGAGAGACTACAAAATTTTTCTATAAAATAAATCGACCAATTTACAAGCAATTCTATTAGAATATGAAGTTTGTAATAGAAAAAAATTAAATATTTAAAGGTTTGAGGAGAATAAATAAATTTTTGGAGGTGTAATGTTTGGCATATAAATTAGGCAACAGGGTTATTTTCTGGTTCATAATAGTTTTATTTTAAAAAAAGATTTAAATTAACATCTTTTGAGAAGTCTGAATTTTTCGTTAAAAAACATTAAAATTAAAAAAAATATTTTTAAAAATTCTAAAAAATAATTACTAAATCCTAGAATGCCCATTTTATTTTCTAATATTTTTCAAAAATAATCTCCAATTTTTTATTCTTTAAAAAAAATAATTTTGAGGAATTAATCATCTTTAAAAACAAAAAAAACAATTCAATTATTAATAAACAAAAATACTGAAAAATGTAAATATTTTCTCCTCTATTTTAATTCCCCTCTCTTTTTAGTAAAAATTACAATTAAAAATTCTACATTTATTTTTTCAGAATTTATTTCATATTATTCTAACCCATATGTAAATTACGGAACAGCCAAAGAGTTAATTCTAAACCAGAAAAACATGCAGCGTTAGCTGGAAATGCTCTTAAAAGGAAAAAGAATTGTCTTTATTAGAGAATTTTCCTTTTCATTTACCTTAACATAACAGGTGCAAAACCTCTAAATAAAGCACGAGGACCTTCTTCACGCATTATTTCACGAAATACACCTCTTATTCCATCTAAAATAATTTTTAAGGAATATTTTTTAAATAATATTACCTGGATATTTGCCTTCCGGAGCTGTTTGCAAACGTGATTTCATTACCTTAAATTATTTTTAAAGTTCTAATTCTACTAATTTGATTAAAATTAAAGGAAATAAAGCCAGAATGAAGTAAATAGAAAGTTCATTGTACGAATTAAATGTGTTAAAACACATAGAAAATTTAACTTTAACCTCACCAGGATAACTAAGCCTCTAAGAGTCCTGGAAAGCTCTTAATTCTGAATGAGCATTATGCACCTTTGGCCATTTGTAATATTTTGGAGAATGGAAAAAAGGAGAAGGAAGGTGAAAGAAAATTTGGACGGATAACCGAAATTTTCTATCCCAATTCTATCCCAAAATTTATTTAAAAATCAAACTCACATCAGCTGGTATACATACAGACCAGTTAGCTATCCCCGCAAACCCGCCAGCCATTAAACTAAAAAATTAGATATTTATTTTTTTAAATTAAAATTTACGTTGTCATCGGTGTTAATTTTCCTTGTTCACCAGAAAATTTAGCCTTCAAAAATTCATATACAGAAATATAAGCACCGCTTGCAGGAATATCTTTTAAAAAATTAATTTTTATTTTTAATTTAAAAAACCTCTTAAAAGTGTTGCTCCCGTTCCTCGATAAATACTTTTAATTCCACCCTCTTTGTATAATTTTTTGACAACATCTACCGGTCCATCTGTTAAAAATAGAATTTTTTAAAATTATTTTTGGATTTAATTTTTTTTATGAAACGAGAAAATCTGTGAGGGTTTCCAACATTTCAGACTCCCCGTCCTCCCCATTCAAGATTTTAAATAAAATCTTTTAACCCTCTCTTATTTTTCTAAATTTTTATTTCATCAATAATTAATACATATAATTAAGAAAATAATTTTGTAACAATTAGTAGGGACTCAAATTTCGGTACTTATGAAGATGGAGGTGCCCTTTCTGCGGACTTTTTTTTGCGGACTTTTCTTCCCTTCTTTTAAATGTTTTACTTGTAGCAACTAACTGTCAACGCCACTCCCCCATTATTCTTCTTACCTAAGATTGTACATAAAGGTCAGATTTTCTTCTTCCTCTCCTTCCTCTATTTGCCCTGTGGCAAATTCAAACAAGAGACATTGATGAAGAGAAGATTAATTTTATAGTCATACACTTATTTTTTTGCCTTCGAAAACAATTTAAACAAAAAAAAGAATTAAATAAAATTGATTTGGTGTATAACATTATGAATTTGTGTGTAAAAACATTACATTCTTACTTCTATTTTAAAATATTGAACAACTGAGAAAATAAATTGAACTCAGTATTGAACAACTCAATTAATTTTAATCTTCTCTTTATCAACAATATCTCTTATTTGAATATGCCAAGCTCAAACAGAGGAAAGAAGGAAATCTGACCATTTTGTACAATCTTAGGTAATAAAAATAATGGGGGGGGGGGGGGGGGGACAAGGTTTGAAATTACCCGCATTTCTGTTCCACAATAACATATTCTTTTTCTATGAAGTATTCCGAGATCAGTGATCCATTGTCGAAATTCATCATCGTGTAATTGAAAATTTAGTTAAAGTCAAATTTTTTATTGATTGTAACATTTTTACGCTTATATATTCAAATTAATCGTTAACACATATTTTTCAAATTGGCATAAAAAAAATCCTTTGACAGTTAATTGCTACGAGCAAAACTTGCTGAAAGCAAAACAACCAAAACATTTAGAAAGAAAGAAAAGTCCGCAAAAAAAAGTCCGCAGAAAGGGCACCTCCATCTTCATAAGTACCCAAATTTCCTATTTTTTCAAAATTTACAATAAATTCATAGCTAATAATTTAGTGGAAACCCGGACCGGATCTGGGGTTTTTTGACATTTGACATGACCCGGACCAGATTTAAAATTAATATTTCGTTACCATATTTTTGAGCAGCTCCACCCGAATGTTGAACTTGAAGAATACATTTAATTCTTTCACCTAAAATATTTTAGACTCTCAAACATCGTTTAAAAAACCTGGAACCATTACAGAAGTTGTGAAAATACCAGCAATAGCTCCTTAAAATAAAATTAATTTTACAAAAAATTATTTTTTAAAAAAAACCTGCAGTAAAATTTTGAGTAAAAGAAAGTTTTTGGTTAGGATCTTTTTGTAATAACCATTTGCCGACAGCTGTTCCACCAAAGAAGACAGCAAATAAAGGAGAAACGCCAACTAAAGGTGCTGCCATTCCTTTATAAAGAGCCTTAAAAATTTTAATTTAAAAAGATTTTTAGAAAAAAAAAATTTACAAAAAATCCTTCTTTCGTAACAGTTTGTCGAGCACAGTCCATAGCACCCGTATACTAAAAAGAATTTTTAGATGAAAAATTTATTTAAAAAAATTCTCAAACCAAAGGTTTTTGGCCATTTATTGGTCTCGGCATTGTTTGAAGTCTAACTTTGACTGTGTCGAAAGGATGACCTAAAAATTAAAATAAAGTTAAGAAATTGTAAAATAAATTAACCTACAACCACAGCACAACATCCCCCAACACCTCCAGAAATAAAATTTAAAACAAAATTAGTTTCAGACATTTTTAAAATAACGATTATTTAAATACCCGTTATTTATCTGTAGAAAAATAAAAAATTTATGTAAATGATAAAAAATAAAAAAATACTTTCCCCACAAAAATCAATTGGAAATGACCTTTTTTACTTGTTTTTCTCATGGAAAGAATCCACCCAAAAATGCTTAAAGAAAAAAATGTTCAGGTGGGCAAACGAACTTTGCTCTTTATACAAACAATTAATTGAAAGGAGAGTGAAATAAAATTTTAGAAAAAATATGTATTTATAAAAAATTAAATTAATAAATTCGAGGAAAGTTTTAAAAATAAAATTCTTTATCAAATTTAAAAATAAATTATTTAATTTTAAGGGGATAATTATTAAATAAAAATTTAGGAAGTCTAGAATTTTTATTAAAATTTAAATAGGGCAAATTCTTCCAAATTAACCCATTTCCTTTTAACAACAAAAAACATCCTTGAATTACTGCAAAACTGTCCAAAAATTCCCGCCTTTTATTTGTAGAAATTGCTGAAAAAATATTTTCTTAAAGATTTGTATTTTTAAGAAAACAAACTTGTGCTTCCAAATTGTAAAAAATGAAGTAAAGTAGCCAATAAAAAAAGTTGGGACTTTGAAGATTTAATAAAAACAAACTAAACAAAAAAATTTTTAAAAATATTTTCTAATTTTTAATAAAAAAACAAACTTTTGGTAATAAATCGACTAATTCATTTGAACGGAGATAAAGTGTTTCAGAAAGTTCTGGTATTTGAGAAGTCGAAGAAACATCAATTTCAAGAGAACTATAATAAAAATATTTTGAAAAATTAAAAGAAAATTTCTTTAAAAACCTCCAAAATTCCCTAGCTGCCTTCCATACAACTCCTAATTGACTTTGAACCTCAGCATCCACAAATATGTGTAAATTGGCAAGAAGAATAAAAAGCTGCCCAATTTTTGCAATTGAAAGAAAAAATTCTTTGGAATTTCCATCAATAGCGAATTGGGTGGAGGGGACATTTTTTTGATTAAAATGTTTTTGAATTGATGAAAGATCAAGCTGGATGGAACAGGAATTCAAAATATCAGTAAAATTTTTTGAAGAAAGTTTTTTTGAAATAGCATTAATTTCGTTATGGAGAATTAAGCCAGTAAGAGTTGCTAGGCCAGAAAGCATCCAATTCTAAAAATGAGAATTTTAGAGAGGTACAACACGATGTACCGCGAGCCCAATTTACCACCGAGCTATAACTTTGTTCAAAATTGTCGAATCCGTGACGCCAAGGCATGGTTCGTTGCGGCTCGGCCAGCTGAATCGAACCATACCAGAGCGCCACGGATTCGACAATTTTGAACAAAGTTATAGCTCGGCGGTACATTGGGCTCGCTGTACACTGGACTGCTCCCTTTTAGAGAAAGTAAAGAATTTTCATAGGAAATTAAATGGATGGGTTAATCCGGATGTGGACATTTTGAAAACGAAAAGCTAAATCGCAAGTTGTCTAAATATTTTAAAAATAACCAACTTCTAACGAAGCAAATCCTGTATAAGCAAATCTCAAGCTGCGATCAGAAACAGAACGCCAGGTTGATTCAGAAGGATTGTAAATACACAGACTAAAAATAAACAAAATTTTCTTTAAAAAATTAAAAAACTTTGGCTTTGTAATGGATAACATAAAATCGAAAAAACGTCCAACATTCATTTCAGGTAAAGTAGAAAGTGAAACAGCAGTAGTAGGTCCATAATTTGGAGAAGGCTAATGAGAAAATAAATCTTTTAAATAAAAAATTAAAAAAACCATTTGTTCATCTGCTAATTTTCTTGCCAAACAATCCCTTGTAACAGAATGCATTTGTTCTGCCCAGATTTGTATTCCATTTCGAATACCAACATGTTCACAAACAAAAAGAAAAGCTTTTCTGAATTGGTGCAAACGAAGATGTCGGCGACGTTCTAAAACACCAAAAACTGAAGAGGAAGAATTGTCATTTAAAGGAGGTAAGTCTGCGGAAAGAATGATGACAAGACGTTTCTAAATTGAATATTTTATAAGAGAACAAAAAAAATTGAAAAGAAATTTTACTTTTAATTCATTGCAAAGTCCATCAGATAAAAGTGCTCGAGGGTTAATTTCAACATCCCCACCCAATTCTTTAATACAAGTCTGTGCAATACCCATAGCTAGACGAGATATTTTATATGTTAATTCAGCAAGTTTACGCCTTCTTGGAAGGTCAGCAAATTGTTCAATTCGATTTTTCTCTACCCAAACTGACTGCGAGTCGGGAGAAAAATATTGGTTAAGATTGTTCATTTCTTCGAAAATAGCACGAGGAATTGCCTTAAAATTTAATGAATTAAAAAAATAACAAGAAAAAATTTACAAACCTGAACAACTAAACGTAATTTAACTTCCAAAACTTTATAATAAAAGAAGGAAAGTTTTTTGGCAAATAATTCAGGTATTTTAGTTGAAGATCCATGAATGAACAAACCAGGCACAGAAGCTGTCAATTTGAGAAAAATAAAACGAACAGAGAGGGGATCTTCTCGTAAAAGTTTTTCAATAAGTGAACAATTTTCATCAACAAAAAGGAATAAATAAGTTGAAGAAGAGTCGGTTAATTCACATAAAGAATTCTTTAAAAAAATTTTTTTGTAAAATTTCGATAGTCAAATAAAAAAGGCGTAGCTAGAGGGGGGCTTCTGGGGGTTTTGGCGCACATCCCATTTTAGCCCCCCCCCCCGAAATCGACCCCCTGGCTACGCCCTTATCAAATAATTAATACCTCCTTCCCAGCATCATTATTCTCATTTACATTAAGAGAATAAATATTCTGTAATCGTCGAAGATCAGAATTAGCAACTTCCAAAGAATGGTGAAGAATTAAATTTTGTTGTTTTTCTGAAGAAAGTTGATTAGAAGTAACAGAAGATATTCTTGTACATATATTTTCGAGTAATTGAATTGATTTATCGTTGTCAGAGGAATTTGTTTCAAGTTGATTAATACTGCTACGAACAGATTCTAACCAAGTGACAATACGTCCTAAAGAAAAATTTAATAAAAAATTTTTTTGATCATCATTCTCCAAATTTTTCCCTCATTTCCCCCATTTCGGGGAGGAGGGGAAGGCTTCAGCCCCTGGATACGCCTTTGCTACCCCGATCCAAATTTTTAAAATTCATCAAAAAATAACCTGTCCTTTTAGCATTTTCTGAATCTAAAGACGAATTGGGCAAAAACGCAATAATTTGAGATAAATTATTGACTATTATCTGCTTTAATTTTTCTATACTCTCAATCCAATTAGAACGTAAATAATTTTCTGCCTGTAAAAAATAAAATAAAAAAATATATTTAATTAAAAACCTGTTTCAATTTAAATTCAAAATGTGCCAATTTTTTGAGTGCTTCCAATAAAACATCTTTTTTAATTAATGAAGATAAATTTAATTTTGGATTGACTAAAATTTATTTTGAAAATTATTGAAAATATTTAATCAAAAAATAACCTTTTGGAGAACTATGCAAAATTAGCCATTTTAAACTTGTATTAAATTCATCAATTATTTTCTTATAATTTCCAAATTTTTCCAAACTTAAAAGACCAGACGGAAAACGAGGTGATTGAATAATATTTAGATGAGACAAAGCCAATTTAGAAATAGGCCACAATTCTCGAACATTTTGGAGAGCAGCATTGGCCGCTTTATACCCTTCCCATTTTTCGTGTAAATTTACTTTAATAAATTTAAAAAAATTTTAAAATAAAATTAAAAGTTTTAAAAACCTTTAAAATCAACATGAAAATGCAAAATCCAGCGATCATTAAAATAATTATCAATTAATTGGCGCATAATAGAAAATTGATTTTTTAAAGTTTGATGGCCATCTTCAAAATATAAACAAATATAGACACAATTTTCTAACCATCCAATTTTTGGGCCTTTGTAAAACCGCAAAAATAAAATCATTTGACTAATAAATTGAATGTTGATTCCGAGCGTTCTAAAAAAATTTATTTTAAAAATTTTAAGGGTAATATTGAACCGGACAGATCCCCTTTTTTCTCCCTAATTTTTCCACTATATTTTTCTTCCTTTTACTTGTTTTTGGCATGTACTTGCACTTGTATAAAATTAAATAATCATTTTTGTTTGATTGTAGGCAAAAATTAGAAATGCAATTTGGATGGAAGAAACGAAGTCTGACCATTTTGCAAAAATATAGGGGAAAATTGGGGAGGGAAAAAGAAGGTATGTCCGGTTCACATCAATATACCTAACCAATTTTAATTTTGGAGGGAAAAACAGAAAAATTTTAGAGAAAATAAAAAAAAAGAAAAATAAAACATACGCTAAACAAAACTCAAAAGGCTCCCGACGATTTCTACAGATATTTACAAGTATTTCAAGCTTGCTAGCTTCAAAATCCATTCTAAAGATAAAAAATAAAATAAAAATTCAAAAAATAAACCTAAGCCTGTACAAAGCTACAAAAATCCTTTCTCGAATAATAGCAGGAAATTTAAAATCAAAAAGAACCAATAAGAGCCCCAAAATGTATAAAAGTTGTGCACTAAGAAGTTCAAGTTCATCAAGACATTTGAAACGAGTAAAAAGTTCACGCCAGTAGTCAACATATTCTCTTGAAAAACTGTGAGGGAAAAATGAAAAAGATCGCAAAAAAATTTAAATTTTACAAACTCAATAAAATCTGTAAGAAAAGAATAAAGTTGGTCAATAAAACGCGCGAACGAATTTAAAAAGGGTGTAAAACTGGCAAAAAATTTCTCTTCCAATTGTCGCCCCTCCTGTAAAAATAAAAAAATTTTTTTTGTTAAATTCCTCCAATCCAAGATTAACAAACCTCCGTTTGTTCAGTAAATTTGTCAAAAGACGCTCTGTTCTCAAAATAGGAAAAGTCAATTAACAATTTTGAAAAACGTGATGTTTGGAAATTTAAAAAATCGAAGGGTGTATTTAACGATAAACGATAAAGCTCTGCTATTAAACAGTTTCCAGTAATTATTTGATTATGTAAAGTTTGAAGGCATTGTTGTAGCTGAACATTCTGCATTGTAAATCCCTTAAAGGAAACAATAAAATGGAATCGAAAAATCAAGAAAAAAACTCTGAAACCTCGCTACAAACTGGCTTATACTTTTTGTGATTTTATAAGGAGAGAGCATGTAAAATAAAGAGAATTAAGAGAAAAAAGTGAATGAGAGATTTACTGTAATTTTATTACTTTCTCTCATTTTATCTTTTGTTAGAATAAACTCAATTTTGTTTGCCTAAAAATGATTTCTAAACACTTTGAGATCATCCAAGACCAAAAACGAATTTAACTTTATCTATTTGGATTATTATACTATAAAAGCTCAATAATTTCCTCATAAAAAATTCCAACAATCAGCAAACATCGCATTCTTCACATCATATCGTTGCGTAATTCAAACAACAACATGAAGTCGTCGGCCGTCATGCTGACCACCGTGTTCTTCCTGTGCTCTGCTGTGTTCTTCACCAATGTGTATGTTTATTCTTCGTTTAATTTTAAATACAAAAATTTATTTAAGTCGTCCCCAAGATCCGCCAAACGATGAGACAAAGGCAAATGGGACTGGAACGCCACTGTCAAATGTGACCGGATCGCCATCGAATGGATCTCAATCGACCACAAATGCGACCTTGGATGAACATCTGCAAGAGGAAAACAAGTGAGTAGATCACTCTAAATTACTAGGAGATTTTGATTTGTTTCGCAAAACAACTAAAAATAACCTCCCAAAATTCATTTTAATTCAATAATCGTTATTTTTCTTTTTCCAGAGGCAAAACTCGTCAGCCTGATCCAATGTTCCGTGCAATGTTCCCACAGGGAGACGGTCCGCGAGAGCTCTTAGATAAAAAGATAAAGGATTATAGCGATAAGGTGGGGCATGTGAAAGCGTTCAGTCTGATCAACGATGCTGCTACTGCCAAAAGCTCCGAATCCGGGGGAACTGAGCCAACTGGTAAGTGCAAAGCAAAGATATTTTGAGAATTGATTGAGATTTGAGAATTGAGAATATGAATAGCTCCAGTCGATAAATATAAAAGCTCGTAGTTTCCCCATAGAAATATTCCAACAAGCAGCAATCATCGCATTCGTCACATCATATCGTTGCGTAATTCAAACAACAACATGAAGTCGTCATCACCTCTCTCGGCCGTCATGCTGACCACCGTGTTCTTTTTGTGCTCTGCTGTGTTCTTCGCCAATGTGTATGTTTATTCTTCATATAATTTTAAATACAAAAATTTATTTAAGTCGTCCCCAAGATCTGCCGAACGATGAGACAAAGGCCTGTAGGGCTCACCTGGGGGCTCGGCGACGGTTAGGCTGAGTCTCCTGACGGAGGAAAACTTGTCAGCGGACGATCATCAATGTTTGTTGCTGCACTTTTCACTTTTGCCACAATCAAGCATTTTTTCCTTTTCAGACGTCGCGGTCTACAACCACGACAACGCAGACCCCTTCATCCCTGCCAGAATGCAGATGATGAAGAAGGGGATGGGGGTCAAGTACCTCCGCGTTCGCTTTGAACGCGAACACCCCTGCCCGGCAACAGAAAATGCTGAAGACGGGGCAGGGGTTCAAGGCCCTCCACGTTCGCTTCCAACGCGAATAGGACGGAAGCGGAAGATGCGTGATGATCATGAAGTGCCACTGTGATTGCCATGTAGAAAAGATTCTCACCCTTGTGATATATTTCCACTGTATATTGTGTCCTATATATTATGCAATCACTCTTATCTTATTATGTTGTAAATGTATTTTTGTTGTGATAATCTATCGCCCAAACATTGTCGTATATATTGTTTGTTTGAAATAAATATTTGTTTGAGTTGGGCTTTCTTTTTTTTTTGACTGAGAGATAGGAATAGGGAGATGAGTCTAAGTTAACGAATATCCTTTAAAAGACTGTTTTTGCCCATTTGAGTTGATAAATAGAGGAAGATTCGATAAATATCTCTCCTTTTTTGATCCTCTCCCTCCAACTAATTTGGTTACATTTGATTTTCAAACAAAATTTTATATCAGCCTCAGTAAAATTCAAGAAAATTGGAATAAAATTGATGTGAGAATTTGCCCACAAGTCTTCGTTAACTCTTAAATTATTCATCAAAATTGCAAGTATTTGACCCATACTAGCTGCAAAACAGGGCCATTTGAAAAAGAAAAGACTAAACTTGGCTGTTTGTGGCCCTCGTCCATTCACAACTAATTTGACATGCGCGCACTAAAAACTTGTTTTTACTATTTCCGTCATTTGCTTGTTGTTTCAGCCATTTTATTCCTTGCATAATTTTCTATTTTATCTAAAGTCAACGGCCAAAAGTGCGCCTTTTGCTTTTTTGGTTTGTCTCAATTTCTGTTGTTTTGTAGAATTTATTCGACTGGCGCAGAAACTTTCATACTTTTTTTTTCATTCGGATGATAATTAAAGTTTAATATAAAATAAATTTATTGAGTATAATTAGAGTTATCGAATAGTAAGGATATAAAAATTAAAGGAAAGTTTGTTAAAATTAGATAGAAGACATATTAATTCACACATCTTTCTTGGCACGTAATTTTATCCATATAGACGATGCCCCAGGATTTTTTCCGCGCAGACACGTGTCAACTATATTAATTTTAAAGCCTAACATATTGCAAGGCATTTTTGATATGTTAGAAAAATATTATTTATTGGCAAAAAATACACTAGCTTTACTTTTAATAAAATGAGGAATGTGGGCTTCTTCTTGGGCTTCTTCGTATATAGAATTTTCTATTTTCGAGTTTAGGCTCAAAAATTCAAAAAAAAATTTTATTTACCCAGCAGGAGTTCTACTAGTTAATAAACTTTTCTATTTTTACAATTATTACCTAATACATTTTTAATTTGTTTTTCTTGCAGAAAATTAGCTAAAAATGTCAAAAAAAGTACTTTTTAATTGTTATTGTCACAATTCAATATAAAAAATTCAAAAATACTTTAAGCTACACAAACTTTTAACTTTTTTTTCAATAAAAGCGCACTTTTTGATGCATTTACAATTTTAGCCAAAGGCTATTTTCCTCTTTTTTACTCAATTCATTCACCTTTTCTTTACACTTTTTGCCTCAAAAGCAATTTGCTATCTTTTAAAGAAAAATAAAGGCTATTGCAAGACTTGCCAAGTCCCCCTCCCAACATTGACTGTTCATATATGGAGAGAGTAAAGAGAGGGAGAGATTGATTCTTTCATAATGGAAGAAAAGGAAGTTTAACAAAAGAGAAGGGAGGGGGGGAGGACATATTGAGGGGATTTTTGTTGAAGTTGTCTCTCTTTTGTTGCTTTCCTTAAAAAGAGTTTCTCTCTCACTGAAATTTTTAAAAACTTGTTAAGAGCGAAAATCGAGTGAATTTGCATTTGTGGGGCTATTTTTGTTTTAAATGAGTTCAACATTTCCTCTGATAAACTTTGTTTTTCTTAAAAACTTTAGCAGCTGAACTTATGTTTGGAAAACATGTTCAACTTTACATATTTAAGTTCCCAAGTTTAATTTATTGTCTTTTTTCCTCGCAACATGTTTTCTTTCATGTTTGTTTTAATGCTGAAAATGTTTGTTTTAATGTTTGTTTTAATTCTTATCCCAACATTGTTTGTTGTTTTGGTCTATTCAAAACTTGTTTATGTTTTTTAAATAACTTCAAGTTTTCTACAAATATATTTACTTACTATTAATAAAAACACAATTGTTTTCATTTTAAAGTTTTATCCTATTTATTTTGAAGTTTTTTTTATTTTATAAAATACTAAAATATACTAAATTTTATTTTGTTCTCAATTTATGCGTTGCCTGACGACGACATTCTCTAAAAAATAAATTCAATTTTATCTTCTCCACGCAAGTCCTTCCATCTTTTTTTTTCTATAAAATAATATCCCCCAAATCCCCCAAACATACTCATCAATGTTTTTGTAAAAAAAAAGGAATTTTTTGGTTATTTTTTAGGAGAAATTTAAAAAATACTTTCTCCTAAAAAATTAAATTTTTCAGTTCCCTCCCCATATTTCCCCTTAATTCCCGCCGTCGGGCAATTGATGGGTGCCGAGTTGAGCACTGAACACCAACAACAATTATTCCAAAAACAATTCAAAAAACAAATATTTGACAAAACATTAATAACAACAAAAACACCACCAAAACACAACAAAGGAGAAACAAGGAGGAAAACTTCCCCTTTGTTTGTTTTAGAAAAAAAGAAAAACAACAAAAATTGTAATAATCAAAAACTTGATTTTATTTTGTTTGCAACAAAATCTATGCATAGGTAAAAGATATTTTTTAAAATTTTATGTGAAATCTTGGGGTTGAGAAATAAGTCTAAAATTATTTTTAAAAATTGTAAAATAATTAAAGGATGGATACACGTGTCAAAATTAATAATTAATTAATTTTAAAGTCTAGACATAAAGCTAGACATGGGGAAATATTTTTTTAGTCAAAAATATTTAATATAATATTTTATTAATTTTATTTTTTTAATTAATTAGTAAATTCCTTAATTTATTAAATTAAAATATCCGTTTCTTTATTTAAAAATATTAATTAGGAATTTTGTGACAATTTCTCTTGTTAATGTTTAATTCCCTCATTTAAGCTATGATAAGTAACTTTTTCAAGATTTATTATTTCCAACTTTTAAAATCTCCGATTATTCTTGTACTATCTCTGCTTAGATAAACATTTAAAAAAACAAATTGCTTAACAGAATATTAAAAGTTAATTGGGAATTCTGTGGCGTTTTCTTTTGTTAATGATTCCAAGTTCAATTTAATTCCCATTTAAGCTCTCTTATTATCCAAGTCTGGATATCTTCGATTATTTCCCACCTAAATATCTCCGCTTTAGATAATCATTTAATAAAACGAATTGCTTAACAAAATATTAAAATTATACAATTCAATAAAAAAATTAATTAGGTAGTTATTCTCTCTTAATTATTTAATTACTTTTTAATTAAAGAAAAAGGAATTTAGATTTTCTTCCTTATTATTTTCTGTAAAGTGTATATATGTATTTTGTATAAAATTTTTTTGCATTTTTTCCTTATCTTATCCACTTCATCTAAAATTCTTTTACTAAAGCTCTCCACAATATTAAGTAAAAATGACACAAAAAACATCAATATATGTCTCCCTCCTTTTTTTTCTCATTTAGAATTCTAAAAAATTATTTTTTTTTCTTATCGCTGCGGGATTTTTTTTGGTTTTATAAATTTATTTAAATTTTTATCAAAAACTTTTTTCCAATTTTTACTTTAATTTTAATAATTATTTTTACAAAAACTTTTTAATAATTTTGAAACTTTAAGTAAAGTTAACTTCTAATTAGGGTTGAGGGTCCGGTCCGGTTCGAAAGATCGAGTCGGGCATCGAATTTTGGCCCGAAAAAAGCTCCGTCAGGCGGCCCGATGAAAATGAAGCCCGAAAAACTCGAAAACCCCAACACTACTTTTAATATAATTTAATATACACCCTCAAGTTTAAGATAAATTTTTTAAACTTTGGTTGACCATTAGATGGGAGCGATACCCTCTAGTTTGTGCTGATTTTTCAGCAATATTATGGGTATATAAATTAGAGATTCAATTTTATTATTTTAATAATAAAGTTGAATGCTTTAATAAAAATCTAAAATTTATTTGGCGGCTTCTCCTAATTTGAACAAGAATTTGTTAAATATATTTAAAAATTTGCAAGAGATAAGGAAACTTATATTTTTTAAAATTTTATTCTTTTCTGATATTTTAAAGAATTTTATTTAGTAATTTTAATTTATTTAAAATAAAAAGACAAACAAAAAAGATAAAGAAAACTTTATTATTTTCCCATCATTTGCAATTCTTTCCTTTTTTTATTCCAAAAATACCAATATTATATACAAAAAATATATTTTTATATATTTTCTCATTATTTCTTCTATATTTGCTTTTTTTCGAATAAAATTCTTTTATTTGTTAAAAAATCTTTAAAAAATTATTTTTTTCTGTGTGATGGATTTGCGCACTTTTTTCTAATTATTTTTAAAATGTCTAATCCTTTAAGTAAAATGATAAAGAAAATTATTAAAAATTATTTGAATTTTTTGTTAACATTTTTCATTCCAAAAGAAAGTCTTTGCCTAGGCAACAATACTTTTTTTGCTTTTTTTAAAGTATTTACTACTTTTATTTTCTCACTTTACTAATTAGCATGAAAAATAAATGAAAAAACATTTTTTACGATTTTAATATTTATAAAATACTTAAAATGTTAAAAAAATAGCGTGAGAAAATATTTTTTGTTAAATTTTATTAAAAATTAATTAAAAATTTTTAAATTTATTTTTTAAATAATTTTAATTTTGTTTACTCAATTAGGAATTAAATAGATAAATTTTTCGAGCTCCTAATAATTTGCTTTTTAAATTTTTTAAATTTTTGTTTTAAATAATTTTAATTTTGTTTACTTAATTAGAAATTAATTAAATCCTAATAATTTGCTTTTTTAATTTAAATTTTTTTAAATTTAATCTATCATTTTAAAAAAATATTACAATATTTTCTTCAAAATTTTATGAAACGCTAAATTCTCTAAAATTATTTTACTGACTCAGCGCCAATGCATGAAGAGTCTGTTGGAACGTATTTGGCCAAGTGGAAGACGTCGAAGACGGTAAAGAAAAAAATATAGAGCTCCTTTTTTTTAATTAATTATGTAAATTAATATAAAAAAAGGAAAAGCACTTTAAACAAAAAAATTTAGCTTCCATTTTGGAATATAGAAAATGTAGTGACATTTAGGCTAATTGATGAATTATCTTAATAATGGGAATTATTAAAATTTCCCCTTTAATTCTCTTTTAGTTTAAGCAGAAAAAAGAATAAATATTAAAAAAACAATAAATATATTCTAATTAAGAAACGAAAAAATAAACTGAAAAAAGAGTAATTAAACATACATATTAAGTTTTAACTAGTGTAGTACCCCGAGCCTTCGGGGGCGGGATAGTCGGAGATCGGGCTGGGGTAGAGCCTTCGGGGTTCGAGTCGGGGTTTTTGCCAGAAAAATAGTCGGGGTTGGGGGGCAGGGTGCTATCCTAGTTTTAACAAAGTTGAAAACGTTTTCAAAAATTGTTTTGAAAAGGCTTTAAATATTCTTAGAAGCTAATTTGTTTTGGAAAATGTTTTTATATGTTTGGGGAAAATTGTTTTTTTGTTTTTCTCCAAACTTTTTAATGTTTTTAGACTTTAAATGTTTTTATTTTTATTCTGTCTTATCTTATAAATAAATATAAGGTTATTTTTGTTTTTATTTTAAAATAAATAGCTTTTCCCCCTTTTTGTCAAAAATTGTCACAAAAACAATTCTTTAGGGACTCCATTTTGTTTTATTTTTACGTTTTAATGTTTGACAACTTTTCTTGCTATAGACACCAAAAAACTGTCAAAAGAATGGGAGAAAAAATTATATTTTTCACCCAATGGCATTTATTTTCTTTTATTTTCCCTCATTTCCATATAAAACAAAAAAGGTCACATTAATCCCCCTTTTTGTTTTTATATTTTTTTTTCATTTTTTAAAAAGATTTTTTACTTTCTTTAAAAGGAAAATATTAGTTTTTGTTGTCCAAATCCTCTAATATTTTTTTAAAATATTCAACGGGTAGTCAGTCCATCCAGTTTTCTTCCTTTTAAATAAATTTAAGCTAATATTTTTATTTTATTTTTGTTATTTTCAGCCCTTTTCGTGGACTTAGACGCGCGGCTGCGTCGCCTGGTTCGCCTATTAGTTGTTGTTCACAGACTTGTAACGCCTCTGGCTCTGCACAAATTTCTGTTTGTAAATTTTATTTTTTAATAGGATAAAGGTATAAACAAGAATTTAGACTTCCAAATCATCGAATTCTACATGAGGGGGAAAATTTCTTGGGCCAGCACATGCCCAGGCATTCATTCTCTCAATTTTTAGATTCCACCATTTCCACGTACGCACTGTACCGTAATGGTAATAGCAGGCACCCGTCCCCCAACTGTGCCACCCTCCTCGGCGGGAAGTTGTATAAGTCCATCATCTATTTGGACCCCATCATCAACGGCTGGAGGAATATCAACACCAAATAGACAACAACAAATAAATTTTCCTTTTGATGAACAGCAAAATAATGAAAATGAACAATTAATTTTACATTTCCCACATTTACCGCCATCACCTAATGTATTGGCTAGTAAAGATAATGAAGCTGAACAACCGATCTTAATCAGTTTAGAACAACAACAATCGTTGGTATGTGAAGATTTTTAAAAAATATTTAAAAGAAAATTTTGTGAAAAATCAAATAGGAATTAAAAATTGAATTAATTAATCATTTTTAAATTGCAAATAAATGAGTATTTTAATGAGTATACTAAAATCTGCTTATTTTTTGTTATTTTTAAAATTACTATTTTCTAAAAAAAATTTTCGGTCAAATTTTTTGTTCAGATTTTTCTTTTTTACTTTATTTTTGTAGCAATTTACTAATTCTTCCATGGTAACAGAAATGGAATTGTAGCCAGACACGCGCCGTACTAATGAATTCAAAATTATATTTTTACTCGAAAATTTTGGCATTCTGTTTATTTTTAAATAAATTTGAGACATAATGTCTGAGAAATAGAGTGTATGTTAAATTGAGGAGATTAATCTTTTTCCCCTTTAAAACAAGTTAGAAACGAGTAAATTATTATTATGTGTTAAATTGATTTTTGATTAAATATTTTTTATTTAAGATTTCTCAATACGGATTTCAAACACACAGACCTCGACCTCCACTAAATAGAGCAATTCCCCCAATTCCTGAATCACGTTCTAACGAGTCGATTCAGTCAAGTCAATCAATGCTGACTCGACGACCAAGTAATGGATTGCAATTGCAGACGGTGCAAATAATTGATGAAAATAATCCGATCGATGAACCTGTGCCGAAACAGACGATGACTGGGGATGATGTAAGGAAAAGTTTTTTTTTAATTTTTAGCTAGTTTTGTTTTCCTTTGAAAAATAAATTTAGAAATTGGAAAAATATTTTTATGGGGCGAGTTGAATCTTAATCATAAATATAAACTTAAAATTATTTTTTGTAGGTTATGGGAGTATCAACAATAACAATAAAAGAAACTACTAATATTACAACTAAAACAAGTCGACTACCAAAATTTGTTCGAAGAAAGGAAAAGAAGGATTCTGTTGAACAAGAAGAGAAAAAACAACAAAAACCTCCAAAAAGTCCTTTAATGTCTGTTGCACATTCTGTTAAGGTTTTTTTATTTTTAAAATAAAAATATTTTTTATTAGAATAAACTCAGTCGATTAACTAGAGGAGGAAATGCAATGTCTAGCAGCGCTGGAGCTGAATTTCCAATGAGTCGAAGTTTGGAAATTGGGTCAAAAACTCGAATTCCCCACCGCCAAACTAGTGATGAAATACCAAAATCGAAAAGTATGGAGGAACAAAGAGGAATGAATGAGAATTCTGGAGGGTTTTTTCTAGTTCCGAGACGATCTCCGACAACTACTTTGGTGTTGTGTTCGCCTGGAGGAGGGCCTAGAAGATTGCCGCCAGATGAATTTTTGGAACAACAAAAAGGTTTTTGAGTGTTTTTGGACAATTTTAAGGTCAATGTTAAAATTTATTTTATTAAGAACCCCATCTTTTATCAAACAAGCAAGTTCAATTTGTGGATGAAGAAGATAATTTTCATAAACTTTCACCTCAAAAAGAATTAGCTTTTTGTGTTTGGACACCTGAAATTGAAAATAATTTAATTGTTAAAATTAATGAAGGAATTAAAGAAAAGGAAGGAAGTGAAGAGATTGAAGAAGAAATGAAAGAAATGTCTAAAATTGAGGGTCAGAGTGAAGTTGAAAAAATTATCGAGGAACAAGAAAAGAAGGATATTAATATTTCTACAAGTGTTTTGAAGGCAAAAATTGGGTAAGAAAATTTTATTTTAAAAATTATTTTTTACTAATGCTTTGATAAATGTCCAAAATTTACGATAACTTTGGGAATTTTTAACAGGTCATTCGTAGGGTTGGATTTTTCGAACCGGGTCGACGTTGAGTCATTCTTTCGGGATTCGTATCGAACCAGGCCATTCGAGTCTTTTTCGGGCTAAGATTCGATGCTCGATCTATCGAGCCGAACCGGGCCCTCAACTCTAGTCATTCGGTCTTTTAATCTGCAATTTTACTTACTAATTTTGAATTTAATTAATTAAAATCTAACAGATTTGAAGAGGAAAAACAACCAACTTCTTCCTTTCAACCACCCATCATTACAGAACCTCCACCAGAACAGTCTAAACCAATTTCTTCTGTCGGTGAAACAATAACTACAATTATCACAACCCGTAGAAGTCGTTCACCTCCACGTGTACTTTTGACATCTTTACGTAAATCGCCTCAATCCTTTCCACCATTGGGCAATTCTTTGGATTCACAACAAAATTTGGCAGAAAAGGTTTAATTAGAAATTGATAATAATTAATTAAGTTTAAAGGCGTTATTATTAACATTTTTATATATAGTAGTATCCATGTTTTATAAAATTTTACGCCATTTTCCTGGAAATTTTTTTTGTCTTTAATTACCACAAGAATTTTTTTCAACAAATTTTAAATTTAGTGCTCCTCTAAAAATTTAGAAAAAATGTCTTTCAACTACAAGAATTAAATAATTTTTAATTTACTTTTTTTAGAATGGGCGTCAAACAAAATCTACAGTCAGTGTATCTTTTGGAGAGGTTGATGTGAAAAAATATAATGAAAATAAAGAAGAAATAAAAGGAAAAGAAGAATTAACAAAACAAAAAGGAGAAGAGAAGTCTGGAAAAAGAAAAGTTTTTTTTAATTAAATTTTAAATAAATTTATTTTCAAAAGGTCTTTTCAACAAGAAGTTTAAGAATGGTAGCAAACCGTGTATGTGAAGCTAGTCCTTTATTACGTCGAAGAGGGCATAGTGCTAATGCCCCACAGGAAAGACAAAAGGAGGCGGGAATGGGTATTTTTTGAATAAAAAAAATTTTGAAAAATTTTACAATTTAAAAGAATCTTCTACAACACGTTTTGGCAACAACAAGAATTCTAGTGATAGTAATCAACAAAAATTAAAAACGGCAAAGTCTACTTTTGCTACAACTAATGTTATAAGGTTTTAAAATAAATTATTTTTGAATGGGGTTTGGAAATTTGAAAAGTGATATAAATTAGAGTTCGACTCCGTGCCGGGACCGGGTTTTTCGGGCCCGGTGGCCTTGAAACCGGGTATTTTGATAAAATCCGGGTTTTCGGGGTTTTAGTCCGTAAAACCCGGTTAAGGGCGGATTGGAAAAAACCGGATACCGGGCCCGGAAAATCGAAAATGTCGATCTCTAGTAAGAATTCTTCAAGGATTTTTAAAATTAACCTTCAAAATTTGGTAAAATATTTAGATGCCGAAAATCTGTAAATGACCGTTTTCAATAGAAAAATTTTTTTCTGTTTTTAAGGAAAAAAGCAATGTGAATTTTACAAAAAAATTTTCCTTCATTTTTTTCAATTTGAAACCTTTTTTTATAAAATTATTTTTAAAATTATTTTTTAGAATAATTTTAAAAATTCTAAAAATACTTTTCCAATATTTTCAACATTAATTAAAAAAAATTTTGTAGATCAGTTAATTCTGTCCGTACAATTAATCGTCCTTATGGTGCCCCTCTAGCAGAAAGTGAATCTTCAATTGTCGCCAATTCCCCTGCTGTAGAACAATTTCCTGGAGTTTTTCCTTCACAAAACGGAAAAGAAGTAATTAACAAAAAACGCGGTGGAGGGGGTATTTTTGGAACAAATTCTCGTTTTGGACGAAAAGAAGATAAAAAAATAATTGTTAATGAAGAAGATAAAAAGAAACAACAGCAAAAGAATTCTAGTAATATTACTAATGGAAGTGGAAAGACAAATAATTTGGCTAAAAATGGTAAGAAAATTTGATTAAATTTTTAGGAGGAAATTAAATTTAATTTTTAAATTAAAATATAAGTATAACAAGGGAACCTCCAAACTGTCAGTAAAAATTTTTAAATAATAATTATACCATCGTGTAGAGCGTAGTCGATAACCTATTATGTCTCCGGCTTTTTTGGCGCCGACTTTTTTGGCTCTTTACTGACAGTTCGGAAGGTTCCCTTGTAAGCAATATTTTGAAATTTTTTTGTGGTTCTAAAATTTATTTTTTTATTCTTTCATTTTTGCCTCAACTCTATGTTTTATTCTGTCTAATTTTTGTTCTGAATGGGTATAACTTGTCCCGATTTTTAGTTTGTTTAGCCACTTTTTTTAATCTATCAACTAACAATTTTTTCGATTTTTTAAATTTTACAAATTAACGAGGGTTTTTATAAATAAGTAAAAGGATTTTAATTTCCAATATATTTTTTGATAGAATTTTTATTTTTTTTACCTTTTATTTTTAATTAACGGGAGAATGCCCTCTTCTTTTTTTAAAGAATTTTTTTACTTGAAAACAAAACCAATAAATATTTATGGACTTTTTATTTATTTTTATTTTTTCTTCTTTATTTTTTATTTAATTTTATTTCCTAAATATTTTCTATTTTTATATTTAATTTTAATTGAAAACTATCAAGGGATTTTAAATATTTAATTTTTCTATAGACATAGAACGTTCTGTTAACTCTTCCTATCTTTTTATTTTTAGAAGATTTTTTTGAATATTTTTGGGAGAAATATTAAAGGATTTTTAACTCTTCATATTTTCTCTTGTATTTTTGTTTTATTTTTTCCGAGTCCACGCCCAGAATCTTCTGGGTTCGACCTTCTGAGTTGATCCCATTTTTTCCTAATTACAATTTTTTACATATTTTTGGGCTAAATTAATTTATTTTATTCTCTCTTCTACTCATCTGTCTGTCTTTTCCACTCAAATTTTTAGTCTACTTTTCTCTCCCCTCTTCTACATATTCTAAATTAAATTCTGTCCAATACTTTTGTGGCTTATTGGCAATTTAAAATTTCTTTTTTCTACTTTTTTTTGTCAGTATATATCCTCCCAAAAATATATCCTTTCCCCCATTCTTCGTATTTTCTTTCGCCAATTTTCGCCACTCCCGAAGGGATTGTTTGCCGAGTGGAAATGCGAGAATCCTTCCGTTGTCACTTCTTTTCTTATTTTTGTTTAGTTTATTTTTCCACCCTTTTGGTTTTAATCTTTTCTAAACTCCGCAACTTTTAAGATTTTATTTAAACCAAAACTATAAATCAAAAAATATATTAAATAAATTTACTCTTTATTTTTGTCAGTCACGCTTTTTTGTGTAATTAAATTTAAGAAAAAAAACTATATTAAAATTGGTAATGGGAACTCCTTTCGTTTTACCCACCACCATTTTTAACATGATAAAACCTAATTGAGGTATAATTAAACTTTTTGATTCTATCAAGTTTTAAGTGAGAAATTTCTCTACTTTTTTATACCAATCATGCTACTTTGTTTTTTTTCTATAAAATAATTTAATTTTCATATGTTAAAATTCTCCCTTCATACATACCTTCCATACATATTTTCTCAAATTTTCAACTCAATAATCTCTCCTCCCCTATTTCGGCCTTCTCAAAATAATTTTCGGCCACACTTTTCCTTTTCATTATTTTTTTCTTTTCATTCACCCCTTAACTAAAAAGAAAAATTGCTTCTTCTTTTTTCTACCAAAGTTTGTTGATTGTTTATACCACAAAAAGTTAAGAAAAAAGCTTTTAAAAATAAATGTGTGTATAAAATAATTTTTTATTTGCTATAAAAACTTTTTTGTTATTTTTTGCAGTAACAGAAACAAAAACATTGAACAGCACCTCAATAAAATCAAAGTCCTCTACCTCTTTTCAACGCCCAACATTGGTGGCCCGGCTGTCACATAAAAAATCTAGCAGTCAAGCAGTTGGGACGAGTGGAGGTGGAATAAAAAAGGGTGACGATTCAAATAAAAAAGGAAGCAAAGAAGCACAAAACCAAAAAGAAGAAATTGTGTGAGTTTTTCTTTAAACTACTAATTTAATTTTTGAAATTAACAATTGATTACTTTAAACTTTTTTAAAAAATTTTTAAAGTTTAAAAAAGCCATTATTCTCCATGACAATTTGACTAAGTTTATGTTTTAGTCTGAAAATAATTTTTAAAAAGTGTTTTATGAATTTCTAACCCAAAGGATCGTCATTTTTTTTGTTAATACCAAGAATCGAGAATTATAAAACCCCCTTATTTTAATTCTTTTAGAGCTTAATTTTACTTTTTCTAAATTAATTTAAATCCGTATAGCTAACACAAAAGTTCATTTTTCCAAAAAAAAATTAAGAAGTTGCAAAAAATTATTTTTGTTCTAAGATCTCTTGTTTAAAAAGATTTGTAAGTAGCGGAAAGGAAAGAATTTGATCGATCTAAATGGTCGACACTATCGCCGAGAAGGAGAGAATTCACATGAAAAATTAAGAAAATAGGAGGAAATTAAGAAGAATTGGACGTGGAAGTTTTTAGTTGGGAGAGGGGGAAAGGGGAGGGTTAAAAGAAGGGGAAGAATGATTGAATGAAGAGAAAATTTTAGTTATTTTTGTGCGCGGGTCCGCTTGCTATTTTTCATCTTTTTTAAGGAGCAAACAGCTACTTTATAGGGGAAAGAATGTTGATTGTTGTTGTCGAAAAGGTGGAAGCCATTTAAAGTAAGAAGGTCGGCCAACACCCAAAAATGATTTTTTCCTTAAAAAATCGCTGTTGGGGTTTGAGCAGTAGTATTTTTATTGCTTTTAGTTTCGTGATCAATTTTGTGTGCATATTTTAGTTTATTTTTAAGCAACTATTAAAAAAAATTTTAAATTTGATTTTTTATTCAAATTATGTAAACTTTAGGATTTTTTTTAAATGAGTCATCCTTTTTTAAATATTTTACAATGCAAACATGTGAACATAACCCTTTTCTCTTTCTGTTTAGCGGTAAAAATATTTTTGGGTTAAATTGCTAAATCGCCTAGAAATATGCATTTAAACTTTCCTCAAAATCTTTAAAAACCTATAGTTTGACGTTTACTATTTCTCTTAAAAATCTAAAAAATATTTTTTTATTTTCAGAAAACAAAAACAATCAACAATGCTTGTAACTACCACAACAGCCCCTTTAGGAGCAGATTTTCGTTTAATTGACGAGCCTGCTTCTTCTGTTCATTCTCATTCTACTCCATTAAAAACAACATTAGACAACATACAAAATGGAAGGAAAACTTCCTCACTTTCTTCTTCTTCACTTCAATCTTCTACAATGCTTTTAATTGCAGAACAACAATCTTCTACTGGAGAAGTTTCTCTTAAAATGTTGGAACGAAAAATGAATGAAACTAATTTGGGTAATAATTCTTCTACTGCTTGGAGTAGGAAAAGGTATAGTTTGATAAAGCTTCACCATTTTTTATTTCAATATTTTTAATTTTTAAAATTCAACTTTTAATTCACTACCTATTTAAATCCAAGCTTTAATTACTCTAATTTTTTGGTTCTTTCATTCACACTTTATTTTTAATTTTGAAAGTAACAAAAGTTAATGGCTATTAAATATAAAAATTAGTCATTCACACCTTAAGGTCAAGAGCTATTTGTGAAATAAAAAAATTGATTAAGTGCTAATAAAAGCTTTGGGTTCTAAATTATTTATTGACCAATTGTTTCTTTTTAATGAAATATTATAAATAAATGGGTGACATATTTGTGGGATAATAAAGGGAAATACACAAACAATGTTTAAATAATTAAATTTTAGGCTTTCTTCTGATTCAAAATTAAATGACAACAATAATGTTGCTGCAACTTCTACAAAAACTACAAAAGCCTTTCCTTTATCTACAACTGAACTGACAGATTTAAAGTAGTTTAAACTAAAGAAAAATAAAGGGGGAATGTCGTTATTTTGGAATCTTTTTTTTAATTAATATTATGGGGAAGATTTGTTAAATTATAGAAATTACAATTAAATTTTTAATATTTTTAAATTATCGCTTACTTTCTCTCACATTTTTAGAAAAATAAATAATTTTTTAGATCAGGTCCTCGAGAAGAGCAAATGCCTTTGGTCGATGATTTGGCAAAATCTGAGGATGGTATTTCTTTTGCCCCTTCTATTGCCGCTACTTCGGCTCTTGTTGTTGATTTTCGTTCAGATTTGTATAAATTGCGTGATTCTGTTAAAAAGGTGATTAAAATTAATTTTAAAATTTGTGGAACTTGCTTAAATTTAAAAAAAAGGTTGAAAAGTGAAATTTTTCTTAAAAGAATATAAAAAGAAATTTTTGTTATAATTTTTGGATTTAATTTGAAATTGAAGATTTTTCGGTTAAAAATATAGAGAAAAATATATGAGATGTCTAAATTTATTAAATTTTTTTCCTACAATTTAAAATAAAAATCTAAAATTATTTTTTTGGTCTCTTCTAGTTTTCCTTTATTTTTTTCTAATTTCTAATCACTTTTTACAAAATAATTAATGGTTATGGGACCGGAACCTTTAATCGGAAATTTGTCCAAAAACTGGAAATCTTTACAAGAAACGCCTTTACTTGTCTCAAAAATATTTTTTTTATATATTAATAATTTTTAGGACCTTGAAGAATTGGAAACTTTACGGAAACAAAACGCCTCTTTGCAAGAACAACTTGCTGAACGTAATAAAATTATTTTACAATTACAACGACAATTAAGGGGAGATTTGTGATGATGATCTTTTAATTAATAAATAAATATAAAAATTCTGCAAAAATTTTGTGTACAAAAAAATTAAAAAAAAGATTTTCTTTTTCTCGTTTAAAATATATAAATTACAAAGTTGTTGAGAGAAAACTTTTTTGTTGAGAGATGTTTGGGCGTTATTTTTTGGTTTATTATAAAAATATTAAAACTTTTAATTTTTTAAAAATAATTTTTGATTAGATAATCTTCTAGTATTTTTGACTTCTTTAAAAATTTTAATCTTTGAATTTTATTTAACAAAAATTAATTTTAAAAATTAAGTCCATGTTTCAAAAATTTCTGTTACTATTTCTAAAATTTTAGACTTCGTAACTGATGGGATGTCCAGAAATTTTTGGTTCGGTTCTATTAGTTCTGGGATTTCCCAGGATTCGCCAATTCTAAGCATGGTGACTTAAGGAGTTTTTTTAGAATCCAAATAAGGAATTGTTTTTAGAATCTAAAATAAACAACTTAAAAATTTTTCTGAATGAAAATTTAGTTGGGAGAAATTTTAGTTAAAAATTACTGCTATTATTCCTTTAAAAACGGAATTAAAAATTCAGTGGAGACAACTTCTAAAATTAATTAGAAAACTAAGCTACCATTTTAATCTCACGTGTTTATCAGTTTCACGCCCAAACATCTTCACATTAAAAAATAAACTATTAAACTTTTATTAATTTTTCCGGAAGTTAAAATAACCAATATATATATAAAAATTACAAAGCAAGTTTATTTTTATAAATACATATATTCTTTCCTTCGTTTGTTTTGTTTCAATTCCCGATCTTTCATTTTTATTAATTTGATTGGGACTTAAAATATTTTTTATTTGTATTTTTTTTTTTAAATAAATATACTTTATCTGATAAAAATAAAATAAAAAATTATTTTGAGGGAATTTTTAAGTTTTTAATTGAAATAAATTTGAATGTTTAAAGGAATTTTTTGAATTATTAAAATTCAGTTAATAATAGCTAGGACTAGGGTTGTCGGTTGGACTGAACCGAAACGAAGAATCGAGGATTTTTCGGTTCAGTTCTTCTGTTCGGTTTCGGATATCCGAAAATTTTCCAGGCCCCGACAACCCTAAGACTGTTATTTGGAGAGAATCTTATCGAAATTGAAAGGATCCTATCGAATCCTATCGAAATTGAAACTCGTTGGAGTTAATTTCTTAAACACAACTCGATTTATCAAATAGTCTGGTTGGCAAGCCTTATTAAAAGTTTTAAAATTTTATAATTTTACCATTATTTTTTAAAATTCTCTCACTTTTATTTTAACTCTCTCTCATCCGCCAGATTAACTATGTAGGTATTTGGATATATTATTTTGGATTATTCAAACATTATTTGGGGGCGATTAAGTTGTTTCGCTTCAATAAATTTTAATAATTTTTAATAGACACTTTAAAACAAAAATTTAATACAAAATGACCTAAAAAGTTTGGGCTAATATTATTGGAGAGAATAAGTATTTATTTAAGTTTTCCTGTAAATTTGAAAATTGTTTTGTTTAATTCAAGTATGTATTTATAAAAGAACTGTTGATATACTTATTTGCGGAAAACTAAAAGGTTTCAATTAAAATTCTAAAAATAAAAAAAATATATAACGGAAATGCTAAAGAATATAAGGAATTTTTTCCCATAGAAAATTTTCCAAATAAATTTTTCTCATAAAATTGAAGAAGCAATTCTAAAAGGGGACTTGTTAACCGCTCTTAGTTAATGAATATTATCCATTTTAAAATAATTATTTTAAAGAAATTTTTGAAATAAAATATAAACTTTTTTAACCCCTTGGAAAACTTTTAGTCCCCAACCGGAATCTAGCCGATATTTTTAATTTTCGTTTTCGGGAATTAAAAGATCCCTTTGTCCCCAATAAATATACTAATTTAAATATTTATTTGCCAAATAATTTTACAAAAAAATTATTTTCTTTTCAAAACAATTTTTCCACATACATTTATATTTACTCATTCAAATAAACTAATCTCCGTTTTCTCTCCCAAATATTCTTTTTCTGATTGCTTTTCGGATAAAGTCTGCGCACTCACTAACAACTACCCATGCATTTCACTCTCTTTTTATCGGCGTTTTTGTTTAAATTTTTATTTTTATATTTATTTTAGACGACCTTTTTTGTTTTAAAAAATTATTTTTTTTACAAATTAATTTTTAATTTTCCGAAAATAATTAATTTTAATTAAATTAATTTCCTTTTAAAATCCGAACACTTATCATAATTCAATTTTTTTGTAAAAATAATTGACCTAAAAATTGGGGTTTCTTTAAAGATTAATTAAATTTAGATTTGGGTGATTATTCTTTTTAATAATTTTTTAGTTAAAGTGTCGTTAAAGAAAGATTTAATATTTAAATTGGTTATGTATCTGTTTAGTTAATAGCATTTGTTTCCTTTTTATGATTATTTTTTTGATTATCCAGTTAATTATTATCATTGACCAAACACTATATGTATTTTATTAAGACAATGATGTAAATCCATCCCTTTCATTGTCATTTTTATTTTTGAATAAATAAAAAAAATTATACATAAATATCTTATATAATTCTTGCCTCTTCTCGTTCGTTTACTCAATTTTAATTTAAAAATAGAATTTTAAATTTTAACTAAATAAGTCCACAAAACCTTTAAAATTTAATATTTTTCTTTTTTTTAAATAAAAATTGAAAAAAATTTTAATTAAAAAATATTAAAGAATAAATCCAGCCTTTACTACTTATTTAGAGTTTATTCTATCCTTCCCTTTAACTTGTTAAATATTCATAACCTGACAAATAATTAATAATTTCTTTTTATTAAAATAATAATTAAATAATTTATATCAAAAAAATTTATTTTTCAAAGTTTTTTTCTCTTGTTTTCAAAAAAAAATATTTAAAATTTCCAAAAAAATAATTTTAGCTTGATTTTTTGTGTTCAGCCTATTCGTTATTTTTTCTATTTGTAGCCTTCGTTTTTTAAAATTAAAAAAACAACTAAAGTTAATCTATTCAAAATAAGTTAAGAGCTTTGTTCGATCAAAAAAAGTCCATCGTTTGCCGGTGATTTTCAATCCATTTCTTACTAAATTTTTTAAACAGTTCTCTGGTCAGTCTCGTTAATAAATTAAAAAATATTTTTTATAAAAAATATTTATTTAATAATTAATAAAATAATCAATCTAATCTCTCTCTCCTTTTTTTTCTCTATAAAATCTCCTCCAAACAATTTCCAACTGCGTGAATACACAAAAAGGATAAACAACCCCCCCTCAAAACCACAAAATCACTAACTTTTCTTCTTTATCCCCCCAATTTTGTGCCTAACAAACAAAAATACCCGCCGGAGGGTCCGTCCACGCAGATAGAAACAAACCCAAAATCTTTTCCTTCTTTCACCTCTCTTTTTGATTGACCGAGATATTTTGGGTCATTCTCGAATATATTTATTTATTTTTACTGTTTAAATGATTTGTTGTAAAGCTAAAATATTTTTGTGTTGCTGCCAATTATTTGTTTGTATATGTACTCTTTATATTTTGGTTAAAGTTCCGCGCTGCGTGATTTTTCTGTTTTTGATTGTTAATAATTATTCCAGACAATTAAATATTTTGTTATGATATATACAGACCTATATCTCTTAAAAATATTCCACCTTCCCTCTAACCAATCAAAATTTTATAAAATTTTATAGTTTAAGATAGAGTGCGTCGAGTACCGCCAAGTAATTAATTAGGGGAAAACCGATCCCCCGAATCGGTTTACACCGAGTCTGTCGATTAAGTATTAGGATATTAGGATCCTCCCCCAAGTATTAGGATCCCAATTCGAGCCCGAGTAAAGACGAGACAACCCGAGCGTCTGTCAAAACTGGGTGAGGGCAAAACTACTCGGACGTACTCTAGTTTAAGATAAGTGTGCACTTCCCAAAATTCTGTTTTTTCCCAAATTTCTGCATTTTACTCACCAAAATATTGTTTTTTATCCTTTCATCCAAAAAATGTTTGGATATTAAAAAATTTTTGGTATGTTATCTAAAATAATTGAGGATTTATTTCGATCCGACAACCCTTATCTCTCCAACATGTCTTCTCTCTTACATAATTTTTCTTTTTCGTTTAACTCTCGTTAGTAGCGACAAAATTAATTATTTATTTATTATCCATGAATTATTTATTAAAATTATATATCTCCTTTTAAAAGATAATAATTTATATTTTTATTTAAACAAAAAAGCCAATAACCAGTTGTGAATGTGCGCAATAATTATTTATATATTTATTTACAAATTGTTTTGTATTAAAAAAAGAAATAAATATATTGTGTGGTTTATCTCTACAAAAATAAAAATAAAATAAATTAAATTAAAGTATCTTCTTATAATTTAAATTTTTTCTGTTTTAATTTATCAAACACCTGCTAATTTATAAAAAATGTTTTTTATTGTTAGGGAAAGCCTTAAAATTATTTTTTGTATATTTTGGTATTAACAAAATATTTAAATACAAAAAATTTTTTAAAACATTTTTAATAATATTTTTTTATTTTTCAAACAAAAATACTCAAAATTAACATTTTGTCAACTTGCGCATATTTAAAAAAGCATTGACCTTAATTTACCTCTTCTTGTCTTTTAGCAGTTTTTTTTCTATTTTTGTCGCGTAAATTTTGTTTAAAAATTTTTACTATAAATTAAGAAAAAAATATTTTTATTTTAGAATATATTTAAAGTTTATTTTTTAATTAAGTTGGATTAGGGGAATTTTGTTTCAATGTATGATTGTTTAGTGGTTTACCATAGATGGTGAAATAATTACCCTGAGTAATTGTTGTTTCAATCGTTCTCTGGACGGGGGTAATTAATTAATAGGAAGGCGGTGATGGATTTAGGGTGAAGTTCATTCAATGCCAAATGAGGCAAATTTATTTATTCTTTGATATTGGCTCTTATGTTCCATTAATTAAAATTGATCATGATTTTTTAAATATTTCTAAAATTAGTGCAAAAAAATAGGGGTAATTATTAGATAGGTGTTGATTTATTTTGAGTGTAAGCATTTTAGCATTTGTGGGTTGGAGCAGAACCCGAAAAGTACCTCGGTATCTTGTACAGAACATTTGTTAAGAGTCTCTGGGTTCGAATCTTTATAAAGAGAAAAGACCTAATTAAAGTTTAATTGCATTTTTACTTCAAAATAATTTTAATTTTTATTTTTAATTTTTTAGTAAAATAAAATGTTAATTATTATTTATTTTCCCTTATTCCTTTTCAACTTAATTAATTCAATTATTTCCTCCCCAACACCAATAGTTCTAAATAACCAACCAGAATCTCATCATCCTCAACATCATCAACCCCTTCCAACAATTAATTTATTTGAAGAAGAATCTCAACAACAAAAACAAAAAATATTTTGGAAAGCAATTGAAAGAAATTTAGAAAATACTCCAGATATTATTCTTTTAAAAGACGAATTTTGTAAAAAATCTTGTAATGAAATTATTGGAAGAGGGGCAGAGAAAATACAAAATGTCCATTGTGTTTGTCGTTGCCCTATAACTGAACCTATTTTTGTTAATACTAGAGAAGAGGGGAAATGTGTATCGAAAATTAATGGTTATTTGTTTTTAAATTAAAAGATTAATTAAAGAGGCTTTAGACTGATCTGGGGAAAAAAATTTTAGGCTGATATGGGAAAATTCTCGAATATCCGGAACCAAAAGCAGAATTCTCTGTTATTCGATTTGGTTCAGTTCCGAACCGGCAACCCTACTCATAATATTTAATTTGAAGTTAAATCAGGGATAGATCGGGTTGAGTTACTCGAAACTCGATCCGACTTTCTGTTTGATCTGGCCTAAATAATTTTTAAATCTCAAAAATAGAAACTTCGCTTATCTCTAAGGTTGTGGAAGAATCTTTTTCAAAAATTATTTCGAATGCCAACTTTTATTACGAAAGAGAGAATTAATTTGGGGATCAATCTTACCGAGAAATTTCAATTTTTAAATAAAATAAAATTTTCTTTTAAAGATTGTTTTGGTCATCCTCTCAAATTTGAACAAATTATCAATGCAACAACAAACGAGTTATCACTACAAATAGAGAAACATTATTCCCCAACACTTAGTTTATCCAAAAAAGGAGAACCTTTAGATTTTAATTTAAACATTGATTGGAGAGGTATTTTAAATTAAATAAATTAAAAATTAAATTTAAAAAAAAAAGAAAATGGAATTAAAATGCGTTCTCGTGGAGGCCCAAAATGTTTAATTAAAAATATTTTTATTCTTGGAAATAATTCTGAATGGAAAGAAGAAACAAAAAAAGAATTATTTAAATTGGCAGAAAGGGGAGAAGAAGGGAATTTTAATGGAAATTTATTGGTAAAATAATTTTTTTAGAAAATTATCTTTTTGAGAAAAAAATAAACAATGGAATACAAATTTTTTAGAAGGATAAAAAAATAAATGGAAGGATTGATACCGAGACAAAAAAAAACTTAGGTGCTCCAAGTTATTTCGAATTAAATAATAAATGGATAAAATTAGGAAGTTCGGGTAACTAGGCCCATCCTGATATAACTACATATAATAAAAGTTAGGTAGAAGAAAGAGGATGTGAGGTAAGTGAAGGGATTAAGAGGTACATAAATTAAAGAGGGGGACTAACTTTGGATAATAAAAGGAGAAAATAAATTGTGGAGAATAAAAGAATATTTAGAGGTTACCTCCTCTTCATTTTCTGGTTCCTTAATTTAATCTATCGAATTTTTTTCAGTGGATGGGAACTGATCAAGAAATTCAAGAATTATCAGGAGGAATTGTTCGTTTAGAGTTAGAATGTGCTACAAAAAATAATGGTGGAGGAAATGCTAGTTTTTGTTTGGCTTTTAGAATTGAAGGGCAAATTGGTTTGGAGAAATTTGTTTAAAAATAATTTTTTAAAAATTTTATTTAGAATTTAAAGAAAATGAAAAAACGGAAATTATTAGTAATGGAAATGTTGGAATGGAAGTGGAGAAGGGGAGAAGAGTTGAGGTAAATAAATATGTAAATTATTAAGGTACTCCTCTTGGACCTTATTTATTGTTGTAATTTAATTTAAAAAAGGTCACAGAATGTTTATCGAAAACAGAAAAATATGTACAATTTCAGAAAATTCTTTAGTTTATTTACTAGTGAATAAATTTCGATTTTGGACAGATCTTTTAATAGAACCTCTCTTTAATTACATATATTTTTCTTTAAAAACCATTTTTAGGTAGTTGTAATTATCCTTTTGGGTATTTTTCTCTTTCTTTCTTTATTTGGCTCTATACTTTTGTGGAATGTTTGTTGGCGTGTTCAGAAACGTAAATTGGTAAATTTTGAATTTTTAATTTATAAAAATAATTATTTTGCATTATTTTCTTCTAAAATTTAAATATTATTTTTTCTGCTCATTTTGTAATTTTTTTCTCTTTTTTTTAATAATTTAAAAAAATAAGCAAATATTCTCTCTTTCTAGTTTTTTTAGAAATAAAAAAATGGTAAATGTCCAGTTGGCGGTCTACATGTCCGCAAAGAGAATCTGCCCTTTTCTTTCCTTTTCTTGCATTTTTTGCGCTGGGAGAAGTGCTCCGCTCATTTTTCCTTTTCTTCCATTTTCCTTCTCAATACAATATGTTTTTCTCTTCATACTTGCAAAATAAAAATACCTCTAATTAGAAAAAAATTATTTATTTTACAAATGATAAATTTTGGTCTATAAAAATTACAATGATAAATTCTGAAATGTAGGATTATGGGGTTCCGTGACTTTTGCGCCGAGAACATTTGCGCCGCGACTCTTGCGCCGCGACTTTTGCGCCGCGACTTATGCGCCGAGCGACTATTGCGCCGGGGGACTTTTGCGCCGCGACTTTTGCGCCGGGCGACTTTTGCGCCGCTACTATTATTAAAAATATATGAATAACTGCAGCCAGACCTCACTTTAGTAGGGTTGTCGGATAATTGGAAATCTTCGGATATCCGGATCCGACAATCCTACACTATAGTGCATCCTACTTTTATGACCCAGACCTAATTCATCAGCTACAGGACCCCTATTGTACTTCCTGACTTCCTCCAGTTCCTGGATAATTTTTTAAACCCATGGGGTAAGGTCCGATTGTAGTTATTATTTTAATTTTTTTTAAATAATGGCGGCGCAAATGTCGCGGCGCATAAGTCGCCCGGCGCAAAAGTATAAATAATATTCAAGGAGGCATAACCTATTCTACGTTGATTTTCGTGTTATCAGGATAACGATATTGAGTTAAGATATGGGCCCAGTTTTTATATACATCCTCCCCCTCGTAGTTTTTATCCGCCCTATATTTTAAATCTATTTGAAAATGTTATCCAAAATTTATCATTTGTAAAATAAATAATTTTTTTCTAATTAGAGGTATTTTTATTTTGCAAGTATGAAGAGAAAAACATACTGTATTGAGAAGGAAAATGGCAGAAAAGGAAAAATGAGCGGAGCATTTCTCCCAACGCAAAAAATGCAAGAAAAGGAAAGAAAAGAGCAGATTCTCTTTGCGGACATGTAGACCGCCAACTGGACATTTACCTAAAAAAATTGCAAGCCAAAATCATTCTCTTTTTATTATTTTGTTTCCACAATTTCACAATTCCTATTTAAAACACGTGAATAATATATGGGAATGTGAAAAATAAAATAATTAAAGAATTTTTTTAAAAAACATTCCTTTTGCATTTTTTAATTAATCAAAACAAAAATGTATAGTAAATGATTAATATACACATATTTATTAGTTAATAGTTTAAAGATAACGATCGAAAAATTTTTAAAAGTCATGTGATTGGACTTTTAATACTTTAACTTTAATTGAGAGGGAATAAGGGAGTAGAGTTGAGTAGAATATATTTTTTGGTTTTGAATATTCGAAGATTTTCCAGGAACCTGCAACTAACTATGAGGAAATGTTAACCTCTACTTGATAAAAAACTTAAAAAAACTTAACCTCTACCGTAAAATAGAAAACAAAATTAATAGGAATTATAGTTAAAGTGCTGTTCTGTCCAGTTGGGGTTAGTCTCTTATTAAAAGAATTCCAAAGATCCCCATTTTTAAATTAATCTCATTTTCATTTACTTCCTGCAGCTTCTGTCCTTTCTTATTTTTCTTTTCACTAAATTAATTTTTTGAAAAATTTTTCTTCACAATAATAAACACAATGTATTTTTGTAAAACAAATAATTAAAAATATTTTAAAGAATTAAAGATTAAATTTTAAAAATTGTTTGGCAAAAATTAAGAATGTATTTTTGTGGTAAAAGAAAAATGTGACATTAATAAATAAATGTATACAAAATAATAAAAAATATTTAATCAATCAAGAATGGAATGAAAAGTTTAAATAATAAATTGGAAATAAAAAATTAAAAAAATATTTTTAAAAATTAAGAAGAAACTTAAAAATCGTCCTGCTTAATAAAAAGCTTTAGGTCAACTTCTCTTTATAAACTTTCAATTAAACCTCCAAAAAAATTAATTTAAAAATTTAATTTTTAATTTTAAAAAAAGGTCCATTCTCTCCAAATGCAATTCTTCCATTATGCTCGTCAAGAAAAAGAAAAAGCAGTTTCTGAATGTCAATTAAGATATCAGGCTTTAGTTAAAGCAGCGGCAGGAATGCGTTCCGACACAACAACAACAGCAACCCCCACATCTTTACAATCCCCTTCTTTTTCTTTAAATCGTTCAGAAAATTTAGAAAATGGAGGGGGAGGAAGGATATCTTGTTTAGATGAATGTTTTTCTTCTCCGTCGTCTTCCTGTGAATATGGGGGAAATGAAGATATTGAAGGGGGGAATTTACAAAGAAATGATGAACAACAACAACAACAAAATGGGGCAAGACGGAAACTTTATTTTAGTTCAGGTAAATATTAGGAATTTTTTTCTTATTTTTAATTGAAAAAAGTTGGAAAGTAGAAGGGTTCGAGAGAGGGAGAGGAGCGTGTTTGGACGTGAGAAACTTTATTGCGGTCTTTTAAAATTTATTTATTTATTGCCATAAAGGCGTCAATGCAAATAAAACAACAACAAAGTCAATTTATTTAATAACGAGTACTTTGGAAAATTTTTGAAAAAAATGTTCCCAATAGTGTTGACTAGAGGTCGGACCGAGACGAAATCTCGAAAAAAAATTACGGTTGTCGAGAGTATAACCTCGATTTTCTGGGATATAATCTCGATTCCTGTATGCCCCTCACAACCCGGTATCTACATACATATTTGTTTGGGTATAAGAATAGTCTCTGTCGATAACCTCTCTTTGAAACTTTAGAGTTTCTGATTATTTATTAAATTATGGGCAAAAATAACCCCTTTCGATTATGTATATCTTTTGCATTTTTTCTAGAGTTGTACCCCGACCCCGTACCCCGAACCCCGACCCCGTTCCCGAACGATTTTTTCACGATTCTCCCCGACCCGAACCCCGCCCCGAAAAAAAGTGAAAACCCCGTTCCCCGGCCAAAAAAATTTCGGGGTTATCGGGGTTTTATACCCCTAAAAAATGTCATTTTTTGGAGAAATTAATGGAGAAAATTTAAAAAATTTCCACTCATTTTACTTTGCTTTTATTATTTGTGAAAGAAAAATGAATGAAATATCATAATTTTCTTTCCTTCTTTATTAAGAGACTTGTGGTTGAGTGGCTTAGTCGTTGGTTTTAGCCGATATTTTGTTAATATAGAATTGGGTTCGGATCCATATAAGGAGAACTCTATTGTTTCTATATTTCTTTACAAAAACAAATTATAAACGAGTTAAATTTTAATTCGAAAATATTAATTTTATTTTTAACTGATATCCCTTGAACCACCCTTAATCCTTCAACCCCTGTATCAGAGGTGGGTCGAAATTCCGATTTCCGACGTTTTTTTCTTTTTGATTTCCGAAATTTTGGAAAAATTTCCGAAAATTTTTAAGGCAAATTTCCGACGAAGATTTTTCCAATATTTTCAAAATTTTCGCCTGCGGCGTAAAAAACGGAAGAAATCTGGCTTTTAGCCTTCTATAATTCTCCAATTTTCGCATGCGGCGCAAAAAATGGAAGATTTTTGCCTTAAGGATCTTCCAAATATTCAAAATTTTGCCTGCGGCGCTGTAAATGGAAGTTGAATGGTAATCGGAGGATTTAATCCCTAAAAATCCCACTTAATCCCTCCAGATCCACTTATATCCCAAGTTATACACTTTAATCTCTTCAAATCCCCTCTAATTTCTTCAAATCCTACTTAATTTTTGAATAAATCAACGAAAATATATCGATTTCTAACTATTTTTGAGCATTTTTTTCTCTAAAAATTTTTCCTCTAAACCCCCGTACCCCGACCCGAACCCCGACCATATTTTGCTCCCCCGACCCGAACCCCGCCCCGAAACAATTGGAAAACCCCGTACCCCGACATACCCGCCCCCGAGCGTTCGGGGTACAACCCTAATTTTTTCTTATATTTCTTTAATTACACAATAAAAATTTGTAAAGGATTTGGATACCTTAATTACTGTTAATTCTGCAAAATTTCATGGTTTTAGGTGCTCTTTTTTATTTTATTAGCCCGAAAATAGTTTTAAAATTTTATTTATTTACTTAAAACCTACACAAAAGCAACACACGCGATTATTTTCCACTGATCACATTTTTATTAAAATTTAATCAAAGTAATCATTAAATTTTGGTTTGTTGTTTATATGCTTATTATTTAAGAATTTGCAAACAAGTTTTTAATAAAATGAAGGAAATTATTAAAAAAATTGTTTTCAATATATTCGCGTGGATGATTTTGTGCAAAAATATTTTTGTAATTTTGTAAGGGAATTTAAAAAAATATTAAGATATTTTTTCTAAAATTACCTATATTTTTGCACTTAAGGGGTTTGAAACATTTTTTCTTATTTTCTCGAATAATTATTACTCTTCCTAGATTAATCATCCTTCCTAATGAGAGATCAAAAAAAAAAAATTACCCAGGGTAATTATTCAATAAAATAAGGAAGATTATTTTGTATGTGATTAACTTATAATAAATTTAAACTTAAGTTCATTCAGAATTTCCAATCTCTTACTTAACATTCTCTATTTAAAATGTATTTTACAAACAATATGTATTCAAAAATAATATACCTAGGTATTTATGGAAAAATTAGGGAAGAGGGTTTGTGATAAATGGATATATAATTTTAAAAAATTATAAAAAAATAAATGAATGTTCATTTAATTACCTTCAATCTTCTTCTTTTAGTCCTCTCTTATTCTCTCCTTTTTCTCAAATATCAAAAATAGATTTATTTAAACCAACTGTTTATGTTTAATATATCCGAAAAGAACATTTCCGTTCTAATCACCAAAAAAGCATTTCCGCTCCTTGGGGGGAATAAAAGGGGCCAATTGGAGGAGGGAAATAAACGCGCACGTCATTTTTTTCATAAAATCAATTAAAAAATAATTAATCAAAAAAGTATATCTATTTATGTTACTTGCCTTTACTTCCGCTGATAAATGATAATTTATTGATAAATCAACAATAAATTTTTCTTTGAGTCATCAGTTTATTTATTAGTTTAAATTAATTTTTGTTAGAGTAATTAATTAATTAAAATGTCTGGAATAATTATAGATACATTTGTGTGGACTAGAACTTAATACTTTAAAAAAATTTTAAAAATTTTTGTCCAGGCAACCCAAAATTCCATATTTTCTCTAATTAATAAAGCTGTGATAGTTAGGCATGTAAAATCAGTGAAATAGGCGCCTAAAATAGGCACCAAAAAGCCAAAAAAGGCACAAAAATAGGCAGGTAAAAAAAAGTTATCTGGCTTATAAAATTAAGATAAAAGCAAAAAATAACCATTTATTCGTCATTTTTTAAATTATAAACTATTTATTAAAACATTTTGCCATTTATTCAACATTTTTTCTACATTTTTTGAGCAAAAATCTAGTAGTTTTTAAAAAAATGTTGATAACTGACAAAAAGTAAATATCGTCCAACCCACAAAACGACCCACGACAAAATGTCCCACACCAAAACGTCTAATCTCAAAATGTCCAACAGAGTAAAAATACTCATTTTGTTGTACTATATATTAAAAATGGGAGTTGGCACTGATTTTTTTAAATCCGGGACTGATTTTTTTAGATTTTTCACTGATTTTTAGGCAAAATTTAGGATAAATCGCTAAAAAAGGCAAAAATAGTACCAAAAATTACAAAATAGGCAAAAAGGCTCAAAAAGTCCGAAATAGGCAGAAATAGGCAAATTAAAGTCATGCTAGACGCTTCGGACCAAGCTAAAAACACGTTTTTTGAACGTATTACATCATGCCAAGGTCGCAGAAAAAATAGGCATTTGCCTATAAATCACAGCCTTACTAATTAAATTGACATTAGTTATTAGTTAATATATAAATATGTACTGATAAAATTATATTTTATTGATAAAATGTTAGGAAAACATGCACCAACCAATCCAAACTTTGAAATTTTGCATTCAACAATAATTATCAATACCCCCGAAAATTGATTAATTATTTAATTAAACATAAATAAAATTAAATAGTTAAATTTTTTAAGAAATGTTTTCAAGTTCATTTTATCTTAATTTAATTAATAACTAATCAAAAAATTTCCGAATTTTAATTTAAGTTACCGTAAATGCTAAAATAATGCCCTTCTCTCTCAAATAATTACCCCCGTCTTATTAATTACCCCCTACAGCCAGAGATCGAAAAAATCGAAAAAAGATAGAAAAACCCTTGTTTAAAAATAGTTATAATTCGTCTTTCTAAAAAATCTCAAATAATTACCCTCCCTTTTAATTACCCTCCCCCCCCTCAGCGAGAGGTTGAAAAATAATAACCCTGGGTAATTTTAGCATTTACGGTAGTTAGCATTATTGAAGATCTCTTTACAAAAACCTTCATGGCTATGAATTTCCTAATTTATTTAATTTAGATAAGTAAAAATGTCCCATAAAAACCTACCTTAAACTTTACTAATTCTTTTTTAAAGTCAAAAGGTTTTTTCTAAAAAAAGAACTCTCTCTCTTGAAGGAGAAAAAGCCTATGTGAAAAACAGGTGAAAGCTGTCACTAAAAGCATATGTTTTTTGGCCAAAAATATTTAATTTCATGGACTTTGTTTCACCAAAAAAATTTTTTTTACTACTAATTTTTGTTCTCTATTTTTGTTCTCTTTTTTTCTTCTTTTTTTCTTTATTTTCTCTGTCATTTCCCCTTCTCTCTTTCCTTCTCTCCGCCCCGTGCTGGGGGGTTATTCATTCATTCCCCCATTTTTATTTAAAAGGCTCTCGTTTTGAGAGAGCCAAACATAAATATAAAAATAAATATTTTTATTTATTTTCTCGCGAATTCAACAACCATTTTCAACTAAATAAATATTTTTAGTTTGTCAGTAAAAAAAGAAAATATTATATATTATGTACATACAAAGGACAAAAGTTTTGAATATTTTCTTTTCTCTGAATATTTTACAAAATATTTTTATTTATTTTTTTCTTTAAAATTTGTAGAGAAATCAGCTGAGAAAACTTTTTTTCAAAAAAATATTTTTTTTCTTTTCCCTTTATTTAACCTAAAAAAAGTTTAATTTATTTGGATGACTATTTCACCAATTAAAATATCTCCAAAAACAACGACTATGACCCCAACAAGTAGCGTTAAAGGGATGTCTGAACCATCGGCTTCAGAACCGTCAGAACCTTTAATGCCCCTTATGCAAGTGTATATGCGTAGAAGTGAGTTTTTATAGTGAAGATTAAGAGAGTTATTGGGGGAGAATAAACTTGAATTTCTTCTTTCCAACTTTTTCCAGAATTTTTTTCAGAATAAATTTAAATAAACTTTAATTTTTTCCAACTTTTTCAGAATTCTTCGAACCCAAATTGATGTCAACTCCACCGCCTATTGCAGAACAATTTCTTTATGACTTGAGGAAAATGATATCGGTAGCTAGGGAAAGAATTCGAAATAGGAGACATGGTGGGGATTTTTTTAGAAATATTTTTTTGAAAATATTTTCATCAAATTTCAAATCTCGATTATATTTTTATTTTTTAACTTTAAAATTCAACAGAAAAATTATTTCGGTGAATTGTCTTTTTCGGTGAATTGTCCCTCACTATAAAAATAATTTTTTCAGTAAACTTCCAATTTAGCTTTAAAAAACAGTTTAAAATGAAATTTCCGAATGAATAGATTTTTAAAAATTAAATTATTTTTCTTTTCTTTTTTTAGTCCCTCGCCTTCCTCCTGTTGCAGAAAGTGACGACGAAACAACAATTTCAGCAGCAACTACAGCAAATGGCAATTGTATTATTTCCGGATCTCTTCAAACAAAATCAGAACAAATTAAAAACGGAACAGAAGAAAATAAAAAAGAAGAGAAAATTGCTCCAAATATTTGTTGTTTAAATAAAGAAAATTCCAAAGAAAAAGAAATAAGGAATTCGGGTAATTTACAACAAAAAATGGATTATTGTTTAGTTGAAAAGAAAGAAGGAAAGGGGGAAGAAGAAGGAGAAGGAGATATCCCTAAGGAAATTATTAATGAAAAGGAAGAGGTGGAAATTAATGAAGAAAAGAAGGAAGAAATGAAGGAAGAAGAGGAAGATAAAGCGTTCTTTGAAGGAATAATCTGTTCTGAAACAAAAATAGATTTATTTAATGAGACTTTGGAATTAAATGAAATTATGGAGGAGGAATTGGAGAAGGAGGAGGAGAAGATTGGGGAGAATTGCGGGAATATTGGGGAAATGAAGGAAAAGGATAAAGAAGAAAATGAAGGCGAATTAAAGGATAATAATGAATTTTTGGAAAATGATGAGGGGAAAATTGATAAATTTGAAAAGGATTTGGGAAGGGAGGAGAATGAAAAGGAGTTGAAGAAGGATGAGGAGATAATGCCGATAGAAGATTGGTAAGAAGATACTTTTAATTTAATATAAAATTAAATCTTTGACCAAATAAGAGCAGTTTTTTGGGAAAACCTCTATATTATGTACGCTCTCTTGTATTTACCCTCTATATAGTGTACTCTCAATATTGGGTAATTTGTTAGGCAAAGATTAAATAAAATATCCTTTGTTTAACCTTTATATCAGTGGACTGTCCAGAAGGCGAATTAAATGATAATGAAATAATAATAGGAGATAGTGCCGATAGAATTCATTGAATCGACTGAGTTAAAAAATAAAAAAATCCGATTGTGTTAAAAAATAATTTTATATCTCTAAAAATTTAAAAATTGTTCTTTTTTAAAGTTTTGATGAAAAATCAGCAGAAACAACGGAAGAAGAAAAGAAAACAACAAAATCAGAACAAGCTGAAATGACAAAAGAAGTTAAGCAATCAATTCCTTTAATTCCTCAATCACTTCCAGAACACCAATTAAATAATGCTTATATTCCTCCTCCAAGTCGAATACCCTCAGCAATTCCTTCAACAATTAATGGAAAATCACCAAAAATTCCTTTAAAATTTTCTTCTTCAAATAGAAAAACTTCTTCAAATAATTGTGTAAAACCTCCACCACTTCCACCTAGACCACCTCCACAAATTAATGGACAGAGTAATGGAACTACGCCTGTAATGAAGGAATCTTTTTTGACTGTAATGGCAGCAAAAAGAAAAGCTGCTTCGGGGATTGCTAGAAGACAGAAACTGAATGGAAGGCAAGTTTTTAGAAAAATGAAAGGGAAGAGGATTTGAAGGAATAGGTTGATATGGGGAACTTTGAAACTTATGACCCGATCTAGGCGAATGTAAAGGCTTTCCTAAGGCTGTGCAGTAGGTGGCGTAGTGTAATGGATAACAGATCAGTTCGGTTTACTGAAAATGCTGGTTCGCTCCCAGCTGCCGAATAACCTTTTGCACTAGTCCAGTTGCTTTACTCCAACGTGGTTACTAGATCCCATTAGTTAAGGACCTGAATTAATCGTCTCTTCCGTTCCTTGATTAACTTATCAATTGATTCATCAATAATTTTTATTCTAAAATTCTTTCATTTAAAATTTTTTAATTTTAAGGGAGGAGGAAGACAAATCATTATCAATTGATAACAACAATTCTTCTCCAGTCAAAGAAGAGAATTCTTCACCAGCGCCCAGGAACGGAAGGCGTCTTTTCTACGCAACATGCCTCCAACCACCCTCATACTATATGGGTGATGGTGATTCCACAACAATGAAGAAATCCTTGCCTAGACGTAAGAAAGTAGCGGCTGTCAACAATACAAACCAAACATCGACACCAACAGGAATACCTACACCAACGACTACAACTTTAGTTAAATAATTGAGTAAAAATATATTTTGGATTTTTTTAAATAAATTATAATTTATATTTTAATTTAAAAATCAGGCAGAAAATTTAAAATATAGGAAGAAATTGGAGGAAAATTTCCTCTTCCTTTTATTAAGCCTTGACTAAAATTTCTCTTGCTTGATTTTCCTGTTTACTTAGCTCCACTCTTCCATTTATATCTCGATTCGTTTTTTTTATTTTTTTATTTTTATTTGATCTTTTTTTAAAAATATTTGGAATTGAAGGAATTCTTTTTGTTTTTCCTAATTCCAAATAATTAAAAAATATTTTTAGTTTTTTTTTAATTTTGCCTGTTCCATTATTGCTCATTTTCATTAATTTATGCAAATATTCGAATGCTCTTTTTTCTTCTAATCCCACACATAATCACTTTTTTCAGTCAGATTTTAAATTTTGTAAAAAGGAATAAAGTATTTTGAAGAAGGAAATAAAAAAATTATTTTTATATTAAAATCAGTCACGTTTAAATTTTTAATCTTCTTTTAGTAATAAAAACTAAATTTACTATACAATCTATTTTTGGAAAGTTCAAAAATAGTAAAATGTCCACAAATTAATGGAAGTCTATAAAATACAGTTTAGGTATATTCCCGATTATAATCGTTTACCACAGAGGTGTGCGAGTTTCGTCTTTCGCCGTTCGCTTTTCAAATTGACTTTCGCATTTTCGCCTTTCGCTTTTTAAAATCACTTTCGGCATACTCCTGGTTTACCAGTCTTCTTTTGGATAACGTGAAATTGTGTATTTTGAACTTGAAGATTGCGATTGCGTAAAAATTTTCCTATTGTGGACACCTCTGCCATTTACCCAAAGGAATTACCCAAATTAGTTTTTTATTGTTTTTTCCAAATTTAGTTTAACCAACTGTTAACTTCAAATAAATATTTACACTAAAATAGACTTGAATGATTAATTACTATCAAAAAACGAACAGATGAAGAAATTAACGTAAACAACTTTATTTTTAAAGATAACTTTCAAAGAACGACCGGAAAATGTTAAGAAGTATTAAAGGTAAATATTAACGTTTTTAAAGGTCAACAACAGCTGTCTACTTGGGGAGAACGAAGAAAAAACGAGAAATAACCGTTCTTTTTTTAATTTTATCAAGGGGTAAAATAGGGAAAGACAACAGTAAAAGGTGGAAGAAGTCGTTTTGGCGTTAAAAATATTATAAATCAAACAAGACCTCCAACGCTAAATTTATTTGCGCCTAAATGACCCCACAAATAGTGTCAGTTTTTAACTGTTCGCTAAAAATAAAATCAGAAAAAATTATTTTTCATGACTGATAGTTTCAGATAAAAAAAGGAAAAAAGTGTTTATATTTATTTATTTAATTTTAAAATTTATTTTTTGGCCAAAAATAGGGAAAGAATATTGATGATCCTCTCATTTATTAAGAGGAAATTACCCATTTATTTTCAATGTAAAAAAAGATAATAAAGGAAAAAATAAGCAAACACTGGTTTTTCTTAAAAAAAGATAAAAAATTCTTTTAAAAAGCGAGGAATTAAAATACCTAAATTCAAGATTTTAATAAAGGGATAATTAAATAAATAATTTTTTTTGTTTCTTGGAATTTAATGAGAATAAGTTTTAATTTTACAATACAACTAAAATTTTTTAGTTGTCTAAAACTCGAATTTTTATTAGGTAATTAAAAAATAATTTTTCATGTTTAAATAAAGAGAATTTCCTCTCAATTATTAATTTAATATTTATTTATTATTAAAAATATATTAGATATTTAGCAGAATTATTTTGTCTTAATTCCAGACTGTTTTACTTCTTTGAAATTCAAAATACATATTTCCTTTTTCAATTTCATTTTTTTAAAAAATTCTCGACTTTAAATTTTCCCGAAAAACTCTCGAATTTAGTAAAAACAGTTTGGAAACTTACGAACACTAAAAAAGGACGAAAAGAGTATTATACCACATGTGATTAACAATAAATCAAAAAGAAATATTAAGAGAAAAAAGAGAAATAAAGAGAAAATTCATTATACACCCGTTAAAAATAATTATTTAAAAATAAATTGGTTGCGGAATGGCCTAAATAATAGAAAAAACGATAGAAAGAAATACTGGCCAAATTCACGTGAATATCACATTTTCCAAAGAACCATTGACCTAAAAAAGAGAAAATTGGTAAAAAAATAGAAAATTTTTGAAAATTATTTTTAAATTAAATTTTTAAGCTAAATTCTTAATAAATTCATTAGAAAAATTTTGAAGAATGGGGAACTTTAGGAAAAATGAAATAGTATAAATTAAAATTTTTGAATTATAAAAAATCAAAAAATTTAATAATTAAATCAGAGACCATACTGGGAATGTCGCACGATTTCTCGAAAAATATCGATCTCAATAACCGAGACTTTCGTTCAGGATCGGGGCTCAAAATTTAATTAAAGAGAAAATAATAAGGAGAACTGAGTTTTAATTATAATCTCTTCTATAATTTATTTAGAAATTTCTATAAAATTTTTTTTTGACAATCCCTGCCACACCAATTTATTTTTAAAATCTCACATGTTTATTTAAACATTTGCAGCATTTACAGATTGACTCAATCGACGATATCTCCCTCCACCACGAACATTATTCTTCCCTTCGATTAGATAACCTTTAAAATTTTAAATTTTAATTTAAAAAATATTTAAATTTTTATAAAAAAATATGGTCCCGTATCTACCAGGGAAGCGAAATAATAAAAAGTAAAAAGAAAACCGGGGAAATATCACAGAGAAAAATTCGTTTTTAGAATATTGATAAAAATAAAGTTTCTCAAGAATTTTCTATTTGCAGGTTTTGAATTTGAGGGGATTAAGCCCCGAGTAGCGTAAAATATTGGTGAATTTCCCGTGAAAGTTTAACGGAAAAGAAACAGAATTAAAGGCCAAAGATATTTTAGCTAAAATCGGCGTGCGCCAAACTTCAGCCTTTAATTTGGTATTCCGTTTTTTGAACATTCTTTTTCAGCGCCACAGGTGAAGATTTTGGAAATTTTTGTGGTTGTAGGCGAAAGAAAATCGTTTTTTTTTTGATAATTTCACTCCCAAAATTTTTCATTTTCCCCCATTTCGGGAAAACGATTTCCCCCCACAAAAGTCCCCCTAGCTACGCTCTTAATAAATTATCACAAATACACTCCTCCACAAAAGTATAAGGGTACTAGTATTTTCGCAATTTTTTTACTTCCAATGATCCAAATTATCTGAAAATTTAGATACACACCTTTTAGTGAATAACTAATAAGATATGCATCGATTTTTAACTGATTTTTTATTTTAAAAATTTTTAGACAAAAATTTGCATTTTCGGCCTCCACAAAAGTATAGGGGCACTTACAAAAAAGATATTTCCAAGAAAAGAAAAAATCTACAAAAATTCTAGCAAACATACATAATGATATTATGAAAAAATAAAAAAGAACTGGACCCATATCTTTACCCGGAGCCGAGATTCTGAGACCACGAAAATCAACGTAAATCAGGGGTAAGGCTCTTTAAAAAAATTTTTCGACCCCTTATGGATTGTTTTGAATTTTAATTTTGGGCTCATTCGAAAGCCCTTGAAATTTGCTACAAGATAGCAAAAGTTTTATTTTCTAGAAAAATTATCTCTGTAAGTTCCTAAGGTTTAAATTTCTAAGGCACAAAAAACGCCCTAATGCCCCATAAAATTAGCTACGGAAGATTAACGTCCTGCATATCTTTATTGAATTGATTCTGAGATATATGAGTATTACTTTCTTGTAGCAAATTTCAAGGGCTTTCGAATGAGCCCAAAATTAAAATTCAAAACAATCCATAAGGGGTCGAAAAATTTTTTTAAAGAGCCTTACCCCTGATTTACGTTGATTTTCGTGGTCTCAGAATCTCGGCTCCGGGTAAAGATATGGGTCCAGTTCTTTTTTATTTTTTCATAATATCATTATGTATGTTTGCTAGAATTTTTGTAGATTTTTTCTTTTCTTGGAAATATCTTTTTTGTAAGTGCCCCTATACTTTTGTGGAGGCCGAAAATGCAAATTTTTGTCTAAAAATTTTTAAAATAAAAAATCAGTTAAAAATCGATGCATATCTTATTAGTTATTCACTAAAAGGTGTGTATCTAAATTTTCAGATAATTTGGATCATTGGAAGTAAAAAAATTGCGAAAATACTAGTGCCCTTATACTTTTGTGGAGGAGTGTATATAAAATTAAAGGAAAAATTTCGGAAAACGAACAGATCCGAAATAGGTCGAATTATATGTCATTCGAAAGAGCTCGTCGAGCTGAGTCGAATGGTGAAAAAATTTTCGTGCGGACTCATAGAGGGGCTGAGATATAGATCCGCGAAAATCGAAAAACCATAGGGGGGACCAAGCACTTTTTTGGGTGAAAATTTCGAAAATTCAAATAATAGCTCGTTCGAATGAGCTCGTCGAGCTGAGTCGATTGACACCAAAATCAACTCGAGATCTTAATTCTGAGCCGAGATAGAGGCTCAAAATGGTCAACGTAAACCTATGGGGCGTAGGCGAGGCGCTTGTGCAAAACCCCGCGCTTCGCGCGGGGTTTTGCGGCACGCGCCTCGCGGGGAGTCTACGGGCGATGGGTTCTGGGCTCGTAACTTAATCCTATTCCAATTATCGCTGTAATGGGTTATCTGGCTTCCTCCGTAGCAAGAAGTACCTCCACATAGACCATAGGTAAGGAGCTAAAACAAACGATCATAACTTTATCAAATCAAGTCAGATTTCGTTGATTTTGGTGTCATTCGACTCAGCTCGATGAGCTCTTTCGAATGAGGTATAATTTGCATTTTCGAATTTTTCACCCCAAAAAAGTGCTTGGTCCCCCCTATGGTTTTTCGATTTTCGCGGACCTATATCTCAGCCCCTCTATGAGTCCGCACAAAAATTTTTTCACTATTCGACATAACTCGACGAGCTCTTTCGAATGACATATAATTCGACCTATTTCGGATCTGTTCGTTTTCCGAAATTTTTCCTTTAATTTTATATACACTCCTCCACAAAAGTATAAGGGTACTAGTATTTTCGCAATTTTTTTACTTCCAATGATCCAAATTATCTGAAAATTTAGATACACACCTTTTAGTGAATAACTAATAAGATATGCATCGATTTTTAACTGATTTTTTATTTTAAAAATTTTTAGACAAAAATTTGCATTTTCGGCCTCCACAAAAGTATAGGGGCACTTACAAAAAAGATATTTCCAAGAAAAGAAAAAATCTACAAAAATTCTAGCAAACATACATAATGATATTATGAAAAAATAAAAAAGAACTGGACCCATATCTTTACCCGGAGCCGAGATTCTGAGACCACGAAAATCAACGTAAATCAGGGGTAAGGCTCTTTAAAAAAATTTTTCGACCCCTTATGGATTGTTTTGAATTTTAATTTTGGGCTCATTCGAAAGCCCTTGAAATTTGCTACAAGATAGCAAAAGTTTTATTTTCTAGAAAAATTATCTCTGTAAGTTCCTAAGGTTTAAATTTCTAAGGCACAAAAAACGCCCTAATGCCCCATAAAATTAGCTACGGAAGATTAACGTCCTGCATATCTTTATTGAATTGATTCTGAGATATATGAGTATTACTTTCTTGTAGCAAATTTCAAGGGCTTTCGAATGAGCCCAAAATTAAAATTCAAAACAATCCATAAGGGGTCGAAAAATTTTTTTAAAGAGCCTTACCCCTGATTTACGTTGATTTTCGTGGTCTCAGAATCTCGGCTCCGGGTAAAGATATGGGTCCAGTTCTTTTTTATTTTTTCATAATATCATTATGTATGTTTGCTAGAATTTTTGTAGATTTTTTCTTTTCTTGGAAATATCTTTTTTGTAAGTGCCCCTATACTTTTGTGGAGGCCGAAAATGCAAATTTTTGTCTAAAAATTTTTAAAATAAAAAATCAGTTAAAAATCGATGCATATCTTATTAGTTATTCACTAAAAGGTGTGTATCTAAATTTTCAGATAATTTGGATCATTGGAAGTAAAAAAATTGCGAAAATACTAGTGCCCTTATACTTTTGTGGAGGAGTGTATATAAAATTAAAGGAAAAATTTCGGAAAACGAACAGATCCGAAATAGGTCGAATTATATGTCATTCGAAAGAGCTCGTCGAGCTGAGTCGAATGGTGAAAAAATTTTCGTGCGGACTCATAGAGGGGCTGAGATATAGGTCCGCGAAAATCGAAAAACCATAGGGGGGACCAAGCACTTTTTTGGGTGAAAATTTCGAAAATTCAAATAATAGCTCGTTCGAATGAGCTCGTCGAGCTGAGTCGATTGACACCAAAATCAACTCGAGATCTTAATTCTGAGCCGAGATAGAGGCTCAAAATGGTCAACGTAAACCTATGGGGCGTAGGCGAGGCGCTTGTGCAAAACCCCGCGCTTCGCGCGGGGTTTTGCGGCACGCGCCTCGCGGGGAGTCTACGGGCGATGGGTTCTGGGCTCGTAACTTAATCCTATTCCAATTATCGCTGTAATGGGTTATCTGGCTTCCTCCGTAGCAAGAAGTACCTCCACATAGACCATAGGTAAGGAGCTAAAACAAACGATCATAACTTTATCAAATCAAGTCAGATTTCGTTGATTTTGGTGTCATTCGATTCAGCTCGATGAGCTCTTTCGAATGAGGTATAATTTGCATTTTCGAATTTTTCACCCCAAAAAAGTGCTTGGTCCCCCCTATGGTTTTTCGATTTTCGCGGACCTATATCTCAGCCCCTCTATGAGTCCGCACAAAAATTTTTTCACTATTCGACATAACTCGACGAGCTCTTTCGAATGACATATAATTCGACCTATTTCGGATCTGTTCGTTTTCCGAAATTTTTCCTTTAATTTTATATACACTCCTCCACAAAAGTATAAGGGTACTAGTATTTTCGCAATTTTTTTACTTCCAATGATCCAAATTATCTGAAAATTTAGATACACACCTTTTAGTGAATAACTAATAAGATATGCATCGATTTTTAACTGATTTTTTATTTTAAAAATTTTTAGACAAAAATTTGCATTTTCGGCCTCCACAAAAGTATAGGGGCACTTACAAAAAAGATATTTCCAAGAAAAGAAAAAATCTACAAAAATTCTAGCAAACATACATAATGATATTATGAAAAAATAAAAAAGAACTGGACCCATATCTTTACCCGGAGCCGAGATTCTGAGACCACGAAAATCAACGTAAATCAGGGGTAAGGCTCTTTAAAAAAATTTTTCGACCCCTTATGGATTGTTTTGAATTTTAATTTTGGGCTCATTCGAAAGCCCTTGAAATTTGCTACAAGATAGCAAAAGTTTTATTTTCTAGAAAAATTATCTCTGTAAGTTCCTAAGGTTTAAATTTCTAAGGCACAAAAAACGCCCTAATGCCCCATAAAATTAGCTACGGAAGATTAACGTCCTGCATATCTTTATTGAATTGATTCTGAGATATATGAGTATTACTTTCTTGTAGCAAATTTCAAGGGCTTTCGAATGAGCCCAAAATTAAAATTCAAAACAATCCATAAGGGGTCGAAAAATTTTTTTAAAGAGCCTTACCCCTGATTTACGTTGATTTTCGTGGTCTCAGAATCTCGGCTCCGGGTAAAGATATGGGTCCAGTTCTTTTTTATTTTTTCATAATATCATTATGTATGTTTGCTAGAATTTTTGTAGATTTTTTCTTTTCTTGGAAATATCTTTTTTGTAAGTGCCCCTATACTTTTGTGGAGGCCGAAAATGCAAATTTTTGTCTAAAAATTTTTAAAATAAAAAATCAGTTAAAAATCGATGCATATCTTATTAGTTATTCACTAAAAGGTGTGTATCTAAATTTTCAGATAATTTGGATCATTGGAAGTAAAAAAATTGCGAAAATACTAGTGCCCTTATACTTTTGTGGAGGAGTGTATATAAAATTAAATAAAAAAATAAAAACCGATAATCCTCCTTCGATTGTAATAAGCCAAATAAGTAATACCCAACGAAAAGGCAAAAATAGCAAAATAATGCAAAGCATAAGTCTCTTCGCCAATAAATTCATCGTCAATCTTTCCCTAATTTTTTTTATTTTTAACATATTTTTAAGTTAAGAAAAACCTCAATACGATCCATTCCACCTTGAATGTTGTTTTTAACTTGTTGAGCTAAAATTTTATTTTCATAAACTCTCCAAAAAATTTTCAAAAACATTTCCAAACCTAAAAATTTATTTCCGCCAGATTTCTTTCCATTTTTATATTCTTCTTCAATAGTAAGCATATTGTCGAAAATTCTCTCTTTCGGACTTCTAAAAGATTCCTGAGACATTTTGTTATCTGGTAAGCCTTGTGAAATCGGTTCTGCTTTTTCATCTCTTATGCCAGATTTTTTGGGATTTTTCTTTTCAAAAATTGGAGGTGGAGGTTTTGGAGGAAAAGTTTCTTTGGTAGTCTGTTCGGTATTTGTGTGTTCCCCATTACTTGTTTCGGCACTTTTGTACGTAATCGTTTCGGTAATATTTTTATTTGAAGAAATTGAAGTTGGCTTTTTGCTGGTAGTGGTGAGGTGATCTTCTGTTATTTCTGTAGAATTCAGAGTCACATTTGCTACAAAAAAAATATATTGAATTTTGATAATGAACGTGATTTGGAATAAAAGATTTGGGAAATGGAACTAATTTTAGTTAAGAATATTTTTTTATTGGTGAAACGTTTAGAAAATGATTTGGATTTAAATTTCAAATTGAATTATGAAAAGATTTAGAACCAGAAATTAATAGATTGTTCGCTAAAAAACTACATTTTATAAATTCTTCCTCTAAAGGACCAAATCAATAAAATACCTAATTTCTTAATTTAAAACTGATTGAAAAGAGTCAAGAAAAAAAAGGCAATTTTTTTTAAAAATTTTCAAAAATCATTTAATCAATTAATTTTAAGAATACCTGAAGCATGGCCTTGAACAAATCCAATTACAACAATTATTAGAAGAAAATAAAATTTAGATGCCATAATCCTTTAAATTTTCTTTTTTTTTAAAGAATGGGTTGGCGAGAATCAATAATTACTCTTTAGAAATTATGGAGTATAAAACAGCCACGTTTTAGGTAAATAAAAAAAGAAATGCGAATTAGCAACATAAAAAATTTTACGTCTCAAAATTCAATATTTTTCGCCATTTGTACAAAATTTTAAATTTCTGAAGTTTGGCTAAAAATTATAAGGGAGTACTCTAATAGACTAAATTATGGTTCCCGCCAACCCAATAAATTATCAAAATTAAATATTCAAGAGGAGGTGAATTGAAAATTAATAAAAGGATTTCAACCAAAGTCGAGAAAAACCGGCAATTTTTTATAACACTTTTATCAAAATACAACAATACAAACAATATAAGGACAGAGAATATACTCTCACATATTAACACACAATATCCTATATATTAGAGGAATTAGAGGTTACAGAGATTTATATATGGGCACAAATGCCAAATACACACAATAGGCCAATACAGTGTGATAGGGTATAGGAAGCAAATATATATTTATGAACATATCTACAACATCCGAACATCCTCCGGGCAGCGACAACTCCTCTCATCAATAGTGCGGCGACTGGCAACATTGCTCGTAGCAGAGAAGCATGCAAATCAAGAACAACAAGCTAGAATTAGAAAAAGATTATTTCGGGATGTTTTTTTATAAAATAGTAAAAGGACTCACACGCCACTAGCACCGAGAAAAGTATATCGTAAGCCCAGAGGTCGAGGCTGTTTCACGGCAACAGGTGGATCAGGGGTAGCAACCGAAGGCTGCTTCGTGGAGCTCGAAGAACCTGTGATCAGAGACACCGTCTTGCCTGAAAATCAGAGGAAATATTAAACATTCTCAAAATATCTTTGCTTTGCACTTACCAGTTGGCCCAGTTCCTACAGGCTCGGAGCTCTTGGCAGTAGCAACATCGTTGATCAGACTAGACGCTTGCACATGCTCCACCTTGTCGCTATAATCCTTTATCTTTTTGTCTAAGAGCTCTCGCGGACCGTCTCCCTGTGGGAACATTGCACGGAACATTGGATCAGGCTGACGAGTTTTGCCCCTGGAAAAAGAAAAATAATTATCAAATTAAGGTTTGGGAGGTTATTTTTAGTTGTTTTGCTGAAACATAAACCAGATTCCCTAGTAATTTAGAGTGGTTTACTCACTTGTTTTCCTCTTGCAGATGTTCATCCAAGGTCGCATTTGTGGTCGATTGAGATCCATTCGATGGCGGTCCGGTCGTATTTGACAGTGGCGTTCCAGTCCCATTTGCCTTTGTCTCATCGTTTGGCAGATCTTGGGGACGACTTAAATAAATTTTTGTATTTAAAATTAAACGAAGAATAAACATACACATTGGTGAAGAACACAGCAGAGCACAGGAAGAACAAGGTGGTCAGCATGACGGCCGAGAGCAGCGATGACGACTTCATGTTGTTGTTTGAATTACGCAACGATATGATGTGAAGAATGCGATGATTGCTGATTGTTGGGATATTTTATGGGGAAATTATTGAGCTTTTATACTAATTGTTTAGAATTATTAAAAGATGAATCATCAAAGAGTTAAAATTTAATTCACGTGAACTTTTTTCTGATCTCGGGATAGTATTTGAATTTTAATCTTGACTATAAATCTTTGGCAAAGTGTCACTTAAGCGGTTGACAAAACGTACATTTTAATTAAGAATGGCGAAATGTCGCGATATATCTTTCGTATACTTTATAAGTTATTTCTTCAAAAAGACAAATTTTGATTTAAAATTTTTTAATGAAAGTCTACTGTAACCTTTATTTAATAATTTTTTTTTTAAATTTCAGAGCCATCTCGGCAACATTAATTGTTCTTTTAAACTTTGTAACTGATAAATGCGCCGTCATAACAGTGATTCAATTGTTCCGCAGATGGTCAAATGTCGACTTTGTAGGGATCGTAGTGAACACTCAAATTCGTTTATAACTGCGAAAATGGAGTTTTCAGGTCTCTTAGTTAATTTGAGCATTTTTTGTCGGTAATTCAATTTGGTACTTTTCCGTTTTGTTACACCCCCCTATATTAATGCTCAAAATGTCACATATAGGGTAATTAAAGGTGCTGAGTCGAACGGTACCCTTCTTTTTCGCAGGAGATGTCTGTGAACAAAGATAAAGGGCTCGAAATGGTCAAAAACCATTGGGCCATTTTGGGGTAAAAAAATTCGAATGTGCAAATAATAAATCATTCGAAAGAGCTCGACGAGCTGAGTTGAATGACACCAAAATCACCGTCTTCGAACAAGTTTGGACCGAGTTACGATACAAAAAATTGTGTGGTTCTTCAATTTTCAGGGTCCTGAATCTCGGTCAAATCAAATCAGATTTCGTTGTTCTTGGTGTCTTTCGACTCAGCTCCATGAGCTCTTTTGAATAGGGTATTATTTGTATATTCGAATTTTTACCCCAAAAATGAACTTACTCCCCCCTATGGTTTTTGACAATTTCGAGCCATATATCTCGGTCCACAGACATCTCCTGGGAAAAAGAAAGGTACCGTTCGACTCAGCACTTTTTATTACCTTATATGTGACATTTTGAGCATTAATATAGGGGGTGTAACAAAACGGAAAAGTACCTTCAATTTTATGGATTTGAAATTAAATTTTTCCTTCTGGCATAACTTAATATAAGGGACGCTTTTTTAACTCCATTTTCGTTATTCATAAACCGCCGTTAAAGAAACTGTCTGTGATCGTTCAGAAGTTAATGTGTTTCAAAGTGTCTTTTGTCTTTCTTGTGATAGGATGCCGAATGTTGCTTCTCGGAATACTACTAGCTCTAATTTGAAGGTGAGAGAGTTTTTAAATTTAAACAAAATTTCGAGGTCAGGTGATAGCTAGAGCTGAGGCAAAAAGCTTATATAAATTTGTTTTTCAATTTTTAGACTCCAACTTATTGTAGTACAAGTAGTGGAAAGTTTAATGTCAGTTCTCCATCTTCATATACTAAACTCTCCAAGATTCTCAAAAATTGGCCTTATTTGCGTCTTAAAGAAGCTGCAAATGCTGCAAAAGGTTAATTTTTAAATATGATTTTAATAATTATTTTATAGATGGAGAATTGGGAGCCGCTTGTAGGATTGAGATGGAACGTCGAAAACAAAACTATAAAAATTAGAAAGAAGCTGGTTCAATGACAATTTTCGCTGGGTTAAACTTTTATAAGACCTTTACTTAAAGTTGATATAAAACTACATCATTTTACTGCTAATTTTAATTTCTATAACTATGGATAATTCTCATATAATCTTTTTCAAAGATAAAAATTTCTCTTCATTTTAAAAATTTTGGTTGATAGTTGATTTTTATTCAACTCGTTATCTTCTTTATGTTAAGAAATTTCAAATATATTTTAGAAAAGTAAAACAAATATAAATTAGAGGTCGGCGCGGGATTTTGCGGGATCCCGCGACCGCAATCCCGCACTTTTTTCGATTTGCTGGATTTATCAGCAAAATTAAAATGTCTAAAAATGTCCGCAAAAATTTTGGAAAAAAATCCCGCATTCGGGATCCATCAAACACTTTGCCGACCTCTAATATAAATATGCTTCAAAACAATGCATATTTCTATTTAATTTTTTTCATTCCAAAAACGTAATTTTGCAAATTTGCACTTTTATTAAATTTAAATTATTTACAAGGAATGAAAGGTAAACAAAGTTTTTTTAATTAAAAATTATTCTTGGTGTTTATTCCTTTGCCTTTCTTGTTTAGAGATATTACGTGTGTACTTTTTTCTTCGGTAAGATGTTGGTAAACGCTGGCATAGTTAGCCTTAAGGTTGTCAAGGCGATGACTCTTCGAAACGTGAAGGTAAAGATTTTTTGAATTTTTTTTTTGTTAAAGTTTTCTTTCCTTTTCAAAATATTTCTTAAAAAATTCTTTGTTAAATATGTCTTCATTTTTCAAATTATTAAAGTTTTTAAGCTTCGATTAATATTGCAACAACAATAGAATCAACTGATGGCAGAAAGTGTTCGAGTTATTGTTCGATGTAGACCATTAAATGAACGCGAATTACAATTGAATTCAACGGTAAAGTTAAATTAATTTTTAAATGGGGTCAGGCTATCAATTACGGGAACTTACCCTTACCAAGAATTTTTATTTTAATGAGTTTCCTTAATTCTGGAGATGAACCTTAGAGAAAAATCCATTTTTGAAAGAAAAAATGCGGAAAAATAAGAATTCCTTTGAATATTTTTAATTTTTAGGTATGTGTCGAGATGGATGAAGCTTTGGGCCAGGTATTTTTAAAATAAAAAAAATTTTTTTAAAGGTTCAAGAGTGATTCAAAGATAAAATTTATTTTTACATAGTGTGCGCTAATTGATGGCACAAACCCACCCAAATTGTTCACTTTCGATAGTGTGTATTATTTGGACGCTACTGCTGAACAAATATACAATGATATTGTCTACCCGTTGGTTGAGGTTTGAAAAATAATTATTACAAAAGTAATTTTTTTTAATTTTTAGAATGTCATAGAGGGCTATAATGGAACGGTATTTATTTCTCATTTTTTTCTAAAAAAATTAACTTTTTTTGTATTTATTTTTCTAGGTTTTCGCTTATGGACAGACCGGTTAATTTTGAAAATATTTATAAATTTCCTTTATATTTTAAAGGTTCTGGTAAAACCTATTCAATGCAGGGAGATCCACAAGTGCCTGTACAAAGAGGGATCATTCCACGAGCTTTTGAACATATTTTTGAATCTATCGCAACTACAGAGCATACTAAATTCCTTGTGCATGTTTCTTATTTAGAGGTTAGTTTTTTTTATTAATTAATTTACGTGGGGAAACAAAATTAATTATAATTATTAAAATTTGAGAAGGATGTCAAGGAATAAGCTTTTTCGAAATATACATTCCTTCTAATCTTTCGAGCTTTAAAAAATCACATTTTTTTTTATCAAATCATTTCTTAAATTTTAGATTTATAATGAAGAAATTCGTGATTTATTGGGGGACAACAAAAAGAAATTGGAAGTTAAAGTAGGTTTTTAAAAACAATATAAAAATAAATTAGCTAATTAAAAACATTTTTAATTATTTTCTAAATTTCATTTTAAGTGTAGGAACATCCAGAACAGGTATTTCTACAATATTTTTATATTTTTGACAATTAAATATTTTTAAATTAAAGGGTGTTTATATAGCTGGATTGGGAATGCATATTTGCCATAATGTAGCAGGTTTTTTAATATATTTTTTGAAATTGTAAAACGTAAATTTTAGATTGTGAAAGTTTAATGCAGACAGGTTTTAACAGTAGACATGTTGGTGCGACTTTAATGAACAAGGATTCGAGCAGGTTTTTAAAAAAATTTCAATGGATAAAAAATATATTCTATTGAGAATAATTTTCCCTTTTAAGGTCACATTCAATATTCACAGTTTATGTAGAGGCTCTCTCCAAAAGTGGACATATCCGAATGGGAAAGTTAAATTTGGTTGATTTGGCTGGGAGCGAAAGACAGGCAAAGACGGGTGCTACAGGAGAACGTTTTAAAGGTTTAAAAAATTATAAAATTTTTCTCTCAATTTAATTTCTTAAAATTATTTAGAAGCAACAAAAATCAACCTTTCACTTTCTGCTCTCGGAAACGTTATTTCTGCTCTAGTTGATGGCCGTTCTACACACATTCCTTATAGAGATTCTAAACTTACTAGATTACTTCAAGTATTCTTTATTTAATTAAATACAAGAAAAATTTCTTTAAAGGACTCCCTTGGAGGAAATACAAAAACAGTAATGATTGCTTGTATTTCTCCTTCAGATAATAATTTTGATGAAAGTTTATCAACTTTGCGTTATGCAAATAGAGCAAAGAATATTCGGGTAAATTGAAAAATTTTTTTTAATTATTTTTATTTTTAGAATAAACCGAGAATTAATGAAGATCCAAAAGATGCTTTACTTAGAGAATATCAGGCAGAAATTGAAAGGCTTAAAAGACTTGTTCAACAACCTCGTAAAATTTTGAAAAAATTATTTAAAATTAAAAAAATATTTTTTAGAGGAAAAACCAGTTGTTCACGCTAGCGATGAATTTGAACGAGAAAGAAATAAATTACGGGCAGAATTTGAAATTGCTATGCGAGAGCTTCGTTCAAGCTATGAAAATGAACAGAAAAATAAGGAGAAGTTGCAAACTGATTTGGCAAAGTGATTTTTTTAAATTTTATTTTGTAGAACCGGGGGTGGAGTTTTGTTTTAGTGGGGATCGTAACGAAAATCTGATATAAACGAGAGTGAAAATAAAAGGCTAGAAAATAAAAAAAATAATTTTTATAGACTTCGAAAAGAATATGAAAAGGCTAGTGAAGAAATCGAACTGGCAAAAAGTAAAGAACAAAGTGCTGAAAGTGCCAAAAAACGAATTAAACAATTAGAACAACAATTAGTTGGAGGTGAACAAGCAGGGAATGAAGCACTTAAACAAAAACGTGTAAGAAAAATTAAAGAGGCGGAAACAAAAATGCAAAGACTTGCTGGTTAATTAAAGGAAGATAATTTTTTAAAATTCAATTTAAATTTATAGAAGCACTGGAAATGCACAAAGACAAAGAAGATCCTTTATTACATGTTTACCAAAATACACAAGAAAAGTTGGATGCTTTAGTTAAAGAATATAATAAAGAAAGATTAAAAGTCCAATCAATGGAAAAAGAATTGGAAGACTTATCAAATGAATTTGAGCTGGATCGATTAGATTATTTAGAAACAATACGTAGACAAGATCAACAATTGAAACTCTTTCAGCAAATACTTGAAAATACTGGTAAGGGAATAAAGAAAATTTTGAAAATTATTTTTGTAATTTTTAAAGCTGCCATTCGAAAAGAAAGTAATTATGCAAATTTGGAACGTGTAAAAAGAGAGGCTATTTGGGATGAAGAAGGTGAAAGGTGGACATTACCTGAGTTGAGTATTCGTCAACAAGCACTGCCAAATTCAGGTAAGAGGGAGGAAAGATTGTTATGGCGCAATAAATGAATCCGCTGATAGGAAAATAACAGAAAAATAGGAAAATTAGGAGTGGTGGTAACAACTTCAAATAAATCAAAATTTCTATGTTCAGTTATTTTCCTTTTATTTTTTAGTATCACCAGCTATTTCATCAGAATTAAATGGTAGTGGATCTGATTCAATAACATCAAAATATAGCGGCTCCCCCATAGAAGATTCTGAATCAAAATTAAAGAAACGCCTTGATGAAAGTATGGATAATGATTTTGTACAAAAATTCTTTAAGGTAATTTTTCAATTTTTTTAAGAATGATTTTTCATTTTTAGCCAATAACTCGTCAAAACATTCTTGACAAATACAACCCTGAAAAACATAAAATGATTGGTATATTTTAAAAAATATTTTAATTTAATTTTAGAAAATCTTTTTTTAGCAGAACAACGTAAAAACCAAATGTTAGTTAATGGAGTAGTTTACGCTGATGCAATTTATGACCAATCCCAAAGGCATAAAAATGGGGGCACATCTCAAAATAATCCATCGGCTACTCGACCTATTAGCGCTGCTCGAAAACCTCCACAAAGGCTTGAAGCATTAAATGTTTCTAGAAATAAATCATTTCATTAAAGAAAAGGATTTTTAGAACTAATTCACGGGTATTCTATTGTATATATTTATAATATCAATTTTATTTTTTATACACATATTATACATACTTTATAGATACACTAGAATCATATTATTCTACCACTAAATCTGGAACATAAGGATTGAGAGTAAGATTGGTCCTGGGAGGGGGAGGGGTTTATTTTTTCTGACCTAACGGGGTAGAAGGTCAGAACCCGTTGAGAGGTCAGACGTAAGTGTCAGATTTAGAGTTCAGAATTGTCTAAACTAGTTGACAATAAGATTTTTTTGTTTTATGACCTCTTAGCCCGAAATTTTGTTGTGGATTTGGGGTATTAATATGATTATTTATAATGATATCTAGTTTATTTTTTATATACTAATTTATTTACTTTAACAAATTAATGTAAATAAATATTTTTAATTTTAAATGTTTTTTTTTTTTGAATTCTTTGAATTGTGTTTGATTAACAAAATCTTTATTTTAGTGCCTTTATTTATCTGACAATTTCCATTAGCGTTGAATTGGCCATAATATTTCACACCGAAAGATATTTCCGTAGCCCAACGTTAAGAGTGACGAGTGAAATATTATTTGTCGATTGTTTATTGGCGTGTAAAATATTTCATTTTTTAAAGGAAATATTAAAAGTCTGGGCTTTAATTTTATTTTTTCTTTTTTAAATTATTTTTTAGTTTTTTGTGGAAGGCAGAGATGTTGCCAAGGAATTTTCGCTACTTTCAATTAAATTTTCTTTCCTTAACAGCAATATTGTTAATTTCTATTTTGTTTTGTGTAAATGCTCAAGAGGAGGAATGCCAAGGTTTTTTTTAAATTTTTTTCGATTATAATTTTATTTATTTTTAGTTTGTGAGGATGTTTTGAAAGATGTTATGGATAGAGTGGACTCTTCTGGTGAAAATGTCAATGACGAGCTTGTCCGTAAAAATCTGTGGGATTATTGTTCTGAAGTTTATAATAAACGTGATTCAAAAAATTCTGATGAAGAAAGAAAGGATAAAATGGTGAGTAAATTATTTAAGTTTTATTCTTGAATTTTCTGTCAAAGGATGTCCACATTTTTTTGTTGGAATTTTTTAGTTCGTTACATCCAGATTTTTCGATTCGTTTACCCGAAATTGCGCCCTCTTTCCCGGTTTTATTTGACTTCCACCATTTTCAAAATTTTGCCAGAGGTGCTGTAAACTCAAAGTGAGTAGTAACTCTAATGTCGACTCGCATTTATGAAATTAAATTCCGTGAATTTTGGCCCTTCCTCAACTTCTTTTAATTTTCATAAATTTGTAAAATTTTTTTAGTGTTTCTATATTGGTGCTCACAAGGATTCATCTGCCTCAATGATTGGAGATGCTGTTAAGACTCTTGCCTATAAGAAGCCTCCTCTTAAAGTTTGCAAAGATTTGAAGACAAAAGATGCTCAAATTTGTTCATTGAAATACGGTTTTTTTATTAGATTTTTTCTTTAAAAATTAAAAAAAAATTTTTATTTTAAAGACAAACCAATCGATTGGGATAGTTTGGATTTGGACAAAATGAGAGTTGGACAGTTGAGAGAGTTATTGCGCAAATTGGGTGATAGTTGCAAGGGTTGTGTTGAGAAAGTCGATTTTGTGCAGCGAATTCGTGAATTAATGCCGAAAAAGGAAGCAAAAGGAGAACTTTAATTTGTTTTTTGGATTTTTGGTCTTTCTCTTTTATTTATTTTGGTTTTAAATGGGTTATTTTGTTTGGACTTTTAGATTATTTTTACTTTACGATGCCCATTTCTTTACTTCTAATTTTGTTTTTTACCTTTTTTGATTAGAGGATTTATTCTATTTTTGTGAAGTAACAAGAAAAACCGTTTTTTTTTTGTTATAACGAATCTTGGGGTTTTAATATTTGAGGAATTTCCTGATTATGTGCAAACCAGGGAATGAACCGTCACGATTCCCGAAAATCGCGAATTCCCGACGTTTTTTGGTCTGGAATCCCGATTTCACGAAAATCGCGAATTTTGTTTTCTTGTCGGCTCGTTCCCTGGTTCAAACGTATAATTTATTATTTTTCCAAGCATTTTAATCCTCTAAATTGTTTTCATTCTATATGGTTTATTTGTGTAAAATTAGTTAAATCGCATTCTTTTTATTTATTATTAAAATCGTTTCATTTTCGTATACTAACTAGAAAAGTTTAGAATCATTTACTAATATTAATTAGCATTTGACTCACGGGCATTGACAGAAAATTTATTTCTTATGGCGCTGCCTAGACGTATAGCCAAAGAGACACAACGGTTGTTACAGGTTTTTATTTTTTGTAAGAATTAAAGACGTATAGTTGGAAATTTTCGGGGATCCGACCAACCTTAGTAAAGATATGAAATCTGCCAACTCGGATGTACTGAGTAGAGCGAATATTTAATTTTGTCTAAAATGCACCGTAACAAATTCAGCGGAGGGTTTATACACATAAAGCACAAATTCCCATTTAAGGATCCAGTTCCGGGTATCAGTGCAATTCCAGATGAGGCTAATGCTCGATACTTTCATGTTATTATTGCAGGACCAGATTCGAGTCCTTTTGCAGGTTTTTGATTAATTTTTCGAAAGAAATTTTTAATTTTTGTTTTAAGGTGGTGTTTTCAAATTGGAACTGTTTTTACCAGAAGAATATCCTATGGCCGCTCCCAAAGTGCGCTTCATGACAAAGGTAATATAAGTAAATAGGGCTAATGTGAACCTTAATTGTTACTATTCAATCTTCTTAACGAATTCTTAGGTATCCTAAAATTTAAATATAATTAGTTCGATTATATATTTGCGACTGCTGGAAAACCAAGGACTTTTCGGTTTATTCGATAACCGAAGTTTCTTTTCTAGATTTTTTATATTTACCATTTTTTAAAGATTTATCATCCAAATATTGACAAGCTTGGCCGGATTTGTCTCGACATTCTTAAAGGTTTACTTTTTTCGACTTTTAAAATTAAATAAAGATTATTAGACAAATGGTCACCAGCTTTGCAAATTCGTACTGTTCTCCTTTCTATACAAGCTTTGCTTTCAGCACCAAATCCTGATGATCCGCTAGCTGCGTCAGTTTTCAATTTTTTATAATCTCCTTAACAACCTTAATATCTTTTTGTTACGTTAATTAAAATTATTAGGATTAAGCTCCCTTTGATAATGGTATTTTTTGGTACCATGTAGAGGGTCGGTTCCTCTATCGAACGATACCAAAATAAATTTTGTAGTAAATATGTTCCCTGGTGTGGGTTTTTTTTAGACTTTACGTTTTAACTCTATACAAACTCTAGACTCACAGACCCATCTTATTAAATTACTAACTTTATCTATTGGTTATTTCATGTTAAATATTATAATGACAATTTATAAAAACCTAAATAATTTAGCGATGTTGCCGAGCAATGGAAAAACAATGAAGTAGAGGCTATTCACACAGCTCAGCAATGGACAAAACTTTATGCAAATGGAAGTAATTAAGAATAAGGAAAAATATAAATATGGATAATATTTTGGAAAACGAGGAGGGGAGTATATTTTAAATAAAATTGAACATATTTCCAGGCAGAAACATTGGTAAAAATAAATTTAACGTTTTTTTTTGTTTTGGCTAAGAATTTAATTAAATTTTCGGAAAATTGCACTGATTCGATAAAAGAAATATTGAATCGGTTTAATTTTTAGAAAGAAATTAGAAATAGCTACCTGAAATTAAGGCTGCAGTCAAAACTAGAGCCAGGATCGAGACGAAATCGCAGTCAAAAATCTCGGTTAACGAGATCGAGTTTTCTTGAGATAACGATCTCGCTTCTCTTACGACCCTCCCAGTCCGGGCTCTATTATAATTTCAATGAAAATATAAAAATTCCCTCAGCTTTCCATTAAAATTTTTCTGACTTCTTTCCATGTCAGAAAGTAAAACGGATTTGCCTGGAACATTTTTAAATATTATAGTAAATATGGATGTTTGGTTTTGTACTTAATTGTCCTCACGCCCGTTGTATTTTATTCTCTAAAAAGTAATTTTAATGATGTTCTCCACTTAAAAATATTTTCGTATAAAATTGACATTTCTCTATAAGTATTGTTCAATCCCCCCTCCCCCTACCCCCATTTATTTGTTAATTTGATTGGGAATGTTTTCATGTAATTTCCTTTCTCTTTTCTTCTCATTGTAAATTACAAAAAGTGTTAAAAACCTGACAATATATATTACAAAGAACGTTTATAATTAAATAGTAAAAACGTAATAGAATATGTCTACAATATTTTCGGAAATTGCCGGTTACAAATGAGCGAGAAAAAAATATTAGCAAACAGGATTTTGGGTTTAAATAAAAAAAAGAGTTTGGAGAATTTCTTAAAAAGGGATCGGTAAATGAGAGAAATTTAATAAAAGGAAAAATATGTAATAAGGAAAAGTGCTTGTTATTATAAATGGATATTACGGAAAGTTTTTGGATGAGTTTGGAGAGAAAGAGTTTGATTTGTTTACTTTAAGCATTTTAGTCACAGAATTGACCAAAAATGGACTGAGATTACATCTTTCACTTTCTTTTAAAAGTAAAATTAGTTTTTTAATGAACTCTTGAATATTCCTATACTTTTACTACTATTTCTGAACGTTGATTCCTTTATCCCTTTACAATCAAATTTTCTTAAGTCCCTTGGTTTTCTTTCCTCGGCGTGGGGAAATAGGGATGCTTTTCAATTTTTACCAATTTCTTCTTCTCATTGACAATTAAATTAGCAAAAAGATTCGTTACTTTTTTTTGTTGTTGGCATAGCTTTAATTTATAAATATGTAATCCTTTTATTCGCTCAATCGAATAAAGAAGACAATAGACAAATAAAAATAAAATTCGTTCCTCGGATCAATCAACGGGGTGCGCTTTCACTCTTCTGCCATTTCCGTCTTTCTCCAAGCGAAAAACAATCGTCGAGACTGATAGCGATCTTTTTTGTTTTTTTTCATTCTCCAAATAAAAACGCGTCAGGATTGCTCCGGGCAAATTGCCGCGATCACCCCCCCCTCTATCCCCCAATAAAAATGCTTAAATGCTAAAAGTCGCCAAAACTTTGTTCCTCTCTTTTTGTCATCTCTTTAATTGAAAGTTGATATCTATGTATTTACAAATGATATTAAGCATGTAATTATTAGTTTTTCTTATTTTCTTCATCTAAATGTTTTTGGCGAATTTTTATAGATAAGAACTTTTAATTTAATTTTTCTTAATGAATTATAAGAAAAAATTATGTCTTTTTCCAAGGCTTGAACCTTTATCCATGTGGATTGTAGTTTTTGCTAATGGTCCCACCCAGGCCCGTAAGTTGAAAAAATTTTCTGGATGGGATCATTCTTGATCATTTTTAAAAACCCAGTTCTCTCATCCACTATCCCACAAAAGTAAACTCTCGTTAAAGGCGAGGTTTCTCCTTGAAACCCATAAATTTATCTTTGTAGATATTTCAAAATAAAATCTTTAAAAAAGGGTACTTTATTAATATCCCGCCCCCCACCCCTATTTGAGTCTCAGATTAATTTCCCTTCTTTTACTGTCAATCATTTTTCCTTCAAACATTGAAGGTAAAAGGTAAGTACTAGGAAGGAAAAATAGACGGCAACCGCAAAAAAGCATTTATAAGAAGGAAAATTGACCATTTCGAGGCAGGAAAAATAAAATGTAAAATTAATCTGAGACTCAAATAGGGGTGGGGGGCGGGATATTAATAAAGTACCTAAAAAAGAAGTAAATCATTAAAAAATTCATTTGCACTTTAATGCAAAAGAGATCATTCCAACAACATGAAGAATCACAACAGTGTAGTTCAAATATTTTACATTTTAATTGTAAAAGGCAAAAAAATAATAATTATGAGAGAAGGCAAACATCAAAAACTACGATTTTTAAAAATACAAAAATGTTGAAATTCCCTTTATTTTACAGTCTCTTGTCCTTTTTCATTTTAATTAGGCCAGGTTATTGAACTTTGAAAATTAAACTTATTAGGCAAAATACCCATTTTCTAGGTAATTCTTGTATGCCTGGCTATGAAAATGAGAGAGCCCGTTTGAGACAATATTTAGGCATTGAATGGAGGCCTAGAGGGTTGGAAAGGATGGATGATGGTATTTTAGATTATTTTAAATTTAAATGTTGTTATTTCTTATCAGAACAACAAGCTCGATTTTTGCGGCATTCAAGTGATTTAAATTGTGATTTCTCTAACCCAGACAAATGTACTGTGATTTTATATTTAAAATAAATTTAAAAATAATTTTTATAGGCAGATGGAGGAATCTTCGAAAACCTGGATTTGATACATTAGACTTTCATTTATTTAGGAAGGAGGATTATACTGAATTTCCGGCAAGTGAAAGACGATACTGTTTAAAATATAAAAATTTCTCGATTTTTCAGATGCTTCAGGTTAGGCCGGGTCCTTCAAGAGTGCGTGTAGGTGAGACGATTGATTACTGTTTAAAATATTCTTTTTAACCTCTAAAGACACACCTTTTCGTTATTAAACGCCTCTCTATTAAAATTTCTAGTAAAAAGAGTAAAAATTCTGGAAGAACTCCAAGTGGAGATTTATAAAATTAAAACGCTATATTATAGTTTTATAAAGCCCGGTTGAATATTTATTTAATTAGGTGATCAATTACTGCTTGTTGGAGATAAGAAAAGACAAGAACAAACAGCTATACTAATTAGTCATCCAATTAAATGTCAAAATACAACTGGAAAATTAACTTTTACGTCTGTACATCCATCGAAAATAAAATAATTTATTAAATTTTTTAAAGGTTTTGGGTTTATAATGGTGCTAGATTGGAGGTTATAATGCTTGAAGAACGAGATGAGGTATAAATAATTTTGTGGAATTTTGAGTTAATATTATAATAGTGGCACTAGTGTACATATCCATGATCCCATTTTTTCAAGTGTATTCTTCCAATTTCCCATTCCAATCCCAAGTTTGGAGAAGATGAGAAATAGGCCAACAGTGAATGTCACATTCGATATACGGGGTTACTCATTTTAGACTAGTATGATAATCTGATGTGAAATGAGACAGATATCCAAGCTCAATACTCAATATCGCCTGGGAAAAGCATTAAATCCTACAATATTTTTGAGTCGTATGCCGGATATCCGAATAAGTTTCCCTTCTGCCAATCTTCCTTCAATCATGATCTTCCTTACTGTTTGATAATTTTTCAGAGAGTCTGCCTTGTCTTTTTTTTATTTAAAAGTCAGGCTTTACTAACTACTATAATAAAATTAATTTTATTTTTCATAATTTTAGGGAAAATCTTTGCATATTTTACCTGAAAAGCCCCATATAGACTGTGGAACTGTCCATATAAACACTGAATGGTAAATGATTATTTTTTTATTTAAAAAATTCATTTTTCTTGTAGTACAGCAATACTTCCCCCTCTCGACCATCCTTTCCATATTGGACTTAGAGCTTATGATATGCGGAATACAGAGGGATCCTTTGTTTTATTAGATAATTTATTTTATGAAGCTGAATTTTGTAGAGTTTCGAGTGGGTTTTGAAGAGAATTTAATTTAAAATTTTTAATTTTTGTTTAGTTGATTTTGGACCAGACTTTCATTCTGAAAGGTGAAAAATTAATAAAAATTAATTATTTTGTAGACTCTTTTTTAAATAATATTTTTGGTTCTTCTAACCTTTTCCTTCCAAAACAAGCTTTTGTGGGTGGTCAAACAAGAGAAAGAAAAGGACAGGGTTTTTGTTTGTACGGATTTTTATTTTGGCCATACCCTATATTGGGTACTTAAAAATTCTTGGGTATTATTAACAATAAAATTGTCTTTAATTTTACTAGGCATTTACTGTAAAAATTGTATCGTTGCTCTATTTTTATTTAAAAAATAATTATTTTTAGGCTTATATCAAGTTCAACTAAAGGCGAACCTGTTGATAAACCTTCTTCTCTAACTTGTACAGAATTTGACGAAAATTGTAGGTGGAGAAATATGGGATATGGAGAACATGGGGTAAATAAATAAATAAAAGTCTAATTTTTATTTTTTTAAAAAAAGATTTGGCGTAGAGCTATTGGAATACTTCCCCCATTAATTCTTTTTAACGAAACTGGGACTGATATACAACCTAATTTACCTGCTGCTTTTTTATATATTGAGGAACAAACTGGTAAATATTTTTCTTTAAATGTTTATTTTAAGCTCACAAAGCTTTGTAAGCCTTGATTTTATCGAATCTAGTAACCTTGCTAAATGAGCACCTAGAACAATGAAATTTTGTGCTTTAATTAATAAAATGTTATTAACAATTCTAAAAATTTTAGAATTTTTTCATTTAATTTAAGTTATCGCCTGAAAAGTTAATGATTCTTTAAACATCTTTTGATATAAATTTAAATACTTTTAGATAAAGTTAAAAAAAACTTCTTTAGTAGTTAGATAATATCTACTTATAATTTTATTGTTATAAATGTAAGCTTTACAGGCTTCAATCAAATTCCTTATATTTTTAAAATTTTTCAAAATTAAAATTTAGATATGCCACAACATACAAACATAATTTCCTCAAAAGATTTACACGATGCAAGCACTTTAGAACTTAGTGATACAACAAAAGCTTTTCGAATGTTAGCTTCTGACCCAATAAAATGTCCGGGTTCTACAAATATTATTTTACAATTTAGGTAAAATTAATTGGAAAAAATTCAAAAAATTTCCTTCTTTTAAAAAAGAATTTGGTCAACAAAAGGAATTGAATTAAATTTGTGTTTATTTGAAAGACATTCAATGCAACAGATTGAAGGGAAATGTCAACAAGTACCTGTTGGTACATCCCCAGCAATTGTTCAACAACAATTTCAAACACCCCCTCAAAATACTGAATTTATGGTAAAAAATTTTATTTAAATAATTATTTTGTTAATTTAATATTGTTAATTAATGACAACTTCAAAATTCTTGGATATAAATTAGGGGTTAAATTAGATTTTTCAATCTAGGATAAAAATATTATTTTACAAATACATTATTATTTTAGAAGCAATATATAGTAAAATATAGTAAAGAAATTGTGATCGAAGAAGGAAAAGCCTTCCCATTTTTATAAATTTATAGGAAAAACTTGGAAAGGAAAAAAGGGGGACTGGAAACGACACTACATATTACCATTCTTTTCCCCGTATTTCTCGGAATTCTCGATTTCTAAAAAATTATTCAAGAACCAGGAGAAACCAAAAAAACTTTTTAATTTAATTTTCTTCTTTTAAACAGTTTGTATTCCAAGTTCAAAACGTCAACAAAGATTTTGATAACTTTGTTTTATTAGATGATATTGAAATGGTTACAGATCATTCCTCGGCTTATTGTGGCCAATTAGGTGCTGATATTGCTGCACATAAGGGATGGTTATCTGATGGAGGGATGTTTACTGCCCAAATGCTTAATACTCTTTTAAATAGGCCAATACATTCTGCTAAGGTAAAAAGAAGGAAGGAATGAGAGAGAGGAAATAATGGTCTTTATCCGAAGGAAATAAAATTGTTTTTAGGGGATTAGTTTGAGACAATAGAAATTTTTTTGAAAATCTAAAAACAATTTTATGATGCAACTTTTGTTGATAAAAAATGAATTTAAAAATGAGGTCCTCTCCAGATATGGAATTAAAAAAATTTTTTTATAAAAAATTTCTATTTTTGAGGACTTAACTTGTGATTTCTCCAAACGTGCATTAAATTGTCAATGGGCCAATCTAGAAAAATTAACTGATGGAATGTCTCAGTGGGAAATAGGGATTTTAAGTAGTGCTAAAAATACAAAAACGAGCGAAGATATTCTTATTCCAGGTAATTGTTAAAGAAAAATATTTTCAAAAAATATTAATTTAGTTGGAGATGTAGCTTTAGCTCGCCTCGATTCTCATAATAAATCTGCAATACTCTTATCTGAACGTATTCTCTGTACACTTCCCTCTTTAACCAATACAAATGGAAATAGTGGAACTTTATCTTTTCGAAGTTGGGGGAGTGGAAATGGAATCAAATTGAATGTTTGTATTATTAGAGCAGATTCCTTAGAAGTTTTGGATTGCCAAAATGTTGGGGGAAATGATGGAGAAAGAAAATTGACTGAAGAAGGGGATGAGGTAGTGAACTGGAATTTTCTTTTAAAAATTTTTGTTGACAGATTCTGGTGGAAGTTCCTCGATTAGATGAACCTATCCGCCTTGCTCTCCGAGCTGAAACTATTGGTGAGAATGGTGGAGGGCTTATTGCTATAGATGATTTGAAATTTCAGGCAATATATTTTTGTTAATTAAATGATTGGAAATTCTGTTTAGGGTGAAATCTGTCCATCATTAAATAATATTGCCTTTGGAGTCAAGAACAGTTTGAGAGGAAGTAGTGGATTTACACACAAAGGAGAAAGAATTGTTTCTCAACAAAACAGAGCATTTAATGATGGAGAAAAACCACAAGATTTTCATGAAATACCTGATGAAAGTGAGTTCTATTAAACTTGCGGGAAGGGGTTTTCCGCAGGAATTTGTCAGTTTTTAAGAAAAAGAACTAGTGATTTTTCAGAAATTTAAATTTGGAGACAATAGAGGGACTAATTAGAGTCCTTTATCCCTTTTTAAAATTTTTTTTAGATGTCTGCCGTCTCTTAAAATGTGATTTTGAACGTGATGGAAGTATGTGCCTGTATACCTCTAGTCGAGTTGCTGCTTCTGTTTCAATGTTCCGTGCTTATAACAACAGTGCATTTACTGTTCTATTTACTCGAAGTAAAGTAGCAATATTAGAATCTCCAATATTCCATTTAAATACACCTGCAAGGCTACATTTTGATTATTTTGTTAGTAAAGGACCAGCAAAGTTACATTTTTGTCAAGATAGTGTGATGCGAGATCTTTCTTCGTGTTTTATAATTTCCGCGGAGGGAGAGACTTTTGGGTGGAAACATGATTTTATTGAGGTATTTAGTTGATTTGAATCAAATCCTTTGGGTACGCCCTCCTTTTTGTGGTTTTACTTATAACTGAAATTAACGGATAAAGTCTCAGTCCTAACGACACTATATTATTGTATTTTTTGTTTCCTCTGATTGACATAATATTATTAGAGACCGGAATTTCGTACCTTACCGTATTACATTACTGATCGATTAACTTTAAAATTTTGTCGGGCGGTTTTCCGTACTCTACTTATCAATACAGAATACCGATAAATACCGAAAATAAGACAGTAGTTCGATACAGTCCGATCTCGAAATATTAACATAATTATCATAAACTCGAAAGCTTCTACACAGAATAATTAAATACTGTTAATTACTATTCTTAATTAAAATTCTAATAATATTTTTTTAATTTTTAAAGGTATTGCCAACAGATCGAAAACTTTATTTAATTGCCAGACTAGATGGCAAGGGCAGGGCAAATGTACAGATTGATAATTTGGAATTAACTGATATAATGGATCACAGCATTTGCTGAATATTAAGAAATATAAAATAATTAGCCGGTTTTATGATAGCTCAAATTAATTTTAAAAACGGGTCTTTTTTTGTAATCTAATATTTGTATATTTTTTATTTTGATTTTTAAATAAATTTATTTTCTAAAATTTGCATTAATTTAAAAATAAAATTCTATAAATATTTACAGACATTTTTTTGTTTTTCTAAAAACAGGTTTATATTAATTTAAAAATTAAAAAAATATCTGGGAAAAAATAAAGATTTAAAGATAAATTTAATGATTGATTGACTGACATGCATTTCTTCATTTCAAAAATAATTTAATTAAAAATTAGTTTATAAATTAACGATGCGATAAACACAAATTAAAAAACAAATTTTTACGAGAATAAAACGGTTCTAAAAATACATATTTTTCCATTCCACATAAGTACTATATCATATTCACGTTAGTGACAGATTTTTTCTGTAATTTTGGTTCATTCTCTCCCAATATGACACTAACTCTTACTACGATGTCGGGCTAGTGGGATCAGACATTAGACTGTTAGGTTTGTCGGTCCTTGGAAAATCTTCGGATATCTGTCAGATTTTTTCTGTATTTTTGGTTTATTCTCTCCAGGGCTGCACGCAATTGCGGATTGCGATTTGCGGAATCGTTTTCGATTGCGTGCTGCCCTGCTGTCAACCCAATCCTATCTCTGTCATATTTTTAATGTTAAAGTCCATTTTATTAAAAAGATGCTTCCCCTTTTTAATTCTTATAATATACATATTTTATACATGTATTTTGCAGCTGTGCCCATTTTAGCTGTCAATATCGTCTTTTTTAAATAAAGAAAATTTCCTTCTCCCTCATTTCCCAATAAATACATACACAAAAGGATTTTCTCTCTTAAATTAGCAATTGTTTAGTGGAAGCCGAAGAAGAAGAAGAACTGTTTTTGGTATATAACAAAAACCTTTTCCGCCACAGATTTCTCGTAAAAATACTAAAAATAGGGGAGAAAATAGCGAAAAGGGGAAAGGGAGAATATTCTAAAGTAAAAATGTGTACAAGTAGCTAGGCAAAAATAGGGCAAAATAAAGGAAGGAAAGGGTAAAAAGCGCTAAAGGGGGACACAAAATCGATCTTTTTAAAGCTTAAAATGTGAGTAGCCACAAACCAATGTTAAGAATTTTTTTATATTTTTACTATTATTTAGCCATGCCCTTTATTCTTCAAATTGAAAAGCTGCTTCTAAACATTTTAATTTTTATTTTAATTGTATGTATTATTAAAAGGGATGTTTAGGTGGCACACATTTATAAATTTCTTATTTTCAGGCACCTAGAACCGTAAAATTTCGTTTAAATTTTTTTCAGTTTTGTTTAATTGAAGCTAATATACTTTTTTCCCCACTATAGTTGAGAACACAAAAAACATTTTTTGAACATTTTGATATTTGATCTTTTACTTGAAAAGATTGATCTTTTATTTCTTTCAATAGGCCCTCATTTACTAAAAAATCTGATATTTTTAGAGAGGTTTCACCTAAACTTCCAAGCTTTTTTCGAACTTAGGTGCTTATTTGGAAGATTTTTTAAAGACAACTTTTCTCCCAACATTCTCCCTTCCATTCAAAATTTTTAAATTTTTAAAATAATTTTTTTAAGAAAAAAAAATAATTTTAGGACTCAATCTAACCATCATTATTTGTTTAAAAATTTGTCTTTTCCCAAATGGCCTTGAAATGCTGCCTGTGTTCTTCTCTCAATACTAGGCCCACATTTTTGTTTTATCCCTCAGTCAATAGCCCATTCTCCCTCATTCTTCATTCACTTTCCTTCCTCTACATATTTTTGTTATTTTCTATATACACTTGCAGTTGCATTCAATAAATATTTTGAAATATACGAAAAATGTAAGCATTTTTCTTGTCATTTTCATGACAGGAAATATACAATTTTATAATTATTTTTTCTTCTAAAAAAGAATGATTAATTTCTTTTTTGGCCGATAATTGTTTAAAAATAATTGTTAAATAATTTATTTATTTATTTTTCAAAGCTTTTTAAAAATGTTTTAATATTTTACCCTAAAAATTATTAGATAATTACTTTAAGTTTTTAAGCTGTTCAAGGCAAATTTGTCCTTGATTACGGTATACGCTGACATAAATCACTAACTGATATTAATTTAAAAAGTATTATCATTGAATATATTTTCACAAAATTTCTTTGTTGTACTAGATTGACTTTTGTATAATCCTTAAATTTATTTTTAAAATATAAATTAGAAAATCGTTGAATTGTCCAAACTAAATTGTCCCCTTCACAAATTTTCAAAAATGTTTTAATTCATTTAAACTTTAATTTTTAAATAATTTTTTTAATTTTAAATTTTATCAGATGAAAATAATAATATAAATTAATAAAAATTAAAAAAAAATTAAAATCGATCGAAAATGACTATTGACAGTGCATCAGGAGAGCAGGAACAGTCTTCTGAACAACCCCCACAACCTGCCAAGGTTTACATAGGGAAATTTTTATTTTGAAAATAATTTTAATTTTAAAAATTCGAAAAAAATGTTTGGAAAGATTAAAAAAATTATTTAAATATTTTTGGAAAATTTTAAAATAATTTCCTTGGAATTTAAAAAATATACGTCCAAAATTCCAAAAATTCCCCCATAAATAATTTTTAAATCTACTGAAAAAAATTCTCTTTAAAAATTAATTTAAATCCTTAAAAAATCAAAATCTATTCTTAAATTTCCCCAAAAAACAGCCAATTCGAAATGATCAAAATGCAATGTTTTTGCGAGCTGCCCGTGCAGGCAATTTAGAAAATGTCCTCGATTTTCTCCGTACAGGTGTAGATATAAATACTTGCAATTCTAATGGATTAAATGCTTTGCATTTGGCATCGAAAGAGGGGCATAATGAAGTTGTTAGAGAATTATTGAGAAGAGGAGCCGTTGTTGATGCGAGTACGAGAAAGGGAAATACTGCTTTACATATAGCTTCTTTGGCTGGTAAAATAATGATAAAAATTTAGAAAATATGTGGGGGTGAGGGGGGGGGGGTATTTAATTAAATAAATCAGTCCTCCCCGTCCATCTAATCAAATAAAACCACCTTAAAAAGTGCCAGTCCGCAAGTTTCTTTACTGTCCGCAAGTGACATTCGTAATTTATAAGAGTTCATTTTATCGATGGAAGTTTTTAATAGGAAGGATAGATATTACAATTATTCCCTCTGAAATTATAAAGAATATTACATTTATCCCCTCCAGAAGAACGATTTAAAAAATTTTAATGGACTGTTAATAGGAATTACAATATTTGTATTTTAATTTCCACCTACATATAAATCCACATTCTTACGGATTTTGAAAAAAAATTGTTTAATGCAAAATCTGTTAATTTAAACAGGTCAAGATATAATTGTAACAATTTTGGTTGAACACGGTGCTAATGTTAATGCCCAATCATTAAATGGATTTACTCCTCTATATATGTCTGCACAAGAAAACCATGAAGTTGTTGTTCGTTATTTGCTTGCACATGGTGCTAATCAGGCACTCGCCACAGAAGTAAATTAATTTATTTAAATCTTGTTCAAATTTGATTAAGGAATAAATTAGGAAGGAATTAAAAATGTTAGGATAGATAACTCTAGTCTTGAAATTTTTTTCATTTCTAGGATGGTTTCACTCCTTTGGCTGTTGCTCTTCAACAAGGGCATGATCGAATTGTTGCTCTTCTATTAGTATTTCTAATATAAAAAATTCATTATTTTTAAAAATTTTAAAGGAAAATGACAATACAAGTAAAGTAAAACTTCCAGCATTACACATTGCTGCTAAAAAAGATGGTTGGGTTGTTTAAATAAATATTCAGTCCTTATTTAAATTTAGATACTCGAGCAGCTTCTTTACTTTTACAAAATGAACAAAATCCAAATGTAAAAACAAATTATTTTTTTGGGAAATATAATTATTTAGGTAACTTCAAAAAGTGGATTTACTCCTTTACATATTGCTGCACATTATGGAAATGCAGGTAATTAAAAAATTACTTGTACTAACTCTCTTATGGTCTGACACCTCTTGGAATATAGCTTTCCTTAAGTCTATCAAATATCTCGCTATCCCATCCTCTTAACTCGACGTCCGGAATTAAAATTTCATCGGGTTCCCGATTTACTTTTCAACATACAATGATCACATTTCTGTCAGTTAGATTATTACTTGACTTAATGTTAAAAATAAGGTATCACTTTGTAAGAATATAATTAAGGTTAACTCTCTCTCTCTCCTTCAAATCATCTTAACAAAAACTTTTAAAAATTAACAAAAAATTTTATCAAGAAAAAATAATTCATAAAATTTTCGAAAAATACATAACTTTAAAACAAAAATTTTAATAAAATTCTTTCAAAACAAAATGTTTCGAAATATCATAAATAAAAGGAATTTTCTCCAAATTATTTCCAAAGTTTGCTTCTACTGAACAACTTTGTAATACAACATATGGGTCGTAACATTCAGAATTATCTTTTAATAGTAGAGCTTTCCCTTAACAATTAAATTTAAAAATATTATTTATTCAATTCTATTTTTACCAATTTGTTTCCCATTTTGCGTGAAGAAAATATATGGAAATTCTTCGGTATTAGTTGGAGGATAAATTAATCCACACCCAAAAACATCATTATCATTCCAAGAAAATGTTGAAAGTTTAAATTCTTCTTCTTTTTCATTTATAATTACACACTTCTTTGCAACAAATCTAAACCACTCATTGTTAGTATTACAAAGACCAATAACCATCCAACAATTATTTAATTCTCTTTCCATTTTACATTTAATTTCAAAATAAAATAAAGAATAATTGAAACTATCTTGAGGGTTTTTGAATGAATTTTCAGCATGAACAATAACATCAATATCTTTACCTAAAATATTTACAAAAAATAATTCCTAACTTTAAATCAACCTTTCCCTTCCACACAATTAATATATTTTATATTTCCATCATTAATTAAATTAATAAATCCATTTCCCTCAATGCAATTACCAGTTGGTTTATTTGTATTTATACATTTATTTTCACAACATTTAAAGCTTTTATCAATATATTTCCATTTATTTTTAATTTCAACAAAATTCTTAATAAAAAATTATTTATTTTTACTTATATTTAATTAAACTAACCACTAATTTATAATTAACATTATTTAATTTTTCCAATTTAAGATCAGACTCGAGTTTTTGATTTTTCTAAAATTATATATTAAAAATATTACATATTTAATTTCCAAACTTCTTTCATTTCTTTTAATTCATTTTCAAGAATTTTCTTTTCAAGTTTGAAATTCTTTTCCTTCTCTTCCATAAATTTAGTTTGAAGGTCGATAAAATTATTTTGAAGTTTTATCAAATAATTGCTTTGGTTTAACTTAAATTATTTAAATTTATTTTTAAATTATTTCAAAAATTACTTTTGATTCCAAATCAGAATTTGACGATCCTTCTCCATCCATTTTCAGAATTTAATTGAAATATTTTAAAGTAACAATTTAACTGTTAAAGTATAAAATACTAAAATTAAATAAATTATTTAAAATAATAATTAAGACTAATTTACAAAAAAAAATTAAAAAATTAATTTAAATATGTATTATAGATAAGGTGCGAAATTATATGGAAATCCATATTTTTTCCCCGGATTGCTTGGGGTATGAAACACACAAAAAACACACTTTCCGACCTGGTTACTTTCAAAAATGAGGACATTCATTTCCATATTTCCCATTGAGCCATTTTTAAGAGATTTTTACCATTTTTGGGCAAAAATAAACAAAAAAATAAAAAATGCCAATAAGGGCAAAAAACACATCATATCAATACCATATAATGCCAATATCTATAATGCCAATAAGGTAAAGCCACATAACGCCAATAAGGCTGGAATCATATTTTTCTAAAGGGTAAAAAAATCATTGAACTTTGCCAAAAGTCTTTTGGGTCACCTTGTATAAGCCGTAGAACGGCGCCGTCAACCCTACTTATAATTAAGGGGTAACTTTAATAATATCCTGTTTGTAGCCCTATTAGTAGCTTACTAAATTAACAAAAACGTCTTAATAAGTGAGGACAAATATTTAAAAAATATAGATCTTCTAAAAATTTAATTTTATTATTTTTAAAAAATAATTTTAGATATTGCCCAATTGTTAATCGAAAAAGGTGCAAATGTTAATTTTCAAGCTAGACATAATATTAGGTAAAATTCAAAATTGAAAAACCAATTTTAATACATATTTAATTTTTCTAGTCCACTTCACGTAGCTGCTAAATGGGGAAGGGTTAAATTGTGTGAATTAGTTTTGAATAAAGGAGCTATAATAGATTGTAGAACGAGAGATTTATTAACTCCATTACATTGTGCAGCGAGGTCTGGACATGATAGTGTTGTTGAGGTTTTGATTGAAAGAGGAGCTCCGATTGCTGCAAAAACTAAAAACGGATTGGCACCTTTACATATGGCTGCACAGGGAGATCATGTAAGAAGAGGGGGGAGGAGGGGGGGAGTACTAAATAAAATTTGAGAAATTTAAAAGATATGAATTTCAAATAAATTAAATTGATATTTAAAATTGTTTTTGAAAACTTTTTGAAAATCAGAATTGTTTTTAAACTTACTCAAAAAATATAAACATGAAAAGTAACCCAAAATTTCATGCAAATTTTAAAAAATCACAACTTGATCATTATATTTTAATCCAATATCAATATAAATTTCTCATTAATTTTCTAGTTTGATTGTGCACGTATTCTCCTCTATCACAAAGCAAATGTAGATGAAGTCACGGTTGATTATTTAACACCTTTACATGTTGCTGCTCATTGTGGGCATGTTAGTGTAGCTAAATTACTTTTGGATAGACAGGCTGATCCAAATGCTAGAGCTCTTAATGGGTAAATTTTTTTGGATTTTTTAAAAAAGCATGTGAGAGAGTAAATATTCTGAGTTTATTGTCGGGACAGTTTTCAATCCCTTTTTCCTTTTCACTCTGCTTTATGAAAGGAATACATAAATTTATAGTTGATTCCTTTTTTGTCTGAAGTTGATAGAGGAATATAACTGATAGATTTAGATTATGCCTAATCTATCCCACATATATTCCTGATATAGACCAGATATGTGGATATAATTAAATAAATATTTTTAAAGATTTACTCCTTTACACATTGCTTGTAAAAAGAATAGAATTAAAGTTGTTGAACTTTTATTAAAATACCATGCAAGTGTTGGGGCCACAACAGAATCTGGCCTTTCACCTTTACATGTTGCTTCATTTATGGGATGCATTAATATTGTTATTTTCCTCATTCAACAGGTATTTTTGAGAATAAAAAATCAAATCAAAAAAGTCTACATTGAAAGTTGAGGACATAAAATTAAGAAATAAGTTCCTCGAGAATCCTTTTCGTAGTTGTATATTTCAAGACTCTAATGACCTCATTCGACATACACCTAAAATGTCAAGTGTATTGACTTGAGTAGAGTAACTTACTCTGTGCTCTCTAACTTTAATAGATTTAATTAAATTAATAATTTAATTTTTAATTAATTTTAAAGGGTGCCAATGTTGATTGTGAAACAGTTAGAGGAGAAACTCCTTTACATTTGGCTGCTAGAGCAAATCAAACTGTTTGAAAATTATTTTAATAATTACCAAAATTAATTTTTTAAAGGACATTGTTCGTGTACTTGTACGGAATAAAGCAAATGTAGATGCTCAAGCTAGGGAATTACAAACACCTTTACATATTGCTGGTTGGAAAATTTTGGTTTTTAAAAAAATTAAAAATAATTTTTTGTAGCACGTCTTGGTAATTCTGACATTGCTTTAATCCTTTTAAATGCACATGCTAATCCAAATGCTGCAACTAGAGATCAATACACGCCTTTACATATCGCGGTAGTTTGATTGAGGAGTAAGATAGTTCTAGGTAGATAGTTCTAGGTAGAGTCGCGGTAGTTTGATTGAGGAGTAAGATAGTTCTAGGTAGAGTAAGGCAAGATCGAGGGGAAAATTTTTACCGAGGAGATTTCGACGATGAGGGTTGAATGTACTCTAGTTCTGGATAATTTTTTACTTATCCGTTCATCCATAAATATACATATTTAAATATTTTTTTAAAGGCAAAAGAAGGCCAAGAAGAAGTCGTTCAACTTTTACTTGATAAAAAAGCAAACAAACAATTACTAACTAAAAAAGGATTTTCTCCATTACATTTAGCTGCTAAATATGGAAATTATGGAGTTGTTAAACTTTTGTTAGAAAAAGGAACTCCAATAGATATTGAAGGAAAAAATCAAGTAACTCCATTACATGTTGCTGCACATTATAATAATGAAAAGGTAATTTAATGAATGGGGGTCTTTTAAATAAAGAATAATGTAATTGGGAGGGCTTTAATTTATAGACAGATTTATTTTTAAAAAATAAAGTTGTTTGTCAAGCCTAAAGAGGGTGGATAGTTTTTGTATATCTAAATTCTCCCCAAAATTATCATCTACTTTAATTTCCTTATAATATTTTAAAATCATAATTTTTTAGGTTGCACAACTTCTGCTTGAACGTATGTTTATTTTTCAAATTTAAATAACTGATAAAATATTTTAAGATGGTGCTAGAGCGCAAGCTTGTGCCAAGAATGGTTATACTCCTTTACATATTGCTGCTAAAAAGAATCAGGTAGAAAATATTCTAGACTCTAATAGCGACTCGTTTATTAACAACAATTAGCTTTTTCTTCTAAAACAAAATCCGTTTTAATATTCAAAACATCCTTGTCATTATTTACTTTCCTTACCCTTCGAGTCGTTACTAATGAGAGTTTTTTAAATTATTTTAAATAAATTTTAAAATTAAAAGATGGAAATAGCCCAATCTTTACTTGCTTACCGTGCTGATCCTAATGCAGAAAGCAGAGCTGGATTTACTCCTTTACATTTAGCCTCAGATGAGGGACACATTCAAATGGTTGCTTTATTAGTTGAAAAAGGATCGAAAGTAAAAATTAAATTTGAATTGATTAAATTGAATATAAAAATAAAGGTAAATGCTAAAGCCAAAAATGGATTAACTCCAATGCATTTATGTGCACAAGAGGATAGAGTAGATGTTGCTGAGCAACTCTTTCAATGTGAAGCTGATGTTAATTCTAAAACTAATGCTGGGTAATAGAGTTTTTAATTATCTCCTTATAATTACTATTTTAGCATTTTGTATAGGGTGGTACTTGAATTTTGGTAGTGATAGGAATACCCTTTCTAAAAATTGGGAATTGGAGGGGGTTTGTGTTAACAGGATCCCTAGTTATAAACAATGCTGGGAACCTTCGTGGATTATAATCAGTAATTATAATTTCTATACAATATTCATAATTCCTCATTCCCCTCTCTCCCCAATATTTATATTTCCTTCTAAAGATATACCCCACTTCATGTTGCCTGCCATTTTGGACAATTAGCAATGGTTAAATGGCTAGTTGAACATGGGGCTGTTATTAATGCCGAAACTAGAGCTAATTATACAGCTTTACATCAAGCTGCACAGCAAGGTGCTTTTCGTTCAGAATTTTTATTTTTAAATTTCTTCAGGGCATAATCACGTTGTTCGTTATTTACTCGAAAATGGTGCTTCTCCAAATATAAAAACTAATGTAAAACATGAAAGACTCTTTAAAAAATAATTTTTATTTCAATTTTTTAAGTCTGGACAAACACCTCTATCAATTGCTCAACGTTTAGGTTATGTTTCTGTTGTAGAAACATTAAAAACTGTTACGGAAACAACGGTTAAAGATCAATTAAAAATATTTAAAATAAAAGTTTTCATTTTTCTAAAGGTTATAACCGAAACAACAACAATAACTGATGAACGTTATAAACCTCAAAATCCCGAGGCTATGAATGAAACGTAAATCTTATTTTTTGAAATTTTTATAGAAAAATATATGAAAATTAATGCTTGCGTTTAATGTTAATGCCAAAATTTTAAAATTTTTAAAATTCTAAAGAAATCATTTTCTATATCTATTATATGAATTTATTTTCTAATCCTCTCTATCCTAATATTCTGATTAATTGACTAAATATAACTCGTTATATTTGAAAGAATGGCCAAAGAATTTTTAGAATGAATAATTTTGGAAGTTTTCTCACTCAAATTTCCTCACTCAAAGATATTTTAGAAAGATATTTTATTAGTAAATTAATACCCTGATTAAGTTTCATACTGCTCATAAGCACTTGTATATATTTTTCTTTTCCTTTTTTAATTCTGTTCACTTTAGCCAACTTAAAGTTTTAGTCAAAATAATTTTTAATTGAAGGTGTTTGGGGGCATTAAATAAATATTTTTACTAAAAACATTTCTATAATCCTTTTAAGCTTTTAGATTTATTTTTAGAATATTTTTACTTAATAATTCAAATACAGAATGTATGTACTACATAGTCTCTCTTTACTTGTTTCTTAAAAAATATTCTGACAAAAAAATATAAAAATATTTTTGTCAAATATACTAAATTCTTCTTTTTTTTCACCTAATCAATCTTTTTTCTTTTTATTTTTCTAGCAAACAATTAGTTAAACAAAAAAATTTTTAAAAAAGTGTTGCGGGGGGGGGGGGGGGGGTTAATTCTCGCTCAATATTTTATTTGCTACTTTTTACACTTTTTTAATCTCTTTGCGCAATAATTTATTTTTTCTTTAAAAAATTCAGAGCAAATTTTGACCTTATTTTTAATTAAAAAATAAATTTAAAATGAAAATAATTAAAAAGCTTAGGATATTTTCTGATTCGGAAGAAGAAGCTGATGATCATCAAGTTGCTGCTGCCGAGCATGCTAGAGACTTTAATGAGTCTATAACTCAAGTAATAATTTTATTCTTATTCCAGTTAAATCTCTATCTAAGCTAACCCCATCATTATATATAGAAGGATCTTGTATCGTATCCTTCTACAACCAAATAAAAACATAAACTAAAAATGAGTAAAGTAACGAAAACTCAAGCTGAAAACTCATTTTTCATAAAGCTCGGAAAATATATTTTTAAAATAAGAACAAAATCCCCAGACCTGATCAGAAAATTTTGGAAATATTAACTCTTCTGATCCAGAATCTGCTAACAGCTGGAATGTTTAAAATAATTTAAAATTCGGTACTTTTCGGTTATGAGGTTACACATTTATGAATTTTAAAAAGTTCTCAAAATGGTCAATATATCATATAAGTATAGGGTAGAAAAAGGTGCTGAGTCGAACGGTACCAATCTTTTTTCAAGAAGATTCTTGTGGACCGAGATATAGGGCTCGAAATGGTCAAAAATCATAGGGATTCCATAGGTAAGGAGCTAAAACAAATGATCATAGCTTTGTCCAAACTTGTCAAATCGCGTTGATTTATTTGTCATTCGACTCAGCTCGAGGAGCTCTTTCGAATGAGTTATCATTCAAAAAATGGAATTTTTCACCCCAAAAATGAGCTTACTACTCCCCATGGTTTTTGACCATCTCAAGCCCTGTATCTCGGTCCACGAGAATCTCCGTGAAAAAAGATTGGTACCGTTCGACTCAGCACCTTTTTTTACCCTATACTTATATGATATATTGACCATTTTGAGAACTTTTTAAAATTTGTAAATGTGTAACCTCATAACCGAAAAGTACCTAAAATTCTATTCAATGGAGACTTAAAATGGGAAAAAAAAATTATTTGCTAACATAAGAAAACTAACAATAGGAGGATGTATTTTGAGGAGGCTTTAATTTCCTCTTATCTTTTTTATCATTTCCAAAAAAATCAAATGTATTTTTTCAAAGGGTTTACGTGATTCTGCAGTCGTTCATTTAATTCATACTGGAGAACAACAACTAAGCAAAAGTTCTTCCCCTTTTGAAACAGATGCTGATTTAGAAGCTATAATTAAAAGAGCACAAAATGTCCCCATTTCTACAGCCTTTCCAGACCCGAGCTTTTTGGAAAATGGACATGATGATAATATTGCATTAAACAGAAATGAATTAATTCAACCTAGGTAAGGAAGGAAACGGAAGAACTTTTAAATTTTAAACAAAAAAATATTTTTTGGAAGAGTATTTTTAAAAAATTAATTTTTAGCAAATTATTCATGAAAACGTGGGTTTAAAAAATATATTAAGTGGTTTGTCAATAAGTATTGCTTATTTATTTGTGTGTTTGTTTTTAGTGATAGGTGTTTTAAATTTGATTTTTTTTATTTAAATTCCTTCTATTTTTGCTAAGTATCAGTGATTATATTCGGAATAATCAAGCAATTTTATTATTCGTAATTTGGGTTTTAAGATTTTATGGGAAAATATATGAAAAAAATTTTATGCTTAACAAAAGTACGGGAACTTTTGCCGCACCCTGTATAATATTCCCATTAAAGTTTTTATATTTTTCCATTTTTTGTGATTTGTTTTTACTCTTTTTTAAATTCTTTTTTATTAACGTCTGCTAAAAATTTTAATTTTCCTCCCTTCTTTTCAGTTTCCTCATTTCCTTCATGGTAGATGCACGTGGTGGTGCAATGAGGGGTTGTCGACATTCGGGTGTTCGTGTAATAATTCCTCCTCGTAAAGCAGAAGCTCCAACCCGAATAACTTGTCGTTACTTAAAAAAAGTTGTTATTTATTCAAAAATCCAAAAAATTTTAATTTTAAAGGAAAAATTGCCAGTTCCGCTTCGTTTAAGTGAAGGAGAAGCCTTAGCCTCTCGTATACTTGAAATGGGCCCGGCAGGTGCCAAATTTCTTGGACCTGTAATTCTTGAAGTTCCGCACTTTGCTTCGCTCAGAGGACGTGAAAGAGAAATTGTAAAGAATTTTTTTGAAATTTTTTTAGAAATCTTTTCTCTTGTTTGTAGGTAATTCTTCGCTCAGATGATGGGAAATTTTGGAAGGAACACCAATTAGAAGCGACTGAAGATGCTGTTCAGGCATGATTTTTTTAAGAAAAAAATATTCAAAAAATACCATTTTTAGGAAGTTTTAAATGAATCTTTCGATGCTCAAGAGTTACAACAATTGGATGAATTACACACTTCAAGAATTACTAGAATTTTGACTAATGATTTTCCAATGTATTTTGCTGTTGTTACTCGTGTTAGACAGGAAGTGGGTTTTAAAAAATTGCTTCTCTCCGAGGATGCTAAAGAGAATATAGGGAGGATTGGTGAATTCCAGAAAATTATTAGTAGAGGCCTTTACCTATGGCCTCTACTAATTGGTCCTTTACCTATGGCTTGAATAAAGCTTTGACTTTGATTAAAAAAATTATTTTTTAGGTACATTGTGTTGGTCCAGAAGGAGGAGTAATTCTCTCGTCTGTTGTTTCGAATGTTCAAGTAAATTTTAATTAATTTGATCTCGACCTAAATTTCAATTTTAAGGCAATATTTCCTGATGGTTCTTTGACTAAAACAATTAAAGTATCTCTACAAGCACAACCAGTCCCACAAGAATTAGTTACCAAACTTCATGGAAATAGAGTTGCTGTCTCTCCAATTGTTACGGTTGAACCGAGAAGGCGAAAATTCCATAAAGTAATTAATAATTTTATTTGGAAAATCCGAAAAAAAATTTTCGATTTTTTGTTGGATTACCTAAGGATATCCTCGGATATGCTCATTTTTGAATTCTAAATGTCCTTGCTAACATGCTCCATTTTTAAACATCATTTTATTAAAAATAATTTAAAAAATTTTTTCCAGCCAATAACCCTTTGTATTCCCTTACCTCAATCAACAAACAAAGGAATGTTAACACAATATCAACAAGAAAAACCTGGAAAGGACCAAAAAGATTCACAACAACCACAACATGAACCTCCAACACTTCGTCTTTTATGTAGCATTACTGGAGGTGTAATGCCTGCCCAATGGGAGGATATTACTGGAACGACACAATTAACCTTCTCTGGAGATGAGGTAGTAATTTTGAGGGTTTTAAGAGAGGAATTTAACAAAAAATAATTCTAAAATACAAATATTTCCAGATATCCTTCACAACAACAGTTTCTGCACGTTTCTGGTTAATGGATTGTCAGGTAAATTAAATTAAAACAATTTCCGATTTTTTAATTACATTCTAAATTCACTTTCTTTAAAATAACTGTCTTTAATTGAATGTATACCGAAAATTAAATAGTTCACTAAAATTACCAATCAACTAAAATTTAAAAAATTGTATATAATAAGGATTAGGAATCGGGCATCGAATTTTGCCCCGAAAAAGACTTGAGCGGTCCGGTTCGATAAAAATTAGGCCAGAAAAATGATTCGAACGTCGGCCCGGTTCAAAAACGGCAACCCGAATAAGGATCTTTGCATTATATAACAGCTCAAATACTCATTTTTTATCTCTATTTCTTCTAATTTACAAAAATTTTATATTAACTAGACCCCAAGAGATGCTGCAAAAATGGCCCAAGAAATTTACAACGAAGCAATAGCAATTCCATTTATGGCACGTTTTGCTGTATTTGGCCGTCGCTCATTCCCAACAGAAGGACAACTTAGAATGTTTTGTATGACAGATGATAAAGAAGAAAAAACATTAGAAAAACAAGAAGGATTTCAAAGAATTGCTGTTTCGAGGGATGTTGAAGTTTTGGAGGGAAAACATCAATGGCTAGAATTTGCTGGAAATTTAGTTCCAGTTACTAAAAGAGGAGATCAATTATCTATTTTCTTTCAACCTTTTCAAGAGAATAGATTGGCTTTTAATATTAAGGTAATTTGGAGGGATCAAATGATGCCTTTGGCCTAGCCTCTTACCTTTTAGCCCCTAACCTCTATAATTTCTGAAAAAATTCTTTTTTTTTGTATTAGGTTAGACAACAAGACGACCAGGAGGCTGCTTCTTCTGGCAAAGTTGCAATAATGAAAGAACCACTTAATAGAGCAGATATTTTACCTCCTCAACATCCAATTTGCATGCTATCAATTACTGTATTTTTAAATAAATTTTTAATTTAAAAATTTTTATTTTTTAAAGTTGCCAGACTACACAGGCCCATTACCTTCATTAGTTTTGTCTGAACAAAAAGGAGGAGGGGGAGGAGGTGAAGATGACCAATTCAAAAAACAGGCGCCTCTTATCCAACGTTATTCTGATGCTTTATCTACGAATGTAGCAGAGACTTATCCAAACATTCCAATCGAATTTGTTTCAAAAACTATTGGGGCAGATTGGGCAAGATTGGGAAGAGTTCTTGGAATTCATCCAGATGATATTAGACAAATTCGTAGAGAAGTCCCTTCTGGAGGAGGGCAAGAAGCTCTTCATATGTTGAAAATTTGGGTGTTTTTGAAAGGAACTTCTGCTAATGGTAATGAGGAAAAGGGGAATTAAAAAAAATTTTTTTTCTTGTTTTCAGAATCAGATCTCCGCCAAGCACTTCGTCAAATCGGTCGGGATGATATTTGTGTTAGAATGACAGATTCAGACAACCATTTAATGGGAGCAGCCGATTCAGACATTAATTTATCTTCTGCTGCAATTGGAACGCCTGTAAATTTAAGACAAGACTTTTCAAGCAAAGGTAGTCTAGTAACCCCTATACAACAGGCTAATAATATAATAGTTCCACAACAATCAGCACCAATTGAAGTATCAGCTATAGCTGCAGCAATTACTCCAACTGCTGAAGTTGCAGCAGCACCTTTGTTTGGTAGGGAAATTTTGTTAAAATTAAAATTAAAATATTTTTTTGTGTTTCAAAATAATTTTGAATGTAATTGTTTGTTTTTGCTTTGATGTTTTTTTTTGTTTTTGTCTTTTTGATCATGTTTTTATTTAACGATCTCTACATTAAATTAAAATAATAATTTTTAAATTTATTTTTAATTGGCCTGTTTGCTTTCTTTTCTTAATTTACCTAATCTCTTAAATTATTTTTGCTTTTTAAATTATTATTTTTAGAAAATTTAACATTTACCTATCTTTTTATTTATTAACGAGCGTTGAGGTGCCGCTTCGCGGCACCTCAACGCTCGTACATTAGTTTTTTAAATTTTTAAAAATTCAAATTTAATTTTTTTGGTTTTATTTTTAAGTAGTTTTTTTGTAAAAAATGAGTTTTTGTTAAAAGGTTTTTAGACATAAAATATTCCGCGATCCAAAAATAAGTTTTTTAAAATTCAGATTTCAGAGGTTTTTTTAAAAATTTTAAATTATTAGCAACAAAGTAGAAAATTTTATTTTTTGACTTAAGATTTGGCTTTAAAACAGTGTATTTTCGACAATAAATCCAATTAGTTCTTCGATACCGAAACGTTTTTTAAAAAAATTTAGGTTTCGTTAAGTTTCGCTTTGCTGAAAAAAATTTTGCTGACAGTGCAAGTCAGCACTTGGTTTCACTCAAAATCTACGGTTATTGAAATATTCCCCTAAAGCCCTCTTGAGCCTACATACAATCAATCCACAAAACACTCGATTTTCCCTTTGGAACCTCCAAAATACGGTAGTTCAAAACCGGTTAACCGATCTCCTTTTGTTGATGTGGGTTAAGTTTCGAATCCAGGTATGGAAATGTACTTTAAAAATTTTCTTTCCAAAAATAAATGTTTTTAAACTTTGATTTTAATTTTATGGTAGTATTTTTTAATTTTTAACTTGAGAAAAGTTTAAAAATTTTAACTTAGTCGTGAATTTTCCAAAATTTTCGCCTGCGGCGCAAAAAGGATGTGATAATAAGGATGTGATAGCTTCTTTCGGCAAATTTCATGTCTTTTAAAAAGGGGTACACCCCAACTTACCGCGAGCCCAACTCGTCGCAGAGCTATAACTTCGTTCAGAATGGTCGAATCCGGGACGCCCTGGTATGGTTCGATTCAGCTCGTTGAGGCGCATCGAAACATACCAAGACGTACCGGGTTCGACAATTCTGAACAAAGTTATAGCTCTGCGGTAAGTTGGGCTTGCAGAAAGTTGGCCTGCTCCCTTTAAAAAGTATAGATAGTAAATTAAAAACAGTCTATAAGAGGTCGAAAATATTTTATTATCCTTTTTTGATTCCCTAAATCCCACTACCGTATTTTCTCAATTAATTCCCCTCCCTCGAATAATTCTCCGTCTCGATTAATTCCCCCTGCCAGAGAAAGGTTGAAACAATAATTCCCCTCCCTCGAATAATTCCCCTCTCTCAAAAGAATTACACTTTTTTTTCTTCTCCTTTTTCCCTCTCTTAAAAAAGTAGACATGGATCAAAGTAGATTTAACATCTGAAATATCAAGGTATAGGATTTAGGGATGGCGTATTACAGGATAGCAATAGATTTGAACGTAATCAGGAAATATCAGAGGATTGAAGGGATAACAGGAGATATATTCGAAGGAGACGAAATTTAATTCAAATAGTGGGATAATGGGATAGTACAAAAAATAATATATAAAGCAGGTAAGTTTATATGGTTCCATACGTGGTGATATAATATATATCCCTTAGTATCGTATCATACAATGACCCCTTATGTGGTACCATAGTCTTAATACACCCATTTTCGAGTGGCGGTACGTCAATTGCGGATACGCACGTGCGGATGCGGCGATTGAGGATAGAAAATTTTTAAAAAGTTTAAGATTTTTTAAGTGCCACATTTGTCTAAAAATGATTCGGAAACCGTCAGAAGTCTGAAGCTGACAGCCGGGACAAAAAAACGGAATATCATTTCAATCATTTTTAAAATTTTTAAAAAATTTTTAATCCGCAATTGTCGCATCCGCACATGCGTATCCGCAATTGTCGTAACACCTTTCGAGTACATAATGAACTAAGTAACCATATGCATGTTTTATGGATTCATGATGGGGAATATAATGAAATAGTAGATAAATAAAGAAAGAAAAGAGAATGCCAAAACTTCATACTTTTTAAAATTCAGGAATGGGTTGAAAAAATAATTCCCCTCCCTCGATTAATTCCCCCTGCCAGAGATAGGTTGAAAAAATAATTTCCCAGGGAAATTAATCGAGAAAATACGGTATATCCTACAAACAGTCGAAGACGATTTAATCCATTCTACTTTGAAAAACAACATAGCAAGACAACGATTTGCCTTCTAGATTTTGGCACGAAGGCAAAGTTTTTAGTACATTATGTACCAATGACACATAAAATTCACATTTCCGTTGGAGATTAGACCAAACATATAATTTACCTCGGAAAATCAACTATTTGATTAAATTTGATTTCATTTATATCAATTGATATAATGGGATGATCAAATATCAAATAATATGAAAGTTATTTGATTATCCCAAAAATTCAATTTTTTAGTTAGAAAATGGTGAAAAGTTGTTAATTTAAAACCATATAGTCTAAAATTAATATCATGGGATTGAGGGGGCTATATGGGAATTAAAAGTAATACATGGGGATTAGGATGGCTTTCGGTGGATTAAGGGTGATATAAAATGGCTTGGGTGGATATCGATTGATTAGGAGAAAAATCGGGAGATTAAGTGGGATATCGGGGGCTTTGCAGGTAAATCATCAGATTTGTAGGGATATCGGGTGATTAAACCTTAAAGAATTCTCAAATTTTTGCCTGCGGCGCATTAAAGTAAGAAATCTGCTGTTTGATCTCCTTAAATTTTCTAAAGTTTAGGCTATGGCTGTTTAAGTGCGGCTGCTTTGAAGTAATATATTGTGTTGATTAAAGAAGGATTCTTCTAAATATCTTGATATCTCCCTTATTTCCTTCAAAACATTAATCTCACAATACTTTCTCCTCCAAATTAATTACAACACTTTAAACCACCACTTTAATCCCTCTAAATCCACTTATATACCCAGAAAACCTTTTTATCTTCAGATCTACTTATCTCTTAAAATCAACTTATATTCTCAGGTATCCCCTTTAGTCACTCCAAATCCCCATTAATTCCTGATAAATTAACCAATACGTCCTGAGATCGTTATATTTTTAGACTTTATCCTGTAATTATTACTTAAAACACCGATCCTCTGTCACGAACTCAACTTCCTCGCTGATTCGGTGCGGGGAACCGAAATGCCTGCTCCTGTTAGTTCGGAGTACAACCCTGCTTATTGATGTTTTGAAAATTTTAAAAATTGATATTTGTTCAAATATTTGTCATTTTTGACCATTTGTTTCAAATATTTTCATTATATTTAATTTCGTTTTTTTCTCGGATTTACTGATTTATATGCATATTACCTCGAAGCTTTTCCAAATTCAAATCCAATACCCCTCTTTATCCTAAATTCTCCTAATCATAATCCTTAATCCTCCTAAAATCACCCAATTTTCCACAATGACCCTTTAATACCATGTACTCAACTATACTGACTTAAATGGTGTTTCAGTAAAGTATCATAGTTGCGTCAAAATTAGCTCAGCGATTAAATGGCACTCGGCTGGTCTCCCTGCGATTAAATGGCAAACGGCTGGCACTCCTGCGATTAAATGGCGGACGGCTGGTTTTTTATTTACAGTTAATTTTTCTTCAAAAATTAGAGAAAAACAACTTTTTCTTGAGCGTAGAAGGGCTCCCATACAAAATACCGAATTCTTAAAATATGGAATCTCAAAATCGCGAATCGGCTAAAAAAGCTCAAAATATGGAATCTCAAAATATCGAATCTCAAAATATGGAATCCCAAAATATCGAATCGGCCAAAAAAGCTCAAAATATCGACAATGCGGCAAAAGCCAGTTGAGTCTGAACAATTTTATCAACAACTTCGAAAAAAATTTAAAAATATGCAAAAGGGTTTTTCTAGGGTAAAAAAATATGCTGATTACGAATCTGAGCTCGGATTTTGAAAAAGTCGAATCCCAGACCCGAACCGAGCTTCGAATCCCGAACCGAATTTCGATTTTCCGAATGATAGCTCATTTGAAAGAGCACGTCGAGCTGCATCGACTGACACCAAAATCAATGAAATCCGACTTTATTGGACTGAGATACAGACCCCTGAATAAACTGAAAAAGACCTGCACTCAATTGGCGGCACTCAAACGGCCCTTTTCGTTTTTAAAAAATTCGACATTTTTTTACTTTTTAGCCGATTCGGTATTTTGAGCATTTTAGCCTGTTCGAGATTTTGAGATTCGATATTTTAAGATTCCATATTTAGAGCTTTTTTGGCCGATTCCATATTTTGAGATATTTTTCCCGATTCGGTATTTTGAGCTTTTTTAGCCGATTCGCGATTTTGAGAATTCGGTATTTTGTGCGGGCACGGCGTAGAAGTGCTAACAATAGGTAAGAGAACACTACCGCGGCCGTGCTAGAGGAATTTTTTTTGTTATTTTTCGCTTTTATTTTTAAAGTCTTTTGTTTATTTTTCTCTAAATTATCGTTTAAAAATTTTCGCTTTAATAAAAATTCACTTTTTTAAGATGAAAAACTTGTAAACAATTATATCGTTTTAGTATAGTTAATTACTTCCAAGCTTCGAATATTTTCTGCTTACTTTTTAATCTTTTCCTAATTTCATATACAGTATTTTCTCTAATAGAACCACCTGTGGTTCTATTTTTCAACCCTTTCGTTTGGAGTGGTTGTATTGAGAAAATACGGTATTTACACTTTCTGTTTTATTGCAATTTTTTTTTCTCAAACTTGGGTTTAACCGCCGTTCTCCATAGAATCTGTCCCCGTCTGTAAAATTGAACCTACTTATAACTTCTTCGTGATTAGGAATGTTTCTGAGATCATTAAAAAGATTTTTATTTTTAAGAAATCCTTAATTGTTACTTAAACAATTTTAACAATTTGCTGTTTACTCTTTCTCTATTTTTTTATATGTTGTTTGTTGTTATTTTGTTACTGTTTATTTGTTTTCTCCAAAATATTTTTTAATGCTTCAATATAAAGGGGACTCCTTGAAATTAATCTTTTAGATAGAGTTTTTGTGTCTAAATCCGTAGAGACTGCTAATATGTATTATAGGTTCAGTCCTTTTTTTGGATTTTAAAATTGGGCGGTCGTTAACTGGTTCTATCCTAAAGCTTGACAGATAATTAAATTGTGAGCCCTTTTATTATTAAAGCATTTACTATATTTCCATAACCATATTGCTGTGTAATTTCTCATTTTTTTAAAATTTAAGTTACCCTTATACTATTTATTATCATCCCTAATTTTTAGCTGCCCAACCAGTTACTTTAACTGCTCCTGAACAACAAATTGACGTTGAAACAGTGGTTACTCGAACTGAACGTCATGTACATCATTCTGAGGACATTAATGAGCCTGTGGTTGATGAACATGTTACCACTCAGATTTTCCGAGACGGCCAACAGGTGAAAATAAAACGAAGATGAAAATAAAAATAAAATTCCTCATTTGTTCCAGATGGAACAACTCGAAGAGCGAAAACTTGGCCAGCCATTAAATGAACAAGAACAGGCTCAATGGGAAGAAATGACTGGGGCGCAAGTTGAAGGAGAGCCAGAAAATAACGAAGCAATGGATTATCTTGAAAGAAGTCGAAAGGCAATGGTTGTCGATGGAGATGAACAGCATTTAATGGAATATGATGAGGAAGGTCATCCAGTTGGACAAACTACTGTTAAAACAACTACTCTAATTACTACAGAGCATTTAAGAGAACCACCGCCAATTAATATTGAAGAAGTTGAAGAAGAAGAACCTCAGAAAGAAATCGAATCTTCTTCTCCAATGGAAGAAGAATCTCCTTCCCCAATAATAGTGGAGGAAGAGGATGAGAATAAACACGCTACGGGAATTCAGTCTCAGCATAGTAGTGAAGGTCCGTTATAGGGGGATATATTGTATTTTGTGTCCATTGATTTGTCAGCAAATAATTCAAAAACTTTATTTTATTTTGACCTTGATTTTTGACCCTGTAAAAACCGCTTAAAATATCTTAAAAATTTATAATGTGTTAGGAAATTCCTCTATAAATTTAAGAGTTTTTGGTTCATTACTTTCAAAGTTATGGTTTCTAAAATGAGATACATTTTCAGTAATCTTTCAACTATAACTTGATCATAAACCCAAAAATTCTGTGCTTTTTATAAGGGCTAAATAACACTGTTGAGGGTATTTTTGCGAATTTTTATGACCCTGAGCTCTTTTTTTAAGCCGTCTTCTATTTTTTATATAAAATTTGTTTTATTTGCTGACATATATGTATTTTTAAATCCACAAAAAAATATCCCAAAATTCTGTAAAGGTTCTTCTGTTATCATACACGATGATAAGCCGCAAGAAGCAGATGATCCCTTCAAAATTTATGAAGAGGAAATACATTTTCAAGAAGATAATGAACCCCTTACTGAAGTTGAAAAAAGTTCAACATTTGAAGAGAAAGATGAAGAAAAAGATGAAGGAGGAGGAGGAGGAACAGATTTAGGTGTAAGTACCTACGATAATGTTCATCGTGAAACAAGTAATGGATTTAATGAGGAAGATATTCAAGAAGAAGAGGAACAACAAAAAAGAGGTAGTCATGATGATGTAACTACAAAGTAGTAGAAAATTTGTAGAGTAATTTTTTTAAAAAGGCAGGCGAATTTTATAGCTAATTTTTAACTGATATTTTGCATAAAGGAAAGGCGGATTAAAGAATTTAAATTAATGACTAGGGTTGGGGGCCCGCTCAGGTTTGAAAGATCAGTCGGGTATCGAATTCTGGCCCGAAAAATTATAAAAATAAGGCCCGAAAAAATAACTTGAACGTCGGCCCGACTCGAAAACCCCAACTCTATTAATGACAATTAGATGTAACAAAATAATTCTTTAATAAGATTTCATCTTTGAACCTAACAATAATTATAAAATTGTGAATTTTTGGGCAACACTAAAATCTCCCTAAAAGAGATTGGGGGAGGGAAGGGGGGGACGGTCTTCTAAAATAACTAGAACACTAATACCCTTCCTTTAATGGATATATCGAGATTTAGTTTTAATTTTTTAATCAGCCTTTTCATGTCTTGTCCAACCCTTTTCGATCTTTAAAATAATTTTTAGCTAAAGCACTCTTTTTTCCTTCTAAATATAATTTTTAAAATAATTTTTCTTTTAATTTTTTAAAATTTCCTTTAGTCATTTAATTAGTTTTTTTCTCTTTAATTTTCGCTAAAAATCACGCAATTTATTAAAAACACTTAATTTAGTTTAAAAAACTTGCCAATTTTGCCACTCAATTTTTAAAAAATACTAGTAGCTAGTTTAATTTTTAATTCTCTCTAAATATATTTAATTAAAATAAATCTCATTATTAAACAAAACTACCCAAAAAAATTAAATTAATAAAAGAGGGAATGGATTTAAAAATAAATTTTCGTTTTTGTTAACTACAGAGTGACAAAAAAATAACCGGGCACTTTATTTATGGCGTAACTTTATTCAAATAAAAGATAATAAGATTACCGTATTTACTCTAATAATCCCCCAGTCCTTTATTAATTCCCCACTCTAGAAATGGGTTGAAACAATAATCCCCCTGGGGGATTACTAGAGAAAATACGGTAAATATAAATGGTAGAGAACTAAATAAGGTCAAAAATAACCAAGAATTTTGGAAGTAACCAACCTTTACTTGGATAAGAGCCGAAGGCGCGTGGAAAAATTTTGGGCAACATACTAAATTAACTTAAAAATATTCATTTTCTTAATTGGAATCCGTCCTAAAACAGACTTATTCTCAAACGGAAGCATCTCTCCAATAGAATCTCCCCTCTACTAAAAACACAATTAAAGCTCTACATCTCTAATAGAAAATTCAGTTTTTCGTTCAAATTTTTCCACCTCTAAAGACCCATAGATTTAAAAAATAATTTATTTAAAAATCCATTCTCTCTTATTAAAAAATACTTAAAAATTCTTTTTATTACTTAATCTATTTTTTAGTTTCTAAAATACTTAAAAATATACATATTTCTTTAAAAATCTGCAATTTATTTTTGTTATTGTTTTGTGTTTGGTTTAATATTTAATTATATTTTGTGCTTAAATAAATATTTTAGTAGTTGTTATTTTTTTGTTTTGTGAATTTTTAAAATTAAAAAATTTTGGGGGTATTTTTATTTATTAAAATAAAAATACATATATGTATATAATATATTTATTTATTGAAACAATTGGTGTGGGTAGTTCTTTTAAAGAAAAATATTTTTAATATAAGGAAAGAGTATTTGTAGGTAAAGCAAAGGATTAAATAGATATATTAAGTATCCTCTGTTTCTCTCTCACGTTTCTTTAAGTGTTTGTTATAGGCTAAATGCCTGCAATTGTTTGTTCCTCCTTCCAAGCATTAAATCAATCTTCAATTGAATCGATCCCCGATCAAGCTAAATTAGAAGGAATTAGTCTAGTCTTTCGTTTTATATTTTTGTTATTTAATAAATTCCTCATTCAATTTTATCCAAAAAACCGAAATTATTCCCGTAGATTCCCTTAGATTTGCCCAGATATAGACATAATATGTGAGACTTGTTCGAAGGTCAGTTCTGACAGTTTGAAACAATTTTATCTAAAGATTTGACTAAATTAATTAAAAATTATAAAATAAGAGAACCATGGCTTTCTATGATATAATCTAGAGCTGTCCGAGACTCTTGGTCTTGGTCTTGGAACCAAGACTTTTCTTGGTTTTTTTTCGGTCTTGGTCTTGGTCTTGGGGTGTTTGTCTTGGTCTTGTCTTGGTTTTATTTTTTGGTCTTGGTTTTTTGGCCTTTTTGGACCTAGTGCTTGGCCATCCAAAATCCTCAAAATTTTCGCCTGCGGCGCAGAAAATGGAAGAAATCTGACTTCTTGAGTCCCAAAATTCAAAAGTTTTTCGCCTGCGGCGCTGAAAAAGTGAATTTTTGTGGCATACGGCCTTCCAAAATTCTCAAAATTTTTGCCTGCGGCGCAGGAAAAAGAAGATTTTTGGCTTCTCGGCCTTCATAATTCCCAAAAATTTCGCCTGCGGCGCTGGAAAATGAAGAATTCTGGCTTCTTGGCCTTCCAAAATTGTACAAATTTTCGCATGCGCGCAAAAAGATAGGGATAAAATAGAGGATGGATATCAGCAGCCACCATCACCTAATCACCCAGGCCCCCCAACTTCATACTATTTATTTTATCCCTCATAATCCACTTAAATTCCCCTTTAAACCTCGATATCCTCCTTAATCCAAGGGCGTAGCCAGGGGGTCGATTTCGAATGGGGGGGGGGGTAACGTTGGGTATCGCCAAAATTTTGGCTTTACCTTGGCGTTCCAGACGTAAAATCCCACGACATCCCTCATAATTCACTAAATCCCACGGCAATCCCTCTTAATCCTTTGATATCACTAATATCCCGTTAATCCACCCAAATCCTCTGAAATAATAACCTATTTTATTGATTTTCCACACGAATAAATTCCCCGAAATTCTTTGAATTTCGCATAAATTTTTCGAAATTATAGATAATTGTGCTGAAGTTGACTGATCGTATCAAAATAACAAAAAATAAACCAAAAATTTGACCTATGGGATTTAAAAATTTGGTCTTGATTTCTGGTCTTGAGTCTTGGAGTTTTGGTCTTGGTCTTGAGTCTTGGTCTTGGAAAAAATTTTGTCTTGGGTCTTGAGTCTTGGAAAAATTTTGGTCTCGGACAGCTCTAATATAATCCTATCTTGTTTCCCAATATTATATACATTCTCAATTTATAAATATTTTTTAAGTTATTCATCCTATGGGTGGAAAAAGCTGCTTAAAAGCGATACCTTCTTTATATACGTCCTTATTGTCATATCTTTCAGTTTCAATTGTATAGGAACAAGATCCGACGCACTATTAGATTATTTTTGTATTATTACCTAGTTGTACTCTCTATTAGTTAAATAGCATTTAAAAAATAATGTCCGATACAAGAAATATTCCAATAAAATTCCAACAACCATTCTCTTCAACCTCCTCACAACAACAAAGTCCCCAACAACCCCAATCCCAACAAAAACCTTCTTCAGTTGACAGATTACGTCAACTTGAAGCAGAAATAACTATAGAAGCAGCAGGTATGCGTTTACCTGATGATGATGCTTTAACTGAAAAATTGGGTAATTTCCTTGCCGAAAAGCACCCCCAAGCAGATTTACAAATAACTGTAAATTCTGTTAGAAGAACAATAACAACTAAACAACAATATGAAACGGTTTTGAAAAAAAATATTAAAAAAAATTTTAATAAAAAAAATAAAGGAAACTCCGGGAATGGTTGGTCTTAATGTAGAGAAATTGTTGGAATTGCAGAGGAAATTAATGGAGAAAATTAGTAAGAAAGAAGGGGGATTTAATTAAATAATTGGGGGGGGGGGGATTTACGTATAATTTAAAAATAAATATTTTTGTGGTGTTTACTATTTTTATTTTTGCTTGTTTGTTGTGTGTGTGTGCTTTCTCTATTTTTTTGCTTTTTACAATTTAGTTGATTAAAAAATTTATTTTTAAAAATTTCCTTCCCAAATTAGCCACATTCTCCTGGTTATTTTAAAATAATTAAAGTAAAACAATGCTGGATATTTTGCCTAATTATTAATTAATTTAGAAGATACTTTTCTTCTCTCGGAAAAGAATTCCAGTTACAGCTGAAACTTGAAGTCCCGTATTGTTTAAAATATCCAGCATTGATTAAATAAATTTTTCAGAAAAATTTAAAAATTAAAGAAAATATTTTCTCTTTTGTAGGTGCAAATAAAATTGAACCAGCAAAAGATGCTAGTGCCAATCTTGAAGACGAGAAAAAAGAAAAAGAGGAAGAATGGGCGAGAAGAGAAAATCCTGGTAATTTTTAAATAAATTTTAGGGGAATGTGGCATAAATTTAGAGAAAAAAATTCCTTAAAAAATTCCCTTAAAAACTCTAGAAATTCAACAATTTGAACAAATACAAGAAAGTTTTCCAATTGATGACACAACAATGGTTACTAAAAAACGGACACATATAATCTCTACAAGCCAATCTCGTGTTAAAGGTTTTTGATATTTCCACAAAAAGTCGTTGATCGGTTAAACAAAAAAGTTTTTTTTTGTATTTTTGAAAGTTTAATTTTTTTGTTTTTTTCTGTTTTTTGTAAAGATTTTTGTTTTTAACGAAATTATTTATTATCTTTCATTATCTACATATTTAGAAAACTAAAAATTAAATTAAAAATTGAGTGGCAAAATTTCTGGCAATACTCTCGATTATTTTATATTTTATATTGTATATTTATTTACATAATTTCATAAAGTCACATTAAATATTTCACTTTTCTTTAAAACAAGCTAGATTTAAAATTCTAGAAGTAGCCAAAACATCAAGTAACTAGAAAGGAATTTGAAATATCTTTTTTGATGTCTTTCCCATTTTTAAAACAAAATTTTTTCTATTTGGATTTTTATTAAATCTTTTTAGTTTGAGATAGGAGGGTGGGAAGCAGTGTTGGTGGATTTGGCTATTTCTTATAAATTAATATATTAGTGATGTTCGGGACTTTAAATTACGATTTCTAAAGTCAATTCCCGATTCCATTTTCTAACTCCTAGATTTTTCCTTTCCCCGAACATCCACCTAGAATATACCTACTTCAATTAATCACTTGATTTTAATGCAAATTACATCTTTCGCTTTTTGTAATATTTTGGATAAATAAATAAACTTTTTGTGTTTAACTGATCAATGACTTTTTTTAAATTAAATAAAATTTAAAAAAATTTGGTTAAAAATTAGGACTTGATGAGTTTGCATCTGCTGCTCCTTCCGCTGGTGCTGCAGGTTATTCACCTCAAGCATCACCTGCAGAACAACAATATCCAATTAGAGATGAAGGTTGGTAGATTAATTAATTTTAATTTTATTAGAAAATATTATTATGCTGTGTTTTTGTTTGAAAATATATTGTTTGTTTGTTTGAATTGTCTGAATTAAGGCTGCTCGGTATTTGCGGATAAAACAGGGATATTTTTGGATATTTGTTGATATTTAGAAGTAAATAGCAGCAATATTTTATTTTTATAATTTAAAAAAGCCCGCAAATATTAATTTAACAAAAAAGTTGTTTGAAATTTTTTGATGTTCTTTAAAATTAAAAATAATTTTTCTCCTCACCAAATTTTTTTTTTCTTCCTTTTGCCGTCCTTGCTGTATTTAATGACTCTAAATACTTAATACTTTGCTGTATTTTTTATCCAAAAATTCCCAAAAAAACATTTAAGGCCGTCAATCATTCAATCGCCCTCCTCTCCTCCTTCCTTCTTTCAACAATTCAGCAACTTCTCGAACACAGTCAATAGAGAAAACAATTCCAATTTATAGAGTTTAAAAATTAAATTTTTAGAAAAGATTTTATATAAAGAATTGTTTTTATTATAAAATATATATTGTTTAATTTGAATAGAAAAAATAAATAATTAAAAATATTTTTGGAACAAGAAAAGATCCTAAAAAATTTGGAAATTATTTTAAATTAAACAAATAAAATATTAATTGAAAAATTAAGAATTTTTTTCAAACAATGAATATAGTCTTGTTTTTGAATAGGTCTCAGAAATTGTATAGGTCGAGATAATGTTTAGGAAACTAGACTGCTTAATAAATATTCGGATTTCTCTAATCTCGGTCTTTTTCGCTAGCCTGGTTTAAAAAAGTATGTATACTTTAAACAAAAATTTTTATTTAAGAAAATATTTTTTTATCATTATTTGTAATTTGTGAATGTATCTCACTATGTAAATGTAATAATTAATTATCAAAATAAGTATGTATAGTGGTGTGTTTAGTTGATAAATATGTAAAATTCAAATTAAAAATAATATATTTCAATCAAAATTAAAATTTAATTAATTCCTTTTAATTTATTTAACCCAATTTTTGGAATTTCCATTTATTTTAGGTAATTTAAGGGAATATTTTACTTTATCTTAAATAAAAATCTAAAAATTAAATAAAGGAATGGATTTGTTTCTCACAGATTAGTGAGGATTATAATGAACAAATTTTGATCTAAATTTTATAAAAAAAATTCTTTAAATAAATTTTTTAAAACAATTTTTAGAATCCCCACTTCCACCTGAATCCCTCTCAATTTCAATAACTTCACAACCAGATTCTTTAATGACAACAAGTTCAATTAGTGTAAAAGATAAAATAGCACAATTTGAATTGCTTAAAAAAGTTGAGGAAAGTGAAGATACTGTTGATGGAGCAAAAAGAAGATTTGGGTGGTATCCACAACCGAAAAAAACTCCAGATAAGGTAATTCATACGAGGCTGGGAACTTAAAAGGTGTTAATGCCCTTAGGGTCTTATGAAAGTATCAAAAATTTATAACTACAACAACAAAATAAGTTAGAAATATGAAAATCAACTTTTTGACAAAAATTCCTTAATTATTATTTTTAATTAAAAAAATTTAAAAATTTTTAAAGTCAGATAATAATGGTAAAAATATTCAAGCAAATTTTTACGATTTTAGATGTTTTTTAGGGTTATAAAATTTAAAAATGCTAATTTTATTTTAATATTTTTAAGGAAAAATCAGAGGAAAGAAAAAGTCCTCGAGACGAGCAAAGACAACCATCTCCAGTTGGCAGCGATGTCCCCGGTGCAAATAAATCAAAAATTCCTCGAATAACTTCCCCAACTCGTTTAACACCTTCACCTACAGTTTCCCCTCGAAAACAAGAAGAAAAATTTCAAGAAATTGAAAACAATTTTTTATTAGAAAAATTTGAAGAAAAAGGAGAAGCAAATTGTTTAAGAAAAGAATATATAAAAATTGAAGAATATTTATTTTATGAAATTAATGAACCCTTAATTGAAGAAGAAGAAGAACATTTTATACAAAAACCACAAGTTTTTCATTCAATTGTTACTGATGAACCATCACATGTGGAAGCTTTTGGGGAAATTGAAAGGAGAAAAAGAGATGTTGAAAAGACTGATTTAGGTAAAGTGGGGGAAATGATTATTAAATTAGGGTAGAGATTTTTAAATTTCTGACTCGAATTTTTCTAATGAGAATCATATTTTATTATCTCCCAGGATTCTAGTTGTGGCAAATTTTGAGGGTTGTTAAATGGTGAATTAAGATAATGGAGTGACTAATATTTTAGAATTCTCTTTATATTCTGAGAATTTCTTTATTTCCCGTAACCCGAACCGACTTATCTCAACCCCATCCATCCCTTCCCACCAATCTCTTCTTGAATATATAATTTTAGATTTCACTCACACCTCAAATGAAGATGGAGACGATCACTTTGAAGATCAAACAGAAAAAGAAGAATCGTATAAAGATGAGATATATGAAAAAGAAATCCCTCAAGAAACAGAAAAGTTAGTTAAGGATGAAGAAATTATAGAAGGTGAGTATGGAAAAGAAGAATATTTAATTGAGAATGAAGAAAGGGAGGAAAAGAGAAAATTGGAAGAATTGAAACAAGAAAAAGTTGAAGAAGAAGAAGAAGAAGACTTTGAATTTGTTCAAATGCCGAAGGAGGAAGATGAATTTGTAAAAATGGAAAGTGAAAAAGAAGAAATTGAGGAAAAGAAGGAGGAAAATAAAGAAATATTTGGTAATATTTTTTAGAAAATTAATTTTAATTGGGTAAATAATTTATTTTAATAAATTTAATAAAGAAAAAGGGATAGAGGTTTTTATGGATAAAATAAATAGTGTCCATGTAAATGTCCATATATTTTTTAGTAATGAGCGAACCTCTACAAAAATCTGAACAAATTCAATCAACTGTGTGGCTTGATAAAGTGCCTGTTGAAAGTTTTATTAATGAAAAAGAGGTTTTAGAAGAAAGAAAAGCACTATTATGGCCAGAAGAAGAAAAGGAAAAATTAAAAGAAACAGAAACTTTAATTGAAGAAAAACCTTGGTGGAAGACAACAAAAACAGAAAAAGAAATTTTAATTTCAGAAGAAGAAAAATTAAAAGAAGAAAATAAACCAGAAATGTTAGAAAATCAACAAAAAATATTTGTTGAAGAAAAAGAGAAATTAATTGAAGATGAAAAGGATGAGGAAGAAACAGATGAACAATCTAGGTAAATTAACTGGGAAAATTCTCTCAATTATTTTTTTATTAATTTTAAGCACTCATACAGTGATACATAGACCAGAAGTGCTTATAGAAGAAGCTGTGGATATTACACCTTTAATGGATCGAGCATTTTCACTACAAGGGGAAGAGGTGAAACAATTAAAGTTGATTTAAGAAAATAATATTTCAACCTTTAAGGGTTGTCAAACACCCACAATGAGTGCAGCTCGATGGAAAAGTTTGGACGAACGTCATTCCCCTTCTTCACTTAGTTCACCAGTCCATTCTTATCCTTCCCCTTCGCCTATAATTGAAATTACGCCTCCACCAATTGAAGATGAGGAAAAATGGGAAAGGCGACAAATGAGGGATAATGAAGAAGAGAGAGGTATCTTGATAAAAGAGGAGGAAGAGAGGAACGAATTTAATGAAAATGATAGGAATGAAGAAGATGGGCAGAAAAAATTAATGGAAGAGGAATATGAGAAGAAAGTTGTGGAAGAGGAGTATGAACAGAAAAGATTAATGAAGGAACAAGAGGAAGAATTGCAGAGATTAGTAGAGGATGAAGATGAGAGAGATAAATTTAAGGAGGAAGGAGATAAGGAAGATCGATTAATTGAGGAAGAACAAGAAGATACGAATAAGAAATTTGTTGAAGAAGAAAAGGTTGAGGATGAACAGAAATTAATAAAAGAAGAAGAGAAGAATTTTATAGAAGAGAAAGAGGGTGTGCGGAAAGAGTCTATAGAAGAAAATGATAAACATGAAAATTTTAATAAAGAAGATGATGAGAAAAATGAATACGGTGAAGATGAGGATTTCGGAAAGGAAAAATTGATGGCAGAAGAGTATGAGAAGAAACCGCTGACAGATGAAAATGAGGATGGTGGACTGGAGACTTTTATCGAAAAAGGTAACGTAGAGAAGGAATATATAGACGATAAGCAGAAAATATTTATTGAAAAGGATAGGAAGGAAGTAGTTAATGAAGAGGTAGAGGATGAGAAGAAGAGATTAGTAGAGGAAGAGAGGAAAGAATTATCAGAAGAAAAACAAGAGCATATGAAAAATGAATCTATCCAGGAAGAGAAAGAGAAGAATGAATTTATCGAAGAGAAGGATAAGGGAGAATTTACCGATGAAAATGAAGATAAGAAGGAATATATAATAGAAGAGGATGTGGGGGAAAGATATACGGAAGAAAACGAGGAGAAAAATGAACGTGCAGAAGAAAAGGAAGATAGGATGATATTTTTGGAAGAAGAAAAGGAATATATAGAAGAGGAGGATGATGAGAAAAAATCGTCAGAAGAAGAGGAAGTGGAGAAAGAATATATGCAAGAACAAGAGGAAAGTACGTTAATGGAAACAAAAAAAGAGTATAGTGAAGAAGAGGATGCTGGAAGAAAATTTAATGAGGAAGAGGAGGAAAGGAAAGAACATATAGAAAAGCAAGATGAAAAGAATATATTATTGGAAGAAGAGAATGAATATTTAAAAGATGTGGCTGAAGAAAAGAAATTTACGGAAGAAGTGGAAAAGATAAAGGATTTTACTGAAGAAGAGGATGAGAAGAAATTACTCGAAGAAGAGAAGAAGGATCTTAGTGAAGAAAGGTATGAAAAGGATTTAATAGAAAAAGAATTAGAGGACGACCAGAAAGAATTTTTGAAAGAAGTGGAAAAGATAAAAGAAGATGAGCGGATTAAATGTATGCAAGAAGAGCAAGAAAAGAAAGAATTTAGGAAGGAAAAGGATGAAGAGAGAATATCTTTAGAAAAGGAGAAAGAGTATATTGAGGAAAAGAATGATGAAATAAAATTTAAAGAACAAGAGGAGGAAATAAAAGATTATATAGAAAAACATGAAGAAAAGGAGGAAACATTTTTAGGTGAAGAAAAGGAATATATAGAAGAAGGGGATGAAGGAAGGAAATTGACGGAGAAAGACGCAGAGAAGAATGAACATATACCAGAAGAATATGAAGGCGAAAGGAAGACATCTTTGGGTGAAGAGAAAGAATATTTAAAAATGGATGAGGAGGAGAAATTGATGGAGGGAGAGCCTGGAAAGAAAGAACATATAGCAGAACAAGAGGATAAAAGGAAGACACCTTTGGATGAAGAAAAAGAATATTTAAAAGAAGAGGGGGAGAAATTTATGGAGGGAGAGCTCGAGAATATTGAACATATAGAAGAACAAAAGGAAGATCAGAAGATATTTTTAGAAGATGAAAAGAAATATATAGAAGATGTTGAGAAAAAGAAATTACCGGAGGAAGAGGAAGAAAAGAAAGAATATATAGAAATCCAGAAGGAAGAGGATAACTTAACGGATGAAGATAGGAAGGAATATATTACGGTAGAAGAGGATGAGAAAAAGGAACCAACAGGCGAAAAAGTAGACGATGATCAAGAGAGCTATATTGAAGAAGATGATGCTGGAAGGATGTCTACGGAAAAGGAGGAAGGAAGGAAAGAATATATAGAAAAAGAGGAGGAGAAGAATTTTTTGGGTGAAGACGTGAAAGAATATATTGAAGAAAAGGAGGAATTAACAGACGAAAAAGTAGATGATGTTCAGAAAGAATATAAGGAGGAAGAAGGAGAAAAAGGATGTGTTGAAAAAGAAGATACTCAAGGGAAGCTTACGGATAACGTGGATGAGAAAAGGGAATTTATAGTAGAAGAACATGAGAATGAAAGTAGAAAATTTGTTGAAGAAGAAAAATTAGATGATGAGTATAAGAAATACATGAGTGAAAAGCATGATATGAGTGATTTGACAGTTGAAAAGGTAGATGATGGTAGAGAAAAATTTATGGAAGAGGATGAACAAAGCAAATTAACGGAAGAACAAGAGGATGAGCTACAGAGATCTATGGGAGAAGAGGATGATCATAGGAGATTTATGGAAGTACATGAAGAGAAGAAAGAATATATAGAAGAGGATGAGAAAAGGCAATTAATGGATGAGGAGAGAGATCAAGAGGAGAGACTTAAAGAGGATAGAGGTCCTAAGGAATTTGTTGATGAGGAAAAGAAAGAGGAAGAAAGAAAGAAATTTACAGAAAATGAGGAAGAAATGTCGAAATTTACTGAAGAATCTGATGAACAGAAGAAATTTCCTCAAGATGTTGCTGAACAGATGAACTTTTCAGACGAAAGGAATGAGGAGTTAATGAAAGAAAAAGAGGGAGAGTTTCAAGGATTAGAAGAAGATGATACGCAGATGAATCTTAGCGAGGAAGGGGGTGAATCGAAAGTATTTATTGAAGAAGGAATTGATGAAAAGAAAGAATTTATGGAAAATGAGGAAGATGATAAATTTACCAAAGTGGATGATAGGAAATTAATAACAGAAGAACATGAGGATGAAAAGGAATTTATAGAAGAAAAGGGTACGAAGGAAGAATTAATATTAGTAAAGGATGAGCCGAAGGAATTTGTTTACGAGGATGAAAATGATAAATTTTTGAAAGAAGATGAACAAAACAAATTTATCAAAGAAGATTACGCTCAAAATAAATTAATTAAAGAACATGAAGATGAACCGAAGAGGTTATCGGTAGATAAAGAAGAGAAAAATGAATTTATGGAGGAAGATGAACGAAAGGAAATTATGAAAACTGATGAGTTAGAAAAAGAACATTTATTTGAAAAAGAAGTTGCTAAACAAGCGGGTGAACTCGTTGATAATGCTATTAAACGAGCACTTGAGGACAGTATGATACTTCAACGTGATACATATCTTGAGGAGGCTAAAAAGGTTCCTGGCCATAGAGAAGAGGAGGAGATGAAGAAATTTACTGAAGAAGTTGATGAACAAATGAAATTTACAGACGAAAGAAATGAGGAGTTAGTGAAAGAACAAGATGAAGAGCTGCAGAGGTTGGAAGAAGAGGCTAAACGTAAAAATTTTATCGAGGAAGGAACAAAATTGACAGATGATAAATTAGAGGACGAAGACATCAAAGACGAACAAATTCTTGTAAATATTTCCGAATCTAGAAAATCCTCTGAATCAGAAGAGGAGGACGAAGAAATATCCTTACTGACAACAGAGGAGAAAGAAGAAAATGAAGGAGAAGCCAATAATTCTCCCGAATTAGTATACGGCGATGGTGATGAGGAATTAAGTGGAGAAAATAGTCAACAAAGCCCTTCAGAATTGTATAAAGCTGGGGAAGGAGAAGAGGGAAGAAGAGACCATCATCATTCTTTATTACCTTCCTCTTCACTTCTTTTACCTTCAGGAATACCGAGAAGACCAAAGTCTCCACTTCCACCTCCAATTGCTGCAACACCACCACAGACAGGAAAAGTGGAGAATATTGAAAAGGATGAAGAAAAAAGGGAGGAAGTGGAGGAAGAAGTAGAAATTGAAGAGATTAAGCGAGAGGAAGAAGAGGAGGAATCTATGCTCTTAAGCGATGGTTAGTTAAATTAAAATAATAATTCATCTACATGTACTGCTAAGTTAAATTTTCATATTTTTGGTTCTTTGGGATTTTGAGAGACTTCCACTCTAACGACCTTGATGAATAAAAATTCAATTTTCTTATCACTTTATTTTCTTCAGTTAAAATGCCAGTTGATAATTTACTCGTGTTTTCTACACATAAAGATGGTGATGAGGATGAAGAGCATTATTTTGGACCCACAATTTCAGAGGAACGTGATACTCTTGGTCCCGACTTGATGATTGTACATTCAAAAAGCTTGGAGGAAGTAAAATCTCATGGAAAAGATATAATTGACGATCCATGGCTTTCCTCTTTTATTAAAGAACAAAAAGAGAGAGAGGATTGGGGACAGAAAAAAGAGGTGAAAATTATTTCAATTATTTCAAATCAAAATTTTATTTTAGGTGCAAATTGAAGAAACTGAAGGAGAAGAAGAGCCATTAGAAGAACCTCAACATCAAATTGGAGGCTCTCTTGATACCTCACCATCAGAAAAAAGACGTAGACGAAGTTCTGCTGCTTCTGTTCATGGTTCTACAAATGGAAGTTTATCTGAATTTGAAAGAATTGAACAAGAAATAATTGAAGGAGGAGGAAGTGCAAAGAATCTAAATTCAAGTCCGCAACATTCTCCTGAAGCTGGGGAAGGAAAAAGAAGAAAATCGGCCGGGAAACAGCAACATCAATCACCAACGAGAGAGGGAGGTGTTGGTGCTGCTCATAGAGGATCTGGTAAATTAAACTTTCTTGTAGTATTATATTAACAGATAGAGCTTTTAAATTTAATTTTTTAATATTCTTAACAGCCGATTCACTCAATGAATTTGAACAATTGGAAAGAGAAATACACGAAGCTGTTGCTTCTGAAGATATAATGATGTTAAGCGATATTAGAGAAGATGAAGAAGGTGAAGAAGTAGAAGGTTATGAATTAAGTGGAGAAGAAATTGAAGAAGAAGAGGAGGAGGAAAATGATGGAAGGGATTATTTAGGGAAGGAATTAAAAAAAGAGAATAATAATAATGAAGTAATGATGATTAGTTCTGGTTATGATTCTAGTGGACAAAGTAGGGTTTTTTAAATAGGTACATGTACAATAATCAAATTCGAGAAATTAAAAATTTGGGAATTGGGAAAGATCGAGGAGTTCTTTTCAGTTATGTAACCAAAATTGTTCAAAATTTTAATTTTATAATTTTGATTAGAAATTGTTTAAATGGAGAAAAAATAAGGGTTAGAGAGCGAGAGTAAGTTACTCCTCTCTTGCCAACACTTGACTTTTAGGTGTATGCCAATTGAGTCTATTTGAGTCTTGAAATATGTGAATAATTGTTCGGCTTTTTTATTACTTTTTGAGATTCATGTACAATCAAAAGAAAAACTTGAATTCCAAAAAGTATTTCCTGAATTTAAAAGAGTGATTATTCAAAATAATCTTTCAATTAATTTTAGCACAACAAATTGAATTAATTGCTCAACAACAATCTCCTAAATCTGAAAAAATATCACAAATATCATCAATAGAAAAATCGTCAGAAAATCTAACAGAAACCCCACTTCCCCCAAAACAAATACCAGAAAAGTCTGAAAAAGAAGAAAAACAAGAAGAGGAAGAAGATAAAATAATTACAAATATTTCTCCAAAACCAAAAATAATATCAGAACAACAAAAACCAGAATTTAAAGGAGAAACAGAAAATTTATTTAAACAACAAAAAGAAATAATTAAAAAACAAAATATTCCTTCAACTTCTGAAAAGAAAGAAGATTTTGTTTTTGGCGGGGGAGGTGGAGGAGAAATAATAGTTCCGAGTGGGGGAAGTTTAGATAAAGAAGAAGAGGATGATGATAATTCTGAAAAAACAATTTTTGAAACTGTTAGTGTAAATTCGACTGATGGAAGTGAAGAAAAGATTGTTAGGTATTTGGATCTATAATTGGCTTTTGAAAATTAAAAAAATAAATTTTCAGAACAGCAATAACCAGAGTTCGTGACCCAATTTATAGCCGTGTCCGTTTTGCAGGGACCGAGGTAGAAAAAATATTTTTTTTGATATTTTTGTAAAAAATTCATTGTTTTAAAGGATGAGCAACAAATAAAAGCAATTTTAGAAAGTGGGAGGACAGATGAATTTGAATTGAGAGATCCAGAAGGAAATATAACACGTTTAAGGACTGTTGTTGAAAGGGGGAGTACTAGTAGTAGTACTTGATTTTTAAATTAATTAATTAAAGTTTTGTGTTTGGGTTGACACAATTTTTGAGAATTTTTTTGTTAAATTTTAGAGAAGAATATTTAATTTATAATTGTGTCAAACAATTATTTCCTCTTCATTTTGCCATTGTTTAAAAATATTTTTAGTTATTTAGAATTTCTCTTTTGCCTTTCTTCTTTTAATTTTCAAATGCTCGATCGCTTTTCTTTTACTCTCAGCTTTTTCTTTTTAAAACCTTGCATTTTTTATTTAAAAAATATTTTTCCCAGTTTATTCCTTTTTTGCTTTTTTTATAATTTAAAGTTTATTTCTTTAAGTTTTACCTCTATTTTATGCATTTACTTAAATTTCTATTTTTATATAAGAATTTTTGTTGAGATTTCTGAATAGGAGAAAAAATTTTCCTTGTGTCTGGATTTCGGATGGGAAATCAAAAGTAAAATAGAGGTTAGGACTTCATTACTTTCTTCAAAGCACTTCTCTTCCTTTTTCCTATATTTTTTAATTAATTAAATAACCACCAACAAAATTCTCTCACAATTTAATTTAAATATTTAATACATTCCTTAAAATATTGCAATTTATTTTTTTAATTTTTTGCTAAGTCATTTGTTTTTTTGATATTTGGAATATAAAAACATTCCTTAAAAACATTGTAGAACGAGCTCTTTTTTTAAAAACAAGATTTTTTTGTTATTTATATTTTGTATGCTTATTTTTAGAAAATAAAAATTTATAATTTTAATTTTAAAATCAAAATATAGTATTAATTATTAACAAAAAGAATATGTTTAGTATCGAAAAATACAGTGATAAAATTTTAAGAATAGTTAAAATTAAATTAAAAGGATAAACTAAAAAAGAAAATTGAGGTTTTATTTCTCATGTTTGCGGCGAAAATTTTGAGAATTTTGGACGCACTTAAGCCAAAAAATCTTTCTTTTTTTTGGGAAAATTTTGCTAATACAAATCCTCCTATATCAGCCGAACTACCTGATACTCCTCTTGATTACCCGATATCCATCGAAATTCCCTGATATCCTCTTTGATTTTCTGGTATTTATTTCCACCGACCCTAGAATTATGTATATCTATCGTTCTTTGAATTGGAGGTGTACAATGAAGAGATGAGGATTTTTGGGATTAACGGAGATTACTCCATTTTTATCAATGACTTGGTATATCGGCAGATTTAAATGGATTGGTCGAAACCGGACTTAACAATTAAAAAAATTGTTTAGTCTCCGTGTAGAAAATATTTCAACTTCGAACAGGTTTTTTGTTTTGTATTTATTAAATGTTTATTTTATTTTTAATTCCCACATTCAAATATATAATCGAATTATACCCTCACAACATTTTTAAATGTTTTTTTTTCTTTTTAAATTTAAATTACATAAATTTTATTTACTTTTCCTTCTCATATTTCTTAATCATTTCTTTCTTCGCATTTAGACATTTTCCTCTAGGCCCATAATTTCGAGTACTTTCATCATCCTTCTGCCCCTATAAATATCCTCATATTTTTACATTTTTATCTCTTCGAGCCTCCCCTCCTTTACCCAATTTATGTTTTGTTGAAATAATTCTAAATAAATACCTCATTCAAGTTTAGGGTCGTTTTAATATTAAAACTGGCTATGCTAATACAATTCCGGCTGTAGTTTAGTATACTGAAGTTTCAGTTTCGTACAAAACACAAACCATTCGATTCGTCTCAACGAGCTCATGAATGAGCTAACATGTGCATTTTCGAAGTTTCACCCCAAAAAAGTGCTTCCCCCTCCTCATGATTTTTCGATTTTTGTGACCTATATCTCGGTCTATAGGCATTTCCACAAAAAGAGTGGTTTCAACATTTTTTAATTTTATTTCGATTTCATTTAGTGAATAATTTTTGAAACTTTTTAAAAATATAAAAAAAAACAAAATTTTTGTTATTCTTGTAAAAATGACCTTATCAAAAAAACAACAAAATAATAAACCAATTCCAATTGAATTGATTTATGAAATATCAAGATCAATTAATGGATATGGAAATTTATTAATAAAAAAACAAATAAATGATACATCAAAACAACAAAAATATTTTGTTTCGAAAATTAAATGTAGTGAAAATGTGTTAATTTCTTCTAGAATAATTTACTTATTTAGTGGCAATACTTTAAAAGAAATATTGGTATAGTATTTTTTGTTTTTATAACTTTAGTTTGAGTACTTTTCCACTGCGTTCTTTTCTATATAAAATATGAAGAAGCGTCACATTTCTCCTTCAAATAATGGAAAAAATAAAATTTAAACTACAAATTATAACTTGATAAAGTATCTGCCCGCAAACGATACTTCGCTCCAGAACCAAAACAAAAAAAGCCTCTCAAGAGCCAAAAATTTTGCAACTAAAAATAAAATAAAGAATTTAAGAACGCAATTAGATACCTAATTAAAATATTTTTCTTTGGAAAAGAAATTTTTTTCAAATTTCATCTTAAGCGGAAAAGGGTTGTTGACCAGAAAGAGAGCTTACTCCATCTAGAAGATATCGAAATATTTTTATGGTTGAAATTTTTTCTAAATTTTATTTTTTCAGAATTATTTTAGAAAAATTAACAAAAGAAAAATTAGGGTAGTTAAGCTTGAAGATCTTATTAAAAAAATTGAGATTGAAAAACAAGAGAAGATAAGAAAAACTAAAGAAGAAAACGCACACGAATTGTTGCGCACGAGGAAGATCCAGGATATTCTGGACAGAGTAACCGAACAATTTAATAAGGAAATTGAAGAAGAGTATAAACAAAAGATGGAAGAATTAAAAAAGAAATATGAAAAACAAGTACGAATATCATAATTTTCCATTATAAATAATCTAAATACATAGTAATTTAGCTTATGACCAATTCAGTTTCTTCTCTATAATTACAATTTTATCTCCTAAGATCTTTTAAAACTTTCAGAAAATCATTAAATGCTTAATTTCAAGGTGCTTTTTTTGCCCAAAAACAAATTGGTAAAGGTTGCTGAGGTTATGAGTTGCTGTGATTCAAAATGTTTGCCTGCCGGTTCTTTTTGCCGTAATGCTAACGGAATCGTCAAGATACGCAAATGCGGTTTTTTGGCAAAATACTTATTTACTATACTAAAAAAACGGAAAATAAACTTTTTTGAAGGGAGAAAAGAAATTTTTTTTGAAACGAAATTTTTTAAAAAAAGTAAACAAGAAAAAAACAAGAAAAAAAAATAATAAAGGAAAGAGAGAAAAAGATTAGCGTCTTCCACTTGCGCTTTTTTAAATGTAAACAACGAGTGGTCGGACAAAATAGTACCCATCACCAAAATACAAAAAAATAATCTGCTAAAAAGTACAAAAGAGCTTAACAGTTTTAAAAGCACAAAAGGGCAAAAAATAAGGTGTGGCCACAAAAGAGAAGGATTTCATTATTAAACTAGAAAAAAACTCTTTTTAGGCGTAAATAAATTTTTTTTAAATGCAATCTTTCAAACAAAAAGTTGTTTACCTTTTAATTTACATAAAATTTTTATGAAAAAATAAACAATAGAACACTTCAGCGTAATTAGGTTGGAAAAAAACAAAATTAGGGGCGGGTTTTAAATTAAAGGAATTTCATTCAATTCAAAAAAAAATAATTTTGTCGCAAAAAAACATTATTTTGAATATAAAAAAATTTAAACAAAAATTAAATATTTTGTTATTTATTCAACAAAGTTTCCGGAGGTCGTTAAATTTTGAACGTGGTTTAATTTTTTATATTTGTTAATTGTTTCTAAATCTTTTTCTTTTAAAATGGTTCGAGAAAAACAATTTTTTATAAGTGAGAATTTGAAAAGTAAAGACACGATAAAACAAACGAATACACCGGTTCAAAGCTCCGGTTTTAAAAAGCGGAAAGTAAATGAAAATGAAGAAATACTTATAAACTTGGATGAAGTTGAAGATGAATTTTTTGAAGATAAAATTAAATCTTCTCATTCAAGAAAAGAAAGGTCAAGAAAAGTCTTAAATAAAGCTAAGTTAATGAAAAAAGATGAATTTCTCATTGCATCATTTGATTCTTCTAATACAAAGTTTTATGAATTGGGTCCTTTTAATATAAAATGTTCAAAATGTTTTTCCATCCATTTTCCTGAAGAAATAACCGATTTGACAAATGAAAATGATAAAGCTTTTTTCAGTTGTTGCAAAGAGGGAAAATTTAGTAATATTGAAGAAAAAATAGAAGAGTATCCTAATGAATTAAAAGAACTTTTCTTCCCCGATTGTCCGTATCATAAAAATTTCATTACAAATATACGTCGTCTCAATAGTTCTTTTTCGTTTGCTTCAATAAGCTGTTTTAAATTTAAATTCCCAACTGGAGGGCCGCCGTGCTTCAAAATTCAAGGGCAAATATATCATAAATTTAACCCTTATGCTATACCAGAAGATAAAACTGTGCTTCCTACAAATGGACAGTTATACTTTCTTGATACAAACGAATCATTAGATATAAGATCTGAGGAAAATAAAGAGTGCAATGAAAATCTGATTGATTTAATAGAAAAATATATTCGCAAAAACAATAAGTTTGCAAAATCTTATGAATTAATGAAAGAAATATATGAAAAACAAGCCAAAATTTGTCAAGAAAAAGGGGAAAAAATGCAAGAAATAAGGTTACTTTTTAGTTTAAAAGAGGAATTCGATCAAAGAAGGTATAATATACCTTCAAGTAATGAAGTTTGCGCCATAGTGGTCTGTGACGCTAATGACGATATTCCATTAGCAAGAATTGTTGTTTATCCTAAGGGTGAAAAGAATTTAAAAGAAATATATCCATTAGATAAGTGCGTTGAGCCGATGTGCTACCCAATATTATACCCAAATGGTTCATATGGTTATTCTTTGGATTATCATGATTTAAAAAATAAAAAAATTTCGCTTTGTGATTACACAAAATATGCTTTGTTTTACAAAGAAAATAAAAAATTCCAACCACTTTTTTATGCAGGAAAATTGTTTCAACAATGGGTTGTGGACCAAGCGGCAAAAATCGAATGGGATAGGTTGGAATATATTAAAAACCACCAAACAGAGTTATATAGTAGTAGTTATACAAACGTTGAAGATTTTTTAAAGAAAAAATCATTAAAAAGCGGTGCCGAAATTCAAAAAAAAATTATTCTTCCATCAACATTCACAGGAGGCCCACGAAACATGCACGAACATTTCATGGATGCAATGGCGATTGTAAATGAGACAGGAAAACCTGATCTTTTTGTTACATTCACTTGCAATCCAAACGACCCAGATATTTTAAAATGTCTTTTTCCAGGACAAAATCCCTCTGATAGACCAGATATTGTTACAAGGGTTTTTAATTTAAAGAAAAGATATTTATTGGAATTAATTTTAAACAAAAAAATTTTTGGAGAAGTAATAGGATATTGTTGGGTTGTTGAATATCAGAAAAGAGGACTTCCGCATGTCCATTTGTTATTAACTTTAGCTCAGAAAGATAAGTGGAGAAATTCAACAGATATTGATAAATTTATAAAAGCAGAAATACCTGACAAAAAAACTGATATTGAACTTTTCGAGATTGTTACGAATTTTATGCTTCATGGACCCTGTTTAGAAACATCTCTTTGTTGGGATAAATTAAAAAGAAAATGTAGAAAAAAATTTCCAAAACCTTTTAGAGAAGCAACAGAAATTAACGAAGATGGTTATCCACTTTATAAAAGACCCGATAATAATAGATTTGTTTTTAAAAAAGGACAAAAGTTAACAAATCAATACGTTGTACCCTATAATCCTTTTTTGTTAAAAACTTTTAGAGCGCATATAAATGTAGAAAGAGTGAGTGACATTTTGGTTGTCAAATATCTTTATGATTATATCTATAAAGGATATGATGCTGCCACAATTGAGTGTATTAGTGTTGGAGAAGATGGAGAAAAGAAAATACTAAATTATGATGAAGTTGGAACGTATTTAGAAGCAAGATATTTAAGCCCCTGCGAAGCGTGCTGGCGTATTTTTAAATTCAAAATGCAGGGAAAGTCTCATTCAGTAGATAAGTTAGATATACATTTAGAAAATGAACAAAAAGTTATTTATAAAAAAAATGCATCAAAAGTTGAAATAGAAGAAGCATCAAATAAATGTTCAACTTTAACAGCCTATTTTAAATTTTGCCAAGAAAATCCAAACTTACAGTTTAAATATATTGAAATGCCAAAATTTTGTACTTGGGTTAAAAAGGATAGAAAGTGGAAATATCCTAGACAAGGAAATATGAATAAAATCGGACGTTTAATTCCCATAAACCCAACAGACACTGAAAAATATTATTTAAGATATTTATTGTTAAAAGTTCATGGTAAAAATTTTAAGGATTTAAAAACAGTAAATGGTATAATCTACGAAACTTTCGCCGAAGCATGTTTAATAAGAGGTTTAGCTCAAGACGATGAAGAATGGCACAAATGTTTAGAAGAAGCTAGCTTTTTTTCTAGAAAATACCCGAAGGGATTAAGAACTTTATTTGTCAATATTTTATTGCATTGTGGCCCAAAAAAACCTGCAAAATTGTGGGAAAGTTTTAAAGAAAATATGACTGCCGATATAAAAAGAAAATATCCAAAGTATTCCAAAGATCAGCTCAATAACATGGGGTTGATGTTAATAGAGCAGTCTTTGAAATATCATGATAAATCATTGTCCAACTATCCAGATATGCCTATTATTAGAAATTTAGATATTAATATAGATGAAGATGATTTAATTGATCCAGTCGAAGAATTAGAAAAAGCAAATAAATTAATTGCTGTTTTAAATAAGGGACAAAAAGAAATTATTGATAAATTTCTTAAAATTATCCAAGAAAAAGATAAAGACAAATGTGTTTTTATAGATGGACCTGGGGGAACAGGGAAGTCTTTTGTTTTGAAGGTAATTTTTTATTTAACAAGGTCTTTCAATAAAAAAATTTGTAACATGGCTTTTTCGGGTGTTGCAGCCACACAATTGCTTAAAGGTAGAACATTACACAATAGATTTAAACTTCCATTAAATATTTTAAAAAATTCTACTTCTGGAATTGAGATAAATAGCAAAGAATCAGAAGAAATTAAAAATACGGAAATATTTATTTGGGATTAAGCTCCGATGGCATCAAGATTTGTAATTGATATAATTGATAAAAAATTAAAGGAAATTATGCGCAATAATATACCTTTTGGAGGAAAAATTTTTATATTAAGCGGAGATTTTAGGCAATGCTTACCTATTAAAGAATTTGGAACACAAACAGAAATTATCGATTTGTTAATAAAAAAATCAATTTTATGGAAAAATTTTTGCCAAATGAAATTAACCGAGAATATGAGAGTATATAAAAATGAAAAAGAATTTGCAAATGAATTAATTAATATTGGCGATGGAAAAGCAGGGGAAAATAACTTTATAACAGTCCCTGAATTTTGCATTAGTAAAGGTGATTTAGTTGAAGAAATTTTTGGAGAACCTTTTAAAAAAACAATTTGGAACAATTGCATAATTATGCAATTTTATCTCCTTACAATACAATTGTTGACAAATATAACGAAGAAATAATAAATAAGTTTTCTGGAGAAAAAATAACATATTTTAGTATAGATGAAACTGACCCAAATAGTAATTTGCCTATTACTCCTGAAATATTAAATTCCTTAAGATGTTCAAACTTTCCAAATCATAGTATTTCTCTAAAACAAAATGCAATGATTATGTTATTAAGAAATTTAAATATTAAAGAAGGTCTCTGCAATGGCACGAGACTGCAAGTAACAGAGTTAGGAAAGAATGTATTAACATGTAAAATAAAAAGTGGCGAAAAAATAGGCGAAACAACATTTATACCACGTGTCACTTTAATTGAAGATAAGAAATTTCCTTTTTTATTAAGAAGACACCAATTTCCTATAAAGTTAGCTTTTGCGTTTACCATTAATAAAAGCCAATCACAAACATTCGAAAAAATTGGTGTTGATTACTGTGAAGAACCATTCACACACGGGCAAACCTATGTGAGCCTTTCACGTGTTAAATCTTGGGAAGGAATCAAAATAAAAATTTTAGATGAAAATGATAAAAAGATAAAAAATATTGTTTGGAAAGAAGTATTGCGCTAAAATATTCAAAAAACATTAATTTTCAGAAAAAAAAATTAAAAAACAAATTTTTAAGCAAAAATTAAAACTAATCTTTTAATAATTTAAAAATTGAAATAATTGTTCAAAAAAGTATTGCTGCAAAAAAACCATTCAAAAAACATTTTTTCTCCAAAAAAAAAACAATATTTAATTTATTAAAAACAAAAATTAGTTTAATTTAAAAAAGTAAAAAAATAAAATTAATAATAATCAATTGCTTTTTTTATTTAGGAAGCACTTTTTATTAAACAAGATATAATGATCTGTAAAAAAATAAAATCTTTCAAAAAAAAATTTTAGATGATACTTTCATCTGTTTTGTCAGAATTTAAAAAATTGATTAATTCCTTTTTTCAAATCATTGTTTTGAAAAGATAAAAATATCAATTTTTTAAAAACTTGCCATAAATAAAAATAATTTGCTTCAAAAAATTTCTTCAAATTTTAAAAAATTTGATCAAAAACAAGTGATCTTTTGGGTGCAGCAAAAAACAAAATATTTATGTCGAAATCTTTAAACAAATAAAATTCTGTAAATATTTTGATCAAGGTGTATTGTTTACACCTAATTTAAAACTATTTTTAATAGGAACCTAAATATTTAAAAAAAGCTCAAAAAACCAAACATGGATCAAAAAGAAAAAGAAAAAAAACACAAGTGTATTTATGCCAAAATTTTTAAAGTAAACAGAATTTATACAATTTTTTCCAAAGTTTACTTCAAAAAATTGTTTATAAAAACGAAAAAACCACCACAAAAAATTTAAAAAAATATTTTAAAACAAAAAAATGGAATCACAATCAACTTCAGCGGTTCCCGAGAAAAAAATAAAAAAATCACCGCTTCAGGCTATCAAAATCGGGGAAACAATGATGTAAGTTTTTTAAAAAAATAAAAATTTAATTATAACATTTAAGTGATATAAAATTAATGTTTATAACAGCTGATGCTGTTCGCTTTGTTAAAGATAAAATATTTGTATGGAACTTAATAGCTACAGATGGGCAAGTTTTAAAAATTTTTAAATTTTCAAAAAAAAATAATTAAACTTAAAATATTTTATTAAATTTTAAATAAAAAAATTTTTATAAAAAACAACAAAAAAAAGATGTTATTAATATTAAAATTTAAAATAAAAAAATTCGCAAAAATTTGGAAAATCTCAATTTTTCAAAATTTTGAATTTTATTTTAAAAAATGAGAAAAAGAAAAAACGAATAACCTAATTTAACCCAGTAAATTTAAAAAATTTTCCAAAACAAACTTTTGCAAATTCAATTAAACAAACTATAAAAAAATAAAATTTGGAAAAACTACTTAAATTTTTAAAAATAGTTACGAAAATTAATTAATATTTTATGACAGTTATGATTTTGTGAATATTACTTTATGGGATAAAAATTTTCAACGTTTATTAAATGAAATTGGATCAAATTTTAAAGTAAACTTTTTAAAAAATAAATTAATTTTTGAAATAGTTAAAAACTTTTCTATTGAAAAATTTTGCGGCAAATAAAACTTCTTCGCTTTATAACTACGGAAGTTTAAATTTTGAGCTTAAAGCGCAAGAAACTTCCACAATAGAAGAATTGACAGAAAAAAACAATGAATTTAAAGGAATAACTGAAAAAACATATTATGAATTTTTAAAACAGAAATTTCTTATTGACGAAGATTTCCAAGGCGCACCAAAAGAAAAATTACGAATAGGAGAAAAATTTGCGTAAGCAAAAAATAAAAATTTCAAGCTAGGTTAAAAATTTAGTGATGTAGAAGTAGAACTTTTAAATACAAATTTGATACGAAATGTAATGGTAAAGGGCAAAAATGAAGCAAAAGTACTAGATTGTTCAGTTTTAGTGAATAAATCTAAAGCGAAATTAACTTCTTGGAATATTCTAGCTGAATTTATATTTTACCTATTAAACGGGAAAGAAGTAAATTTAATTAAAAATACAAAGATAAAATTTTTAAGGGAAGCATAATTAAATTGCAAGGTGTAGAAATAAAAGAAGGGTTTGGTAAAGAAGAAATGATTTTTAATTTCTATAATTCAAGTAAAATAAAAATTGAAGAAAAAAAATTTTTCGGCGAAAAAATTTCTTCTTTGGCAGAAATTGCGCAAAAAAATGGTTTAATAAAATGTTAATATTTTAAAAAATTATAAATTTTTTAAAAAAATTAAAACATTAAAAAAAATTAAACATGCAAAAAACTTTTTAAATAAACAAAAAAATTTAAAACCGAAAAACAAAACTAAATTTAGGTTCTGTTCGTTTAAGTATTATTAAAAAGCCAATAATACTTAATTTTGCGAAAAAACAAAATGGGACATTATGTACAGACGGGAAAAATAAAGCGCAGTTTGTTTATCCAAACAACATTAATTTAAATATTAATGACGAAATAACACTTCAAACCGCAAATGTTGAAAGAAATGAAGGTTTTAAAAAATTAAAATTTAAATAAAAATTTTAGCGGGTGTTTTAACATTGTCAATTTTTGAGGAAAGTGCATTAAAAAAAGAAAAGGGGAAAAAAATAAATTTTGATATGAATGAGCTTGAGTATCCGGATTAAAAAAGAAATTTTAAAAATTTATTGAAATTATAAATATGTAAACAAAGTTTACAAAATTAAACCAGACTTTATAAGTTAAATAAATCACCGTTTTTTAATTTTCAAAAATACAAATGGGAAATTAATTTTCAAAAATGGTGATTAAATAATTTCAAACTTTTTGATGAACTGTTTAAAGTTTTTTAAAAAAATAAATATTTTTTATAAATTTAAAAAATTGTATTTAAAAAAATGTTATTAAAAATAAAAAATCAATTTTAATTCAAACTTGCAAAAAATATATTTGAAAAAATTTAAACAAAAATATATAATAGATGCGCAAAAAATATCAATATTTTTAAAAAATTTTTAAAAAATCTACAAATTTAAAAATAAAAAAATTTGCATAATAGCATTGACAAAAAAAAGTGCAGCAAAAAAGGTAAAAAAAGGAAAAAGCACAAAATTTATTACACAAAATCAAAAAGAAAAAACGTTTTTTCAAACCTAAAATCCAGTTAAAAAATATGTAAGAGAACTTTGTTAAATTAGTATTAAAAAATTCAAGAAAATGAAGCAAAATTAAAAAGATAATAATTATATAATAAAGAAGAAAAAAAGAGAAAAGCTAAAAATAATAAATAAATATAATAAAAAGAATAAGCAAAAATAAAAAATAAGCAAATTTTAGAAAAAACAAAAACAAAAAAAAAGCAACTTTAAATATTGTTTTAATGTTGGGCCAAACACATTATTAAAAATATGCATAAAAATAAGAAAAAAAGAAAGTGGGGTTCGAAAAGAGAATCAGAAATTTAAATTAATAAGTTGAACATAAAAAATTTGTCAAAAAAAACTTAAATCAAAAAATAAACAAACCAACTAAATCAGAATTAATAAAAATTTCAGTGCGAAAATCCAAAACAAAAAAAAAAACGCACCAAAAACTATATAATATTAAAGCGCGGAAAAAGTAAACAAACTCTTCAGAGCTAAAAAAACCAAAAAGAAAGAATAAAATATAGAAAAAATTTAAGGAGAAGTGAATTTGTAAAAAAAGTTTGTTTTTGTATTGAAAAATTAGTGCTTTAAAATTGTTCATTTTAAACTAAAAATTTTGCAGAAACTAAAAATCACATTTTTTCAAATATTAAATTCATTCGAAAAAAAATTACACATTTAAACAAAAAAATATTTTTCAAAAAAAAAAGTCAAAATTATTAAAAAGTTTCAAATTCAAGACTAAATATAAAATATGTCACCGCGAAAAAATTCCCAAAATATTTTTTAAATTTACACATTTGAAAAAAAACTTAAAACAAAAAAAAACTGCAAAAAACTCCAAAAGAATTTTAAAAACAAAATTGAAATTTTTGAAAAAGTACACGGCAAAAAATTAACCTAAAAAATTAAGCAAAAGTTTAGCCGCCGGAAAGGAGACGAACCTGCGTCTCCGCTATTGAAATGCTTTCTTTTATTCTTTTTATTCGTTTAACCCCCGCTAAAGCGTTTAAAAATGCTCCAGGTGAAACAACCTTACAATTAAAAAAAGGCAAATTGTAAAACAAAAATTAACTACACTATTAAATGATTAGAAACTAACGGGGGCCTTCATAAAAAGAAAAAAACGGTCGACATTAGAACAAAAAAAAAGATGATATAGAAAAAAACTTAGATACACAAGTTAATAATTTGAAAGAAATTGCCTATATTTTACCAAAAAAACTACTGATCTATATGGTCCGCAAAATTTATTCTTTCTTTGGAAAAAAAAGAAAGTTTTTCAGGGCCGGGCAAAATCTTAATTGATAAATCATTTAATAACTGACCTTAATAAACTTCAAAAATTCAACAAAATTAAAAAAAAAACTAAAAAAATAGTGAAAACAAAATTTAAATAAAGAGAAGTTAAAGGAAATACAAAAAAGTACAAAAATAAACGCGGAAAAAGAAGTGGTTAAAAACAAATGAAAAAGGAAAGAAAAAATCAATAAAAGAAAAATCAAACTTAAAAACTAAAGAAATGCAAAAGGAAAAGTTAATTTATGCAAAACTGTTTTGTTTTTATACTAACTTTAGAAAAATTAAACTCTATTTTAAAAAGGAAAAATCAAAATTCCAAATAAATTTTTAGACGATTAAAAACTTATTAAAAATATTTAATTAAAAAATTGAATGCTTTTTTATTATTCACTAAATTTAACAAAAAAAAACAAAAACATTTTACGACAAAAAAGACACATATTTTTTAAAGTCACCAGTTTTTAAAAAAAACGAAATCCGTAAAAAACAAATTTAAAAAAATTAACAAAAAAAAACCAGTTTAAGTTTCTTCAAAAATTCAAATGCTCAAAATAAAACTAACAATTAAAAATTAAAAAGGAAAAAAAGAAGTCAAAAGGAAAAATACATTCCAAATAACAAACATTAAAAATGATTTTTTTGAAAAAGTATGATAAAAAATTTCAACCCAAAAAAATTAACTAAAAAATTTCAAAAAGTCAAATTTTAAAAAAGAAAATTTTTTAAAAAACTAAAATATTAAAAAACAACAAAACTAAAAAACGAAATTTAAATAATTGCATAAAAAATCAAAAAAACTAGACCGAAAAAAACATATAAACAAAGCATATTTTTAAAAAACTAAATCAATAAAACAACAGGGAAACAAACATTAATTTTTTAAAAAAATGAAAAAGGGAAAAATGAATATTTAAAAAAGAATTTTGTTTGTATACTAAATTTATTAAAACTATTCTCTATTTTTTACAGAATGCCAACAAAACAACAGCACACAAAAAAATAGAATGACTTACAGATTTTTACAAGAAAAATACTTTTCAAAAATTAAATGAGTCAATAAAAGCCTTTAGAATGGTTTTTTCTAAAGAGAAACTATTTAAGATTTAAAAACCCCAGGAAAACCCCCCAAAAAAACATAAAACCAACAAGAAAAAAAAGCCCTTAAATTATATAAAAACGGAGCCCTGAGGTATCAAAAAAGAAAATAAAAAAAAACCTTTAATTTATTGTATTAAATTTTTTTGTATTAAAAATTTGAACTTTTTTTAAAAAAAGAGTCAAAACTTTAGGAAAATGAAAAAAATGGTCAAAAGAACTGAAAGAATCAGAATTCAAAAAAATATTTAAAAAAAAACAGAAAATTTAAAAAAGAGAAGCGTGAAAAGTATTTAAAAAAAAATATGAAGGAAAAAAACAAGCATTAATTAAATCAAATAAAATATTAAAAACCAATAAAAGGTAGGAAAAAAGAAAATAAAAAGAAAAAGGAGTGTAAAGGAAAAATGAAATTATGCAAATTTTTCTTTGCTTTTATACTAAGAAAAGTAAACTAAAAAAAGTGCAAACAAAACGCCAAAAAGCAAATTTTTCAAAAATGTAATTTTATTAAACGAAATTAAGAAATTTTTGCATCTATTTCATTAAACAGCTCAAAATGAAATTAAGAAATCAAAATCTAATTTTTCAAAAAATCAAAAAAAACAAAAGTTTCTTCTCTTAATTTTAGAAAAAATAAGCTAAGTTAAAAAAGTCAACAACTTTTTAATCAAAAAAACCTTTTATTAATAAGTGATTTTATTTTTTAATTAATCAAAAAATTAAAACGAGCGTTTGTTCGCCGCGAAGCGGCGAACAAACGCTCGTTAACTATACTAAAACGATATAGTTGTTTACATGTTTTTCATCTTAGAAAAGTGAATATTTCTTGAAGCGAAAATTTTTTAATGTTAATTCAGAGAAAAACAACAAAAGACTGAAAATAAAAGAGAATAATAAAGAGAATAAACCTCTCTAACACATACGCGTTAGTGTTCTCTTACTTAGCACTTTCTCGCAAAGAAAGTTGTTTTTCTCTAATTTTCGCTGAAAATTTAACTGTAAACAAAAAACAACCAGCCGTCCGCCATTTAATCGCAGGGATTACCAGCCGCGTGCCATATAATCGCACACACTTAATTTGTTGTAAATTAATCGCAGCCATTTTGTATTAACTTTCGCAACTATCAAACTTTTATGGAACTCTTATTTAAGTTAGCACAGTTGTGTACACCCAAACACAGAGGTTTATGGGATAATGAGGAATATTAGAAAATTTTAGGGAAGGAAAAAATGCTTATCTGGCGACCTGGAAAGTAAGTGGTATATTGAGGGTTTGGCGGTATCAAGAGGGCTCTCGGGTTTTCATGGGCTTTCGTAGAATATTGTTGATTTGGAGATTTAGAAGAATTCTAATTTATACGAAAATTAAAGAGCTAACTGCCGAGATAAGGCTTTAATAAAACGATGTTAGATCATTAATTAATTTTTAATTTGGACAATCTGCGAGGCAATACATAAACAATAATACATAAATCATTTTGTGAATAAGCTGAGAGCATTATATCCTAGGACCATATTGATTAATTCTAAGGAAGGGGATTTGGAGTGACTAATGGGTATATCTGTGAATATAAGTGATTTTGCAGTGATCAAGTGGATCTGAAGGGAATAAATGTTTCCCTGGGGATAAGAGTGGATTTAGAGGTATTAAGAGTGGTTTAAAAGGATGTAAGTAACTTTGATGGCTAAGTATGGAGATTATGGATTTGAAGGAAATAATGGAGATATCAAGAGATTTGTAAGGTTCCTTCTTTAATCAACATAATATTTTACTTTAAGCGGTCGCACTCTAAAATTTTAGGAGATCAAGCAGCAGATTTCGTACTTTAATGCGTCGCAGGTGAAAATTTTGAGAATTTTGGAAGCAAAAAGCTCGCTTTGTTCATTTTGTACGCCGCATGCGAAAACATTGGGAGTTCTTATTCTTTAATGTTTATTCAACCAATATAGTGCGAAAATATATTAGAGATCGGACGCAACAAATATTTGGTCAAATAAAACCAAATATTTGATCAAATTTTATTTGAATTTATTTGACCAAATATTTGTTTGATGAAGGTTTGAAAAATCAAATATTTGATCAAATATCAAATAATTTGAAAAATTATTTGATTTTCGTTTTTAGCATTTAACGGTGGCAAATTTTCTTTATAAAGCGATATGATAACCGTGATTTTTGCCCCAGGGCAAATTATTTAATGTATTGGAACAAATTATTTATCGCAATATTTATCGTATTAGAGGTAAATAGTTTTAGATGATTTGGGAGGATTAAGTGGAATATAGATGGATTTGGGGATCAAAATGTTTTTCTGTGGATTTGGCATAATTAAGAGGATAACAGAGCATTTGAATGATATTAGAGATTAAGAGAAATAACGGGTAATTTAAATGGATATCGACGGTTTTGGAGAAATTTTGGGATTAAGAATGATATAGCAGAATTTGGGATGGATATAGACGGATTTGGAGAATATAGGTGGATTAAGATTCTGTTGTCCCGATGCATCTTATGTCACTAAATTACTTCACCTCTTATCCCCCATATCCTCTTATATCTTCTTTAAGCCCTACAATTTCCTTATATCAACCTTAATCGCTCCACTTCTTTCTTAATCCTCCGATATCATCTCTATATCCTAATATTCGCGATATACTTTCAAATATACCGTTTTATATGGTATTCTAAAATTTTTTTAAAAATTTTATATTTGACAAATATTTGACTTTGCAGATCAAATTTTTTCAAATATCAAATAATTTTCAAATTATTTGATCAAATATTAGATTTTGTCGTTCATCCGATCTTTAAAATTTATCCGATCTTTAAAAAAATATATTCCTTCAAAACTACCGAAATCCTTCCAAATCCATTGAAATCCATTCAAATCCCCCGAGTTCCCATTAAATCACCCAATTTCCCCCCGAATCAATCGATATCCATCCATGCCGCCATATATCCACCTTAAACCACCGATATCCCTCCAAATCCCCATATATCCCTCTTAATTCCCATTTAGCTCTCTCGAGCCCCCAAAATTAAACACCAACACCAAACAGTATAAAATCCACAAACTCTAATCAAACCAAAAACCAAACTTAAAGTTATATTTGATAAGATTTTCTAAATTATTTCAGGAATTTTAAGACGCTATACAAAAAAACTGATCAAATAAACCCTTTAGCACCGGCGGAAAAATTTGAAAAAAATATAGTGCTAAATAGCTTTTTACCATTTTCTAACCAAAAATATGATTTTCTGGGAGAATGAAATAATTTAGAAAATATTTGATAAAATTACTATTTGATCTACTATTTGGCTTATTTTCGACCTCATCTAACAAATAGTTCATTTAAAAAATCAAAAAAAATTGAGCAAATATTTGATTTTACGGCGTCAAATATTTGTTTGGTCCGATCACTAGCGGCATTGTGTGATCTCAAGCGGCCAAAGGAGTTCATGTGCTCTATAATTATAATTTATCTGCCATATAGGCGTAAAATTCAACCAAAGCAATAAATGGATTGTATGTAGGATCTATGGTTTGTATGTCGGATCTAGACGGCTTAGGTGAGATATTGGCGGAATAAATTTCAATAACCGTAGATTTCAAAAACAGAGAAACAAGACAAAACATTTTAATTTGCAAAAATATTTTAATAGCTATAAGTTTTCCTTATGCTTTGTAAGCTCACATTTTCTAGCCCTTAGTCCTAAAATCACAATTTTTCAAATTCTTAAAAACGAAAAAATAGGCTAAAATTAGTGCCAAAACGTCTTGCAATTAAAAAAAAGAAATTAAAACAGGTGGGGCTATCCTTGGAAGTTTTTGTCAAACGCTACTCCGATACTACTTAATCCCTCCAAATTCCTCTAACACAATCAAAATCCCTGATATACCACAAATATTAAATTTAGTTTGAACAAGTGTGAAATCATTTAAGGCATATGCATTCAGATATATAAGTTTCCCACTCCCTTTTCCTCAAATCCTATGTTTAGATACGCGCATGTAACTTTATTTTGCGTGATTTCGTTTCATTTCCCTATGAAAACTGATTTATGTCGCAACGACAATTTAAAGCCAAATCTCAAGTCAAAAATTTTCTTCTT